TGTGCTCATTAGCCAAAGCTTACCGTCGAACAATTGAGTCCAATTTCCCCGGTGGAACTGTTCGCCCTGCAAAGCGACCTGCTGTGCGAGCAATGACAAGTGCGGGGGATCTCTGTTTCGGGACTTTGAAGATTCGGCACCAGGCGCTGCGTTGAAATAACCCTCCCCCCCTTTTTTTTTTTCCCACTTGGATTCAAAAAGAGCAGGGGAGCAAAGAAACAAGACATGGAGCAACATGGGCCCGCTGCCTAGCCCTAGGACGCACGAGGACCGATCCTGGTCGACTGACAAGGTGTGTGAGCACCCTGGGTTGAACCTTGTCCATGCAGGTTGGAGCTTTGATCCCATTATCTTCTCTTTTTTATACTCCTCGTCGGCGATGGAGAGGTGCTCCTGTGCAATACTCACCATTGGGAAAGACGCAAATAGCCAACCATTCTGATAGCGGTCGCTGAACTGCATGTATGAACTAGTGGGTTATGTATTGTAGTTAGTTAGCTGGCTTCGAAGGTCCGAGATTTGGGCTCAACGGCGGCCAAGGCCCCCATCCACCGTCCCCAGGCGGAGTCCACGTCCCCAACGCTCGCTCCCCCAGTCTGGCTGATCCTTCGACGAGGAGCAAAAGCAAAAGCAAAAGCGGCCGGCGGTGAAAGCGGATCTGCCCGCCAATGACGGCTGCGGACTCCAACCCTAAGCCCTACTCTTTCCGCTTCCGGCGGCGGGTGACTCACGCCTGGTCCCCGCCGCTGATTGGCCGCTGCTCTTCCCCGCTGCGAGTTTTCGTCGTCGTGCTTTTGTTGGGCGTTTTTAAAGAGTCTACTTTATCTGTCGTCCGTTCCTCTGTGAGCATCCAGCAAGCCATTGTTCACTCCCCACGCAACCAACACGTCTTCAACTGAGAAAAGAGGAATACCCACTCCCAAATAGTGCACATATATATCTTTTGTCTCCCGCAAACAACATGGCCAACAAGGAAAAGGTTCTTCTTGCCTACTCTGGTGGTTTAGACACCAGCTGCATCCTCGCCTGGCTCATCGAGCAGGGCCATGAGGTCGTCTGCTTCCTCGCCGACGTAGGCCAGGCGGAGGATTTCAAGGAAGCTGAGCGCAAGGCCCTTGCGATCGGCGCGAAGAAGCTCGTCGTCGAGGACCTGAAGCGTGAGTTCGTCGAGGATCTATGCTTCCGTGCCATCCAGTGCAATGTGAGTCACATCGAAGGTGCGACGCGCGCCAATTGTGCTCTACTGACAAAACCCTCGGTTAGGCTATCTGGGAAGACAGATATCTCCTTGGGTAAGCTTCCAATTGAGTTCCTGACGCTTCTCTGCCCCCTCCAACCCCCAAAACAACCCCGAAAAGACCACTGTGCTAACTCTGGAGTAGAACTAGCCTGTAAGAACTGGAAGAATTCCCCGGTCGCGCGGAGGCCAAGCTTACGGTTGTGGAAGTGCCCGTCCCGTTATTGCTAGAGCTATGATGCGTGTTGCTAAGCAAGAAGGCTGCACGGCCGTCAGCCACGGTTAGTAGTGATATTTTCCCCAGTTCACGATGCGCCCGCGTTACCCTAGTTCTGACCGTCTCATTCCATAGGCTGCACCGGCAAAGGGTAATTCACCCAGATCCTGTACCAAAATCAAGCGCATACTTATTCATCGAAATACCAGAAACGATCAAGTCAGATTTGAACTCGCATTCTACGCCATCCAGGTGGGATTCCCCCTTTGCCATTGCTATGCAATTTTAGAAGAAGCCTGCAATGCTGACCAGCGTAGCCATCTATCAACGTCATCGCCCCATGGCGTCTTCCTGAATTCTATGAACGTTTCGCTGGTCGTAATGACCTCCTCGACTACGCTGCCAAGCACAATATCCCCGTCACATCTACAAAGGCAAAGCCATGGTGGGTTCGGCCGCATTTTGTTTTGTTTCCTACAGACAGCACTAACGTATACATGTGTTGATAGGTCCATGGATGAGAAGTGAGATTCACACTCTGCTTACGGCACTTCACCCCCGCAAAACCCTGCTGACCTTTCGTCCCAGCCTCGCCCATTGCTCCTATGAAGCCGGCATCCTGGAAGAAGCCGACGTCTCTCCACCAGATGACATGTGGAAGCTGACTGACGATCCCCGAACCGCCCCCAACACACCCGAAGATGTCACCATCTTCTTCGAGAAGGGTCTGCCTGTTGGCGTCGTTCTGGGATCCGACCCTAAGGCAGGAAACAAGATCACCGACTCCTTGGAGCTATTCACCACTCTCAATGAACTTGGCCGTAAACATGGTGGGTTTGAATGATGCTTCCGTTTCTCGATCATTTCACAGAGTACGACAATAGCCAGATGGTTGTGGTAGCTGACTAGGGCTTCGATAGGAATCGGTCGTATCGATATTGTGGAAAACCGTTACATTGGTCTTAAATCTGTAAGTTAACCTGGTCAACTTCTGTCCTTTACCCCAGATGACTAACCTCTTGTCTGTAGCGCGGATGCTAGTAAGCAGCCCGATGATTCCCCCCAACACTCGAGTTGCACTGGATGGGCACGGTACTAACTACACTGTTTTCTAGTGACTCCCCTGCTATGACCATTCTCCGCCTTGCACATCTTGACCTTGAAGGCCTCGTTCTTGACCGCGAAGTTCGCCTTCTCCGTGATCAATTCGTCACTATTACCTGGTCTAAGCTTCTCTACAATGGTCTCTACTTCTCCCCCGAACGTAAATTCATCGAGAAGAGCGTTATTGCCAGCCAGGACGACGTCAACGGCCAGGTCAGACTTCGCTGCTACAAGGGCTCGGTAAGCGTCTTGGGACGAAGCTCCGATACAAGCAAGCTCTACAGCCCAGAGCAGAGCAGCATGGACAGTCTCGAGGACTTCCAGCCCACAGACACCACCGGCTTTATCGCTACCCAGGCCATCCGCCTGAAGGCATACGGCGAGGCTGAAGCCGCTGCCGGTATTGATCTCAGCGAATCCTAAAAGACAGAATAAGAAAGTGTTTTGGTTTCGGATGCTTTTGGAAAATATCAAAGGAAAAAGTCTCGGACTGCATGATTTGGAGTTCTAGCAGGACTGGCTTTCGGTTACTACAGAAATACAAAGTTTATCTTTATTGGAGGCCCCTTGTGAACAAGTCTTTGATTTTGTTTTCCCAGTATTGCTTCGCGATCCTACGTATGAACATGTACTTCCGGTTTTCGTGGCTGTTCCCTGCGACAGCCTCTATCCGAGCCACTAGAACGACAAGACCTTTTCATTCAAAGGTAGCATCGCGTCTCGCGCTTCATGCTCGAAGTAGGATCAACTGCACTTCTGCCGGTGCTCCATAATAAGGTGTGGAGATTATTTTCCTTGGCAGGATGCGGTCCTCAATGCATGGGCCCAGGATCCTGGGAAGTTCTGAGTACGACAGAGTTTTGAAAACGAGCAAGGCTTCGTCGCTCGCTTTGTCCAGCATGCAGCCTATTGAAGCCGTATGGTCGCCTTACGCCGAGCTCCGAAATAAAAGTGGGCTTCGGAACAGAATGTCCATGCGCCCACCAGTCGTTAGAGGATCCTCGCGGTGGGTGGCTAGCATCGACAACGGTCCTGGGTACATACATATATGTACCTAGAGAAGTTGCGAAAACTCTATTCACGTCCTTCACGTCTTTTCTCCAACTCTCAAGGGTAATCAAGCGTGCGTTTCTTTGTCGAGGCGCTCGCGATCCTACCCTTAAGGCGGGCCTGACTTCTGAGGTAATAACCGTTAATTTCACCAGGCTATAATGGCGGCGTCGATAAGCTACCTTGAGAATGCAACGGCTGCTAACGGTTACTTTCCGACTGTTCATGACAAATGACGACGACCCTCTACGACCTTGCTAAGCGCTGAGGAAGGTATCAAAAAGATAGCTCTTGCGCGCTCTATCCCATCCATATTGGCGAGTTGCTTGAACAGAGATACTATATACGACATGAACTTGGCCATGGTGCCTTCTTGTCTGTCCGTTAGGCTAAGATCCTGTGGGCTAAAAGTGATGTGGCTCTCAAGACCATTGCTTCAGGAGATTCAGAAGAGCAAAAAATATCATTATACAGAGGGAAATCCTTCAGCGTATGGGTAGCAAAAATCGAACAATTAAGATCTCAGGAAAACAGCAACAAACAAAATGACTAGATTTCCGAGAGGAGCCTCAGTAAAACTCGGCTCCATGTTCAGCTTTGGCCTTTTTATCTTTCTTTGCATCCTCAAACTATTCAGTCGATGACCCGCCCCCGATATCATCCTCTCGAGTGCGTTCCCTCCGCGGCTTTGATTCGCGCATTTTCCAATATTGAGGATCTAAATTAAAGACTTAGCGAGTGAGTAGAGGTTTCGAAAAATAATGATAATGATAATCATAATAATCACCACACGTTCCTTGCTGTAGGATATTATTTGATAGAATCACCAAATCAGCTGAAGAACATGGCCCAATGGGCTGTATTGGCTTTGTGTTCAGCACTTGGCCATACTGCTGGTTTACTGTACAATCTAGAGAATACTTCTATACTGTGGTTACATTCACGCCTGCTACCTCTGCTATGATATGGTTTGTTTTTCCTTCACAAAGAATGCGATTAACCTCAAAGGTAGCCCACAGTTACACCAGCTACACTGTTTGACAGTTTCGCAAAGTTTTCTCATGTAACTGTAGGATAACTCATCAGTTCCCGCCATTGCTATTGTGTCTAGCCAACAACATAGAGGTATTTTAAATCCATGGTAGTAGCAAAGCTAGCACCGAATGTGTAGTTTTGTCTTGAGGGCCATGGTGATAAAATAGACACAAAAATCATTGCTTCAGTGGAGAAATATGATCATACAACATGTTGATGTCAATGTGGTTGTCCGAAAAACAAACGCGGGAGTGTACTTAGAATCCTGACTAAGCAGCTTCATCGTGTCTCTCTCCGTCTCGACGAACGAACTTTCGACAAGCTGAACAGCTCCGGTTGCTGGCAGCAGAGGGTGCTGAAAGCCAACAGGCCGTTCCCTTGGCTTGAATTTGCCTATTTCCTTCAAGGTGTGCAGTTTGTGTCTCTTGTCAACACGTCAATTGATGGGGCCGGATTAGACTAACCGATTTTCTTCCCTTCCAGATGAACAACAGCCGGCTTGCGCAGACGCAACCTTCCTACGACTTTTTGTCCGGCGCGTCGTCTTCTCCCCAGCAATCTTCCAGAAGTCCGTTCGGGAGGAGTATCCTTCCTCAAGAGCCACCGATCAAACCCGGTCAGTACATGATTCCCTTGGAGCCTAAGGTACACCTATAATATGGAATGGAATTTCTGACGCAAATCACGAGGTCTATAGATGCCGGGAATGAAGAACTACGAATACAGATTAGTACTTTGAAGTATGAGCTCGAGAATATAAAGCAGGATAGGGACCTAGAATCCTTACAACACGAGAAAGAATTACGGGAGCTGCAGGCCAGAGCAGACGCGGACTTTCGAAAAGCGCAGGTGAGCCTTATCCATAGGATTTTCGTTTTACCCCCACCAAAAAAAAAATAAAAATAAAAATAAAAATAAAAAAAGGGACACTCGAGCGATTATTCTGACGACTGGGTTGCAACTATCTAGGCCGCAGAGAGTAGCTCAGCCAAGGCCCAACGTAAGATCGAATCGCTTACCGCAGAGTTAAAGCAAGTGCAGGAAACGTCGGAGGCCGAGCGAGCCTCCTGTGAAAGGAAGATACGGGCGTTGCAGGAAGAGAGCCGAGCTTTGCAGGAGGAATGTGACGATTCAAGGTCCCAACTAGCCGACCAAGAACGTCAGTACAAAAACCAAGTCCGCGAACTGGAAACGATCCGTTCGTCGCTCCAACAGACGTTGGATGAATTGAGAAATGAGCTCCAAGAAACCAAAGCGTGCTTGCAAACGACCCAGAAGCGGTTATCGCAACGTGAAGCTGAAGTGGACCAACTAGAGGCAGAGAACATACAGTTAAAATCTGAAGGATCCGAGCCGGAAGCCCTGACTGTGCTCAAGCGGGAGCTTTCAGAACAGCTATCGCAAGTGAAGAGATTAGAATCCGAATTGCGGCCGCTACGAAAGTCTCAAAAGAAAGTCGAAGTCGTCGAAGAGCAAAAGCTTGCCCTTGAGAACAAGCTGCATTTAATGAGTGGCTTGGAAGCTGAACTTAGAAATCAGCGAATCCAGAATCAGGTTTTACAAGACGAGCGACGATCCTGGACAGGTCTATTGCAACTAGATGGGCAGGAACCTGAATTTGACTCTCCAGAAGCTGTTGTTAGAGCCTTGGTTGAGTCAAGAATTGAAAACGCCTCCCTGGTTGATAAAATCGGGAATATCCAGACCGAAGCTGCGGAAAAGACAGAAATTATAAACAACCTGGAGATGGAAAAGCAAAGAATACATAAAGAAATGGAAAGTCTCCGTTCGAACGGAGCGGGCGTAGTCGCTGCTGATTCTCGTGCCAAAACACGGTTGGAGCGGCAAAGGGTCCTAGCTATCAAGGAAGTGGAGTATTTACGAGCACAGCTCAAGACGTTTGATGCTGAGGAAACCATGGTGAATCCGGACGAGAATCGAATCGACACTCAGAAATCCGAACATATTGCACAGCTTGAGGGTCTTCTGAGCGAACATCGGGAAGAGCTTCACAAGTTGCATGAAGAGCTGTCAAAAAAGGAAGAAAACGCAACACCAAGTGATTCCCAGGCCTTGCGTGGAACTAAACGACCTCTTTCCCCAGCGGAGAGCGACGCGGATAGTGAACGACTTGCTGGCTTGGTTCGCAAAAATCGAACCTTGCAGGACTCTTTATCCAAATCTGAACAGTCGGTTGAGCTGTTACGCCGGGAGCTTGAGGCAGCAAAGTCTCATCTTTCCTCTTTGCAAGCCCAGTCGCGAACCCGCATCTTAGAGCTTCGATCGAACCCAACTGCTGATTTTGAAAACATTAAGCTTTCCACCCTGAAGACTTTACGGGCCGAGAATCGGGAACTTTTGAAGCAACTACGAGGAGGGAATGAAAATATTCGGATGATTCCTGCTAGCACGCTTGACAGCTTGCAGCTAGATCTTCAAGAGATGGAGAAACAGGTTGCCGATAAAGAAAAGCGGATACGCCGTCTAAAAGAGATTTGGACTGCGAAATCATCTGAATTCCGTGAAGCGGTGGCGTCCATTCTCGGTTATAAGCTTGATTTCATGCCCAATGGGCGTGTACGAGTGACTTCTATGTTCCACCTTTCGCCAGCATACAGGCACGGAGACCCGGGTGCTGCGGCCGACTCTAGTGGCCCGGGAAGTATGGGTGACGGCGAAGAAAACTCGATCATTTTTGACGGAGAAAATGGGACCATGAAGATATCCGGTGGACCGAATAGTTTGTTCGCTCTAGAAATTCGAGATCTTATCAAATTTTGGGTAGAGGAGCGGAAGGATATTCCCTGTTTCTTAGCTGCCATGACGCTTGAATTTTACGACAAGACGACAAGGGCCGCTCGAATGTGACGAGAGGAACTTTCTTTCGAACGTTTTCATTGCTGTTGATTTCTTTTCCCGCCCGTTCCTGACAGGACTCGTCCCTGTTTGGGGAGTGTTTATGGTTGGCGGCTTTTCGTGAGGAGATGCGCTTTGGAGAGATATAATATCTTACAATCTGATTGAGTGGGCTTTAATGGCCCCTGGGTGCCTACATATATCTATACATATACGGAGTAGAGCGGCCGTTTCCCTACACATCGAGCACAGTCTCAAGATACCCGAAGCGTGCCGAGTGATTTGCCTTCAACAACCTTTTAAAAAGTCGTAGGCCATCAAAGTGTGGGCCTGGGCGACCTGAACGAGCTCTTTCACCTCCACATATTCATCTGCTCCGCCCATATTTCCTCCAGAGCAGCCGACGACAACGGTTGGAATGCCAGCGGCACGATACCACCGGGTATCAGATGCTCCAACGCGTATACTAGCGACGGACTTGCCGCCGGTGACTTCTTTCGACACTTTCAGACCCAGCTGAACAATATCGTGGGTGGGAGAGGTATAGTTAGGATCGCATTTACGAATTATTCTCCATCTGATGCCCTCCATCGGGTCAAGTAACGTTCGTAGCTTCGCTAGAATCTCCTCGGTCGTAACGCCTAGAGGGAGTCGAAGATCACACTCCGCTTTCGCGTGGGCGGGAATTAAATTCGGTGACACGCCGCCATGTACCGTTCCAATGTTGACTGTAACATGGCGTAGCGTGTCCAACTCACCCATGCCCGACGATGCTTGTGACACGTCTGCCGCCGCATCGATCGCATCCTCCACCTCCGCGGGCATATCCACCGCCATCTCTTCCAACGTCTCGATCGCATCCAACGCCTTTCGTAGACGATTAACCGCATTCAAGCCCCTATGCACATGCGCGCCATGCGCTGCAACCCCTTTCGCCTCAACATCAATCCACACAAACCCCTTTTCCCCGAACCTCACCACCTGCGGCGACCCCGCATCCCCGCATATCATCGCGTCGCCCTTGGCCGCCTCGACATTGTCCAGCAACCACTTCGCCCCACGACTGCCCATACACTCCTCATCGCCCGCGAGCGTGACCACGATCTCCCCGCGCCATAAATCGCGATGCTCAGCGAGCAACTTCGCCGCCGTGATCGATGCCGCGATGCCGCCTTTCATGTCGCACACCCCGCGACCATATAATCTCCCATCCTTGAGGACGCCGCCCAGCGGTGGCACCGTCCAGTTGAGATCCTCGCAAAGAGGGTAGGTGTCTAGGTGGCCGTTGAAGACTAGTCGCTTGCCCGGTCTGCCGCTGGGGATGCGAGCCACGACGTTGACGAGTCCCGGAGCGGTCTCATGGCGCGAGACGTGTGCGTGTGGAATGCTCTGCAGCAATTTGATAGCCGCGTCGGCAACGAGGACGGTGTTTCCCGCGGGATTGGGGGACGGTGTCTTGACAAGCGTTCTTGTGATTGCTATCAGCGCATCCTGTTGCTTGGTGATGGTGTTTCGGAGGAAGGTTCGGGCTTTCTTGTCTTCTTGCGTCATGATGGAGTCGAATTCCTCTTCTTCTCCTCTTTTTTTTTTTCTTTTCCTTTTTCTTTTTCTGTTTCTAATACCCAGACGTTGCTTTGCGATTTCAAAGTTGGCAATTGATTTTCGGTTAGATTATCATACGCAATTATGATATTTTACAGAGAAGCTAGATTGAGCCGGGCAGTTAGGAGCTGAGGTATGAAATGTCAGGCAAACTTCTCCACGCCGGCCAGACCATCACAGATGCACTCGGCTCGTTTCCAGACTCGGTCATGCGACGGGACTGTGCATCCAATGAACACTATGTGTGTAACTAGCTCAGCAAAAAGCGCGAGCCAGCGCGAGAGTTAGAAGCTGAGCTATTAAACTCAAGCAAATACGGTTCCCGAAGCTAGCCGTCATGTTTCCAGGGTTGTGCTGGAAAACAGTTGAAAGACACATCGAAACAACACTAATTGTTGCGCAAGTTCTCAGCGAGTGCAGCAGCAGACTTATGTGGAATTAGTTAAGAGTGTATGCATGTATGTACATATAAAAAAAAAAAAGAAAAGGTACGGTCGCGGAACGAATGACAAGAGTAAGCCCAATACATGCCGGACGTCATCGCAAACCAAGCGGAGGCCGTCATGGAGATGCTTGGCATTTGAAGCTTCGCTGCGACTGGAGAATCGCTGCAAATTGCGTCCAACGCCCAGACAGTCGGTCAGCTGAGGCGTGCTCAGCAGAAGATGAGCCACGTCCAAAAAAAAAAAAAAAAAAAGGCGTTACAGGGCGAAGACGGGAAGATAAAACAAAAAGAAAAGATCCTAGCCTTAAAAATATCCCATCCCAAATTGATCCCATGATAGTCACTTGTATCCAACTCCACACAAATGACCGCGTCCAGATAGCTGCTCCATTCCTGAATGTGCGTGACGAAATATGCGCAGGGCCCAATGCAATAATCTGCTGCAAGCAACGAGGGGGGGGTGTTGACGTAATCTAAAAATGCGAGCCGCAGAACGGATATCGGATCAAACAGCAACATATCTCGAAACGGATAGTTTGTTCTGAGTTAGTAGTTGAGTCCACAATACAGAGGGATGCGCGGTTTCGGCGTCGGCTTCCCCGGTCTCATCCGCCGAAGTACCCAAGCTCTCGGCTTCACCCTGAGTGATGGGGGAGCGTGAACTGATACCAAGTCGCAAGCTGGTATCTTTGGTGGCTACATCGAACCTTGCTTCCAATTTTCCTTTGCGGGGCCAGCTGGTCGTGGTGGAAAACCGCGCAAGGAACCTGTTCTCCCCATCGGCTTTGACTTCAAGTTCAGGAATTCGCCACACGATTGAGGATGTTTTTCGTTTGAACGAGGCGCCGATATTTGGATGCATGGCAGCAGCCGTCGCGCGGGCTACTTCACGGGGCTGCTTGGTCTCTTCGTCAACGGGAGAGAGGTCTAGACTTACTGTCAAGACAACATTTTGGAGGGTGATGGATGTTAGTGGACCAGATGAAACGAATTGCGGATTGAGAGAATAATTGATGATAACGCTGGCCTGAAACTCTTGTTCATTCCACACTGGCGAGAAAATCACCGGACAGTAAGCCGATAAGTTTGAAGGGTCAAGGTGAATCTGGTATTTAAAAGCAACCGTTGGCGCTGGGCCTCTTAGAGAAGACAGAGCGACGTTGTATTCTCCTTTTCGGTCTTCGGTGGATTCGAGAGGTTGTGCGCCATTGACCGGGATGGTGGAGACTTCGGTGACAAATTGAGGGTTAGCTGCAACCCGTTCTAAAATCTGGAAATTATCCAGGCGGACAGTTTGGCTATCCATGGATGAACTCTCTGTCGGGTTGTATGCGAGAGCAAGTTCCCCAACCACGAAACATTTGGTCACCACTCCTCCAGAGACGTAGGCGTTAAGCTTTTCGACAATGGAGGCATTGAGTCCGGGACCAGTCAACTCTGGGTGGGAGATTGGGCCCGACAGGCTATGTAGTGTGTGAGATGAGTGGACAGATGTGACATCTGATATAGTGTGGTCATCCTGGTGCGTACCAGGAGGCGGTGGGCTTTGTTGAACCTGCGATGGTGATGCTGGCGACGACACAATCTCTGGGATAGCCTTTGAAAGGGGGTCGATATGCATTTCAGCGCCAGGAGCGGGAGGATTCGGGATAAAAATAGTATTTCGAACGTCTCGGCGGCCACGTACAGTTCCCGGGCCCCGTGAAAGACCTGAATGCTTCGCTTGCTAAACGGTGAGGTGAGCATCGCATCTCCCAAGAACAAGCAAACAACCATTATAGATTACATACCCGCCGCAAAGTACTTGCCATTTCATTCATTGCCTGCTGAGCTTCTCCCTCATCTTCTTGGATCGGTTTATCGCGGATTGTCAGATTGATCCCGGGGTCTTCGCTCCTAGAAAGACTATTATTATTATGTCGATTACTAGGACTTATATCGGACTTACTGGGCAGCTTCTTGCTGTATTCTTGATATCTCATCGATAGTATTCGGTTTGGTAGAGAATCCCTCTACATCCGTTGATATCTGTCGAGATCATGTTAGATAAAACGGATGAAAGGAGAGAGCTGGTGGGCGAACAAACCTTTGGAGACGCAGGTCGATCTTCATGAGATTCCACCGCTGGCGCAGGAGTTTCTTGAGACGTGGATTCTTCGGGTATAGTATTCCCGTTGAGTACAGTGTCAATGTGAGCTTCGGGCTGGGTAACACTTCCCGTCGCAGAAGAACCTGGCCGATGTTGTGAAGATCCATCCCGGGATCGAACCGGAGCCAAGCCGTTGGGTGGTGTAGGCTGATTTTCGACCTGGTGGAAGCTGCGAGAAGATTCGGTGCGACGGAAGGGCATAAATGGAGATCTAAACTTTTTCTCTGGGGATGTATACCCAGAATTTGGCTGTACAATACTTCGTCTCCGGCCCATCACTGTTCCAAGTCGTTTAAGCCCTCCCAATGGGGTGTGTCGCTGTTGAGGATTTGGCTGCTGGTCGGTGGCTAAACACATGGGAGTCGTGAGTGTCTAATCATAGCATCAAAATTTTTTTGGGGGGAGGGGGGGAAATTACCGAAGCTGGGTCGTCGCTGGTTGGAATGGCTGGAACGCCGGCTAGCAACGTCGTCGTTGATTCTTGGAGGTGGTTGTAGGGGGTCCATCGGCGGGTTCTCAGCTTGAGTGGAAGCGGTTGTAGGAGGTTCCTGGGTTGCTAGATCTGCGGTGCGGCCGCCGCTTGCCCTGAGCGCAAAAGTCCTGATTTCCTCGGCAGTGTCCACAGTTAGCAATGAGTCGAGGCAAGTTTCGGTCGACTGGCGATTGCGCTCAACCTGATCCGCTTCGTGGGTCTGAAACTGCGTGAGGACATCTCTCAGTTGGTTCAGACGATCCTCGTCGACGGCCTGTAATTTTTCAAAAACAAACGGCGCCCTAGATTCCCACTGAGTTCGCGCCTCCTGAACGGCAGCCATGGCCGCAGACGATTTCCCTGCCGCCTTTGGCCCTTTGTCCTTTAGCTTGTCGGCTTTCTTTTGGGCAACCTCCAATGATCTGGCGAGGTTCGCAAGATCTTGCTGGGCGCCAGACACCGACTTAATATCCTTGTTTTTGATCGGATATTCCTTCAATGGTTTCTCGACGTCCGCCTCGATTCTCTGTGCGAGCAGTTCATGGGATCGAGCCAACGACTCAGTTGCAGATACTATACCCTGCCATGGCACCTCGAAAACCCTAAAAGCCATTAGTATCCTGACAGGACAATCGCTTTATATATCCCTACCCCAATGCGGCCCCCACCTCTGGCTGAGGACGTCGCGCGAGTCTCCGAAGCCCGAGGCAGTATGTTTCTTCGAGCCGGCGCCGTTCCTAAGTGCATCGATGAGCAACTATGAGTTGGATAAAGGGACGATGTGGCGACATGCCTGGAGCCAGTCTGCAATATCTTGATGGGTTTTGGTGATCGACCGCAGCCGCTCGCTGATGACAGCGACCGTTTGGCTTGGGTGTAAAAGGGTCTGCAAAAAGTAGCACATAGATCAGCATACACCACCTCCCACGAACAGTTGGCCCGGATAGTCCCGCCCTGGGGTCCGGAATCACATATGACTCTTTCAAACACCTACCGCAAGAGCAGGGTACTCTTGTCGTGAAAACTCCATGGTGAGATAAATGATCGCACTCCGTTTCTCAGGATCTGGACATATTTACAAATCCGCGACTGGGATTACAAAGAGTGGGAAAGGCAATGGCCAGCTGGGGAGGGTCTGGAGAATTGAAGACCAGTGCCAGACTTAAAGTGACTTATTGAGAATGGGTTGACTGCCGCACATCGACAGACATGCTCAATTGGCGATGGCGATGGTGGTGATGACGATGAAAGGGAGGAGTCCAACATGACACTAACGGAGCTGAACCAAGCGCGCCAAGCCTCGGGCAAACTTACGTCCCGAGTGCGATCAGTTCGTTCGTAGTCACGTGTGTGGAGGAAGGGCCGTCCAACTTTCTGCTTGTCTGGCTGCGGTTCCGACCGTCATCATCTCAGGAGGGATGGGCGACGAGCAGGGCAGAAGAAGTGAAATGGCATTGCCCCCCATGATACACTAGATTACGTGAAGAGAGACAACAGATGCGGTCCCCTCTTTGGTGGAGGAACGGGCCTCACATCCCAGTAGAACTGCTCGCATTGCAGCTCCGCCGAGCAGCCCACTACCCCACTGTGGTTTCCATTGAGAGTGGTCCCGATGTTGTCAACGTTCAACTTTGATTGACAGATGATGTGTTTCTAGGATACTGACTAAAGGAAGATAGAGCTATCACATCATGGCTTGGAAGTCAGAGCTCAGTTTCTCCGAACGGCTGGCGGTAATAACGTCTATGTAAGTAGACTCTTATAGACCCAGCGCTGAGAGAGAAAACCACCCGGTCGATATTAACAGCAGTCATGTCAAGAACCAATGCTTGTCGCCGTGCCTCGCCATCAACCGAATTTGCCATGGCTCATTCGGAGGCGACTAGAATCGAAGGGGAAGCCTACGCAAATGCTTCCTCAAAGGTTGGTGGCCCAGCCCCATGTCTTTCGTTGCGCGGGCTATGCGTCAGTTCTTGCTGCTCATTTCCCTTTCACACGTTCAGGATGAGTACCATGTCACATGCCAGAAGGCAATTGATGGATATGACAATCAAGATGTGGCCCTTGGAGACGAAGAAAGTTTGACGGAATGGTCCACCAGGGTAAAGGCAGAAATTGAGTCGAGGCGAGGTGAGAAAGTCGGGCTTTATGAGAAGGCCGTCCATGACAAAGATGGGCTGTTTTCTAGCATTTATAAAAGCACGACCAGTGAAGGTCTGCTCGTGGCCCTCAAGGTCACGACTCCTCATCTCACCGAGCCACCACATGACTCAGAGCGCGAAGCCAGACTCTTGAAGCAGGTGTCAAGCGAGACTATCATCCCGCTGCTGGAGTCCTTCCACGAGGGAGGGAGCCACTTTGTCTTGGTTTTCCCATACATGAGATACCAGCTTGATGAGCTGTTTCATGGGAATCAACTCACACCACGGCAGATTCGATCTCATCTCAGGGACCTCTTTCGTGCTTTGGCACATATTCACTCAATGGGTATCATCCATCGCGATGTCAAACCGTCAAACGTGCTCCTGCGGGGCTTGGGGGGACCTGCTTACCTGGCAGACTTTGGAATTGCATGGTCGCCTGACAACAAGTCTTCAGAGGCGCCTGATGAGAAGATAACGGACGTCGGCACCACATGCTATCGTCCTCCTGAGATACTGTTCGGAAATAAGACTTACGACACAAGCCTGGATATGTGGGCTGCGGGCTGTGTCGTTGCGGAGGCGATCGAGCCAGATCACCCTCAGCTATTCGATGCCGGGCCTGTGGGCAGCGAACTTGCATTAGTGCACTCAATTTTCACTACTTTGGGAACTCCTACCGCGGAGTCGTGGCCGGTATGTGATTCGTTTTGTATATGCTATTCTGACGTAAATTTGGGAAGCGATAGGTTCCTAACTGGTTTAATCGACAGTCGAGAAAGAATATGCCGGACTGGGGAAAGATTGAATTCCGGGAATATTCACCGCGAACATGGGATAAGGTTCTGGGCAAGGCGCCTTCTCTTGGTCGAGATTTGGTGGCAAATCTGGTCAAATACGAAGGCAGTGAGAGATTGACCGCGGAAAAGGTCAGTTATAATCTTATGGGCAAACTGTTTCTCCCCCTGCATCCTTCATGGACTAATGCAGCTGCTTTCTACGACTCAGGTACTTGAGGATCCTTTCCTCACTTTTTGAGAACTTCCATCAGAATGACTGCAGACGAAAGAGCCTGTCATTACTTCGTACTGCGTGGGAAAGAGAGAAGTAGGGAAAAAAAAAAAAAAGAGAAAAGAAAAGAAAAGAAAAGAAAAAGGGAAGTTGAAAGGGATAGGGCAGGGAGGCGGAAAGCGAAAACGAGGAGAGAGACATAATGTCACCCCCTAATAGTCTTTTGTCGCGAAAATAGCAATTTAGATTACAATCTTGGTTCTACAATGCGAAACAATTGTTGCATTTCCGCTTCGTCAGGCCGTTTTTCTCTTTGGCCATTAATCATCTTCGACAAGGCTCGGCTTCGTCGTTTCCGTGGAATATTTTCGAAAAGAATTGTAGGCATGTGGTATCATATGCATGGCTTCTGTGGTATTTCGGGATGATGATCGTTCTTGAAACCGATGGGGGTTTATTTCGTCTGCGATGATCAAGCTGCTTGCATCGAGACTTATTTTAAGGTTTTCGATTGTGGCTTGTTGATGCAGCTGAAGAGCCACACGCTTCCTATTTGCATAAGTTCCTATGTATGTATTGCAAAAGGCGCGCTCTCTGTGTCTGTCCTGGGCCGGGGACGTCAGTGCGCACAACCTGTGAGAGCGCAGCGAGGAACCACTCACACCCCCCCATATGCAGCAACATGTTGTTCACCGTTCCAGCATCCATTCGACTTCGGCCCCTGACAGGTGCCACGGAACGGGCAGACATGGTACCTGACGCCTGTCCCGATGCGGACTAGCTGAAGCCACGCGATTGGCCCGCTGCCAGATTGAGGGGACGGCGTTTCTCCGCATCACACGCTAAGCAAGCCACGCGGTTGTTTGAAAGACAAACAGCGACAGCGCAGAGCCGGCCTCTGTTTCAGCGGGTCGCAAGCTTGCCTGTTGTTCGTCCTGGTGCTGGGATGCTGGGTTGTTGTGAATCCTGGGCTCTTCCCACCACCGTGTCATGTGAAGCCTGCCCGGTCATTCTGTGCTGTGTGTAAGTGTGAGAGAGAGAGAGAGAGAGAGAGTGTGTGTGTGTGTGTGTGTGATGGCCGGCTACGGGCGGAAGACAGATCGAGGCCTATTTTTATCCATACTGCAATGGGACAGAAACAGCGCGTAACCGGGGACCGTTTGCAAGGCCATTGGCCAATAGGCGGTGTGCACGCGGTGTTTTGCTTCGTACAGAGTGCAGGAAACAAAACAGATCGGGTAATTTACGCATATGATACCACGAGGCTAATCTCCCGCCTGCGCCTTCCCTTTTCCAATCTTGCAGAGCACGCCTTCTCCTCTTTCCCTTTCTCGCTTCCCGCCCGCTTTTTGTCTTTCTTTCTTTCTTTCTCTCTTTTCTTTCTCTCTTCTTCTTCTCTTCTTCTCCTTCTCGTCTGCATGGGCTGACCTCTGCCGTTCTTTTACCAACCCCACGACATTCATTTTCATCGCAGTCTTCAGGCCCAATCGCTCCTTGATCATGGCCTGATCACTGCCAGTCACTCCTTTCTGACAGTCAACTCACAATTCCCTCCTTTTGCAGCTTCCCCAAAACCTAATCGTAATCCCTGCAAACCATCCCCGAGTGCTTTCGGGAGACAGATGTCGACGGATATTTGGGCCTCCAATTGCTGACAACAAAGCCCTAATAACTACTCAGACTACAAGCAAGACGGGTGCTTCACCGTCGCCTCAAGCGCACTGGTTTGCCGTATTTCGTCTGAGATCCCGTCGCCATGCCTCACCGTCACAACCACCATGGGCGGCGACACGGGGGCGTCGAGAAACGCGGGAACATCAGGGACCAGATTCTTGATATAATAGGAGATATCGCACCCAATAAACGGGAGACCGTGTCGGTAATCTACATCACCGCAGACCCAACCTTTGACGGCCCGATCGGTGGTTATTCGACTGAAGGCAGGCCGGCGAAGACTCAGGATCATGGGGAGGTCGGGACTCCGCTGGAGCACACACGCACTGTCAGCCGCACTACAGTCAGGCCAACCCCCACAAGGAAGCCCACGCCCAAGTCGACGCCTACGACGACCGAGAACACGACCGACACCCCAAGCTCAAGGCCCAAAACAACCCCCTCGACTCTTACCACGTCGACTCCAAGCTCACCAGATGTGGTCCCGACATCCACGCTTGACAACGATGCTTTTGGGATGTCCTCCGCCACGTCCACGCCTTCGTCCACCGCCGCCCCAGCTTCGGGTGGCTTATCGTCTGGTGGAAAAGCCGGTCTCGCGATAGGGATCATTGCGCTACTTGGACTACTGGCTGGTGCAGCGCTATTGTTTGTTCGCAAGAAAAAAAAGAAGAATGAGGAGATGGAAACGATCAATACTGAGAAGCCAATGCCTCCACTCCCAAGTCCACTGATCGTTGCGCCTTCTCCGCCACCGCAGCGCCAGATGACCCCCTCGGCCCCTCCCCAGTTGAATATTCGTCCCATCACCCAGTTTTCTCCAGATCTTACTTCACCTTCGCAAAGTAGCTCGACAATGGTGAACGTTGCTGGTGTTGTCGCGGCGCGCAATCTCACTGGACAGCATAACGATTCCCAGAGCACATTTTCACCCCCCAAGACAGCGGACAGCACGTCCAATCCTTTCAATGATCCGGTAAATCCGTTCGAGCCCCGATCCGGCGCTTCGTCTCCTACGTCTGCCTTGGGTTCTGGACCACCGCAACCTTTGAATGGGCATCCGTCCTCCCCAGAAACCTCTAGTGTGCGAGCACCTACGCCAGACGGCATGAGCACTGGAGCCGCCGTTGCTGTCGGCGCTGCGACTGCTATCACTGCTGGTGCCGCTGCCAATAGCCACAGTGGCAAGCCGCCAACCCTTCAACACGTCCCCGGCCCCCCCGCGGGATGGATGAAAGACATGCCTCCCCCAAGTCCCGCTATGAGCATTGATTCCGTTTCTGTCACCTCTACCACAGCTGCAGCAGTCGCCACAGGTGGCCCTGCTCCAAACAACGTTCACCGTGTGCAACTTGATTTCTCCCCTTCCATGGACGATGAACTCGAACTGCGAGCTGGACAACTCGTTCGCCTGCTTCACGAATATGATGATGGATGGGTAAGTACTCGATATCTCCAACACCAAGTAGGAAACAAAAATGCTAATTTTGTAGGCTCTCTGTATTCGCCTCGACCGCTCTCAGCAAGGTGTTGCCCCGAGAACATGTCTCTCCGCTAGGCCGGTTAAACCACGTCCTCGTAATGGTCCACCTGTTCCAGGCCCTCGTGGTCCTCCACCAATGGGCGGCTCACATGGTCGTCCAATGACTCCGGCTAGTGGGCGTAATTCTCCTGCTCCTGGGCCTCCTCCGAGCGGTCCCCCTCCACCAGGTCCACCTCGATTTGCACCCCAGCAGGGTAGTCGACCTGCCTCTCCTAGCTCGGGATATCGCCCATATCATGCTCCAAACCAGCCGATGGCACCTGTTCGGTTCCCAGATGTTCCACGCTCGTTGTCCCCCGGTCCCAGTTCGCGGATTCCCCAGCAGCGATCGATGAGCCCCGGCCCGTATGGGGCTGGCGGGATGGAAAAGTCGAATATGCCGGAAGCTCAGCGAAAACGAAGCAATAGTGCCGCTGGTGCAGTGGGGCGTATCCATGCACCGAATCCAGGACCAAGCGCTCTCAGTGCCTCCGTGCAGAACGCCAATTCGGGCGATAAACCAACAGAGAACCCCGCCGACAATCCAGCAGACAAGTTGACAGAAAAGCCAGCAGAGATTCCAGCAGAGAAGCCAACAGAGAAGCCATTAGACAAACCTGCGGAGAACCCAGAACCACAGGCAGCGGAACAAACGCCTCCAGAATCAACGCCTCAGCCCCCAGCGGAGCAAGGAGTGCGGAGGCCTCCTCCCTCATTGGGCCCTGTGGAAAGAAAACCTGTGCCTGGACAAGCACAGTAATTTGAACATACCTTTCAGTGCACATATTGGCAACCATCCCGGTCGTCCGGGCGGAATATATCACCGTAAATATTGGACGATTGTATTTAGCAATATGTTCTTGCTCCCTGGACGGGACGAGCTTCAGACGATGAGCTACGATGTGACTGGCGATACCCAAGCGAATCTATTTTCCCTTTTTTACGGCATTTTCATTTTCCTTTTCTACCCTTTTTTTTTTTTTTTTTTTTTTTTTTTTTTGTTGGTTTTTCTCTGCTTTCCTTCCTCTTTTCCCCCAAGAGTCTATGACCGCGGCATAATTCTTGGATATTGGCTCGTCGGCTAGCCCTCCGCACCGGCACAATTCCTTGGAAGTAACAGGTCCTCGACTCTCCCAACACAATCAATTTGCACTCCAAAGTTGCGTCCGTTGTTGATGTTTTCGTCTTCTTGGTTTACGTGAAAACACGCGCCATTACAACAAGACGTGGCATATTCCTGGCTGTTTACTCCGATGTAAATCGGCCATGTGATAAAAGCCCCTTTCATTTCTTCACTATCCTCATTTCGACATGAGAAACAGTGGAAAGCTGGGTTTCACATTGTTAGCTCTTCGATCAGTGTATCATCTGTCTTTTGTTACCCCATAACAATTTCTCGAGTGAAGCCAGCTGTCAAAGCAAATCCAGGTTTCGAATTTGTAAATTTATCTTTCCATTGGCTTTTGTGGCCCTTTCACAATCGCCACACTCCCACCTTTTCTGACCTCTTTGGATATTTGCGGCTGCTGCATATAATTTGAGATGGAGATAATCAAAACACCAATGTGTAGAAAAGGTGTGGAAATTTTGGGGATCCAAGAGCGTTTATTTTCCTTTTTGTATTGACATTTACATTATAAGTGCATGTATCTAAATGAATGAATCGGATAGTCAAGAGAAGTTGGATATTTACCAGCTGCTTGTCATCTTGGATTCTTATGCATCGAAGAAGCTTGTCATCATTCATTGTGGGCATGGCTATATCGGGGTCTATTTTCTAGGTCGTGTCGAAAGGGCGTAAAGGAAACAATATTCAAAAATATTCAAAATCATAGTTTTAAGGCAATAGCGAGTGGTTTCCCCGGATCCGGGTCAAAGATGTGGCACTCCAGCACTTGCAAGAGCTAGGTTGACGATGCTCACCACTCCCTCCCCAAGGATCAGCCCTGAGGCTAATATAACAATGGTCGAATGCGTGCCGTTTGCTCCTTGGTTATCGCCTTGCTCGTCCTGCGAACGACTAAGGCTGCCGTCACCTCCACCATCATCCTCACCGTGCAACGCGCTGGCAGCGATAGCTCGTTGCCCCTTTTGCCTCTTCTTCTGGCGCCAGCGCCACCAAAGGTCGATGAGCCCCCCGATGGCTCTTGCAAGCGTAAATGACGGGACATTATACATACCCACAGCGACAGCGATGCCGCCCGGGATCCACGCCCTCCAAGACGGAGCAGACCCACCTTTCCTCAGTCCTGCCGCGCCAAAGATTCTCACGATAGTGGTGACGGTAAAGATGACCGCCGCAATACCAGAAACCTGCCATGCCATATCGGGAAGACCCTGGCCCGTGACAAGTCGTGCGGTGAATATCCACACGTATGCGGTGGGGATCTGGAACATGTCGCCTGGGACTTCGTATACGTTTATATATAATCGGTACACGGCGACCGAGATCACGGCGCCGAAGAGGCTGCCGATCAGCTGGCCGTAGAACTGCGCTTTGGGACTCGCGTGCAGAATATGGCCTGTTTTCAGGTCTTGCATCATGTCTCCTGCCTGAAGGGCGCCAGATTCGGAAACAGCGCCGGCAAGGAGGTTAGTGACGATCGCTGAGCGACGAGTGTGGCTCGACGAAGGTGTGGCGAGCGCGAAGATGAGTTGGGTGACTTTGCTGATTCCGGAGACCGGGTTGAGGTCTGTCTCACCTAACGCACGGACACCCATGACTGAGAGGACAAGAGCGAGGAGGGTGGCAAGACTGGATAGGAAGGGTGTGATGATGCTTCCGAATGCAATGTGCATACACACAACGTTGAGGATCAAGGTTAATGGGAGGAGGATAGCAACGGTTCGCATTGAGACGAGTTCCGAAGGAGGAGCATCCTTTTCATCATAATCTTTCTTGGAAATGTCGGGGGCAGGATCTTGCTCTTCTGTGTCATGCCCATGACCAATGGGGATATAACCCTCCCTTGAGTTTGAAGATTTGCTGAAAAGGCGCTGCCAGAACCCCCTCTGACCAGTCCGGCGCCGGAGTACACGGAACACATCGGGCGCATAATGGACCACAGGTCTCAAGATTAACCAACCCAGGTTCATGACCGAATCAGCAAGCATAATCGCCAATGATACCCAAACAATCCAGCCTTTGCTACCATTCTCCCAGTTATCCACAGGTCCTGGCGCCCATCCCCTACTTTTTGCCAAGGGGGACAGGATTCCCCATCCAACAATGGCCCCAACCAGCATATGCAGCGAGGTAGCGGAACCCATAATGATACCTTGCCCAACGTATGCTGGTGATGGATTCAAGGTCCAGAGCCATTTGCTTGCGAGTGTAAACCCGAACACTGGCAGGTTCCGAAATATTGGGACGAAATACGAAAGAAGTGTCTATTTGGCAAGTCAATACCAATGGCTTCCTCAGGAGGAAAAAAAAAAAAAAAGGAATCATCAGCTGTGGCCAGCTGAATATAGGTGCATCCTTACATAAAATGCAGATACCCCAAAGGCCAAAATCAGTAATCTTATCTTTCCTTTCCAATCTTGCCGAAGATCACGGCTACTTGGTGGCCTTGATGTCTCAGAAGGGTTAGGTTCACTGGCAAGCAACCTTTCCGTTTCCTGATATTCTGCGTTAGGGCTACCCCTAGTAGTCTTTGGCTTCTCAGCTGCTTGTCCACTACCATGCAGCACTCGAATCATCAGCGCCGTGGCCGTCCCGCTCGGAAACTTCAGCTTCTCCCTCACTATAACCTCTTTCCTCAACGGCACCGCAAAAACCACACCGAAAAGACACACGCCCAAACTCCAGACGACCAATTTCCAGAACCCCAACCTGAGCGGTCCGCCTTCACCTTGTCCATCATCCCCACCTCTCTCTCCATCCGGACCATCTCGAAGTAAAAACTCGAGCGCGGGAATCACGCCGACAAAGCCACAGCCGAGCGGCATAGTGCCCACGGCGCCCGCAACGGTCTGAATGAGCACGTTCTCGATGGGACTAAACGGGAATGAAAGGTATGGGGCGATAGCCTTAAAGACCGCGAAGCCGATAAGGGACGAAGGCATGGCCATGCTGCTTATCCAGCCAGTCTGGAGACCGAAATAAGTATTCGAGAAAGTGATGAGGGTTCCGATACCGAGGCCGACGAGGAGGGAGCGCGGCGTGAAGCTTTGCGCCGACGTTTTACGAGAGGAGGACAGGCCGGGCGTATCACTGTCGTGGCCATCATGATCATGGGTTTCTTGACCGGCTAGATAAGCGCTCCTTGAGGGTCCTGGTGCCGGGTGAGAGAAGCCCGCTGTGCTGGCAGCATGCTGCACATCGGGGCTCTGATCCGATAATGCTTGATTTGAAGCCATCGTCCGTCGTTGTTTTTTTCGGGGGGAGGGATGACTTGGCCTCCCCTCTCAGCGCATCGGACCGAAATGACTTGACCAGGTTATGAGGAAGAGTACCATCGTCCACCCGCCGATACGCACGCCAACGGAGCTGAAAGACGCCATTTCCGGCTGCTTTCGCAATCGGCGAATTGATCAATGACTAATCGACGCATCAAGCAGGGCTGGATCGGAAGGCGCGTTCAACCGGCCAAATCACATGACACTTTCTGACGTCATCGGCGGCTTTTTTGACTAACCAAATCTGGCACTCCGATCCGGCTTACCTAATTTTACCATTTTCCTTTTATTTTCTTAGAACTGATCTGTCCAAAAAGCGGCGGCTTCTCAATTGATTGAACTCTGGCCATGAATCGGCGAATCGCCAAGTTGCAAACAGATACCAAGGGCGAGAACGTGGAGCAGTGAGGGGTGGACCCCCCTATACATACATGTATGCCACCAGGCCGAGGCAGGGCGCTAAACCGGAACAGGAATTTGATTAAGGGACCCAGGACTACGGGAGTGCAGAGGGAGATTTGATAGGAAGTGATATAGTTACAAGGTCAATTCGCAAGCGGATAACCGTAAAACTCCATCCGTCTAAACACCGACGACATGATGCAGCCATCCAAAAATAACAAAAGAAAGCGCCAGAAGCGATCCCACCTAAAATCCAAAACTATCAAGCAAAGAACTCGCGTCTGGTTCTTCGAACGTGGTAGGCCGAGGGCGTGCGCCATGATTACCGGCAGGCGCCTGCTGATCAGCAGCGTTCACCACCGCCTTTCTCATCTCATCCGACACGCTCAGAGGCAACGGCATGTCCGCGACCACCAAACTGCTTCGTCGCCGAAGCAGCTTACTAGGATCAGGAATGTTCTCCGCCAGGCCCATCGATAAGCGTGATGGAAGCTTTTCGACTGGAGGTGGTGTCAAAAACTCCCAGTCGCGGACAAGGTTCAAGGCCAGTATATCGCAACCCATTCTGTCATATAGACGAGCGTTGCGGAGGACAAATTCCCATTCGTCTCGAGCTGCGACCCTGGAAGCTCCCTTAAGGGTTTGGAGGGTCTTTTCACGGAGCTGTTTGTAGAGGACGACGAGAGCCGGGTCGTTGGATAAATAGGACTTTGCGTGTAATGTGACTCCGGTGGAGCTACCAGGAGAGGCAGGCGTGGGAGGTAGAAGTGCTTCAACAGGTGACTAGACAAACGTTAGTTGCTGGCGACATTCTAAAGTATCTTGGGGTGATACGGCTCTAAACTTACAATTAACGCCTGTACCGCCATGTCTCGTCTATTTAGCATCCAGAAGGCCCATGTTGCCATCCATCGATTGCCTTGGGTTGCAGCGTCCACGAGGACTTTCTCTTCAAGAATCTCCTTAAGCACTGGGCCAGAATCGCCTTCATATGCACGCGCAATAGTAATTGCAAGTTGGAGATCCTTAAGCTGATTTATGCACACGTATACAGTATCTCGTAGATGATCTGCAAGTAGGAAAAAAGCGGCTGCGTACTCTGCATAACAATCAGCAACGCAATATCCACAATACTAAGCACGAGGTACAAACCGAATCTTCGCTTTCCGAGTAGCGCATAAGCATTCTTTAAAGCCGCCGACTGCCAGCGCGGGTCTTTGAAGTTATTTGACAGCAGCTTATATGTAGCCGACTGCTCGCTGTGCCAGCTTGCCATGCGCCAGAGTCCTTGCAGAACATTTTTCTTTCTCAGCGCCAGATAAAACAGACTGCAGTCAATGGGATTCTTCTCGTCTGTCTTTCTGTATTCATTACGTGCAATGACCTCGAGTTGCGCTCGCTTGATAAAATTAGTAAACCCGATTCAAACTCTAGGGCACTCCGCCAAAACTTGCATACGTACCAATGCATTGATGTCAGTGATCCACATGAAAAGACCGCTTTCTCTGGCATTTTCCCAGAGCATCCTCCCATGGAACTGCCTAGACACCAAATCGCTAAGGATTTCATGGCTATCACTATGAAATGCCCAGACGATTTCTCGCCAGGAAATAGTCGAAAGCTCTGGCAGGTGCTGGCTTCTTCGGAGCATATGCTGTCGGAAGAAGACAAAATATCGTGCTGCATTATCGTCCATTGAACGACGGTGTTTCTCAACAGTGGCCACGCATTCCACAATATTTACCAGACGGAACTGCTCCGTACTTGAGAGCTGGGGAAGGGCAATTCGTGCCAGGTATTCATTCATTGAAGTGGCAGCCGTTTCGTCCAATACATGAGAGTCGTCTTCAAACGAGTAGTCCGTACTAGAAGAGCGCATCTCCTTCCAGGTTATCTGGTACAAGGTCTATGTCAAATGTCAGCTCGAAATAAGAAAAGGAAAAAGTAAAGTATGCCGGGGAACGAGCTAGAGTGTCCATACATCTGAATCCTTGTAAATGCGATCAAGTGGTATATCCAAAAAGTTGTCAATATCATCTCCTTCGGTAAAAAATTTCAACTTTCGATGAAGACTGGTGAGTATTAAATGTACCAGGGTAGCCTTCCCGCAAAGAATGCACTGGGCGAGGAACTGCGGGTGGAATACAGGCAGTGGGCCATTCAGCCTGCTGACGACATGGAACAAATCGACGTAGGCAGATTTATGAGACCGAATTCGAAGCCCAGTGACCATTGAATGACTTGCTTCGATGAACTTGTCAAATACAAATAATTGATTTCCGGCCCCAACGACAAGATTTCCATTGCCCAACCAACAAGAATCTCCGATCGGATGTGGTGTAAGATCTTGGATTCGGATCTCTCTAATCTGGGCCCAAGAAGGACCTGCATCAAGATAATCATACCGCAATTGCGAAAGAAGTACCACTTTTCGCGGGAACCCGACAGCAAGTATAAACTGCACATCTGGAGTAGATGTCCAGTCTAGGTCTCGGATAATATCTTGCTGCGAAAAGTGCTCTTCGAATTCCAACTGTGCACCGTTTGTATCCCAGATACTTAAATGTGTCCGATCTTGGTCGACAAGTACAGCCTTACGCATTGACGTCGCACTTGCGAGTGAAGGATTGACGATCCCTGTTTCAACAGTGGATGTTAATAGCCAGTCAATTTTCTGATTTTGTTTGTCGACTTTGGCCGTCCACGTCCTGACTGTTCCGCCGTGAGTGTATGAAAGAGCGATATCGGTAGCAAAGAGATCTAGAAACCCAGATATTTTCACTCGACTACCTGCAGGGTCAACGGGAATGATGTACGAAACATCTTCTTTCACTCCGAGATTGAAGGTGCAGAATTGTCGTAAGTATCTGCGGTTTCCATTGACTCCATCGGTCCCATTAACATAACCGTCATCGGGAGGAAGATCGATTTCCCAGGCAATTCCGGCCATATCAACCCCGATTGCCGCTATATACACCGTCGAGGATTTGGCATCTGTTGTGGGTATCAGCAGAACGCATAACGGCTTGCTACTTAGTTGAAAATCGCATTTCTCAAGCATTGTTCCATGGAATGGACGGACATCCCAGAACGAGACGGCATTATGATGTAGATTCACGAGAAATTTTCCATCATCTAATAGCAGAGTTCGGTGGATGTGCAGATCAGACAGAAGAGAACTCTGCTGGACGAGAACGGGACCAGCGCTGGCAGATCGTTGGCGCCAAATCGTTGCCTTATTATCATCCGTACGAGATATTAACATCTTTCCAACCGGTGTGCGGACAATTTTCTTTATCGCGCCTCCATGACCCGACCAGATAGCTCTTGAAATCAATCTCCGCTTTCTTGGAGTTGGGTCAAAGAGGATATGGATTTTGGAATCCAACCACTCGATCCGCCCATCGAAATAATGAGCAAGAATTGTAAAGGAGTCGTCAAATACCCCGCCGGAAAACGGATAGAATTGAGCATAGTCTTCATGAGGAAGAGCTTCTGAGGGGAGAGACAAATGCAAGCCTTCTACATGAGCAATATTGAAAATGTTCGCGGACGATCGGACCTTAGAGCCAACATTCTCAAGCCCCCAGGCGCACATATGACCTTTACCGTCCAATACAACACAAATCTCGGGGTTCTTTGATGCAACTTCGAGGAGGTGTTCGAGGGCTTGATGATTCTTATCGTGCAGGTTTTCACACTGCACGACACGCTCCATAGCTAAAGCAAAGTTCCGGCTATCGATAATGAATCCATATCGCCTCGTAGCCTGTTCTGTCTGGACGAGATGCCTCGGCTGAATCGACGCGGCCATGTCAATTTCATTCCAGAGTTGAAGGACCGAAGGACCGTGGCGTTCCATGGGAGCCCATATTCGTATTTTATTGTCCGCACAGATTGTGTAGAGTACATTTTCCATAGACTGTTCTCGGTGATGCGGTCGCCTCCAATGCATTCCGGTCACGGTCGTAGGATGGTGAAGGTAAGATACGTCAAAGCGAACATCGTCAGCTGCGAAGGAGAGCCGTCTCCATATCTTCACTAGTCTATCGTACCAGCCAGTGGATGCTATTAGCGCTGCATCATGGGAGAATAGTGATAATTTGACTGGGCTTCCAAGCTCGGTTGTCCAAATGGTGCGCGGCGAATGCGTAAGTAGCCATAACTTGAGTCGGCCGCTGCCCACAAGGAGCTCATCGGAGGAACCCCACGACAGGGTTTTCACAGGGTCTTCGTCGTGGTCAGAGGCTCGAAAGCTGCACGCTAAGCTCCACTGTATAATTTATTAGACATTGCTTTCCATGGGATTCCAAGGAAAAGACGCTTCCGAACCTTTGGCCTATCTGCTCCAACTCTATATGGCTCGTATATGAATACATCTTGCCAACTGCACACTGCAATCTTCCCGGAAGATTCTTCAACTACCACTGCCTCAAGGGAATCGGCATCATCCAAGTAGATTGTCTGTAGGATCCGGTGAGGGCCTTCGAGGATCACGAGCGCGCAGCCCGAAACATAAGCCTAGGCGGAAGCGCAAAATCAGTAAAAAGGCATCAATACAAAGGGGAGCTAGCTCCAAGGGCATGAGCTTGACTAGCTTACAACAATGCGACTGCCATCCCACAGCGCGGTGCTGAGAGCTTGGAGCTTCGCTGGAGGTCGCCCCGGTAGTACAGTCCGCATAGGCACGCTTCCGAGACGCCAGGATGGAATGCCGGCGTCAGATCATTGCCGTACCCGGATCAATTAGTGTGGATTTATAGATTGGGACGCTGGGATGTAACTCTAAGCTTCGAGAATGTAGGAGTGTCGTGGTTGTTGCAATCGCATCGCAGTGCCTTGTATGCAGACGCTCACAAACTATTATTGAAACGTTGCGGGTTTCTTGCCGATGACGTCCATGGGCCCGAGAGGCGGCGACGCGTGACAAAGAAATGGTACTGCTCCACACGCCAACACGCCGCCTAGTACAATGAATATCGCACTGGCGATGCATTCTACCTAATTGATTGACGCAAGGTTTGGCACTTGGCTTGAGCCCTTGTGACCTTTCACGTCGGTATCTCGCTGTTCCGTCTCCTAAATCTCTATGAATACATCGATTTTTCATTAACGCCTGTCTCGGGATCCAACCAGATATCGAGATAAATCCCAGTACTATCGCAATAAATATGCTACTCCCAAACACCAGACGTACAAATCTCATCAGTTCATCCAGCCCAAGAAAGGGATCCAATGAAAGAGAAATAACCCCATGGTCAGTCATTCGAACCCAATCCGCCAACAACCTAAAATACCAAATCAGGATAATAAAACGCTCAACGAAGAATACAGCAGGAGAAGTAATAATCACAAGAAAGAAAATCATTTTTGATGATCAGCTCGGTTTGCGGCTGTTCGTTGATCTGCCTTCAGTGGGAGACTCTGGCTCTGACTCTTCATCGATTGCAAAACGCACGCTCGTTGCCAGTGGGCTCCGTGCGTAGAGAATCTTCCGTCCAGGAAGCGAACGTGGAGCTTCCCTTGCTGCCATCAATCTGACAGCGAACGGAGTTATCGCAGGTGTCGCCGGCGTAGTTGATATCTCATACAAAGACCGTGCTCGCGCGGCTCGTTTCGATGGGCTAGCCAGGTACCCTGGTGTCGCCGGTGTGTGTGATGTGAGATCAGCGTCTGGACCCAGATCACTTATTCGAAGCGTTGACTCAGGGTTGTGCCAATCATCCGCTCCATCATAGAATTGAGAGCCGTAATGGGGGGCGGGAGTGGTGACATGTCGTGTGGCATTTTGCCTGATTGTACCCGGACCCCTTGCTCTCTGACTCCAATGGTACAACATATTCCGAAGGTGTTTTCGCAGAATGCGATCGTTTGCTGCGTCAGCCTTTTCATAATCTGTCCTGATCTGGAATACTCGCAGGCTAAGCTTTTTGAGATGCGCAAGCGCTACGGACGAGACATGTATCTCCAAAAATCGAGCGGCCTTTTCTTCTTGAGCCTGGTATGATCGACAAGATCCAACCCAGTGACTTAAGTGGTTGTATGTCAGCTGGCGATTATAGAACACATCTGCGTCGGATATCTGTTTTAGGCGGCTCATTGTCTCTGAATGCCATCGATCGAAATGATCAGCTGCCTTCTTGGAGAGCTTTTGTTGGTAGACCTCCGTTGCTCGCGAGTCCAAATCCGCAGCAGCACTAAGACGTGATCGCCAAGTAGCGAGCGCCTCTGAGACCAAATTAATTTTCACCCTTCGTCTGATTGCTGCGTAGGCGTCTTGTTTCCTCTTCTTAGACGCCTGCTGTGCAATTGCCCGCCATCGCTTGAGGGATGTTGTCGTCAAAAAGAAATAGCGGGCGTTCTTGGCCCAAGTTTCCAATTTGACAAGATGATCCCGACGGCTATTCCAGTGGATTAAGGCCTCATGCTCCACACGAGGCGCATAAAAAGCCAAAGCAATACGCTCTCGCTGTCTTTGTAGGGCAAGTTTCTCCCGCCAATGGTGAAATATGGTCTGGGAAAGATCCCTCTTTCGATGATCGCGCAATTCGCCTTCTCGTCGTAAAAGTTCCGTATACAAAACACTAGAATTATCCATTAATTTCGTTAACATCGTACTTTTCAGTCGCCGCTCCCTAACCCGAGACATAAACCGAAGTCGTTCCATCAGAACCCATTTATAAAGCGCTTGGATCATTATACGCGCATCAATACGCATGGATAGGGCGCGACAGCGCAATTTATCGTTCCAGATCGTCCAAGCATTGTACATGACTCTTTGGCGGTCCGAATCTCGTGCGAGCCGCTCCATATAGGCTTTGTAGGTCCATATATCAAATGAAAAACGCACAATTCTCGTATTTATCATCTTGGTCACCCGAGCGGTGGCTGCTCCAAGGTTGTGCTGGATACGCCATTCGATGAAACTGTCTCTCACGAGACGATCCAGACGCCAATTGTCCGCACTTTGCTGAGCTGCGGCAACGGAACGAGCCTTCAATGACCATATTTGTAAAGCTGAATGAAGCAGCTCGTGCTTACGTTTGAAGTCTATCTCGTTGTCGCGTTCTCTATGGGTTCTGAACGCCCGAAGCCAAGATATTAGTGATCGCTTTTTTAAACGCTGCTCGGCCCGTTGTGGTGCCCGCCGGTAACAAAACGACCAAAACCAGCGCCAATACGTCCGCTTAATCAAACTTGCATGATAAAATTGATCGGCAATAGCTTCGTTCTTTTGGATTTGCTCAAGCCTTGAGCTCCAGGAGACAAACGGCCTTTTCACAGTCAGGCGCTGAATCTTAAGCTCATTCACCGCAGTCACTTCCTTCCAGGCATTGAAGTATTTAATACCAAGGATATGTCGACGCGCAGCGTTAGTTTTCTCGATCTCATCGGAAGTAACCTTTGCCCAATGAGTAAATGCTTTGGTCAATAAGTATAGATCTCGGGCCCGCACAGCACGCGCTTCCAGGTGTTTAAAAAAGCGCTCTGTGTTAGCTTCTCGACGTTTCTGCTCTAAACCCGACCGCCATTCATCGAAGGCTTGACGAAGGAGGGTTCCCCGATCTCGATTTACAGCAACCTGAAGCATTGCTTCAACAAACTGCTGTCTTTGCCTTGTTTGCTCTAGCCATTGTATGAGCAGATGTCGCGCGATTTTTCTTTCACGGTACCAATTGAACACAGATGCATCCTGAAGCAAACTGGTGAGCGAAGGATGATAAAACAACTCCGAAGGTAGTGGAGCTTTTGGGATATGATGGTCGGAGATATCGGACTCAACCGCAAACTCCTCGTCATAATCCGGCACTCGTTGCTGATGATATGCAAGTTGTTCGTACTCAGTAAAGCGATGTCCGGCATCCCCTGGCAGATATTGTTCAGGATGCGCGTTGTGAGATCCGTTGACCCTGGGTAGTTCGGAATTTGGATAAAATGAATTTATGTCTTCAGCTCCACTTAGCGATACCCTTCTTCTGCGTGGCTGTGCAGCAACCCCGCCAGTTTCTAGATTCAACCTCGACACCGATGAACGAGATGGTGGTCTAGGGATGCTGTGGTGAGTTGTTTCCGTCGGGGCATCGTACATCGAATTGAAAGAGGCTCTCCTCTGCCTTCTCTTGTGGACACTTGTGCCATTTGGCAGCTGCTGTGGTTCGTACGGTTCAAAATCGGCCTCCATCTTGCTCTCAGGCTCGATGTATGATAGTCCGTTTCCATGAATCGTCGGATCAGTAGAAATTTGGATCCCCATGTGAAGTAGAAGCGATTCGAATCGTGTGTACAGGCTCTCGCCGCGCAAGTGTTTGCCCAGCAGGAAGAGGAACCGGAGGCATATCTGATCGAGCTCCGGTTCAATCCCATTTTCCGATAGTACCGCATGGTATTCGCGGAAGAGGGCTCGAAACGTATGTCTGTCCACGCCGGGGTGCCGCTCGGCTCGCGTGACAATTTGATAGAGGAGATGGACATCTACAATATAGCTATCAATATCGGCGCGATTTAAACAAGATAGATTTCGCAAACAGGCTGACCTTGGTCGCTGAGAGCCACTTGCTCAGCTGGTGTAATTTGGTGGTTTACGGGAAGTGGAGGCATCGAAATCTCCGCGACATGAGGCGCGTTGTCTGCAGATTGCGACAGGAAGTCATTGCGAGAGGGAAAAGGATAGAGGAGGACGGAGATAATGAAGGGAGACCGTCATTCCCTGACGAGGGTCAAAGATAATAATCCACTAACATGAAATAATTTCTCTTTTCTACAATGCCTTCGTGGATAGATAGCCTGCCCGGCGCTCGGTTCTCTGGGAAGTTTTTCGTTACAATGTTTTGGTGTTGCGTTGCAGTCTCCCCAGCACCAACCAACCGGCTGGACAGCAATCGTCTGATTATATAATCAATTGGGTATCGCGGCGTCGCGATCGCAAGTAGCAGAGCGAAGAGCCATACCTAGTTGCAGAAGCCAAAGTTGAGAAATCCCCGAGCGGAGTGACCCGGCAGCATGCCTCCAAGAACGAGGCCGATTGAAAAGTTCGCCCAGGCCGCAGCGCAGTGCTCAACTGAGGTACGCGACTCCCCAGATCTCTCCCTTGTCTCTGAGGTCCAGCGAATTAATTTTGACCCGAAGGCCACTGTGTATGGGAAATGCGTTCTCGCCGACTATAGCTCGATCACAAAAGATATGTGCAAGAAAGAGTTTATAAAGCTAAAGGACTGTTACTTGGTAGCGATAACCTCCCGTGGCTCGACTGGAGAAACCACTAACATCCTTGACACAGGCTGCGATGAAAAAGCTAAAGTAAAAAAAATGCTCCGTTGGCTGAAAGTATATCGGATTGTTGGGTCTTTGGTATTTTCTAGAGATGAGAATAGGCACAATGGTGGCTAGGTGGTTTAACGGCGAAATATGGGAGAGACATTTCATTCATATCTAAAACATAACCATAAGACATAGGTTCTCTACAGATTCAATAGTCTAAGCAAAAACGTTGCTTTTTGGACTTCCTGCACTTCTTCCAGGATGATTCCCTCCTCTGGAGCATCAGGGACTTGGCCTTCGACTTCGGTCACGACATGCTTGTCCACTGGTCTTCGGAGTGCCTTCTCGATGTTGCTTGCCTGCGTCTCGAAGACTTCATTAATTCCAATGTTTTCGGGGTCGGAAAGAACGCGATATTCCATTTTAACATCGTCTGTGGGCACGAGCCCGGCCTTCTTTCGCAGTCTCTGGATGCGGTTAACGATCTCTCTGGTGAGACCCTCATGAGCAAGTTCAGGGTATAAAGCCGCATCTAAGATGATGAGAACATCATCGTCTGTGTTGGTCTCGAAGTTTGCGGAGGTACCATCCTCCTCTAAGCCTCGTTTAACTACTAAATCCCCTTGAACGAGCTCGATTCCATCCACTAGCATCTTTCCGTTAAGGACGAAATTCTTTACATCGTCGCTTGAAAGGGATGGCAGTGCCTTCTTTACTTTTTGTACATCTTTCTTCAGCTTTTTCCCAAGGACCGGCCAATCAGCCGAGGCACTGTACTGAACATTGTATTTCGCTTCATCGGACGATAGGACAAGGTCGCGGACATTAAGCTCTTCGACAATGTACTGCTCAAGAGAGCGAACATCGTCGAGGTATTGTTGATCCTGATGAACAACTACAAGAGTTTTCAAAGGTGTCTTCAGCCCAATCGATCGACGTTCGCGGGAAACGCGAGCAAGTTCAATCACCCGTTGCATGCGAGACACCTGCCTCTCTACAACTTCGTCAAAAAGCTCCTCTCTAACTTCTGGGAAGGGCAGGAAGTGAACAGAGCGGTTATCGACTCCTTGAAGCGACTTGGGGATATGAGGGAGCAGGCGAAGGTAGATAGTGTCAGTGATGAATGGAGTGAAGGGTGCGAGGCCGCGGACCAAAGTGTACAAAACCTCAAACAGAGTGTTCAGCGCATGTTTGGTATCTTCTAGTCCAAGTTCCCCCTTTAGTCGTTTCCGGTTAAACCTAATATACCAATTCGTCGTGTTGTCAATCAGTTCTAGGAGTCGCGGGACAACAGTGTAAAGACGATAGCCGGCCATCTCCTCGTTGACAAACTTGAGAAGACTCTGGCAGCTTGCTAGAATCCACCGGTCCATAACGTTGGTATTGGTTGCTTCCATAGTCGGGTCGAAGACGTAATCGAGATTTTCGACCTTTTTTAGGAGGACAACTTGGCCGTCAAAGAACTTGTAACTGTTCCAGAGTGGAAGGAGAACCTTGGCGACTACTTCTTTAACGCCTGATTCTTTGAATCTCAAAGGCTCAGCGCGAACAACCGGAGAATTGATGAGATACAGTCGAAGAGCGTCAGACCCATAGCGTTCCATGATCAAGGTAGGATCGGGATAATTTTTCAATCTCTTGGACATTTTCTTCCCATCCTCTGCAAGTACAATCCCGTTGACAACACAGTTCTTGAATGGAAGCTTTCCAAAAAGATGCATACCCAAGACAGTGAGGGTATAGAACCAACCACGTGTTTGATCGAGACCCTCAGCAATGAAGTCACCCGGGAAAGAGTTCTGAAACTCCTCTTTATTCTCGAAAGGATAGTGCTTCGATGCATAAGGCATGCTGCCAGACTCAAACCAGCAGTCGAAAATTTCTTCAACGCGGCGCAGGACACCTTTTCCTTTTCGGCTTGGGATAGTAATGTGATCGATGTTGTCACGGTGAAGATCCGTCAATTCGCCAGTGTAACCGCTGAGCTCCTTTAATTCTTCCACACTACCAACAGCCACAATTTCCTCGTAATCTTCACTGACCCAGAGGGGGATCGGTGTTCCCCAATACCGGTTTCTTGAAATATTCCAATCTCTGGCATTAGCGATCCAGCTAGCAAAGCGTCTATCTTTCACAAAAGATGGTACCCAGTACGATCCTTCTATGCCTTTGAGCATATCTGGGATGATGGGTTCAATTTTAACGAACCACGCTGGAACGGCTTTATAGATCAACGGGGTATCGGATCGCCAGCAAAATGGATAGCTGTGAGTAATCTGGCTCTCCACCACCAGGCGACCAGCCTCCTTCAAGTGTTTAATGATTCCCTTGTCCGCTGCCTTGACATGCAGTCCCGCGAAATCCGGAACTTCCGATGTAAAACATCCGCGGTTGTCGACTGGATTTGGTGGTAGCCTGTGGTCATTGATAATCCCTGCTTTCAAGGCAACATTGTAGTCGTCCTCACCAAAGGCAGGTGCTTGATGGACGACACCAACACCACTATCGGCTGTGACGTATGTCGCCATTAACACGCGGAATGCAACGTCCTTAAACTCCTCGTAGAAATAGTTAAACGGCGGCGTATACTTCCATCCCTCCATTGTGGAGCCCTTGAACCTATCGATAATCTTAAACTTCGCCTTCTTGGGGTTTTTATAGAGGGTACCCAGAAGTGCCTCCAGCAAGATGTAGTCCTTTCCTGACTGTTCATCGTGAATCTTAACATATTCAAAGTCGGGGTGGGCTGCAAGCCCAAGATGCGATGGAAGTGTCCACGGCGTGGTTGTCCAAGCAAGTAAGTTGGTCTGTGGGTCATTGACGAGTGGAAAAGAGACAACGATGGCCGGGTCTTGGACATCTTGATAATTCTGCGAGGCTTCGAAATTACTCAGGGGCGTATTTAAAGCAGTAGAATATGGCATGACTCTATATCCGCGATAAACTACTCCTTTATCATAAAGCTGCTTGAAAACCCACCACAAAGACTCCATGTACGTGGGGTTCATTGTCTTGTGCGCATTAGTCCTGAGTCTTGCGATCGGAAATGCGACTTTGAAAAACTCACCTTATAATCGTTATCAAAATCGATCCAACGACCAAGTCTATCCACAGTCTGTCTCCATTCTGAAGCGAATCTCATAACAATTGCCTTGCATTTAGCGTTATATTCCGCGAGACCGAGCTTCTCAACCGCTTCGGATCCAGACATCCCCAAAGATTTGTCAATCTCATATTCGATCGGTACACCGTGTGTATCCCAGCCAAATCTCCTCTCGACATAGTGACCTTTCATAGACCAATATCTGGGAATGATATCTTTGATCGTAGACGCCAGAAGGTGGCCGTAGTGGGGTAAACCTGTCGCGAAAGGAGGTCCATCGAAGAATGTGTACGGTTTTCTGCCGCGAGACAGCTCAACTTGTCGCTCAAAAGCCCCAATTTCTTTCCAGCGTTTGAGGACTGCCTCCTCTTCTCTCGGGAAATCGATAGACATGGTCGTGAACTCCCTGAAGAACCTCTATCTGGTGTGCTGTGTTCGGAGTCTCAAATCGAGGGGCTGAAAATACCGACCGGTGGGGATGACTCAAAAGTCTTTCGCGACATCGTTTTTCCGAGTTGACCTCCGCGTTTCGGGCACAACCCTCCCTTGTGCGAAATCTCCCCCGTCTGATTGTCCATTAACTACAACAGCATGGCAGTAGTATCTCAGTTTTGTCAACGCGACTTGGAGGATAGTGCTGAGTGAATTTCCGAAAGTAACATGGGCCGGCTCTATCCTGCCTAACCAAACGAACGTGCCCGGAATCGTTGATTGACTACAATACTCGAGGTGAGGCTACAGCGAACTCTTTACGGAGTAGATAAACTGGATTACTGCAAAGCCTGCTCAAAACAGCGGGTATCGTGGATTGAATAAAGTAAGGGTATTTGGTTATTGTAGAGCCTTCCAAACGGAAACACACAATCCTGTCTTATCCCAGCTAAGATTCCCCATCGTTGTCATCGCCTTCATCGTCATCGTCATCGTCTCCGTCGTCCTCGTCGTCTTCCACGTCGGAAACTTCTTGACCCAGGGCTTTAAGGCGTTTCTGAATCAAAGTTAACATTATGAAGCATTATAAAGTACTGATTTGCAACCTTACCTTGTCTTCATTCCTCTTTGCCTCCAAATCTGCAAACACAATTAACAAATCCTCAAGTTCGCTTTGGGCGGTGCTTCGGGCGTTTTCACTCTCATCAAAATCGGCCTTGAACCTTTTCAAGTCATCTCTGGCTTTTTTTAGGTCGGCTTCAAGTTTATTGGCACGTTCGCGATCGTCTTCTTCCCGTTCCTCTGCTCGCTTACAGCGACCTTCCAAGGAGGATAGTTTCGAGGAGTATTCTTCGTGCGCAGTCTGTAGATCCTGGATGTGGTCCTTGTTCGCCTTTTCAAGGTTCGTTTCAAGGGTCCGGATGGTCTCTTTAAGGTCTGCAATCTCTGCATCATTCCGTTCCCGAACTTTTGTTGCTCGTGTCTCATATTCGGCTGATATCTCCTTCAGTCGGGCTTCCATAGCACGTAGCTCCTCGCCATGCCGCTTAATCAACTCCATTTTAGTTCGCTCATGATTTCCTTCAAGCTTATGCAGCTCCTCCGTGTGAGTCTTCTGGATGATATTATATTCATGTCTAACCCGGTTAAGTTCGACATCGTAAGATTCTTTCGTCTTTCGATGGTCAAGATGTTCTTGTTCCAGTTTTCTTTGAAGAGATACGATATCTGTCTCCATTGTTTGGATCGTCTTGGTTTTATCTTCAACTTGGGCTCGGAGAGAATCCACAAGCTCACGGGATATGCCTTTTTGGATACCATTTGCTATTACTGGGACTTCAAATCCAGGCTCACGATCGATTGCTCGAGTGAGGCGGCTGAAATTGTCCTTTAGAAAGTCTATAAAGACTTTATCAAAGAAGATCTTTGGGAAGCCACCATCGTAATGACCTTGCGACGACTGGGGCAATACTTCGAAGTCGCGAACCAACGGGTTCTCCCGAAGCTTGGTAATCTTGTCAATATATACCTCTCTCCCGAGCCGACCCATAAGTAGCTGGTGCAGAGTAGTTCTGGGGATAGGGGAATCTTTGGACGAGAATTCATATATTATTCCAAGCAAAACAGCGCAGAGTCCCGGAAGTAGTGTTTTCGACGAAACGCAGTGCTTGGTCTCTTGAATAAGGCTCTGAATACTACTCCCCTCACCAAGAAAATCATTGACGACATCTGGGTCTTCAAAGAGCCAACCGCAGAGAAGCATCAAATAGCCGACAGATATCCTTTCGTCGTCGGTTCGTTGTATCCCTGTGAGTAGATTGCCTGTTATGGCCTGCACACAGGTAATTACTTCTTCTCCTTTCGACTCGTCGCCTTCTGAGACTTTCATTGCCAGGCTTTTTGTTTCTGGGTCGTCATGTATTAAATGAAAAAGTAAAACAGACGCCAGCCAAATTTGATAGGGATCAGCATTTCCCCTGTGCTCCGGTGGGTTCACAAGAATGGTGAGTATGTTGGGGATTTGATCCTCGCCACTTGTATGCCCATCTATTGCCCTACGTAGGAAATGCGATCTGATGCCTGGATGGTTTTCGGTAAATGCTCGAAGGCACTCACAAGCTGCGAGTCGAGCATCCAATAATTGAGCAGGGGCTTGCAAAAGTGTTAGCCTAAGAAGAGCTTCAATGACATTAAGCTGATGCTCTTCAGGGGTCCCGTTCGGAGTTTCTTTTTCCGGATGATGTACAACTACGACAACATCTAGGTCGGCGAATTTTTCTTGCAATTCAGAGTTGGCGCTGATTAAACCGGCGCACGTTGCTAGTGCCTATTGGGCGTCAGTGGAACTCATGATCATTGGAAGCGAAACGCCGAACCTTAGCCTTGATAGGCACATTGAAATCTTCGCTAAATGCAATGCGGAGGATATGTCGCATAATGCCATGTTGCCAAAATGCCGTCTGGTTGGTAGGTGTACTCATTCCACCCCTCACAAGGAAAAGCTGAACAATGGCTAAAGCCCCCCACACATTTTTATCCCGTTGCTCCAAGGTCCACTCCGGTACATCTTCACCTGACTGTTCTTCGACAGCACCAGCTAAAAGCGACACCAACCTTTTGATGCATCCAGTCTCGCGAAAATAAGATTGATTCGAGAGATTAAGGTCCAGCAGGTTTCCTAGAAGAGAAAGGCAGTCCTCGACAACGGCCGTACCGTGGGTCAGCGAGCCATCGCTTTCGATAAGCGAAAATATTCGGTCAAAGGCATTTTCAAAAGCGACTACTTTTTGTAGTTCGGCAGAAGACGGGGTCAACGCTATTAGGAGGAGTAACGCTTCTGTAGATGATGATGCCCGTATTAGTCACATAATTGCAGTATGATCGCTCGGCTAGACACACCGTTGCGTATAGGCTCCCGTGCATCTTCGAGGACGCTGACAAGTCTTGATATACCCAGTGGAGCTGTGAAGATACATTCTTGGGTACGCTCCGGCCGGGCGGCAGAGATCTGGGAAATTAACTGAAGAGAGTAAAGCCTAGAGTAAAAGTCTCTAGAATCTAAGAGATCAAGAAGTACGGTTATATTGTCTTGTCGCTGTCTGGTATTAGAACTGTTATCTTTGGATGTATGCGGAGCGACGAAACGTACTTGCGTGAATTCGTCGGCGAGCCACAATGCGAGCTCGTCGGATGCCTCTGGCTAAATAAATGACAATTATTAGCATTCCCACTCGGACTGTGGCACAAATTACAGTCGGGTACGAACACTACTCTCTTCCGGAGCAAACAGCATCAACAAGGTCTCAAGGACCACCTTTGTGGTATCAACGTCTTCTGCATCGTTTCGAAGAGAGGTGATGAGGGCTCTTAGGGCGCCAGAGGCCACTGACGCAGGATATTCTTTGGCAAAACTTCGTAGGCCGAGAATTGCAGCTCTACGGTCTTCTAATAAAGTGGCACTTTGTAATCGGCTGCTCAGCGTATTGATTGTATCCGTGGCCGTTTGACGTGCCGGGGCTTGGGATTCAAGGATTCGAAACATCGCAGTGTACTAATATGCATACCAGCATGGTCATCGCAGACCAAGGACTTCGCTCTTATATATATGCATCGAGGCAATTGACCCGCCTTTCGCGAACGATCACCGCTTCGCAGCTTGTTGTTCTGGCCTTTCGGACTTGAAATGGATCGCCAGCGGGATCACGTGAAATGGGCCCTGGTCGGCACGGAGTAACATTCCCCCGGTGAGTTTGGCCAGATCCGCTTTGGGTAAGCGTTGATCTCGAACTTATCTCGCTCTCGAGCTTGCCTGGATTTTCGCAGTCTCCATTTCTGAGATTACCGTCGCTCTAGCTGGCTCTATGGGTTCTGGGAATCTTATGGGGTGATCTTTTGGCACTGTACACGCTTCCGGTTGCTACATTTCGGCGCGTCCCGACGGGCGTTTAGAACCGGTGCGATGGGTGTCCCAGCACTTTTCCGGTGGCTCTCCACCAAGTACCCAAAAATCATTTCGGCTGTCGTGGAGGAGCTTCCTCAGGAAATCGATGGCGAGGAGTTTCCGGTGGATACCACCAAGCCTAACCCAAATGGCGAAGAAATGGACAATCTCTATCTCGATATGAACGGCATCGTACACCCTTGTACCCACCCCGAGGGTAAACCAGCACCAGCAAACGAAGGCGAGATGATGCTTGAGATCTTCAAGTATACCGACAGAGTTGTGAACATGGTCAGGCCGAGAAAACTTTTGATGATCGCTGTTGGTACGTTAGGATTCATGACGCGGGAGCTTGGTCGGCTCCCCTCGGACGGCTACATTATTTTATCATGATGTTTTGCAAAGTCGCCAAGGGGGGTAGAGCTTTCTCTTCTCCTTGATATTTGGATTTGGTATCTGCACTTATACTCTCATTGATACTAATTTAATTGGGTTTACAGATGGTGTGGCTCCTCGCGCAAAAATGAATCAGCAGCGCTCTCGCCGTTTCCGCTCTGCGCAAGAAGCAAAGGAAGCTGATGAAAAGAAAGCTGAATTTGCAAAATTACTCAGGCAACAAAATAGAGGAAAGGGTGACATGGAAATTGCTGAGGAGGTAGTTCAAAAGACGTGGGATAGCAACGTCATTACTCCTGGCACGCCGTTCATGGACATTCTTTCGGCTGCCCTACGTTACTGGGTTGCATACAAACTGAACACCGACCCCGCTTGGGAAAAGGTCCGTCCCATATTGTACGTGCCATGACGATTGCTCACCTAAAGTTTAGGTCAAAATTATTATTTCCGACGCCACCGTCCCTGGGGAGGGTGAGCATAAAATTATGGAATTTATTCGATCCCAGAGATCGTGTCCTGAACATGACGCGAATACACGCCATGTTATATATGGTTTGGTATGTATATATTACCAGCGTGTTCTAGCTTCCGCTAATTTACGCTTAGGACGCTGATTTAATCATGCTTGGGCTCGCAACCCATGAACCCCACTTTCGAGTGCTGCGTGAGGATGTCTTCTTTCAAGAATCAAAAGCTCGGACCTGTCATCTCTGCGGCCAACAAGGGCACGTTGCTGAAGCGTGTACAGGCAAGGCAAAGGAAAAGAATGGAGAGTTTGATGAAAAGCAAAGAGGTACCCCTCTCAAGCCGTTTATATGGCTTCATGTGTCTGTTCTTCGGGAGTATTTAGCTGCCGAAATGTATGTTCCTAACCAACCATTCCCGTTTGACCTTGAAAGAGCTCTTGACGACTGGGTTTTCATGTGCTTCTTCGTTGGAAACGATTTCTTACCTCATCTACCTTCGTTGGAAATAAGGGAGAATGGGATTGATACCTTGATCGCAATATGGCGCGACAATATTCCATTGATGGGGGGCTACCTAACGCAGGATGGGAATGTTGATTTAAAACGTGCACAGCTGATTCTACAAGGATTAGCCAAGCAAGAAGACGCCATCTTCCGTCGACGGCGACAAACTGAAGAAAGGAGAAACACCAATGCGAAAAGACGCAAAGAGCAAGAAAGGCAAAGAGAAGAGGAGAACGCCCGGAAGAGACCGAGGCACTCCTTGGAAGACGAAACTGCCGGGCCTAGTCCACGTCGAGGTAAAGATATGGATGGTATTGCTCCTGCGAATATGCCTCTTTTTATCCCAAGTAAGGGAGAGCTACCCAGAGCAGAGCGGGAATTGACTCACGCTATGGTCGTGAACCGGGGGGCTATCTATAAAGCAAACATGGCGAACAAAAGTGCTGCTGCTGCTCTGAAAAGTCAATTAATTTCTGGGGCTTCCGAAATGAGCGTCGAAGTTTCTACGTCAACCTCAGCCAACGATGTGTCGCCTTCGGCTCTAGGTAAAAGAAAAGCTGACGCACTTGAAACGGACAATACGACTGAGCAAGAAGATTCTGAAAGGCCTCCTCAGGAGCAAGACGAATTGCCTGCAGATTCGGTACGACTTTGGGAGCAAGGTTACGCCGACCGATATTACGAGCAAAAGTTCCATGTGGATCCAAAAGATATCGAATTCCGCCATAAGGTAGCACGAGCATATGTGGAAGGGCTCTGCTGGGTCCTCTTGTATTATTTCCAAGGCTGTCCTTCATGGACATGGTATTATCCTTACCACTATGCCCCTTTCGCAGCCGACTTTGTAGACCTCGAACATATGGACATTCAATTCCATAAAGGTGCACCTTTCAGACCATTCGAGCAGTTGATGGGCGTGTTGCCCGCGGCATCCAACCATGCGATTCCAGAAATTTTTCGAGACCTCATGTCTAATCCCGAGAGCGAAATCATTGATTTCTATCCTGAAGAGTTCCCTATCGACCTTAATGGAAAGAAATTCGCATGGCAAGGAGTTGCTTTGCTTCCATTTATCGATGAAAGCCGTCTCTTGGAAGCGATGGCCAAGCGGTATCCCCGTTTAAGCGAAGAAGAGAAAGCTCGCAATGAGATGGGCCGGGACATTCTTTTTATCTCAGATCGGCATCCCTTGTATAGAGAATTGGTCGCCAATTTTTACTCCAAAAAGCAGAGTGTTCCCAAATTCAAACTCAACATGCGGGTCAGTGAAGGACTTGGAGGCAAGGTCGAGCGTGACGAAGCATATATCCCTCATAGCTCCCTGGTAGCATCGATAGATGGAATAGAGCTTCCTGCTCTGGATGAAGATCGTTCCATTAGGTATGTCCTCCCTTTATTGTCAGCCTTTTCCATCACTAACAAACTGCGACCAGTGTCCTCTACGATATACCTAAATCTATGTATACCCACAAGTCCATGCTCCTACCAGGAGTGAAGTTCAATCCGCCAGTTCTCGACAAGACGGATATCGAGGTTACAAAGGCGAAGGCGCAGCGATCCGGAAGATCATTCGGGGGTGCACCTTTACATTCGGGCAACGGAAGGGGTAGAGGCCGAATATCGTATGCGAGCGACCGCCCAAATCCATTTGCTGCTCACCTTGATCCAAGTTTCAAACCCCCACCCCATATGAACGCTCCACCTGGACGCGGTGGCCCACATCAGTTTGATAGACATCGGTCTCAGAATCCACCCTCGCAACAGTCACGCGGAAGGGGATATGGAGGCTACGGAGGTTACGGCGGCTCCTATGGACAGCGGGACTCATATCACCCACCGGCACCTCGCGGCAGGGATTCATATCAGGACAGGCAAGACAGGCAGTATCAGCATCAAGATCGACCCTACCCCCCGTCGGGTGCGGGTGGGGGCAGTGGTAGTAATTATTACCGGGGCCGTGGAGGTGGTCAACAGCGTTCTTCTCAATCTGGATACTACGGGCGTAATGATGGGTATGGTAGGTATTGATGGATCGATCATGTTTCTGGACATGTACAGCGCTAAAATGTTAAAATATAACTTTTCTATGGTGACTATGTATTCATTTTTGATTAAAATGGGGTGCCTTATCCGACGCTTGCATGGCTTTTCATGCTTTAACTTGGATATAGAACTATAAAATCTCACACCACTCGCGGAGAATTCCCAGTGTTTCGTGGCTTTCTAAATATAGACTGGTGGTAGCTGATGTCCATAAGTGTCCGATACCGGATGAATTCAAGTGAATGGGTGTGTCCTGGCAGTGACAGGGAATATGAAATATGACCTTCAGCTCATAGCAGTAGTCCCTGTATTGTATTAACGCTGTCATAATTAATATAAAGCCAGCAAGAAAAGGTCCGGTGTGTTCTCCCTTCTCCGTCTTCTTCAGCGTGCGATCGACAATAGGACAAGCGACTTCGGAAGCGGTGACTCGAGGCAGAATCAAGAGCGCTTTTGACTCATGCGGCGGGCAATTCCCCAGCTAAACTGAAAGGTTTCTGGGGATTGACTCTGGGTGAATCTCTCACTCTGCTCTCAGTCGAACCTTTCCTACTGGTGAATTAAAACCAATTGGCCTTCTTGGGAGAGCTTGCCCCACCCTTTGTGGTTTGCTTTCCAGCTTTAAACTACATAGTTGCTGCGGCACTATGAAAGCTTGAGCGAGCTATCTGGAAAAGCTGATATTGAGGTTTGCTCAGACTTCACAAAAAGCTCGAAGTTCATTAATTGGCTAAATTATTATTATTTTTTGTAATTTCAGAAATAGATACGCATCGAAAGGTCCGTCGACTCCAGTGTTCTACATCGGTGGTCATCTCACAATGGCCGCCCCTACAACCATCAAAATCCTCGGTCGCGATAGCATCGTCGCCGACTTTGGCATTTGGAAGCGTCATGTGGCCGATGACTTGCTCACCAATTGCTCCTCTTCGACATATATTCTCATCTCCGATACCACCCTGACTCCTTTATACGTTCCAAGCTTTCAAGCAGCTTTTGAAAATGCAGCGTCGGGTCTAACCCCCAAACCACGCCTTCTCACTTACGCTATTCCTCCCGGAGAGTTGTCAAAGTCTCGTCAGACAAAGGCAGACATCGAAGACTGGATGCTGAGTCGCCAGCCACCATGTGGTCGCGACACTGTCATAATTGCTCTTGGTGGGGGAGTGATTGGCGATCTAATCGGCTACGTAGCAGCGACATACATGCGTGGAGTCCGCTTCGTCCAAGTGCCTACAACATTGCTGGCCATGGTGGATTCGTCAATCGGTGGCAAGACTGCGATTGATACACCTCACGGAAAAAACTTGATTGGTGCGATTTGGCAGCCACAAAAAATTTATCTAGATATGGAATTTTTGAACACACTGCCAGAGAGAGAATTCATCAATGGGATGGCTGAAGTGATCAAGGCATGTTGCGCGACCTTTTATTTCAAGCAATATCGCATGCACTAACCGACTGATAGACTGCTGCCATATCCAGCGAAGAAGACTTTGCGGCTTTAGAAAAGAATGCGGATGCTATCCTTTCAGCAGTGAAGTCGGAAAACACTCCAGAGCGTCCACGGTTTGGTGGGATTCAAGAGATTTTGAAGTTAACAATTTTAGCATCTGCAAGATTCAAAGCCGATGTCGTGTCTAAAGACGAAAGAGAGGGCGGTCTGCGCAACCTTCTCAACTTTGGCCATTCCATTGGACATGCTATCGAAGGCATACTCGCGCCACAGATCCTTCATGGGGAATGTGTCGCTATAGGCATGGTCAAAGAGGCCGAATTGGCTCGACATCTCGGACTTTTGAAGAACGTTGCAGTGCCTCGTCTTGTTAAATGTTTGGCAAGTTACGGACTACCAACATCTCTAAAGGATTCACGAATAAGGCGACTAAGTGCCGGAAAACATTGTAGCGTTGACCAGCTCCTCGCATTTATGGCTGTCGATAAGAAAAACGCTGGCCCAAAGAAAAAAGTTGTTCTCTTATCCGCCATCGGTCGTACTCATGAGCAGCAAGCGAGTGTTGTATCGAATGAAGATATCAAAATCGTGCTCGCACCAAGCATTGAGGTCTCCCCCGGTGTTCCCAAATCCCTGCAAGTCACTTGCACCCCTCCAGGATCGAAAAGTATTTCAAACAGAGCTCTTGTTTTGGCCGCTCTCGGTTCCGGTACCTGTCGCATCAAGAACCTTCTGCATTCAGATGACACGGAAGTCATGCTCAATGCGCTAGAGCGCCTGGGAGCCGCAACATTCTCCTGGGAGGAAGAAGGTGAGGTCCTTGTTGTTCATGGTAATGGGGGTACTTTAAAAGCTAGCCCTGAAGAGCTATACTTGGGCAATGCTGGGACGGCGTCGAGATTCCTCACCACGGTTGCAACTCTTGCCAACAACGGCACTGTTAGTTCCACCGTTCTTACAGGAAATGCACGAATGAAGCAACGGCCAATTGGTGCCCTTGTTGACTCCTTGAGGGCCAATGGTGCAGGCGTCGAATACTTGGAGACCAATGGATGCCTTCCCCTAAAAATCGACGCTTCAGGGGGGTTTGCAGGAGGAGAAATCAGTCTCGCTGCTAAAATATCCTCTCAGTACGTGTCGTCTTTGCTGATGTGCGCCCCTTATGCGAAAGAGCCGGTAACTCTGAAGCTTGTCGGCGGTAAGCCAATTTCACAACAATACATCGATATGACAACCGCTATGATGCGATCATTTGGGATCGATGTAAAGCGTTCAACCACTGAAGAACATACATATCACATTCCTCAAGGCAAATATGTGAATCCAGCAGAATATATTATCGAAAGTGATGCAAGTTCGGCAACATATCCCCTCGCCGTCGCTGCAATTACTGGTACTACATGTACGATTCCCAACATTGGATCCAAGTCCTTACAGGGAGATGCGCGGTTTGCAGTAGATGTTTTGAGACCTATGGGGTGTGAGGTCAGTCAATCTGAATATTCGACTACCGTTACTGCGCCCAAGGATGGAGTCCTAAAGCCATTGCCAAACGTCGATATGGAGCCTATGACGGATGCTTTCCTGACCGCCTCAGTACTTGCTGCCGTTGCAACGGGAAGTCCAAATCGTACAACCAGAATTTTCGGCATTGCAAATCAACGGGTTAAGGAATGCAACCGAATTAGAGCGATGAAGGATGAGCTGGCAAAATTCGGAGTTATTTGTCGAGAGCACGATGACGGCCTAGAAATTGATGGTATTGATCGCTCTACGTTGTTGCAGCCTCCGCACGGAGTCCATTGCTACGATGACCACCGTGTAGCAATGAGCTTCAGTGTTCTCTCTTTAACAGCGCCCAAACCCACCCTCATCCTTGAAAAAGAATGTGTAGGAAAAACTTGGCCTGGCTGGTGGGATACCTTGGCACAGCTTTTCAAAGCCAAACTCGAAGGTGTTGAATTAAAATCATCTACGAAACAAAAAGCTGAAAAGCCTGCAGCATCAATTTTCATTATTGGAATGCGAGGTGCCGGGAAGACAACAAGCGGACTTTGGGCAGCTAAGGCTTTGAAGCGCCCATTCATTGACCTCGATGTGGAACTTGAAAGCACCATTGGCAAGACAATCCCGGAAATTATCAAAGAGCGAGGCTGGGAAGGTTTCAGGGAAGCAGAACTGGCACTCTTGCAGAAAGTCATACGCGAGAAACCAACAGGATATGTGTTCGCTTGCGGAGGTGGGATTGTCGAAACTCAAGAGGGCCGTGACCTTCTCGTGCAATATCATAAAGCCAATGGAAACGTTCTTCTGCTTATGCGAGATATTAAAGAGGTCATGGATTTCTTAAAGATCGACAAGACACGACCAGCCTATGTTGAGGATATGATGGGCGTGTGGCTTCGTCGAAAGCCTTGGTACCAGCAATGCAGCAACTTCCAGTTTTACAGCCAGCAAAGCACTCAAGACGAGATGGGCAGGGCTCTAGAAAGCTTCTCGCGTTTCTTAAGGGTCATTACTGGGGAGGTTGACCACCTTTCTCTTTTGAAGAAGAAGCCACAGTCTTTTTTCGTTTCCTTGACGCTTCCTGATCTGCGCCCTTCTGCGGAGATATTGGGCGATGTTACCCTGGGCTCGGATGCTGTAGAGTTACGTGTCGATTTGCTTGTGGACCCATCTTCTGCCAACGATATTCCGTCTGTCGACTACGTTGCTGAACAGATATCAATGCTTCGTAGTCGCGTATCTCTTCCGCTTGTGTTTACTATCCGAACCAAAAGCCAAGGTGGCCGTTTCCCTGATGATGCACATGATGCAGCTCTGGATCTCTATCGGCTTGCTGTGCGTATGGGATCAGAGTTTGTTGACCTCGAAGTTACATTCCCCGAGCACATCCTCCGCGCTGTGACTGAGATGAAGGGCTTTTCCAAGATTATTGCTTCCCACCATGACGTTTCTGGCAGTCTATCCTGGGCTAACGGATCCTGGGGTCAGTTCTACAACAAGGCATTGCAATATGGAGATATCATAAAGCTGGTTGGAGTCGCTAAATGTTTAGACGACAATATTGCTCTCAGAAAATTTAAGACCTGGGCACAAGATGCGCATGAAATACCTGTGATTGCTATCAATATGGGCGAAAAGGGTAGGCTCAGTCGTATCCTGAACGGTTTTATGACACCCGTGTCTCATCCAAAACTTCCTTTCAAAGCAGCACCCGGCCAGCTTTCCGCACAAGATATCAGAAAAGGGCTGTCATTAATGGGTGAAATTGAACCAAGGAAGTTTGCAATCTTTGGAAAACCCGTTTCCGCGTCCAGGTCGCCCGCAATGCACAACGCCTTGTTTGCACAAGTCGGCCTGCCCCATGCCTATAGCCGTCTAGAGACAGACAATGTGGAAGATGTCAGGGAATTTATCCACGCCCCTGATTTTGGGGGTGCTTCCGTCACGATCCCTCTTAAGCTCGACATCATGCCATTACTTGATGAAATTTCGCCAGAAGCCCAAGTGATCGGAGCCGTTAACACCATCGTGCCTATCCCACGTGGCCCAGGTGATATGACGGGTTATCCACGCCTTATTGGCTATAATACCGACTGGCAGGGTATGGTCCGATGCCTACGTCACGGCAAAGCAATCTCACCATCGTTCGCTGATACTGCTGTGCCTGGCCTCGTAATTGGTGGTGGCGGCACTGCCCGGGCAGCTATCCACGCTCTCTACAGTATGAGTTACTCTCCCATCTACCTCATTGGCCGCTCAGAAGCCAAAGTGGCTGAAATGGCGTCGACTTTCCCCGAGAAATATAGTGTCCAGGTTCTCAAGGACGCAACATCCTTAGAAAATCTCCCTATGGTGGCAATTGGCACTATCCCAGGAGATCGGCCGATTGACCCCAGCATGAGAGAAGTTTTGTGTCGCCTATTTGAAAATGCAGCTCGCGTTGATTCTGAGCTGTCTGCGAAAGGAGAGGTGCCAGCAAAAAGAGTTTTACTGGAGATGGCCTATAAACCCGATATTACGCCCTTGAGCCAATTGGCTAGCGACTCTGGTTGGTCGACAATTCCTGGCTTGGAGGCATTGGTTGGACAAGGAGTACATCAGGTAAATTAATGTCCCGAAGTTCCAAATTGGATCTGAGCAAATGTCTGACGTTTATCATTCAGTTCGAGCTCTGGACCGGAATTACGCCTGTCTACCAAGACGCAAGAGTAAGCCTTCACCTCGTCATCTGCTATTCTTCGCAAAATTCTTCTAGAATTACTAGCATTATTTGGAACTAACGCCTTATTCCTCAGGCTGCAGTCATGAATCCGGGCACCGACAACCGAGGCTGACAGCCGTAATTCTTGTTTTTCCTTGGATTTATAAAGCTTCAAGACACTCGGGATTTGGATACATATATCCTCTCTATAATATTAGTTTAGACCGAAAATTTTTACGTATTGTTCCCAAAATGCTTGAACGCTTGCATTTCATGCGGCTACCGATCATTTCAAAGACCCTTTTGAATAATGAACAAAACTACAAGAAATAGTAAAACTAAATACTCCACGTAGATCTTTCCTTTATATATGTGCTTGAAAGGTCGTTTAAACCAAGATCTAAGTCCACTAATTTCCAAGCGACATTCAATAAATCTTTCCAAGGCATAACAAAAACCCAACTTATTGGCCTTGATCATTTATTTCGTTGACTTCATCTTTTTCTTTCGCTTGCTTTTTTCCCTTTCCTTTTCCTATAATTTCCTTCTCCTTCGCTTCTCTCCACTCGCATTCGTCCCTAAACTCACAGATCCGACACTTCCACGCTTCTACCATGCCAACACCTTTCGCTGATCTACCTCCTCGCCAGAAACGCATGCCGTCAGCTAGATAAGGATATAAGTCGTTGGCGTCGAAGAAGAACGATCTGCTACCAATGTATTCCATGGGTTTCGATGGATCGGACGTCGAAGAGATGTACTCTGCTGTTAGAAGGGGCGATAGGAGGGTAGGTGGGGAAATTTTATTGTCGTTGGCGTTCTCTTCACCCGGGACATTGGGTATTTCAGGTATTTGTGGTTTGGGCAGGAATGTAAGGTGGAAGTGCTCTTTCATAAGGGACCAGAGACTCGAGAGCGAATTGTGTTTTAGAAGGATGGAGACGGAATCTTGCTCATTCGACGAGGGAGCCGTTTGATCGCTGTCTGGATTTGATTGTGGCGACGAGTTGATGTCCAGAAAGCCATCGTTGAGACTGCCCACCTGAGCAATAAAAACATCGGAAAAAGGTTGGTCGGCTTTCAAGCGGTGTCGCGAAGCTATCGCATCGATTGTGATATCGTCGCTAGTTATGAGTCTGGTGAGCATATGATAATATAGATGAAGCTGTATAAGGGTAGGTCGAAACGCTATGCTTGATACAGTTGGCGGTTTTGCAGAAGAGCGCCTCGTTTTGATATCTGTGATGTATATCTTTTTCCCTGTTGTCGACGGCGCAGGGACTACTCCTCCAGTCCAACTAGTCTTTGTTGATGCGAACTCTGAGAGTGTTTTACCACCTCCAGCAGCAGACAGCAAATAATTCGATAAAGACTTTCCTTCAGGGGTTAAAGATGTCGCCGATCGTACTTCTATCGATCCTGGATCCGAAGCTGCTTCGAGCTCAGGATCAGGGCATTCGTAGGAAAGCTCGTCAATGATGCCAGTTACTATTTCGCCATCAATAACACCCCATACTTGCAGTTCTCTTGTCGTTCCAGTTGTTCTCAGCGACTGCAAGCCCTGTATCACATTCCATATTCTCAAAGCCCACCCATCCTCCCTCGTTAGCACCTCTACTGGAACGGTGACATGGACCTCTTCCTCCAGTTTTTTATGCATTGCACTCCCTTGCTTCATTGCCGGTGTCTGAATCTTGCGTCCATGTTTTGTCAGGGTATACCAGTACTGTAGCTCACACCAGGCCGGGGAGATCAGGTCTGTGACGGAGAGACCTTTCATAGGTGCCTTGCGGAATCGCTCTAAAGGTGACCTATTGTCTATATTGGTGGTATTCGGCTTCGGCTTCGAATCTCCATTCGTGATCGCTTCAGCAGCCTGCTGCTGGCTTGTTTGTTCATCTTGTAGGCGCTCTTTCTCCGGGCGATGCGCGGAATCTGGATGCTCGACTAGACGCTTAAAAGTCAGATGTCAGCCAGTCTCACAAAATAGTAGCATAATTTGTCCACAATTTATAAAGCAATGGGCGATCTCCTGATGTAAGTGCATCTACAAGAACAAAGGTAGGAACTCACCACCCTTGCAGCCGGCGATGTCTTCGATCCCGTAGTCAGACAATGTCTCCCAAACTTCCAAGATCGCCTGGAGAGTCGGACTGAGCTCCCCTCCACCCTGGTCCTCGCTGATCTGCAAACCAGAGACATAGACATGGTCTTCTATATCCGGTATCGCTGCAGATGCCGACTCAAACGCTGTCGCGCTCTGGAGTATTAAACCGCTAGTCGCGGCACCACCCGGGTCGCTGCCCTGTGTCTCCACGAATTTATCCACTAGTCCGATCAAAATTTCTTCTTCTTCTGACGTGAAATCAGTGCCGTAATCACTGTGGTACGCGCCGTACTTCGCGTCGTCGCCAGATACCTCGGAACCATGGGCGGCTTCGCGTGGCGAACAGCAGGGCATGCCTGCGACGATTTTGGAGGGGGTGTGAGGAGCCGTGTTCACCTCATATGGCAGTTATTTGATGGGTTAAGACCTAGAAAAGGTCGAGGGGTGTCCAAAGGGAAGAAATGAGTTGAAGCTAGTTGGCGTTTCTGGGGCCGCTTGCTTGCCTTTCGGCCCGCGCCATGACATAAAGCTCGTTTAACGAAAATCGTAGGTTTCAACTATGTAATGCTAGCACGGGATTGCCCGAAAGGAGCACACGAGTAGTAGAACCGTTTATAAATCTTAGATAGCGACCATTTATAAAATCAATGCGGTCTTGAGCTATATAGAGAGTAAACCAAAGAAATCTAGACATCTAGATGGTGAGAGATCACCAGGGTATCAACAATAAAAGTCGGCTCTATCAGGCCCAGCCTAGGCTACCAACCGACAGAATCTATGACAGAAAACAAAGCCCAAATATGCATATGAAGCGAAAAGTCAAGATCTCTTCGACGGACACTTCTCTACAAGGTTTAAAGGATTGCGCTTTTCCGAGTGCTGGTGCCTTCAAGGAGTTCCACTTTCTCCAAAGAAGCAGCCTGTCTAACTTCTTTCGCAGCCTTTTGGTTCAGCCAGCTCAGATAAGTTTGCCAACCGACGGCGACGACACCAGAAACGATGCTGCGGAACTGTGGCTCCACGTAAAGGAACAAGAAAGCGGTGACGCCAGGCCATAGTTTGACACTATTCATGACACTGTTCGGTACAGCTTTCTTAACTCGCTCCCAGGTATCTTCGAGAGTCGCCCCGGAGAGGAGCGATTGCATGGTGAAGAAATATGTATTGAAAGTAGGTGTGAAAACAGTTTGCGACACGGCGACTTTGGTGAGGATTGAGAGGGCTTTGGAGGAATAATTGAAATTGCGGTGGAGGAACATGAACCTGCAAATCATTGACTGTTAGCTCTCTCAATGTCCAGATTTGATATTACAAACACGTCGAAGACCATACCATCTATAGACAGGTATAGCTGCAACAGCGCCAACTGTCAGATGTCTCGCAGTTCTCAGAGGATCGTATCCCGACCAGAGACCCGTGATCTCGTCTCGTGCATCCTGACTCGAAGGCACGGCTCCCTTGTCATCCTCCTTTTCATTAGTCTCTGAAGCCTCTCCACCAGACACCACCAACTGTGCGCAGAGATCGGCGCAGAGGTATATAACAAGAGTACTCCACATCTGCGTCCAGTACGGCCGCTTATACTGCTCACGGCTATACCATCGCGCCGCCTTCCCAAGCGGACTAGCCTTTATAATCTGATGCACCGAACGCGAAGGCGATTCCGGCACTGAGGGGACTGGTCCTCCAGCAGATGCGGTCGCAGAAGTGTGAGGATGCGGCTGTGAAGCCGGACTGCCCGGCGAAGGCTTTACGGTGCCCGCGCCTTTAGCCGGTGACGTTGGTTGGGACAAGGGAGGTTCATTGTTAGCAGCGGTCGATTTGTTCCGACGTAATAGTGCTGATCGACGAGTCGTCTGTCGTCTAACCGCGGCCGAGACGGACAATCCGCCTTTAGCGATGAGTTTCATGCTGTCATATACGGCGTGGTCGGATTGTGTCTACCCTATTTCCCCGGGCCCTCCGGCTGACTGCGCCGACAGGGAAGGAAAATATAAACGTAGCAGGGTCCTCTTGAGTCACAACGCACACAGTCAAATTCTCACAAGTATATAAAACTGGAGCACAAGAATGAGTCAACGAAGCGTCACCATCGGGTGGGTAGCAGAAGGAAAGTCGCGAAGACGGCCTACAAATTGCCGAAGGAAAAATAAATGTGTGAATCAGACACGAGAGTGACAAGGTGGGGCACAGGGCGACAGGCCGAAAATGGTTAGGGGACTGAAGAGAGAACCAGGTGCCAAGGAAACGAATATAGACAAGCAAGAAAGATACGGGAAGCCTACCCCGTTAAAGGATGCTGTCATGTTCTCAGAATATCGATAAAGAACTCCGGATCGCGGAGATGTTCGCCATCTCGCCCGTCTCGGTTCTCGGCGGTGGGTTGACTTTTATCTCGGTGATAAATATCCTTATCGCCAACCCCCGGACAAAACGGCCACCTTGCACCATCCCTCAACCAAATCACGTTCTCCCGAGCACACGCAAATGACTATGAAAGTTATTCCCATATGGAGTAATTATGTGTAAAATGATACAACCTGCATCTTAATACAAGTATGGAGTATCGTCTATGGCTTCCAGGACAAGTTACAATTGATAGTGAGTCACAACATCGAAGATAGTAAGACGTTAAGAGACTTAGAAGTATTAATTGATAGATCTAAGTCTGTCCCATGATAGAAGGGATAGAGCCGGAGCAATTTTGCAATCGAGATGATAATGTACAACAAAAGACGCCTCAGACCATCCCAGTCCCCATGTCCACGAGATTAAAAAGCAAACCCAAATTGAAAAACCCCAGTTGAAAAGAAACCATCATGTCTCGCCAGTCGTAAACAGTTATGAACATGCAAAGAAAAAGATAAGCCAAACCGGCTAAAGCAGTTTACGAACGTTCACCGCGCAGACGACGAGCAAGTTGGATGTCCTTGGACTGGATGGTGACACGCTTGGCGTGGATGGCGCAAAGGTTGGTATCTTCGAAGAGGGAGACGAGGTAGGCCTCAACGGATTCCTGAAGAGCACCGATGGCAGAAGACTGGAAGCGAAGGTCGGACTTGAAGTCTTGAGCAATTTCACGGACCAATCGCTGGAAGGGAAGCTTGCGGATCAAGAGCTCGGTAGACTTCTGGTAGCGACGGATTTCACGGAGAGCGACGGTACCTGTTGATGGATTTGTAAGTTATCGATCGATGGTTAAAAAGAGAAAGTTGAGGTCAGGTACATACCAGGCTTGTAGCGGTGAGGCTTCTTGACACCACCGGTAGATGGGGCAGCCTTACGAGCAGCCTTGGCTGCGATTTGCTTACGCGGGGCCTTGCCACCGGTAGATTTACCTATTCGAGTGTAAGCGAATGTTTGAAAGGTACGATGCGACTTGCGTGTTTGCTGGTGAAGTGGGTGTGGACGCGTAGGAACGCGAGACCCGAGCGACGGCGAGGTGAAGCGACGGTGAGGTAGGATACTTACGGGCAGTCTGCTTGGTTCTAGCCATTGTAATGAGCTTCAGACAGTTGAAAGGAAGTTGATGAGTAATAAAAGGTCGATGGAAATATGGTGTGGTGATGGAAATCGACGGTTGGTTGAGAGTGGTGGATGTTGGAGAGTGGAAGGTTGTAAGAAAGAGAGAGGAAATTGGGTGGGGGGAAGGTATTTGTAGTGGCGAGCCAGAGGGGCGGGTGATCCTGGTGTGTGCGTTGAAACCAAAAAAAGAGTGAAAGCTGGCAGACGCTAAGATTGGCCTATTAGCGCCGTATTCTTCTGATCAGAAAAAAGTGCTGGAAAGCAGCGTGCGATAAGCCTGGTTCTGCCGGCCCGGTTTTCGCTGGGGGAACATCAGACTCTACGCTCACCGCCTTCCGCACCACAACCGCCCAAAAGCCGTACATCTGATCCTTTGCGCTCGCACACCACACAACGCGGATCAGGCAAAGTTCACTGGCCCTCAAGACCGTACCTGCCCCAGAGAATCAACTGATTCACAAAGATCTCGCTTGCAAACCGCTGTTCGTCGAGATCAGTTGCGGTGTTCTGGCTGATCTATGTACCGTGATCCGAGGTTCTGATTGGCTGGATCGCACCAAGCCGGTTAGCGTCCTGCCGAGCAGTCTCAGCCCGCTGATTGGCTGGGATCCTGATGCAGCAGTCGTGATCGCCGGCATCAGCTGTTCGGCTTCACCAGCATTGAAATATCGCTCTTCCCGACTTCTCCTGCTGCATTTCCCTCCCTCTTTTTTCCCCACACGGTTATCTACGCCATCTCCCTAAACAGTTTCAACCTGATCTTTTGATCTCGAAACCAAGTTACTCTTTAAAGAACAAACTCAATTCTTCACACATCTCAAAATGACTGGACGTAAGTTCTACATTGCTCCGCGCCTAATCCCTCGATATGGCCAAAGTGACTTACGCGTTTCTCAACAGGCGGAAAAGGTGGCAAGGGTCTTGGAAAGGGTGGTGCCAAGCGTCACAGAAAGATTCTTCGTGACAACATTCAAGGAATCACAAAGCCTGCTATCCGTCGTCTTGCCCGCCGTGGCGGTGTCAAGCGTATCTCAGCCAGTATGTCTTGTCCCCGAAACCACCGAGCATGCTCATAAAATGCTAACCACTCTCCAATAGTGATCTATGAAGAGACTCGATCTGTCCTGAAGACCTTCCTCGAGGGAGTCATTCGCGATGCCGTCACATACACTGAGCACGCCAAGAGAAAGACCGTCACATCTTTGGACGTTGTTTATGCCTTGAAACGTCAAGGACGTGAGTCTTCCCGAGAGCAACATTCTCGCTGGCTTAGGTTTCCTGCCGCTAACTCGATGTTTTCTAGGCACTCTCTATGGTTTCGGTGGTTAAACGCTTCCTTTTCTTACGACAATGACTGGGGCTTTTGTGGTGTTCTTCGCTTTTCTTTAACGGGCATATTACTGGGTTTCTACTTTATTCTTTGGGAGGTCGGAAGGTCGAGGAGTCATGTGTATCATAATGTGTCTTCCGTTCATGTAACTGGTGAATTTTCACCTGGAGTCTACAGCTCCGCTGACAAATGATTCTGTCAAAGCACAGTTTTTTTCTTAAAAAAAAAAAGAATATGATATGCTTTGAAATTCAACTCATCTCTGGTATTATAAACTTTACGCAGAGTATACCTTCTCGACATTCCAAGTAGCGCTGTCGCGCGTTAATGAATGTGCTTCGCGTGGCAGAATCAATGGCTGTGTTATCGGCAACTGCACTCAGCTGCTGACTAAGGTTTGACGTGACACCAACTCCGTGGCCATCCAAGCCGACGAGGGCAAAACCACATGCACCGCCCAACAGCAACCCCTTTTATATCTGTCAAAAATAGGTCTTACAGCCACTTATTATGATGGATGCTTGATGATGTCCTCTGATTTCTGATGCTTCATGCATTTGATAACAATGAAAGCCTCTTATGCTACAGACTTTGAGGTGGTCAGTACCTCCAATGCGAGTTGCCGTGCCGTCGGGGGCACAGATAGAGAACCGTGCATTAGAGATCACGAACTCTTGCTGTGAAACACACAAAGAAAGGGATCTTCCACTGCTCTCAGCCGTGCATCCTCTGCGCAGCCGCATTTCAAAATGTGCATCCTCCAACCATGAGTCAATGGGATTTGTCTTCCCATTCATTCATTAATATTTTTTTCTTCTTCCTGGTTTCGGGTTTCTTTCTGTCAAAGGGTTCCAAATACATACGTACACAGTCTTATGTCAATGCTGCCATCTGACAATGAACAAGGGCCGAGATGTCCATAACAGCCTAAGGTACCAGAGCAGGTATGCATTCAGTGCGACGTTCGCATTGCGCGGGGATCTCTTTTGAGCGCTCCTGCTACTGTCAACCTTGACTGTTCTGTGCCCAACTTTATTTATAGGCTTTTGGAGCCCCTTTTCCTTCTTGATAAGATTTGTGATTAGTTCTGTGTGCTTTTTCTTTCGCTTTCGGGAGTTGATTTGTTCCTTTGAGGCTTGCACCCCCTTCCAACTGTTTACAATGGCCCAGTTTACCCCTGAACAAAGCCTTTATATTAGCACCATAGAGGTGCTAAGCAAGGCAAACAGCGCGGATCCTTCTGGTCTTGATCCATATGTTCGTGATGAATCACCAGTGTCGCCGCTTGGGGAACCGTTCGCTTGGCCCTCCACGTCGACAGGCCCGGATGACGAGCCGAACGAAAACAAAAATTGTGGGAGCCCATCGGATTCGAATCGAAGAAATTCATTTATTTGTCGCAACTGTGGTTTCTACAACGGCAGATCCAACAGATCGAGCCCTATTTCTTGCCCACCACCGAGCCCGCCTCCCCCTCCGCCGCCGCCCAAGTCACCGCCTCGACAGCTACGATACTCGTACCTACATCAACAGCTGCCACAACAATACCAAGTGCAAGAAGGGCCCAGTCCACAGCAGTTACCGCCACAGCCGCAACCACAGACGCAGCCACAAAGGCAGTCAAGGTTTTACGCGAACCTGGCTCCCCGCACAGAACCGGCGCGGCATTCCACATACATCCCCACCTACTCGGGAAGCACATCGTATCCCAACATGGACGGCGATGACCTAGCTTTGTTCTCGCAGTCAATGCTACACCTGTTTTCTGGTGCGCAAAGCACTTCTGGGCGACCTGCCACAACGTCATTTGAAACGTGCAATCAGAGCCTTTGCAGCCCGCGAAAATTGGTAAAACGTCGAAAGAATGAGCGAGATGGGGTTCCTCCTCAAGAAAAAAGGCATTCGACTAGCTTTTTGGGTAGCTTCGCAAAAATTTTCGGGACGCGGAGAAACACAGAGAACGGCAAGGAAGGTTGATCATTGGTCGAAGGGGAACATAGTCACAGTATCTAGAAAGACTCTCATTTCTCAGAAGGATTGAGTTTGGGTGGTGGTGTCAATTCTTTCTAATGTCGCTTGCGTGTCCCGGAGTGAGCAATTTTTCCATACTTTCCTTCCTTGAAGCCACTTTGCTGTTTCATGACGAGTTACCTGTTTCCCAATGGATTATACAGGTTGCTATTTTAGTTGCGCAGGTGAATCACCCAGTTACAACATATATGCCATAGCTACGCCGCTTCCAAACTCCCACTTATCCACAGCATTGAAATGTTGCTTTAGCCGCATTTTCCAGATCCTCAATAAAAATGTGTTGTGACTCACAATATCGCACCACCGGCTGAACGTCGGCATTTAGGTTGTCGACTCAACCCGGTCACATGAACAGTGACGCTCGTATGACCTAACTATGCTAGGCAATTCAGCAACAAAAAAGCCAGCCCACGAAGTTTCGGAGAAAGACCTATACTGGTGGTCGCGTATTTTATCTGTATTAGGCTGGATATGTGTTTTTGGGCGCTGGACCGGCTCGTGAGCCATTGAAGGGCCTCAAAATACAGAAAAGCAAACGCCGGCTCCCAGCGGAACAACTAGTTACATAGGGACGAATGACAGATCGGGTGACGGAAGTACCTCATAAGGAAACTCAAAAATAAAAAAAAATAAATAACTTAAAGAAAAAAAGAAAAAATAAATCTAGCTTATTTCAAAGTACACAACCAGCTACTGCTCACCTGACTGTCTAGAAAGTTCTTTTTATCGGCCACGACATTAAGTAGGAGCGATGATCAGTTACTTAAAAAAAAAAAAAAAAAGAAAAGGAGGAGACGGGAAGTCTTTCTTCGAACCTGTTCTACTCCGTAGATGTCAAGATGAAAGGGAGAAACGGTGGTGTGGTAGCCTTGAAAAGCTCCACCGGCGAAGAGCTAGACCGCGATAAACTCCTTCCAGAAGAGCTGCCTCGAAACCAAGCCTGAAACTCTAAATTAATGTCAGCCTCAAGGGTGTCTAGGAACGGGCGTCGGGGATGGGAGAGAAGCTCCCCAGGGTTAGCTTGAGAAATGTGATTCGAGTTTGGAGCAAGAAATCCTCTTTATGTCGATTCGATGAGAAAATACGGAGTGATTGGTCTAAGTGAAGAGATTTCCTCAGAAACTATCCAGGAATGCATCCGGAACTAACCAGTAGCCCCGCTAGAATTCTCCCGGGTGATAGGGGAAAATAACGTACATAGGAAAAAAAAAAAAAAAAAAAAAAAAAAAAAAAAAAATTTCTTGGAAGCCTGGGTTATGCAGATGCCTGCAGAGTACATAGAGGGTGGGCATGAGCATGACCTATAACCATGTTATGATTCGCTGCCATTTGTTTCTAAGAGGAGATAAACTGAGTGTTTATTTCAAGGATAAAAATGATCATATTTTTGAACAAGGAAAAGATATCATTGATATGTGGGTCAGAGGAATGGGAGAGTGGGCATGTTCTATCTGTATGTCTCTTCTCTGTACAGGGGTTTACATAAATATACACATTCAGCGAACGCACCAACAAGAGCTAACCCCGACCAGGAAGCAAGGCACCTGCAGATATCAACGCAACCGTATGTGAATGACTCGAATGGAATATGCTCTTTAATTCCGAAAACAATCATTCGCGGTTCCGAGAACGGAATATGTGCTCGAGGCTGCCTTCTGGACTCCGTATCTTTGGAGGCCCGAGCCTGTACAGCAAATTAAAGCAGGTCAATGCCAACCAATAGAGATGGGAAGAGCTTCCAAGACCCAACAAGAGAGGATCTCTTCCTTTGAGGAATCCCGATTCCACCCAGCCGGCTGACATCTAATGTAAGGATGGGATCAAGCGGCGGCGCCACTCGAGAGAGGACTGAAGACCTTGTTCCTCAACAAATCAACATCCTTTCAGGCGGCGAGGGCGTCGGACGCGTAATGTCTGCTCCGAAGATGAGCCAATCTTTTTATATAGCAGGCCTCCCGGAATATTGCCACGTCGAGCCCAGCTGATGGATCACAGGGAACTGGTACGTTCTCGTCGAGCGGTGTCGAAGCGGACGTGTGTATTGGCTAAAAAAAATTCTGCCACGCTCCCCAACGTGTGATAAATTCGAACAGGAAGGTGCTTTTAGCTCACACAGACTGTCCAGGCCCCAGGTTGCTGGGTGCGGTGGTTATTGGTTGAGAGAAAGAGATTGTTGTGGCGCAACCTGGAAGATAAGGCGAGGATTAAAAAAAAAAAAATTAAAAAAAAAAGGAATACATGAATCAGATCAAGATATCCACCCTCGCTTGCCGATCGAATACAACAGCATCAATGGAGACCAATGCATCCCAGGATGCAAGCCAGACATGATTTCAAAGTTGATCGGAGGCGAGAGTGCCTGCGATCTTAAGACTTGGCAAAAGAGGCGGGATCGTATCTTTCCCATCCGACGCGGCAGACTGAAAGACATGCCTTTTCTATTATGTACGTTGAACTGGCAAGATAGGGAAGAATTAGACGAATGGACAAAAATCGCCGATCCCTTACCGCCCGGGGAATAACCAGGTGGCTAGAACCCACCTCTATCATATATATGAAAGTCGAGAGAGGGCAAAAAGACGTCGGCGCCGGCCTCCGCCGACGGCGTTGCTGTTGGTATCTCTCTACAGTAATTATTTGTCACCGGGACTCTATCATACCTTCGGAAAAATTTTCATCTTGGGAGCCCCAGAATGACCGTAGTCCAAATAAAAATTGAGAAGATCTTCAAAGAGGTTGATGAACTGTCGTGATGAACTCCGTGGAGTCTCAACAAAAAAAAAAAAAAAAAAAAAATATTCCGGATGGCATTCTAAGAATAGCAAAGAAGAGAAACCCTTTCATCCAAGCCCCACCGTTCTCCGAAGCTGGGGTTCAGTGGAGCCTTTTAAAAGAATTTAAGGTTGTCCAGAATCCCTTCAGAGTCTTCAACAAATTGGGGAAAGATAGTCACCAGAGCTGCGCAGCAAGCAGAAAATTTTTCTTTCCCACCCATGTGGTTTTGGATGCATGTCGCACCTGCAGTTCCAGAAGTGGATGCTTCAGGGATTGCCGTGGTCAACCCGGAGATCTGACGGAAAGAGTCGAGAAGCAGGAGAAAAAAAAAAAAAAAAATTTTTGTCGGCCGGGATGAGACTGCGCTAGTGATGCATGTAAGGCGCACGGGTCGCAGCCAATTCAACTGCACTAGCCTGGCTAGGAAGTAGGCTAGAAGGGGGTTGAGCGTTCCAGGACGTTCGAGATGGCTTCCTGGTCGATAATTACGGACTTATGGCCACCATCGCATGTATGACGTTGTTTTCGAGGATCCGGAGTACTCTGTACACGGTCTGTCCCCCGGGAAGGAAGTCTTTGCAGCTTGACAAAGGACTTACACTATTAACACTAGACAATTAATGGCAATACATCCTGTCAACCAACGTATTTCGCTTAACGAAGGAATCGTCCTACCAGCCCGCGGTGGGCGGAAGACGGTTGAAACTCCACCCTTCCCCCCAAAGCAGTCATCGGCCGGGAGGATTATTGCTCCCTGTCAATGGAATAGAATCCGGAACGCCGATCGGATCTCCCGCCCTCCGGTTGGCTTCCAGCCCCTTGAGTAAAGCTTAGCGTCTGCCCTGTCGCTTCGAAGTTCCGAAGCCAGCAAAGACCCTTGTAATTGTGGCTGCAACGGCAGCATCGAGTTGGACGGAGTAATGCGCCAAGGATGTTAATCTGGCATGCGCTTCAAAATACGCACTAGTGTCACATCGCCATGGCTTTCCTGCATAAAACCACTTACTAAACGTGCATGGCAGGGCTGTGGCTGTGCTGGGGGGAAAAAAAAAAATTAATTTCGGATCCCTGGCGAAAATTCATCCATTCGGGCATGGATGGTTTCTTTCGCCCTATGCAACACGTTTACATTTGTTGTGTAGTTGCTTCTCTCAGTCGCCATTGCAGCCACAGCGAAGACGCAAGCGCGAGGAGCAGGCGATGAGGCGATGACGATAATAAAGCGGAACTGCCGAGATGGTTTTGATTATCTAGCCTCCTGTACAAAATAAAAATCTGCATGAGGGGGGATGGTCTCGCTTCGAGGATACAGCTAAACGCGCCGTGTTCGCATGAGGCCACAGTTCGTTTCCAGAAATGTGGGCTAATTTCATTGCTCAAAGTATCTATCGCTCAATATCGTGAAAAATACATCAAGGAGACAAAAAAAACAACATAGAAAGTGGGGGATCGAATATCAAGCAAATTCTCTTTCTTTGGGCTTTAGGCGGTATCCGTTTTACATCAATCCGATCGTAACGTCACCCTTGACCCGCGCATACAGATCAACTTCCACTTCCAGATCGAGCTCAATTCTTACGCTCATGCTGCTATCACGTGCCTCTTTGGAGTATGGTCGGTCTTTGATCCGTGATTCACGGATCACAGGAGGTCTGTAACCCTCGGCTCTCGGAGGGAGGTTGTGGTAATAAGGATATGGTTGAGCCGGTTGCTGCTGGACGACGGGCTGCTTTTGGCGGGTTGGGAAGCTATTGTTTTGTGCCTGCTTTCGCCCAGACTCGGGTTTATTTCCCGGCCTCGCTGGCGGCCGAGGCTTCTCCTGTGGTTGTTGTTCAAGCTCTGGCTGCTCAATATCGGACTCGTGCTCGGATTGGACTTCGTCGTTTTCGTAGTGATTTCTAGAAACTCGGTCTCGGTTAGTTACATTTCGGAATTACCCTTATATTCAAGAGGCCGCAGTGAATGCATTGCATAAACGTACGAATTGGCCATCTTTGGGGATCTTCTTGAGTTGCGGCGTCGGGAGGAAGCCCAGAGTTTAGTTTAAAAAGTCTCGGGCTGTTTTTTTGACCGAAGTCAGAACCGCCAAACGGATTTTGCGCACGAATACAGAATTTGCAGAGTTCCCCGAGCTTCGTTATATTCTCGTAATAATCCATCCAGAAGGTAGAGACGAAAATCCAGAAGACCAAAAAAAAAAACTTGGAACTTGCAACGACCCATGACCTAGCTTGACGTCACGGCCCCTTGGTTTTCCATCCCCTGGTCAACTGTGCCTATTCACTTCCTGTCAGATATCCTTCTGGGAATTGGTGGCCTCGCGAAGCTATCTTCGTGCATAGTGCATTGCATCGATCCTCTCTCGTAGTTAGAGACAGCAATTCCAATGCTCTGTAAGCCTTGCCTACGAAACACGTCCGTCCACAAAAGCTCGATATTCGATGTTGGCCGGTGACGTCACACCCACATGCTGGTTTACTCGGTTAGTTAAGGTTGGAATGGGGCGTTGGTCCTCCATGCTCCACATCACGCCAATTCTCGATAGGGCTGAGCATGATTGTTGGGCAGTTGGGCGATTTTTCTGCAGAGCAGGGAAGTGGTCGAAACCAAGGAGATCTTTCATGTTTGCGCCCTTTTGAAGGCTTAAGGTTAGAATACTGATTCAAGAAATGTGCGTTCCGAGGTTATAGATGTCTGTATATTGTTAGGATAGAGAATATAGAAATACCTCGTTGTGCGGTTCCGACCGAGTTAGTTTCTCGACCGAGGACTTATATTCCGAATTGCGTGACCCGTTCTCTTTGTGCGGCTTAAAACCTTCCTATGTACATACATGCATGTACAGATTTTGATTTTCTGAAAAGGTACGGGGTATTTGGAACGTAGTTTCCGGAGTACACATAATTTCGTAATATGCTACTACAGAAATGATGATAAACGACCATATATAGTGATAGGGTCTCGACAACTCTTTCATCTGATATCACTAATGGTACTCCGTACTATGCATATGTAATTCTTTCAGCTGCCAGCAGGTGTGGGTCCTGAAAACCATGGAGCATGATCCGGGATCCCGAGAAACGCCCTCGGCAGACTCTCCGATTCGGGGCGGCTGTCCCGATGGAGATTTCAAATCCTCAACCGCAAGAAAACAGGTCAAGATGCTCATATTATTGGGTTATGCTCCATCCACAAGAAAAGCTTACTCAATTGAAAGCTGCTGTGGCTTGCCTGCTGAAGAAAGCCAAAAGGGAACCGTTTACGGAGTGCTTCTCAGATAAATAATATACTTTTGGAGGATTTGAAAATATCTCGTGGACCGTTCGTTGTCTTAGTCACCATATTAGCTAACTAGTTACTTCCGTCGGAAGGTTTGGGATTTTCCTATTCCACAACCATCCGATTTTAATCCTGATCACGGGACCGCGATATCTTTAAGAGTCCATGTGCCGTGGGGCTCGGCGGTATGGGGTTGTCGCCGGAGCGGAAAAGACCCGCATTAACCTGAGTACGGGGAAAAATACCGGCAAATTTCCCATTATACTCTGTAACGCTGTGCCTTAAAAGTGAGCGCAGGTACAGCACACATCACAAGCAGGTACCCGTCGCTTATGGAACGAGTATCGCGTACCTCAAAGATCCGGAGGTCACGCTTAGCGAACGGAGAACTCCGGGCTCAAGCCATGGCATTGCCGGCAGTATGTATTATCCGGGCCGCATGATCTCCCTTTTCCATGGCGATTATGTCTTTTATAACGCATGGGATCATGACTTGCCGACGGAAGCGATATTGATAACCTCGTGTCTGCGGGAAGTCGTCTCCGATTAAAGTCCGAGCAGGTTGCCGGGAGGGGTTTGCCACATGAGTGTTGGCCAAAGTTGATTCGAGCCTCGAGCTTGCTCTCTTATCAGACAAAACTAGGACGGGACGGGGAATGGTGCTTTGTTGGGGAGAGAGGGGGGGGGATTGGAAGGAAATAGGCGACTCTTACTTGGTGTGTTTTTTGGGTCACGAAGCTGTAGCGAGGGGGAGAGTTTAGTGGCCTGACGCAGAGTCCCCATTATTCAATGCTGAATAATGGCGATCGCAAGCCACGCGTTAAAAGCCGAGCAGCTGTGTACCAAAAAAAAATAGGCGCCTAGCCTTGATGAAAAGGATCGCCTGGAGATCTTTGGCGCGGGACTGGAGCTTCGCACAGAGGAGAGGTAGCCTCTTTTCCGCTCTGTGGGCGTGTAAACTCGATCTTGCAGAGAAATTTTGACCGCGAGCTGCAGAAAGTGTGGCTGAGCAAAAGCTCTGACAGAGGCGATTGGTTGGACGACACCCGCCCGAGGCGGTGGAAATTGAAAGAAAGCAGCAGATCTCGCGCAGTGAAGCGATGCACTAGCCACAGCAGAGATTGACGCGATAATTCCCGAAAATATGTTGTATTCTGATTGGGTACCAGGCTCAGAAATTCGACGTTGGTCCGCGGAATACAGTGGCGGTGCTGAATGATTTCGGAAATACCGACGCGCCAAGCTGGTTTGTTGGGTGAAATTATTCCTGCTCTGCTGCTGTAATTTATGACGTGTCAAGCCACAAATTCTGTTCAAAGCAGAAAAGAATTTCTGCATTTGTGACTGGTTGCACCAGCCACAGATTGTTGGGTTTGAGGAAGCTTTCGTCGGCACCCACCCAAAAGTCCGATCTTGCTCTGAAGATCTCCCTCGTGGCATTGCTCTTTGATTCCTATGTCGTCCTATGTTTGGTGGCATGACTTCGAAACCATGGCTCGTCTTGTCTGGGGTAAAATCTAGATCCGAAAGTCACAGGACACCTACATAGTGAGTTGTAAAGTTTGAGGTCAAAAGTTTTTTCTCGAGTATCATCGTGAAGCTTCTGCTGCGTTTTTGTTACGGAATATTTCCGAACAGCAGTCACGGCCAAGAACATGACTAATGTCATTATCCAGTTCTCATTCGAGGAGCTCTTGTCACGGATCGCAGGTATATCGATGTACGGAGTACTCCGTACAGCATCTCGTTATGTGTGAGTGGTGGGGGGCTGCGAAGCTAGAGAGGCCGGTAGGGGGGTTCATACTCCAGAGCTAGGGAAGCTTTTCATTCGAAGCCCTACCATGGAAAGCGAAAAGGCTACTGGACCAAAGTGACTGGATAAAAAGCCACTGTGCATAACTCCGTGTGAAGAGCGTGTGGGCTATTTGATAGCAGATCGGCCCCGTTCGTAGGGCAGGGGGCCTGGGTCTCGCTGCACTGCCTGCCCCCCGTCAGAACATGTAACAAAAGGCGTGGAACTACGCCGCGATTTCCTGACTGGAAATAAGGCTTTTGCACACCGGACCTCGCCGTCACCCCCACCCGGACCCTCCCGACACGCACGTAACGCCAAGATCCACGGCGAGCTTCTACGTCATTCTTGGCCAAATTCTTTCGTTTCGCCGAGGAAGATGCGATGAAAACTTCGTCCCGCTTGTCCTTGACGATAGTGCGCTCAACTAACGATGGGGATCACAACAAGGTTCCTCTAGGCCGTGCATGCATGGTTTCCGCGCAAGACCCATGGTGATCTTTTGGGCTTGATCTTGGAAGATTTTTCGCAGGTGTCCTTGCGCTGTAACAAGCAGGTATTTTTCTGTACTCCGGTAAAAGCATGATGTATTCTTGTCCTCCTGGCCGAACGGAAGTTGAAGTGAATTGTCGGCCTTAGCGTCCTTATGTAAAATTTCCATGACGTACTTTGGGAAGTCAAAGCTGGATGTAATTTTTCATTTTTCATTTTAATATTATTTTTTTTATTTTTATTTTTATTTTTTTTTTTCCTCGAATGGGACTGCATCTCTCAGAAGATCACCAGTAATGTCGGGTTTTCATCGGGCGGAGATAGGCATCGTGTCCGGAGTATAGCTGTCATTGTGTTGGTGGTGCGTCGACTTCGGCGTTGCAGGGGTCAGTGGACACACCACCCTTCTCGTTGCTTTTTTTTTTTTTTTTCACTCTTTTCCTTTCCTTTCTTTTTTTTCCCTTGGCGGAAGTATATTTGCTTTTTTTCCATGATGCCATACAAGCGCATACGGGGATAATACAAAGCAGGGGTGGTTGGGTAGCGTCATAACAAAAATTCTATTTTGCATCAATCCACCTTACAAGGGCCTGCATAAACGGGTCCCGGGACTTTTTACATTATTATATATACACACGTCCGGCAATACATGAATCGAAGACGGGGCTTGAAAAGCAAGGGAACAAGATAAGAAAGAGTAAGGGAAAAAAAGGGTCCAAAGCACGTCGCCATTGGAAAAAAATATTCCTCCTCCGCCCGAAACCTTCCCTCCGACATCTGAAGACAACAAAACGGAACTGGGAAGCCAATTCGAATCTTGGTTTTCGCAGGTGAATACATAATAATACTGATATCTGTCCCCCCTTCGACCTCTTTTTCTTTCCCTGCAGCAAACAGAAAGTCAACTCTATATATACACTTTTGCACCCACGTTGTCAGTTCTACCACATGCGATAACTCTACTTTGCGGCGTAACCTTGGTCGAGCTACACGCAAAATTCGCCACTCTGGGCACACGGACCAATTCCCACGCATATATACTCTGCGCGATTTGCCTTCCGTCCTCCTGCGCCCATCATGCTAAATCGCCATTACCATCAACAACACCCGCTCTCTCCTTCGACCTATCCATCATCCCGCTCGCAATCTTATCGCCACCACAACCTTGCCCTTTCAGACCCAGCCACGACTGGATCACAGCATCAACAGCAGCACCCACAACAGCAACAGCAGCAACAGCAGCTCTTCTTCCCACAGCAGTACCAGGAGGGAATTTTGGATCCCACCCAGCAACCCGGATTCCACTCACCGTCCACCACCTCGTCATCTCAGCCCTTCGCAGCCGTTCCTCTTACTCCAGCTCAGTCGCAACGGTCGAATTTACCGTACCTCTCAACGCCACCATCCTCCTCAGCTGCTGCCTCCCCAACGTACTCTTCTCCCGCCTTCTCCACCCAGAACTCCCCGTCCACGGAACTTGACTCGTCCTTTTGGCCCGAGACCGCCAGCTTTTCTATGCAAGATAACACCTACTCTTCACTGGGAGGTCTGCCGCACACGCCACCGATCAAGGTCTTTCAGCCAGCCCCTCTATTTGGGGACGACGGCTTCGATCAGCAGGACGTCGCTGGTGCGTCCATGCTGTTGCAGAGCGGCCTGCCCCTGGATAACACGGAGTTCAATAACCTGCTCAGCCCGGTGAAATTCTGTCAAAACTCGCGACACTCCCAGCAGCAGCAGTTCTATCCTGGCATCAGCCACAAGAGAGCCTCATCTGGGTCTTCGGTTCTCTCTCTTCCATCGGCATCGGCAGTACCCCCACTGGAATCCTCATTTTCTTCTGTCTCATCCCCTGCGAATACTACCCACCAAGGCTACTCTGTATCAAGCCCATCAAGACCTCTCCCTACTCCACAGCGCACTCCCGTTCAGACTTCCTTCCTCGCGCCTCCTGCCTACAACTCTGGCGCCGGAGATGCTTGTAACACGGAGACTGAGATGGCAATGAGAAGAGCTATCCTTGAGCAGCAAAGACATCCTCATCAAGAACAGCAGCATCGTCGCACCAACCAGCAGCAAGGAGAGGACGAGGCGACCTTTCCTTACTCCTTAGCTCAGTCCGTCTCCAGTCTGAGCCATAACTCTCCTGCCACACCCCAGACGAGCTATCCAGACGATTTTGACGAAAGCAACAAGTCGCTATCGCATGGTGAGACAAATCTTCCTGACATTGATCGCTGGATGGATGAATACTTACAGGCCGACGCCTTTGCAGACCTCGGATCTCAGTCTAGTTCTCAGATTGGAATGCCAAAATTGAATCGAACTATATCAGACGTCTACCAAGACGAGTTGTACAATCCACTCATGGCGGCACCTCAGCAGGAAACGAAACCAGTACAACCGCGAGTCAACAAACCTTACGCCCCTTATCTCAATGTTATGGCAGACCGTCTCCAAGCTGCGCAGCAAGGCCATATCTCCGCTCGTTCCCACTCACCCAACTCAAACATCGCTCGGCAGCGCTCTCCATTTCGCCACGGTTCCCCCTACGCTCAAATGCCTTCTGCTTACACTTCAGCACACCTGCAGCAGCCAACGCACCCTACCTCTGGCCTGAGAGGAATGGAGCTTATGGGCACTGGCTCAGCGGCACAGGATGAACCCAAGACGATATCACCAAAGGATGCGTTGCTGGAATATCACGAACCCGAAGAGGGTAACGTCCCCTTATTTCCATCGCAGACAGACTCCTCCCAGTACAATGTTCCTACGACCATGACCACTTCCCCTGAATTCCAGCTCTCCGCGAACTTTACTCCTCTCAGCCAATATCCCAACCAGTTTGGCCAGGGTGGAGACCAAAACGGCCAATTTTACCTACCGCAGCCACAGCAACACCCGCAAATGCCCAGGCAGCCACAGCAGGGAACTATGCGAAGCCATCAGCCTCAACAGCAGCAACCGGATCGCACGTTGATTCAGCACACGCCTGAATTCCCAGCGCACGTTCCATCTATGGAGTCTACGAATAGCGAGAGGAATAATTCGGGAGTTTCATCAACTCCAACGCGTCCGCAGCCACAGTCTCCGATCAAGAGGCCGCTGGATACTTCTTCTGATGCTGGGACCTACAGCTGCACCTACCATGGATGCACTTTACGGTTTGAAACACCGGCAAAGCTCCAAAAGCACAAGCGCGAAGCACATCGCCAGACTACACCTGGTTCCCACGGCCTTGCGCGGGACGGATCATCTCTTGCCATGCGAAATTCCCAGGCCGGGCCCCATAAGTGTGAGCGGATCAACCCGTCGACGGGAAAGCCATGCAACTCTATCTTTTCCCGCCCTTACGATCTCACTCGCCACGAGGATACCATCCACAATGCTCGCAAGCAGAAGGTACGGTGCCACCTCTGTACAGAGGAGAAGACCTTCTCTCGCAACGACGCTCTGACCCGACACATGCGGGTGGTCCATCCTGACGTCAACTGGCCAGGCAAGCAGAGACGGAGAGGCAGAGAGTGAGCTGCGATCCTGGACCCACAGCGTTGTTTCCGCGCCATTTGGATCTGCAGAATATGGTTTACCCATAATCCCAGACATGAGATCTTCACTCGTCTTGTCATGACGCTTGAGACCAAGGAAATGACATCCCGCCAAGATGACCTGTGTCTGAGCCCGCGGTGTGCTCAGCAGTGATCGGCTTTTCTTGGTTGCTGCCCTGTCACCCAGTCCCTGCTCGGGAGGCGCCGGATGACGTCATTTGAGACGCCAAGCGTCCCAACTTCGCTTGTAGCCGACCATCCGGCCAACGCTCGGCTGCAGTGCTGCCCATAGAAATGCCCTGACGCCGGCTCTCTCTCTTTTCTTTCCTCTCGTTCTCGACTCTTGGAATGTATTTTGATTACGATGCAAGTTTATGGATTTGTTGGATAATTACGTTGATGACTAACAGTACTGTTATTTATGGTTTGATATCATATTTGATTCATTTTTTTTTTTTATTTATTTACTTTTAGCGTGCGAAGGCGTTGGCATGAGTGCGAAAACAAAAATAAGTTCAATCTGTATGGCTCTGCATTTTTGTTCTTTTTTTTTTTTTGCTTTTTTCCATGGGAGGATCGGATGCCATCATATGTCATACAAGCGCAACATCTGCAGCAGTGTGCGAATTTGATGATCTTGTATCATCAATCCCTTCTCATTTGGATTCGCTATTTTCAATCGTTCGCATTTCAGTTCTATACTCCCCCGAACCAGGGGCCTATTCTCCTCTACTTATACTTTTGTAATCGCCTGCCTTTATTTTTTTTTTTTTTTTTTTTTTTTTTTCGTTTTATTTTTTTGTGGTTTTCTTTGGGGTAGGGAACTCTGTATACGTGCCTTGTATATTTTGACATACGGGCACAACGAAGCGTGGCTTTTTTTTTTTTTTTTTTTTTTGGGCATGTTGTGGCGTATATTTTTATTACTGTTGCATTATGTCGCATGACGCCGGGGCACGGGTGGTTTGTTGTTACTTTTGGCATTTTATTTTTGGTGTCCTCATTACAGCATTTCTATAGATGATAAGCCCCGATATTCTATCTTTTGGACTTGCTTTTCGTGTTGCTTCATGGAATGGATATTCTGGATTTCTGGCACTATATATGTATGTATTATCTCACGTGCTGTACAATATGAGAACCTTGAAAGGTGATCCTTATTTACCAAATATTTAAACTCGGGTGTCTTGGGAGAGCGAGTGACCTATTTATTGGTGATGACGAAGGTTAAAAGATTCAGAGTGCGTAATCGAATGGTGATAATACGTTGTTTGTCATGGAGCATGTTTCCGCTCGGGGCTGAGGAAGCTTAACAATGGCCCCGTCTGTAGTCAATGGCCAGGCGATCCGGTGATAATTTTTTACTTTCTACAATTTTGGAAAAGGAGTGAGACAGTTAATGGGTATTCGTGAAATTTACTATGACCAATTGCCTATTTACATATAGCTCCCACCTGGACAAAAGACAGCCAAGAAAAATGGGAGCAAAGAAAGAGAGACTTCAGAGACGGGGAAGCCCGCTGCCGGACATAGCCTAATACGGATAACTCCGAATCTCATCCTCTTTCTCCAAGTCTAACCCCGCAGCAAGCTGCTCCTCATGTTTTTTATCTAGATAGTCTAGCAGCACTTCTCCGTACTTCTCTCTCCCCTTGTAGCGCGACACATCGTCCCCCCAGCTACGAATCGCCGACGCCAGTCTCCCGGGCACATACGGCTCCTTGACGATTTCTGTAATCGGCTCAAAGTATGTCCGGATCGTGAACACGACGGCTCCAGAACGCGGCAAGCGGCGCAGCGATTGTCGCTCCGAGCGGAAGTAATGATGCTGGATGGCCTTATTCTTCGCCGCCGTGTTCCAGCTAACCGACTTACTATCCTCAGGCCCGATGCTGTACGACCACGCCAGGTCCTCGTCGACCTGGATGAAGTAGTTATTCCGCAAGACCGGATCCGAGGGCTTGATACGCCGGAAGAAATTCATCATGCCCTTCTCAAGCTTGGTTTGATACCCGGGGACGTCGCCTGAGGTGTGGATTTCGGAGAGCCGCATGCCGAATTTATCTTCGATGCGCCAGAATCCTGCGAGGAGGACGGCGCCCGCGAGGAGGTAGTATTGGCCGTCGGGCTTTTCAAACATGAGCGCTAGATCGTCCTGGATGAGGCGGGCGCATGTGGTCATGGGGTTTTCGGCGAACGGACGCTGCGTGATGTTGAAAGATTCTCCGGTGAGGAGGTTGTCGATGCCCACGGGGGTTTTGCGGAAGAGGGATGGGTAGCGCATGGGGAGATAGGAGCAGCTGGCGATTGGCTGGAGGTGAGCAAAGTGGATTTCAATTGGTGTCTGCTATGATTTGTAGTCACATACAGCTCTTCTAGCAGTTCGATCACTCCGTCCATCGCTTCGGGAGCAACCATGACGCACTTTTTCTCTCGTTCTTTGATACGGCGGGCCTTGTCAGCGTGGTATCTTGGATAGTGATTATCCAACTCTGAATACTTTGTTAATTTTATATGGACAATATGACTCCCAAATCTAAGTGGTTCCGACATACCAATCCATTCATCCCACTTCATGGATCTCAATCCCATGGTAATGAAATATTTCCTTTGACCCATTAAAATCTTACCCCGCGAGACATCAATCGTTAAGGTAATTGGCAAACTTACGGGCCATATCTAAAAGGCCGATATGGCTTCGGCTGAGACGTATGCACATCCCAATTAGGGTACGCCACAGGGTCGGGCCGCTTGAAGTCTTGCGGTATCCATTCTTTGTGAAAGATAACGTCAACAAAACTTATTCCCATAGATTTATGAAAAGTAAGAGGATGTCTACCTCCTTGTTTTCTGTCAATTTGCTTCGTCCTTTGTGCCTGTATACTTGGTTTCTCCAAATCAGGCGTGCGTGGTCGCTTTATAGAACGCGCACCGAATATCCTCAGGAGGGTATTGATTACCCATGATGTAGTAGAGGCAAAGAGAAGAATTCCAACTAGTTCTCTTACGTAGAATTGGTTGGCAATCTGTGTAAGAGTTTCCATTATGTCTGAGCATTTAACAGAACAACACTGGATATCATTCAGTCATCAAGGGAATGTTGTACATCTGGCTCAGCCAGGGAACAAGCAATATTAATACATGTACACACAAGTAGGCGTGTTAATAAGAGTTTTTTTTTTTTTTAAATGAGATAGCACAGCAGCAGCCATCGCACTGTATATTCTCTTTCTCCGCTGTTTGATCAGCATCTTCCACCAAGTCCCGCCAGCCAAAGTAGGGAGGGGAGGGGGGTGCTGATATCACGTTTCACAAACTGGACTGGCTCGATTCATTCTACTTCCGTATGTGGTTTGGTTGTGCCGCCCGGATCCTGGCGGTTGACTTTGCCGCGGATTTCTTCTCCTGTTTGGGTAAAGCGTCGCCAGCAACCAAATTGGATGACTTGTGCAGAACAACACAAATCAGGAATACAAATGCAGCCGTCTGCCTGAGTTCTGAAGATAACACTTTTCGTCGTCGCTCAATACCGGGATGGCCACGTTTGTCGAGCTGAAGTCAATTGGCGACAGGCGGGTTCGCCTTTTTCCCGCGACTCGTGATACATCGTCGACGGGAGGGAGTTGGCATCTCCTTGCTCTTCCTTCAGACGTTGACAGCCCTCCGTTTAAGTAGACAATATTGTCCATATTTGCGTTGCATGTTCTTGGGAATAAATGGCAAATCAGGAACCCAGAGGATGCGACCCAAAGCGCCTGTACGGCCGCTGTCGAGGAACGGTTTGCAAGAAACTTTCTCCCACATTTTATCATCGAGGATGTAATGAGGTTGGAGGTCAGATTCTCTATCTCCGAGAAAATAAGAATCCACCAAAAAGTCACATTGCGAGATATCGGTCTGCCGAACATTAGTCAACCCGTATTTCGGGGGCCTATCAACGCACGATCTGAAAATTCACTCACGTATTTGGAGACATCCTCCTGATTCATATCATTCATCCCCGATGGAACCATCCAAGTCCCTGTGAATGGTCCGCTTTTCTTCGATTCCACGAACTCTCCGGGCAATAAGCCCTTAAATTCACTTCTGACAAACTTAGCCCGCAAATTATCGGGCAAGAAGAATGACGAAGGAAAGCGATACCATTCCTTCCCGACACAAACAAAATCTCCGGTACTAGTTATATTCGGTTGTTCCAGGTCCCCGAAAACCTTGAGTGGAGCATTATATGCGGTCGTCATGCCCACGATCCTCAAAAGGCCGAGGTTGAGCCCAAAAAGCGCGGCGCTTATGATCACGGCAAATTTCAGTTTCACGGGAATACGACCAACCAGTTCTTGACGGTTGTTTGATCCTAGATAGGCAAGCAGTATATGTAGGCCAATTGCGGCGTTCAACGCGAGAAACGGATATGCAGGGTACATGAATCGCTCTTCTTTGTGAGGCTGAAAGGTGAAAATCCCAAGCCAGAGATAAAATGGAAAGAGGTATGTTATAGACCTCAGTAATGTCTCCTTGGATGTCTTGTGGGGGCGGAATAATGCTTGTAGTGCGAGCAGCGGACCGCTAGACAACGCCAGCACGAACCATATATTGAAGTTGAGTAGCAAGTTCCGCGCGTAAAAGGTCCACGGCTCGGTGCCGAAGATGTCGGGGCCTTTTCCAGCACCACCAAAGACGTTGTAGGCCACTATGTTCCAGGGAACAACCACGAGCTTACGGTAGAAGAAACTATCAACAGCCACCTCAAGAAGCTACCTCAAGATCAGTAGGCATTTAAAACAATCAGGAGTATTTTACCCACCAAAACTCCTAGACATCTGGCAATACCACTGAAAATCCTCGAAAAGACCGGTTGAGCTTCCTGAAATATAATCCCAAGGACAAGCTCTTCAAGAACGAACGGTACCACCAAAGCTCCGGCAAACGGCCATCCAATCAGAGCACCAATTCCGAACCACATAATACCCCTGGCTGTTTGGAGACCGCGACGCGAATCTAGGAACGCCGATAAACCCAACATGGATGTGTACATTGCAAAGCTAGACGGCAAAAGGGCAGTAGAAGCATGGAACATGCCGGGACTAAATAGCATTATCATAAGGAAGAGCACTCCGATCCGCGGGTTCAATGTGCGCGAGATCACCGAGTAAAGCCGCGTTTCGCACATCGTGCAGGTGAAGGCTAACGCCATACGGACAAAGTAGAACTGAGCTGACTTGGTACGCGTAAAAAAGGTAGATATCTTCGCGACAAAGGCATGGAGGGTGATGTATAACCAGCTTCGGATAGAATATTCCGGAGAGTATTCCCAAGTTTGAAGGCCATAACCGTGCGAGAGGTAATGGGTTGGTTCCCAGTAGTTGAAGACTTCATCGCAATCTTGGATAGGCGCCAACACGGCAGCTAGGACATTAGAGAAAAGGCAAAGGTAGAAAACGACATTCAACGGGAGGAAGAAGGGCTGGGGAACCGGTCTGTATTCAGTGTGTTAGCTTCGATGTTCTCGTTCTTCAATCCTTTCAGCCAAAAGGGACTGGCACACTTTGCGTTCGTCTGCGGAGCTGCGGAAGATTCGCTACTTGACTCTGGAGCTTTGGGAGCCATTTTGGGGCTATGAAAGTAAGCAGCTGATGGCCCTCTGAAAAGTACGCGTCCTTATCGACTCAATGCATCGGTACCTGGCGTGGGTGTCCGTGTTGTTTTTGTTGGGATTGGAGGCACTAGAAGGTGGTTAAAGCAAGCTGACGAGCTGGTGACCTCATCCCAAAATTTTCGGCGGAAGCTTCTAACATTTTTTTCCTCGTGTCTCTCATGCTACTCCACTATCTGCGCTCTTGTCAACAACTAAGGAAAATGAAGCTTTAAATTACAGCCGGTTCCTACTACTTCCTCAGTATTTTTGACTTTGTGAATTAATTTCTTTTTTTGAAATGGCGGAGGGAAACCATACGGGCCCCGAGCCTTCAGACGGTAGCCCTAATCACTCTACAAAATTACCATACCTCGACGATGCTAACTCTTCTGCAGAGATCGCCGATACTCCTATGGACGATGGTAGCAATTTCTATAACACGCCCCTTAATGGAGGCACCCCTCTCCCGTCGTCTCATGCCGCGAACCCAACCAAATTCGAGCGCCCTCCGACACCAGAGAAGCCTCGTCCGCAAATACCGGGATTGAGTCTTTGCAACCAGCCTAACAGACAAGAGCCGCAGTCGCATTCTGAGCAAGATAGTGGGTCTACGATAGCCGACTCTCTGGACCTAGTTATTACGGCAATAGAAGCTGCGGCGAAAGAGGAGTCAGAAGGCATCGCAGGCGGCACAACAGGGGCGGATGTTGGGGCTGGGGGTATAGAAAAGGGAGTGGCGGCATCGATTGAGACGGAAGTTAAGCAAGAGACGGAAGCCCCTGCTTGTGTGAAGAACGAAGCTCAAGAACAGATACAAGAGCGAGACATTACGATACTTGCTGCTGAAGGCGCGATATCCGACAATGTTCCTGCTGCTACTAACGAAATCACGATGACTGAAGCTGCGCCGGAAGAGAATGGTGAGAGGGAGTGGGAGACGGATTCCTCACCCTATGAATCGTCGTCTGATTCATCCTCCGATTCATCGTCAGATTCAAGCGATGAGGATGAAGATTATGAGTTACTCGATCCCGAAGAACAAGCTCGCATCTTGATGGCCGCTGCAGGATCTGACGATGAAGATGGCAAGGACGAAAGATCAGCCGCGAGAGACGTGAGAACCGCTAATGAGAAACCAGAAGAGATTGTCCCTAAGCCAGATATCACTATCACGCCCGGTATGAAAGTTGAGATGCTTGGGAGTGTAGAATCGGTTGTTGATAATATTGTTTTGATTAAGGCGAATATATCTGGGGAATACCAGGTGCTCGAGGCCGGTTCGGTTCTCTGTCTAGCAAACCTGGAAGTCATTGGGGTTGTGTCCGATACTTTTGGGAAGGTTGAACAGCCACTCTACACGGTTCAATTTACGAATCAGGAGGAAATTCAGAAAGCGGGCATAGAAAAAGGTATTCCGGTCTTTTACGTTGTTGATCACTCGACATTTGTTTTCACACAACCTCTCAAGGGACTGAAAGGGAGTGACGCGTCAAACTTACACGACGAGGAAATCGGAGAAGACGAAGTGGAGTTCTCCGACGATGAAGCTGAAGCGGAATACAAGCGGCAGCTCAAGTTGAAGCGTCAGCAGAAACGTGAAGGCCGACCCGAGGCTGGTAGGAAAGGCAAACGTCGGGGTGTGCCTTTACGTCCCTCTGGGCTGAAAAATATGGAGCTTAACTACGATGATGAGCCTCAAGATGATGGTTATAATACCTTACAACGGCCAAAAGATCTGCATGAGCAGATGATGACCCGTGACGCGACGGCTCAAGAAGGCTCCTATCGTCGTTTTGATGGAAGTCCGCATGGCGGTAGAGGAAGAGGCAGAGGTAGAGGCAGAGGACACGACCGAGGGAGAGGAGGTCGCGATAGGGGCGGTGGGAACAGGTATCAGCCTCATAGGGACGAGTTTCAACAGCAGCCTTCTTCCGAGGAACCACCCGTTAACCCCCATCGCCATTCTTCGAATGGATACGTTCCACCACCACCGCCGCCACCTTATAATCCAAATTCTGCCACCTACACACAGCCGCCTGCAGCTCCTCAAGGTTATCCTGCAATCTCTCCGCAAGCGTCCCAATTTCCTTTTCCCAACCTTCCTTTCCCTTCGCAGCAAGCTCGTTTTGCTTTCCCGCCACCAGGCTCTCACATTAACCCGGCATTCTTCCCGATCCTTATGCAACAACACCAGCAACCCCAGCACCAGCCATCTATATCCCCCTCAGTGCCACCATCCCAAACGTCTACCGATGCATTTGCTGCTGCCCAGGCGCAGATAGATTTACTTAGACGATTGAGTGGCGGAGGGTCATGACGAGTTTGATGACTATCAAGTATGCACCGAACAGTCCAATTTTATTTTACTTTTTTTTATAAATATTTGAATTTTGACCTAGTCCATTTTCCTTGAAAGCTTATTGCTTGACGTTACCTGGTTAACTTGTTGGTTTAATGGGAATTTTATAGTCCCGAAAAGTTTTGGCTAGTTGATTCGCGGCGAAGTGGTTTAATGGGATGGAGTCGATTGGTGGAACGTACAGTGATTTTCGCTAAGTTTTCCCAGCTACAAATGCTACAATCATATTCAGGTAGTTGGATTTCGGTCCCTAAGAAAAGTGTCATGGAAGTATATATACACGGCTGATATGATACCCAACTTCTGCGGACGTTGCTTACACCCAACCCGGACACACAAGGCGATAAATGCTATCAAAAAGATGTCAAAGGCTCTATTTGCCGCGGAAACTCCTTTATGTCAAGTTGGACTTCATGCTTTTAGCCAATGTCCAGAAATTCTCCATCTTAGCTCGTGACAGCGCATCTTTAGCTGCGGCATCGGACTCACAGACCCTAGCGCCAAGCCACTTACGAAAAGCCCTCGTCTTCACTTCTCCTTCCCAGACCAGGGTACATGTGTTTAGACTTAAGTCCTTCAGTTCACCGGTTTTCTCATCTTCTGCCGCTAGCCATGACGCTAACGCCTCTCGATTTCCATCTCTGACCGCATTCGGTCCTGCATTTTCAGTCCAATCAATGCGGTTGAGCATAAGTTTTTTGAAAGCATTGATGGAATGGGATCCACCTTCAACGATCACGAGATTGAATTTCGGATTCATAACGCAGATGCCAGAGAGCGCATGCTGCTCTGCGTTTCGGCTGATCTTGAAACGATTCCGACCATTGGCAAGGCTATCCACACGGTAGACGGTCATATGTATGCCCTTCAAGGCATCTTTTTCTTGCTGTTTCGCTAGCTTTTCGTGTCGTTCTTCTTTTGTTAGCTTGCGGGCTTCATTATCCGCTATGTGCTTTTCTGCGCGCTCAGCTATCTCCCGATTGACACGAGCTTCGACAGCTGTGGGGTCTTTAACTGCCTCTTCTCCAAGAACACGCATCAAATTAGATTTCTTAACTTTTGGTGGAGGAGCTGGCTCCAACCCCAATCTGATTTTGGCTTGTTGTTCTTTAAGATCAGCCATTCGTCTTTGGCGTCGGATTTTGGCTTGTTCTTTGGGTGTAAGATACATCGGCTTGGGCGGTGGGATATTCTTGTCTTGAGGAGGCTCCAAAAGGACAGGATGTTGTATGTAGATGGTAACGACCGAGTCAGGAGAATCTATTTTATAATTGTTAGGGTCGTCAAGAGCAGTATAGTCACTTCCATTGACAAGACCCTCATCCCACCACTCAATTGCAGGAGGGGCCGGGACCAGAAATGCCTTTTCGACATCCAGATCTTCATCTATACCAGCCTGGCGGGCGCGTTCAGCGATCCGTTTCTTCATAGCCTCTAGCTGGGCCTGCCGTCGTAAAGCAGCAGCCTGCTGAATATATTTCCCTTTCTGATTGAAAACAAGCTGCCGAGAATACCGAGGACGAGCCAAGGCCGTTTTCGCTCCAAGCTTAGGGTCAAAGTAGGGATTGTTCCTAGTTTCTTCAATTGAGGGACCAGAGAGATCGAGTCGTTTCCCCCTAGCTTTAAATGAGGGCACCGGGGATTCTGTTCGGCGATTTTCCATTGTAGTAGCAAACTTAGACTGCAGGGCCTGTTTGTTTTTGGCGGAGCGCCCATCTAACCCTGCATCTCCAAGAAGGGCAGGATGCAAACCGACATCAAGACCGCCCCGGGCTCTAGACATCCCTTCGTCCATAGGCGGGGGTACAAACGATGGTGGAGCTTGTGTCTTCTGCTGCGCAGCGGCATTTGCCCTCCCTGTAGCTGCCGCAACTCTGGCCTTCATCTGTTCTAGTCTGGAGAGGGACGCACTCGCCGCAGGCGGCGCGGGAGAAGGAGAAGGAGACATGGACATCGGAGCTAGACTTGCTCCTGTTTGTGCTTGAAGTCTAGCTCGAACAGCTTCTGCTTTTGCCCTCGCCTCTGCGATAGCCTTCTGAATATCGACTCTAGGAGGTGCGCCATTGCTGCTGGGGGGTGCCGGCGACCCTTGCTGAGATCGAGTTCGTTTAGTATTGTTTTCTTCATCGCCGGGATGCGGCCGCTTCAACGAGCTCGCTGATATGTCCGCCATGATCAAACCGTGATAGGGAGCAGAATCCTTCGCTCCTCTTAAGCAAGGATGTGTCGCAGCCGATCTCGTTCGCGCTACGAAGCTTTTGTTGGCGCCGCAGCACGCCAATGCTGAGTCATCAATACCTTGGCGCTTGAGCTTTGGAGCGGAGATATGCGGCAGAAAAAAAAGTTCCTCGCGAGAGAATGCGAGAGCTGGCGACGAAAAGCTCACCACTACTAGCAGCGGGGGAGAGAGGGTCGCGATTGAGAGCTAATCCCATTCATAGAAGCAATGGCGAGCTTTACTCGACCCGTATCTTCCACAATCAGTGGAGTGGATTTCGAAGTCCTTTCCGATAACGAAATCAAATCGGTATCAGTGAAGCGCATACACAATACGCCCACTCTCGATTCGTTCAATAACCCCGTCCCTGGAGGTCTATATGACCCGGCTCTTGGTGCATGGGGTGATCATATGTATGCGATATATTCCAGCTTTTATTTGATAATTTAGATCCAATTTCACTGACAATTCGCATTGAATAGATGCACAACATGTCGATTGAATGCATGGTCTTGCGCTGGCCACTCAGGCCACATTGAGCTGCCGGTTCACGTTTATAATGTTACATTTTTTGATCAGCTCTTTCGGCTCTTAAAAGCTCAGTGCATTTACTGCCACCGATTCCGAATGTCGAAGATCCAGATAAATACATACGTTTGCAAATTGCGGCTTTTGCAGTATGGTTTGGTGGAAGAGGCTTCGACGATTGGGACAATGGAGCTCCGAAAGGGCAAACATAATAAAGGGGATGGCGAGTCTGACAGCAGTGAGGACGAGGACGAAGAAGATCTTATTGATCGCCGGAATGCCTATGTCCAAAAATGCATCTCCGGTCTTGCGTCTTATAAGACGAGACAGAACTATATGAAAATGGCAAAAAATCCGGCAGCGGCAGAAATGAGGAGAAATTTAGTGCGCGACTTCCTAAAAGATGTTGCAAATGTCAAAAAATGCGCTTCTTGTAGTGGGTGAGCTTTGAACTTTCTCCCATCGCACTTTAGCATGGACTAACAATTATTTAGCATTTCTCCTCCATATCGAAGAGATAGGTACTCAAAAATCTTCCGTAAATCTTTGCCGCAAAAAGCCAAAGCTGCCATGGTTGCCGCTGGCTTTCAGATTCCGAACCCCCTCGTTTTGATGGAGGAGGCCAACCGTCTCTCCAAAAAGCACAAAACGATACAAAACGAGGACAGTGTCAATGGAATTATTGATGATGGCAATATCAGTGTTATCACTGAGACACATGGCGCTGAGCAACAAGTGTCAATGGGAAATGCAGTTTTAGCAGCAGTCGAGGACACGGAATCGTCGGAAGCCGGTGGTCAACTAGACGATTCTCAGCAGTACATACCATCATCGGAAGTCTATGCATCTGTGCGATTTTTATTTGAGAAAGAGCAGGAGATATTGGATTTGGTCTATGATTCAAGGCCCGGCTCAGGGCGGCGGTCTCATGTGAACGCCGATATGTTTTTTATCAAAAACCTACTCGTGCCCCCCAACAAGTACCGCCCGGCCGCACAGCAAGGTCCTGGTCAAATTATGGAAGCCCAGCAAAATACTTCCTTCACTCGAATTTTAAAACTATGCGATCAAATCAACCAAATCAGCCGAGAGAGGCAGGGTGACAATGGTGAATCGATATCACGGATTCGAAGTTATCGTGATCTCCTCCACGCAATTGTACAGTTGCAAGATGCTGTCAATAGTTTAATTGACCGTGACAGAAATCCTGCGCAAGGAGCAGCAGGTATTCAGAATGAGGACGGTATCAAGCAAAGGCTAGAAAAGAAGGACGGCCTGTTCAGAAAGAACATGATGGGAAAACGTGTCAACTTTGCAGCCCGAAGCGTCATATCCCCCGATCCAAATATCGAAACGAACGAAATTGGAATTCCTCTTGTCTTTGCCAAAAAGCTTACCTATCCAGAGCCGGTGACGAATCACAATTACTGGGAGCTCAAGCAAGCGGTGATCAATGGTCCAGATATCTATCCTGGTGCTGCAGCTGTCGAAAATGAACTCGGACAGGTTGTCAATTTGAAATTCAAGTCTGTCGATGAACGTATTGCAATTGCAAATATGCTTCTATCTCCATCAAATTGGAAATTGAAACGATCGAGGAATAAGAAAGTCTATCGACACCTAACAACTGGAGATGTAGTGCTGATGAACCGACAGCCAACACTGCATAAACCATCCATAATGGGACATCGTGCTAGAGTATTAACTGGAGAAAGGACAATTCGAATGCACTACGCCAATTGCAACACATATAATGCAGACTTTGACGGTGACGAAATGAACTTGCATTTCCCTCAAAATGAGATTGCACGAGCTGAGGCCATGCAACTGGCTGATACAGACCATCAATATCTTGTCGCAACTTCCGGAAAGCCTCTCCGTGGCCTAATCCAAGATCATATTTCCATGGGAACTTGGTTCACATCTCGGGACAGTCTTTTTGACGAGGAAGATTACCACCAGCTTCTTTATAGCTGTCTGCGGCCAGAGAACTCGCACACAGTTAGCGAGAAGATTGAACTTATGCCACCTACCATTCTTAAGCCTAAACCAAGATGGACCGGGAAGCAGATTATCTCTACCATTTTAAAAAATATTACTCCCGAAAATCGAGCTGGTTTGAATCTAATAGGCAAGTCCTCCACGCCAGGAGACAGATGGGAGATAGGCTCTGAAGAAGGCAAAGTTATCGTCAAAGACGGAGAGCTACTGTGTGGTATATTGGACAAGGCCCAGCTTGGGCCTAGCGCCGGTGGTCTTATCCACTCGGTTCATGAGGTTTTTGGGCATGTTGTTGCCGGGAAGCTCATCGGTATTCTGGGACGACTGCTTACTAGGTTCTTGCAAATGCGCGCCTTTACTTGTGGCATGGATGATCTTCGGCTGACCAAGAAGGGCGATGAAGAGCGTAAAAAGCAACTGAAGAGGGGTGACAATCTTGGCCACGAGGTTGCCCTCCAGTATGTTACCCTCGACGAGAGCCCCGTTGAGGATAAAGAGACCGAGTTGCAAAGGCGACTGGAAGATGTACTTCGGGACGATGAAAAGCAAGCTGGCTTGGATAGCATGTTCAACTCCAGAACAGCTGGACTTTCATCCGATATCACGGCTGCTTGCTTGCCTTCTGGCCTTGAAAAGCCTTTCCCATGGAATCAAATGCAAGCCATGACGGTGTCTGGTGCTAAAGGTTCAGTGGTTAATGCAAACTTGATTTCCTGCAATTTGGGTCAACAGGTGCTGGAAGGCCGTAGAGTGCCAGTTATGATTAGTGGGAAGACCTTGCCATCCTTCAAACCGTTTGAAACCAAGCTTGTGGCCGGTGGTTATGTCTCTGGTCGTTTCCTTACTGGAATCAAGCCTCAAGAGTATTATTTCCACGCCATGGCCGGACGAGAAGGACTTATCGACACTGCGGTTAAGACCTCTAGATCCGGGTACCTCCAGCGCTGTTTGATCAAGGGAATGGAAGGTTTGAAAGCAGAGTACGATAACTCAGTGCGGGATACTACGGACGGAACTCTTGTGCAATTCCTTTACGGAGAAGACGGTTTGGATATCACGAAGCAAAAGCATCTTCAAGATTTCAGTTTCTTAGCTCAGAACTATTTGTCCATCCTTTCACAAGTTAATGGCATGGACGAGTTCAACAAAGTCCATAGCGAAGTTGCTGCCAAGTGGAACAAGAGCGCCATCAAAAAGGTTAAAAGGACTGGGCAAGTGGATGCTAAGGACCCAGTCCTGGCTCATTATCATCCAGGAGCTAATTTCGGAAGCACATCTGAATCTTTTGCTACTGCCCTTAAAGAGGTAACTCGTACCCATCCCTAGCTACTGAGAGCTCGCTGACCCTAATTTTCGTTTAGTACGAGAAGAAGAATCCCGACAAGCTTTTAAAAGACAAGGGCCAAGGAATCGATGGCATCTCTAAAAAGGACTTTGAACATATCATGAACATGAAATATATGCGTTCGGTGGTGGATCCTGGTGAAGCCGTTGGAATTGTTGCCGGGCAGTCTATTGGAGAGCCATCTACTCAAATGACGCTGAATACTTTCCATTTGGCTGGTCACTCCGCGAAAAACGTCACGCTTGGTATTCCTCGACTTAGGGAAATTGTCATGACGGCTAGTACTCAGATCCTAACCCCGACTATGTCTGCCAATTTTTATGAGCAAGTTTCCACCAAAGATCGGGAGCTATTTGCCAAAGGCATTAGCAGACTTACTCTTGCCGAGGTTGTTGATAAACTCTCGGTCCATGAGCGGATATCCAACCGGGGTAACGTGAAAGCGAAAGTTTATGATATCCATATTAACTTCTTCCCTGCTGAAGAGTATACCCAAGAGTACGCTATCAAAGTTCAAGATGTGCTTGAAACATTGGAAAAACGATTCGTTCCGAAACTTGTCAAGCTAACAAGGGCGGAACTCAAGAAACGAACAAGCGAGAAGTCCCTCTCTGATTTCTCTGCTGCTCAGCCAGAAATTGGAGCTTCTGTCGGAGTCGTCGAAGAAGGCCCACGAAATACTGAAGGAAGAGAGGCCGCCAATGACGATGATGAAGATGAAGATCAAGACGATGCGAAGAGAGCAAGATCGTCGCAAAACAGGTCGAACCAAGTTTCATATGAAGCCCCTGATGAAGATGACCAAGACATCATTCGGCGCCAAGATAGCTCAGAGCTAGACTCCGAAGATGAAGATGAGAGCAGCGAAAACAAGGAGAAGAGACCGGCATCAGGTGATGAAGACGTCGAGATGAAAGACGCTTCTGATGTGGAAGATGAGGACAAGGAACGCGAGGAATCGATCCGAGACAAACATGCTGAAGTCACTCGATTCAAATTCGATCCCAAGAAAGGCACGTCGTGCATTATCCAACTTCAGTATGACGTCTCAACGCCCAAGCTCCTTCTGCTGCCTCTTGTAGAGAACGCCACTCGCGCAGCCGTTATCCAATTCATCCCCGGCCTTGGCAGCTGCACATACGTGCCCGAAGAAAGAGATACACCGGCCCACATACTTACTGACGGTGTCAATCTCCTCGCTATGCGCGATTATCAGCACATTATCAACATGCACACCCTGTACAGCAATTCCATTCACCACATGCTTACACTCTATGGTGTTGAGGCAGCGCGTGCAAGCATTGTTCGCGAAATGGACTCCGTTTTCAAGAGCCACAGCATTGCCGTGGATAACCGCCATCTGAACCTCATTGGCGACGTGATGACTCAGAGTGGAGGATTCCGCCCATTCAACCGTATGGGCATTGTGAAAGACAGTACATCACCGTTTATGAAGATGAGTTTCGAAACTACTGTACGATTCTTAAGGGATGCAGTCCTAGAGCGTGACTGGGACAATCTTGCTGCACCTAGTAGCAGGATTGTCATGGGAAGAGTGAGCACTGTTGGTACTGGGTCTTTTGACGTTCTTGCGCCAGTTGGATAAAGCGATAACCCATAGTTATATCTACATCTAATTTTTGTTGGATGGTTTGAAAGTTTGTTGGCATTTGGATGATGAATGTCAAAGTACTGGATAGATCAAAAATATTTTAAATAGTTGCCTGAATATTATTCATTCTATTCAAGTCGCTTTGCAGCTGCCAAATATTCCGCATCTATGCTCGCTAAATTCGCCGTAAAACTCCGCTGAGGTATCACTATTTGAAACGGTGGAATGTTTGAAACTGCGTCCCAAAACCATATAAACTGCGTCAATTATTCGGCGTCCAGCATCATGAGGTCTTCGTCAATACCATCGTCGTACATTTCCAAATCTCCATTATTATTTGCACCGTTAGCAGCTGGTAGCGCAGCATGTCGTTGGTTAGCCTCCTGATATTTCTTCTCAGCTTCACCCTTTTGCTTCTCTAGATGGCGCTCCAGATCAGCTAAACTCCAGGTGGAGATACCTTCTTGGTCTTTAGCCTTAAACGGCTGAGCCATTGTTCGCAAGAAACTCTTAGCCGTCGCCACAGCCATGTCCGTGCTCAAGTTTGTTTCGCTCTCAAGAATATTCTGACTGATCCACTTCGGGAGTTGGTTCCGTTTCTTCTGGAAACGACGGTCAGCAAGGACCATAATCCCGTAATCGTCTTTGCCTCGAAGAACGCGTCCAAGACACTGCGCTGCGTGCCGCATGGCGTCGAAAGAGAGAAAATCATCTTCTCTGATTCGGTAGTTCTCCAGCATGAACCGAAGTCGTGCTTTCAGAATGGGTGATTCTGTGTACTGGAACGGAACGCCAATGCAGAGCACCGCACGACCATAATGGTGATCAAAATCAATTCCTTCGGAAACCTTTCCACGAGCGACACAGAGCAGAATCGCACCGCGGCCATTGCAACACGCTGTGCGATACGTCTCAAGTGCAAGAGATGACTCTTGAGAATCGGGAGTTTCAACGAGGATTAATTTATAATTCCATATTGAATCCAAAATTCCCATCCCTTGCCACATACTGATGATAGATTCCATATAAAGGTATGATGGGAAGAATACCACTATTCCATCGGGCGTAATGCGAGAAAATTCCAAGAGTAAATTTCCGTAGTTTCGAACGACCCCAGGGTCGTTACGAATCTTGAAGGCAGAAGAGATTTGAGCCTGATCAGAGCCACGAGTGACGATCATTGGTAAAAAGGAGCGTCGCGCAAGAGTCATACTGTACGATTCCTGAAGCACAGTTTGGAATCCAAGCATCTTTGGGTACATCTCAAGAGGCGAGAGGGTACCCGAGGTAATGATCACTGACCCAAACCTCTCGAAAACAGGTTTAATAGCGATTGCTGCATCTAAGCAAGTAAAGTGAAGCACAGGATTTGGAACTGTTGCAGTGTCCGATTCAAACGGCTCAAGGATGAGGAGAAACCCCTTTTCGTAGGTGGAAACCAATGTCGCAAAGGTTGCTATCTCTTGAAGGGGCCGATACTCCTCGATATTCATCAGTTCTAGAGTTCGAACAAGCGATGTGAGTCGTTCCGCACAAAACCTTAGTGGCTTGCGCTCAATATAGGTCAGGTCTTTAAGATGAGAGAGGAAAGAGAGCGGCGTTTCAGAGATCGCATGTAGCACTTTCATACGAGTCTTTAAGTATTCGATAAACCGCTTTAGAAACGCAACAAAGTGCTCTGCTCTCCGAATATTTCCTGGAACTGCTTCTTTAAGCAGATCATCTGGTAAGGCAGGATTTGCCATAAGCTGATCTTCTTCTCGCGCTTGGTCGGCTTCTCTTAAGCCTTCAACTAACTTTTCATATTCCTTCTGTAACTTCGCAGCATCCGACCTCTTCATCTCATCTATCTTATGGCCCAGGTTGTTTGCACCACGACCAGCTTTTCGCAGCGAGTCCTCGGTTATATCGATGCTGAGAGACTCAATGCAGACGTTGTCGATATTATGGGCCTCATCGAATACCACTATGCAATCTTTTGAGAGCTCCTTCGAGACTCGCTCCGCAATTTTCGGATCGAGTAGATAATGATATGAATATATGATAACATTGCAGAAGGGCATCTTTGTATTGTCAGTAGCGGGATTGTAAGAAGTGCCATTTTAAAGCGTCGAATCAGCGTACCATTCGTCGAGCAGAAAAGTAGGGACATTGCTTATGCTGCTCTCCATATCTAATGAGACCATCAAGCGTGAATACGCCAGGCGGAACGAGGTTACTTGGTTCTAATAAATCAAGATTCTACGACGGTTAGCATTGTCCTGGCTTAGAGAGACGGCCGCGGACCTCATGATATAGGCATAGCTCGACATCTTCCCCTTTTTCCTTTCTCTCTTTCACGAAACTGGCCGTTAGGCTCCGACATCGAGCATCCACGACGGTACCACTCTTTTCTCGCCTCACGGAGGGGTGAAGACAAAGATTCTTTCTGCTGGTAAGACCCAGTGCCCTAAAATCCTCTGTATATCCTAACTGCTGTTCTCGATATTTCATTAATTCTCGCAATTCTGTCAACGCTTTCTCGATCTCAGACATCGTTCGAGAGCAATATATTAGTTTTCTGTGCGATGGATAATGTTGCTGATATGCAATAATTAACGATAATAGAGACACAGTCTTCCCAGTTCCAGACGGCATCTCCAGGACACAGTGCCCACCAACATCCAGCGTTTTCTTGAGATCGCAAATGTATGCATACTGTTCGGGATATATTCGCGGATATGGGAAAAGAACAGGCAGATCACTATAAGGAGGATGAAAGTGTTAGTTGATGCATTGCTCCAAGAGGAAGAAGAAGGCATATGCCATACTCAATAAAAAACTTCATCGTAGCACCTGGCAAGCTTTGCCTAAGCCTGTTCTCGCTGAAATGCGGATTGTCAGACACGATTTCCTGTTCTTTTTCCTTCGTTGCCTACGAGCGCGTCCAAGTCGAGCTCGAGAAGCGCACGGGCGATCGCCAAGTCACGTGGAAATTCCTTATCGCCCCCGTTTCCGGTTTTGGGCGTCGGAGAGCAGCTGACGTTCCGCTTGATTTATATGCTAGGCGCCAACATCCCCGTCGGATCCTCGTCGGCGTGGTTTTTCGAGCAATGTGATATGGAATTGTTCTGGAATATCTTCTTTTCTCTATAACTCTCCTCCACACTGTTATATCTAGACCTGACACGCCTCGTGGTATGAGACTGCAAGAAAACAAGCTGTCATGAGTAAGAAGTTCAAATCTCAGGCTTCAAGCAGCCGAGCTGCCACTGGCGCCTTTGGCTCCGGGGCGTTTGGTGCTTTCTCCCAAACAAGTGCAGACAAAGGAGCTGTTCCTTCATCGTTATCTTACATTTTTGAACCGCCGGACTTGTCATTGATATCCCAACCACATGTGGTTGTTGCGTTCAAAAATCTGTCGAAGAAAGACAGTATTACCAAATCAAAAGCCCTGGAAGATCTTCTAGATTTTATCTGTGGCTCTGAGACCCAAGGAGTGAGGCCGGAAGAAGGCTTTCTAGAAGCTTGGGTGTGTGTTATCTATCTCCCATCTACTAGTAAAGTAATGAAGATGACAGTATCATTTATAATAATGCATTCTACCAGGCTAAATTATATCCTCGCATCTCTATAGATGCATTGCGGAGGGTTCGTCAGCTTGCTCATACACTTCAAGGATACATAGTGTCAACGACCGGAAAGCCGATAGCCCGCTTTCTCCCAAGAGTGATTGGGGCATGGCTCGCAGGCCTATACGACAATGACAAGTTAGCTGTCAAAGCTGCCCAGGACTCAATCCTTCGTGCTTTCCCTACCGAAGAAAAGAGACAGGCTATCTGGAATATTTACCAATCGGCAATCCTTGAATTTGTGGTTGACGCCGTTGTTCAGCAAACGCCTCTTACCCTGAGCGACGAACGAACCGTTAGCCCCGATGAGGCGAAAGCGAAGCATGCACGTGTAGTTGCTACTGCTCTACGAATCCTCGATAGGTTATTAGGTATTGAATAATCACTCCTCTCCCGCACAGTGCCATGCTAAATGATCCTAGCCAAAACATCATCGGAGAACCTGGAGAAAGATTCCAGTCTGCTTCAAACGGTATTTGAGAGTCGTGCCTTGTGGCAATTTTCGCACCATGAAGATCCTTTTGTGCGCCGATCTTTATACGAGCTATGCCAAACATCTATTTCTGTGGCCAGCAGTTATATTGAATGGAAGACGATAAGTGCACAGCTACTCTCAAAATCTTTGGCTATCGACCAATACGGGTCAGCAGCTGCATTCTCGAATGTTTTACTGGCTTTGACACGATCCAACCCCCAAGTATGGACTATTTCCTATTCCGGAAAGACCGCTGCTTCAAAACGGCTCCTCCAATACATTAAAAAAGGTTCTCAAGGTGCTCCTCCTTTGTTTTGGCAGAATCTCCAGGATTTGGTTCAGATTATTCCAATAGAGGTTATAATTGCGGGGTCTCAAGATATGAAGACCAAATTGGAGTCTGCCTCTTCGGTCATGGAGGCATTCCTTGACGGCATTTCACATAGAGAGGAGCCGCGGTCAAACCTGTTCGCTGCCTGGTCCTCGTATATTCGGACCAGTCTCTGGGTTTTTGGGAGGATAGAAGACCCAGATTGTCGCCTGAGTTTTATGCAAAGCTGTATCTTTCCACTCGTGGAGCATTACGTTTTTTCTCCACCGGACCAGTCGAAGTGGATCATCCAAGATGACGCCGCAGCCGGCCTCTGTGCGGAATGCGTTGTTTCCGCTGCCAAATCTACCGACCATGATGTAATCTGCAAATTGTGGGCAGGTCTATCCGCCTCGCTCTCTGAAAATATAAAATTATCTGCACCAGAACAATCCCAAAATTATCAGACCTCTCAAAATTCGATATGTCTACAATCCAGTCGATTGTTTGGCCTGGAATCTCAAGTTGTGGATAAACTCAACGGACTCGATGATCTCTCGTTCGTCTCGAAGGTTCTCCATGATACGACTCTTGATCTATTCCAGACTGCATTGCAAATTCTGAAGTCCCGTAAAGGAAAACCTTACGGTGCCGCTGCAGTTATTCAGGAGGCTATTGCAAAAGTTCCACAATTTATAACAGACACAGATACTCTGCGTTCACTTTTAACTGAAGATATCCCTAGCCTTGTGTCGTCGCCGTCTTCGTATCAATTGGTTTCTGTTCTCTTTGCATGTCGAAACCATGAACAATTCCAATTCGCCCTGAAGAATTTAGTGGATGCTCTTCAGACATCAACCTTGGATGCAGGTACATTGCCAGGGCTGCGAGTGTTATTTTCTTCCGCCACTGTAGAGGATCTGAATTTCCATCCTCAATTGGAAACCTTAACTATGGGGAGACTGGATCCAGCTCTTAACGGCGACAAGGAAGCCTGGGACGATATTGTTGTAATCCTTGATAATGATGCTTTCTCCGCCGGAATCGCCAATCGTATCTTGAACCGTCTGGTGGAGAGCTTGTCGGTAGACATCGTTGTGATTGAAGTACTTCGTTCCCTCACAAAAATCGTCAACATGGATTCAACCAAGGCTTTTGTCACTGGCCCAGGAGGCTCCAAACTGATATCTAAACTGCTATTCCTTTCGGAATCTGATAACGAAGAAGTCGCGCAGCTCGCGGATTCTGTTCAGTCGACTATAACCTCATTAACCGGAGGGAAAGCTGCGTCCAAACCAACGGTGGACATCATTCAGAGCAGCTTTAATGATGTCGGGAAAGAATCGTTATCGTAAGTACCTAATGGATGTTCACATCTACCGGCCTTTTGCTTAATAGTTTTACAGCGTCGACACGTTAGCTACGATTGCCGAAGAACTCTTGCAGATTACTCATGAAGAAGGAGGCCTAAGTATATCAAGCTTATTTCCCAGTGAACAGCAATGGTCAGCCGCCTTGCAGCCATTTCTACAAACTCCGCCTCCACCGTCTCTCTCCATAATGAGTCCGCTTGGTGGCGCAGTATTTCTTGTAGAAAGACCAAACGAAGAAGGCGATTCCTCATCAGTGCCTCGTGACTCAAATCAGCTCACTTTAGCAGCTCGATTGGCACTATATGTTACGAAAATCCTTGATTCAACCAAGCTGGATGACATGGAACCTGAACTGCAGACAACGCTATTCTTGTACCTCCCACTTGTGGTTCAACTAATTGACGACGATTTGAATGTGGAGGGTTCCACCGGAGTCTTGCCTCTGCACACTCCAGAAACCCGGGATATCTTTGCTAGTCTTGTTTCTGAAGCTAGACATATTATAAATCAGTGGGTGTTGGCACTGGATGTTTCTATGCCCCTATCAGACAGTCAAGCGAGCACGAACGTTGTCGCCTTTTGGCAGAGCAAATTGGAGGAGCTACAGGGTAATACGCCTAGTGTGTATCGATTCGCAGACATGTACACTAGGATTTTGTCGGAAAGAGACGCTTTGGGGAAAACTACTTTCGCTGAATCTTCTCTAGAGCTTTCGCAGAGACTCCATAGCTCCTCCAACCCTTTCATTATGATTGCCGTTGTCACAGCCTTTAAAACATCTCTCACTGCCTCGCCTACAGTTGCTAATCTCTGCAACCGCCTCGTTGCGCAAGCCACTGGGCTTGTGGAGTTGCCTGAAATTGAAGGTCAGTATCATTATCATAACACCTCACCGTTTTAAGCTACTTACTCGTATAGGTCTCCATAAGTTAACTACACTTAACGCTTTAACGCAGGGGGATGGTAAATTCGTCGCAAATATCCCAACTCAAAGATTGGTCTTCCTCGTGAAACATCTGATTACATGCCTGCAATCAGGACGATTATCCCTGAAGCTGGAAACGGAAGTCCTGAAGACCTTGACCACTGTATTGCCGCATATTAAAGAGATATATGGGTCCCATTGGACCGATATATTTGTGCTCCTCGAGTCATTATGGCAAAGCAGCAAGGAGTCTGACGAATACCTTCCAGCGTTACATGCATCGTTCCGTCTGTTCGCCTGCGTTAGAGATCTAGCAACAGGCGAGAGTAATGACGACCTTGAAGATGCATGGGCCGAATCGCAAAAGGGCCTTGCGGAAGTATTGATCGGACTCCTCTCTGCATTTGGTGAGTTATTCGTTTTAGCATCAATGTCATTAGCCTATGCTAACATTCCATACCTAGATCCGTCGTTCTATCCCGACATGCCATGGAGCATAACGATTGATCTTCTTGACTGGCAAATAAGGCAGATCAACGTTGACCATGTCCAGGACGTGACCGGCCTGTTCGCCACGCTTTCAATCCAAAGTAAAGGTGTTCAGCGGGCAGTCTATGATGTTTTGCATCGGATTATCCCTAAATCGCAGGAAGCACTGTCTTTCGATGTTGCTTTATCTGATGCTGTAGCCAATCTTCCCGATGAGCTAATTTCGCTTCTTCTTGACGCTCCGTCTGCGAGTATTCTGTCCGATTATTCCATTCAGGATGACATTTGGATGAGCATTCGTTGCTACCTGTTGAGTTGGAAGACAGTTTTTGACCATTTCGCCTTTTCGGTAAGCACTCTTCGTCGCTTTCTTTGCAGCTATCCTCGATTAACGTATATTTTGCATCAGTCTTTACCTGTTCAAGAGAGCTACTCCGCCAATATTAAAAAAAACAATTGCCTAAACCCACTACTAGACTTCACATTTGACTTCTTACAGTTGGCGCAAGGGAAGCTCGTTGATGCGTCCAAGTTTAATGTTCGCTCGTTCGAGTTGGATGAATCGGAATCGCCAGAGAAAGAAATACAGTGGCTGCTAACTCATATCTACTACCTCTGCTTGAGATATTTACCCAACCTGACGAAAAACTGGTGGTTATACAGTCAAAATCGCGTAAAGGGACCAGTGGAGGCGTGGACACAAAAATATGTAAGTGCCGGTCAATCTGAACATACGTCGATCCAGGCCCTAATATTGGACAGATTTCTCCTGTGGTGATAGAGGACTCGCTTCGAAGTGTGATGGAATGGCACAGTGCTCAAGATTGGACCAACGAGGAGCAAGCACTCCAAGTTAGAGTGTCTTACAAGGCCGCCGAAATCGTGGCAAGTATCGAAATAGACGAGGAATCTCCCACGACATCGATATCGATTTCTTTGCCGCCTACATACCCGCTGCTACAGGCCCTAGTGGTCGGTGGCTCTCGCGTAGCGGTCGACGACAAGAAATGGAAGAGCTGGCTATTGGCCATTCAAGGTGTCATCATGTTCTCCAACGGCAACCTAGTCGATGCTTTGCTTGCCTTCCGGAAGAATGTCCAGGGCGCTTTGAAAGGTCAAGGAGAATGTGCAATCTGCTATTCGGTCATTTCAACGAATATGGAAACGCCGAATAAGAAATGCGCAACGTGTAAGAACACGTTCCACTCAGACTGTCTGTTCCGGTGGTTTAGGAGTAGCAACTCAAGCAGCTGCCCATTGTGCAGGAACAATTTCCTTTACTCGTAAATGGATAGATGGGTGGGGATTGGTTGCATTTGGAGGTCATATGGGTGTTACAAGCATGACGGCTGATTAGACGTTAGAAATCGGGAAATGAAAAGCAATGGTTCTCAGGATCTTAGCATTCATGATTACGCTCTGATCTGATTTCCTTTCTTCCATCCAAAAAAATTGACCAGCCCCTTTTGCCGAATTTGGATATTCGTCAATCCACCCGGCAGGCCTAATTGTCCAATGAAGGAACTATGTAGTTGGCTCGCAGTGGATGTTCACAACTCGCAGATAACTTTGTCAATCCCCACACGCTGGCGCTCCCTCGCCCCATGGGGAATTGCTAATTACGCAATGCTCCGGATGGAGGTGCGGAAGGCAGCCATGGATATTGCAGCCACTAGGACTCCTTGTCACCATGAAGGACTGCTTGCATTTCAGCCGGTCGCAGTGAGGGGCGGGCTCTCTATTCGCCTGACAGGACGGTCCGTGCCTAAGGCGATGATGGGAATAACAAACTAGGATCCAACCACCCTTGAAATCGTTGGCGAGCACGAAAAACTCATGTCCCAGACCGAAATCCAACCCGTCATTTATACCATGTTTAGAAGAAACGAGGCTGGATGACAACTGCTTTCTTGCGATTGGATCCCTAGTAGAAACAAGGCAGCGAGAGGCGAAAGCAGAGGGACATCCTTAGAAGGTAGACCAGAGGAAGGATGGATATATAAGTGAGCCAAATTACCCATCCGAGGTAAAAGATTCGTCTCTACAATCAAACGATCTTGCGAATTCAGTAGATTCTTAAAGATAACAGAGCTGCGCCATCGACTTCAGAAATTTACCGGTCAGATACCTTTCTCTCCTTCATCTCCATCACAGTCATCTCGAGCTGAGCATAAGTAGACCTTAACCATGGCTCAACATACCCTGTCCCTGCCAGTTGATCAAATTGCCTGCGATTACTGCAGTAAGCAACCCCTGCTACCCTTCACAGGGAGATTTAGCGAAGCTAATGCACCGGCTTGAGATTAGTGAATGAAGTGTATGATCTTGGCTATTTCAATATGAAGCTGCCTGTTAAATTTTTTTTTTTTACGTCAGTATTCCGTAAATTGAGATGTCAAATGTAATGCAGCAACGAGCGCAAAGTACGGAGCAGTCGACAACTGGGCGCGGCTGATCGGATCTGATAAGATTAACTAGCTGGTTAGGTAACCAAGTTACTTACATAGAATGCGGGGCAGCTTTGGTCCAGGAGCTTAGCAGACGACGCACCCAAGCACGGCCAAGATACAGCTACACTTCCTCGGTAGGCAAACCTAAGAGGACTGAATACGCGTCCAGATATTCTACTAACATTTAACTGCTTCTCTACACACTCCCATGTCGGCATCCCAAATCCCGAACCTAAACACCCTCCTGAGAAGTCGAGGTGGAGCTGGAAGAGGCCCTCGTCTCCGTGGGCGCGGAGCTCACACCGATAGCACCAGTGGTCACCATGGCCGATTCTCGCAAAATGATAAAGTAATTCAACAAACAGACAATGATGCAAGTGTTTCCAGATTAAGCGCCGTTGAGCTGGGATACTTGGATGACCCATTTGCGCGGGCGTTGAGCGGGAATGGTGGGATGCAAGGTGCTGGCGCCGGGAGAAGGTATCCGATCATTAATCGCGGTGAGTGGGTTTGCATAGATGTGTTGTCGGAGGTAGCGTTGGTCTGACTGAGCTCAATGGCTGAATTATGTGTAGGAACGTATGTCCGGACGGTCGCTATAGATGCCTTAGTCTCATTCTTCCTAGAGTCGCAGCCGGAGCCGAAAAGTAAGAGAAGAAAACGACAGATAATATCACTCGGAGCAGGGTCAGACACACGGATCTTTCGATTACTGGCCGAGAAACAAATACCAGGTTCGGGCGAAGACTACTCCTTTGTCTACCACGAATTGGACTTTCCAACGAACACCGCCGCAAAGATCAGAACCATCCAGGCCTCTCCATTACTCTCCAACACGCTTCGGAAACATTCTTCAAATACAGACGGAGATATAATAATATCAGAAGAAGGGGACGCCCTGCATTCCACATACCTCCACATCCACCCCATCGACCTCCGCTCCCTCTCCTCCCTACCATCATGCCAGACAAGATTCGAAGGAATCGACACCACTCTCCCCACCCTCATAATTTCCGAATGCTGCCTAGTATACCTTTCTCCAACCGATGCTTCAAATGTCCTTTCTTACTTCACGACCCTATTCTCTCCCCAAGCGACCACGCTTCCATCCGCTGAATCTGACTCACCAACGCCCCTAGGGCTGGTCCTCTACGAACCCATCCGTCCGCATGACCCGTTCGGCAAGACAATGGTCACGAACCTTGCTGCGCGTGGCATACACCTCCAGACTCTGAACCAATACGCGACTCTTGGCCTGCAAAGAGACCGATTGCGAGCCGCGGGATTCGTCACGGGTGAAGGGGCGGCGGATATTGATTTTATCTGGGAGAAGTGGGTAAGTCGGGAGGAGAAGGAAAGAGTGGCTAGGTTGGAGATGCTAGATGAAATTGAAGAATGGCGGTTGTTGGCGAGGCATTACTGCGTGGCATGGGGATGGAGGGACGGAGAGGATAGGGGCGAGAATGTGGAACATGTGTTTGAGGCGTGGAGAGGTGTAGAAAATCAGCAAGATGAGGGTGTGATATGAGTAGTCGCGCTGGGAGGCCTGTCCAAGCCGCCGTTAATGAAAAAAAATAGCGGAGCCAAACCAGGCATGTATCCAGAGTGATCATCGGTTCATTTATTCCAATGCCGGTCCTCGAGACGATCAGGACAGGCCGCAGTCAGTGCCTATCTCGGAAGACAACGACTCCATGTTGTCAGTGAAAACTTACATGCGTTAGAAGCGGCAATAATGATATTCGTTTCTATCAACCGAAAAAAATATCTTTATTCCAAAGTTGTACTTTTAAAAGGATATGATAGTTCCCGAAAGAAGGACTCGACAACGGTCGATACGCCAAAAAATAAAAGAAAGGTTCATAAGGGCCTAAAGAACGCGCCTTATTCGCCCTTAATTTGGGCACTTCACTCCGATATATTGCTCCAAACAAAGCTTCCAACGGACAAACGTTGCCAAGCCAACAAAGCAGAACAGAATAGGCGAATAGAAAAATCTCAACAACCACAAAATACCTTCCAATCTTTTAAATTTTTTCAAAAGAAGGCAGCATCAATCTCATAAACATCTGGAAGGTAAATTACAAAATATATACAAGAAGGTAGAAATGGGGGGTATCAGAAATTGGGTTAAAAAAATATATATAAGCATTGGGTGTGACCCTCAATCGTATAAGCCAGTCCAAAGACAAAGGTATAAAACATCCATCATAAACACCTAACACAGACATGAATCTCATATAGTTAAAAGAAAGTATATAAGAAGTGAAAGGGGATTCCTGTACGGAGTACAGAGAAGGCCGAAAAAAAAAAAAAATAAAAATAAAAAATAAAGGGGTATGTAGAATTAACAAATAGGTAAAACAAAGTTGTGATGGAAGCAGATCTTATCCGATCTACCGCTGGTAGAAAGCTGCTGGAGTATCGGTCGCCCTAAATCTTTTCTAGAAACCGAGGAAGAGCGAAACAAGGATGAAACTAGCGGTCAGACTCAGGATGGATAAGCTGGTCGCGGAGGCACCACCAACGGGCGGTGAGGAAGCGGTCGGGGGTAGAGTTGCTGATGAAATGGCGGTCGTCGAGTTCGAGGCCCTAAAGAATGTCGAACTCGGGTTTTCAACAAAGACGTGCGGTGAGACGGTGACGGCCTTATAATCATGTGTGGTTACAATACTAGACTTTGCAGAAGTTGTCGAAGCGATTGTCGACGTTGTTTCTTCAGAGGAGGAGGTTGAGCTTACGATGCTTGTGGTTGTTTGGGCGGGAGTCGACGATGTCGCCTCATCTGTTGTTGGCGTTGGCTCGGGAGCCGATGTGGTCGTCTCGGGCACTTCGTCGTCGTCGTCGTCGCCGTCGTACTTGTCCCCGTCCTCACCTTCATCATCGTCGTCGTCATCATCTTCAGATCCTCCATTGCTACCCTTACCAGCTTCAAAGACGACGACATTGGCTTTGCCACCCTTGGGGACAGTCACGACACAGAAGGAAGCTCCACCTGCGCCCTCTTCGGTGCTTCCGGTAACTTCATTGATACTGTTCTTAGCAGGGTCGATCTGACAAGGAAGTCCATTGCATCCGTCGCCATCACATTCGATTTTCACGCCGAACGACGGGCTCTCGTCACGGAAAGGAGTTTCGGGCTCCAAGTAGATCGGATTCCAGCCGATTTTAAGGAATGTCTGCCCTTTGCTGTCCATGTTGGCCCCGGCAACGTAAGGTGCCCAATTTCCCCAAGGGTGGTCCTTTGTACCCCAAACACAGGCTGTCTCGGTGTCCTTTCCGGGCGGGTTGATGTAATAACTGTAGACACGGTGAGCAATAAAAGAGACTTCAAACTACAAAACACACTTACTGAGCCGCAGTAGAACACCAGTAGTCAGGGTCAGGGACCGCAAGCTTGGCAGAGCCGTCAACGCTAGTTGGGATCAACATGGCTTCATTTCCGGGGAGGACAGTCTGGCAAAACGACACAACACCGCCAGCATCGTTCTTTGCAACAACGGGGCCCGATGCCTCGACACAGTATGGCTTGTTGGGGAATGGTTTAGAAATCTTGCCATCCTCATCGCAATAGAGACCGCCATTCTAAGGAAAACTCAGTAAAAAGGGAAATTACCTGTGAAGCATAACTGTAAGATTTGCAATACGTACCATGGACTGCGGATAAGTGTAGGAGGTAGCCTTAGGATCCCACTGGGCCATGACCATTCCAGGTGGACAAGCATAAGGACAATAGTTTCCGGGTTCACACGGCTGGTCAGGGCTCATAGCCCAGCCGGCATTCTCCTCGTTGGGTGTAACGGCAACCAGACCAGCATCAGACGGAAACTCGCATTGTCCTCCGCGTTTCTTGAGCGGTTTGCTCCTGGCGACATCATGTGGTTTCTGGACAGGCGAGGTTGCCGCGCGATGGTGGAAATGATGATGCTTCAAGCCAAAGCCATCCTTCGGGGCGTTCACAACACCGCCATGGATATGACTGTGACCATGGCCATGACCGTGGCGGTGTCCGGCCTGTGAGACCGAAGCGAAAAGAAGGACGAGCGTCCAAGCTCTCGAGAGAACGGAGTGCGATTTCATCGGCTCCCGTTTGCGAACAAACTTCAAAGGAAAGAAACTCCACCACCAATACCGCAACAAATGCCTTCGAGCTTAGCTTTTCTGGACGGAGGCGCAATTCTCGTTATAGTCAGCGACGCAATCGCAAGGGAGAGAATCGACAAGGAGCGAACGAGCGTATATACTCGAAAATCGAACGAAAATCGACAGAAAGAATGAAGAAAGAAGAAAGAAAGGGCCGACGTTAAAGGAGCGATGGGGCCGAAGACGGAGATATGATGTGTTTTAAAGGAGAGACGAAATGAAACGAATCGCGACGGCGAGATTTGACAGACAGAGAGCAAGAAGAAGCTCTTCCAAGGGGGTCGGAAAGGCAGGCTAAGCACTATTTTTTAGTAGCAGATGCCGGCAATGGGCTAACCAGACTATTAGGTCGGGTTCGGCAGCTGGCAGCCTATGATCGGCCTCCATGCTAGTGCGGATACAGCGTCTGCCCCGCGATGTGCACGCCCAACACGGCGCCAACACCTGCGCTGCTCCCGCCTGGTCTGGCAGCCATGGCTGTTGCTGGTGCATGCAGCACGGGGAGCGTCATGCATCGCATCGTCCAGCGCACTCTTGGAACAACAGTCAGATGATCAAGATCGTAACCGTACCTTTCCCTCCCTTCCACGATGCTGTGCGTGACCCCAATGCAATGCCTGCTGGCTTGTCGCCAACCTTGCGCTGGAAGCTGGGCAGTCGACCCCTCGAGTCCCGATTGGGTTAGCTCGCACCTCGCCAATCAGACACCGTGGAAATTCTGGATTAATGCGGTATAGCGCCAGGGGTTGAGATTGGGATCATCTGTCCGCTGTCCAATCAGCTCCCTTTTCTGCACACGACACTCTCCAGAGCTTTTTTCCCCGATCTTGAATCAGTGGCTAGGGTTAGGGCTAGGGTTAGGGCTGTACCCCCCGGTCTTGCGCTTCTGGGGAGGTTGGAGTCTAGGTACCTGTCTGACAGAGAGCTCTCCACATCTCTCCATCTCAGCCATGCTTGTCCCCCAAATGCCGCCGCAGATCAGGCCTAGCCTTGAAAGCCCCTGTGGAGGTGGACTTTGAGGGTGCTAGATCGCATGCAATGGATGTTTTGAAATTTGCCTGCCGCACAATGACAGCTCAGGAGTGAATTACACGGCGAAAAGAGCGCCTTTGTACTCCGTCCGACCAAGCAGCGCACTTGAATCGAGGACGTATGTAGAATTCTGTCGCTCAAAACAGGAGGACAGGAATTTGGAGAGAATGTGCCACCACCCCTCCCCCCCCCTTTTTTTTTTTCCCCCCCTGACTGTGTTGGCTAGTTGCATGATAGGGCCGCTGCTACTGCCCTTAGGCTGAGGGATGTGTGTCCTTATTAGGGTCAAGAATCGCCTGAAGTACAAGCAAGATAAGCAGTAGAATGTTGAGCTTGGGGTACTAAACAAATTGTTATCCTCCATACTCAGCTACACTAACTATGGAGTAAATTGTAGTGATTTTCACAGCAACAGGGGCGCTGTCACAAGTAGTGTTGCAAACAAAGGAAACAGCGGATGTTTCTTGTTGAGTGTTTTGTGTACAGCGGACAAAGGATGTTAGACACATGTGGGGTACCGTTGTAAGGGAGGCCAATTGAAGTTATATAGATGATAAGCACATGTGAGCTAGGTCGACGAAAAAATTCCCGCTATGTTGAGTGATGCCAAGCGCTCATGAAAGATGGAACTTGCCAGAGCATATGTCCAGTATGTACGATAGCAACGGCACAGCTTTGTAAAGATCTCAATTACCTAACAGGAGCTATTCTATGTACGGAATACTGCAGTATGGTCTTGTGACATGCGGATAGTAAATATCGCTGTATCCTAAGCTATGGTCATGGCATTGCCTGTACAATTCCGGGGAATTGGCATTGATAGATCACAAAGCATAGCTCACACATACAAAGCCATTCAAAACCACTGAAGCAAAAGTTGCACAAATGCGATGAAGGGAACCAGAAAGAAGTGAAATCACTCTTCTAATTCTATAGTGTTCTGAGTACTCTGAGCCTTCCAAACCCATCTCAATGATATTTGCCGAATCCGCCCATTCTACGGGGTCCAAGAGGTGATATACAAAGTACTTGTAGCTAGTCAGTTCGCTCATATCAAACCAACCTGTCGAATCAACCTTCAGATAGTAGACATATCGAGATTTACGTCAGTAGGAATGAGTGTCTTGAAACAAGAAATGGGGTCGTCCGTAATGTTGAAGGGGAAGAATTTTGATGTAGTACTTGACAGCAACAATGGAGACGTTGCTAGTAATGATGTTAGCTCGGAACAAGGCAATATCAAACGGACAAAGAAAGAGACAAAGGCAAACAACTTGTCTTCAGATATGCTACTGGCCCTGGAAGATAGCCTTAAAGCGAGTGCTTCTCCAGTGATTTATGCCAGGTGCTTGTTGGAGATAGTTGGGCTAGTGAGGTAGCCACGGAGTACACAAGTTGTTTATGTCCCAAGAGTTGGACCTAACATCAAACTTGTTGGTAGGCCTTCTGTTTGACACAGCCTTTGTTTGAGATTATTTATCATATCTTCCAAATTTGGAACAAGGAGAAAAGCGAAAAACTTCATTCCTCAGAAGACCCTCATTAGCAACATGGAGCAGGATTTTGAAGTCTCTACATAATGCTGGGCTTTGCGGATGGAAAAGACGTATACGAAGTATGCTACCATGGCTTCCCAAATCGGGCCAGAATCTCCATGGGATCCTCGCTTTGAAGCCATATATCTAGAACATCTTTTGACGGTATCCAGATCATACCGACCATACCAGCTGCATTCACGATTTTTACCCCTTCCTGGCTTGCGCGAGACCGTGGTATAACCATCATCCACTCTCTCACGAGAACCAGGCTATGGGAATAATCAGGTTCGTCAACACCAGCGGCGGCTAGAAGTTCCCTGTAAATCGAAAAGATATCGTTTCCCGCAGGCGATGGAGATAGCTTCCTGGCAATATGCTGGAACGGGATATTGGGAACTCTGCCTGAACCTCATGAAGAGCGACGCATTAGGCTTATTTTCGTCCCTCGCATCCAATAAATACGAAGGACAGGGAAAGTATGCGAATAAATAACCCACCATTCTCAATGCCATACGTATCCGGGAAAAGGTCATGGACATCTCTCGCGGGGCGTGGAAGCAATTGCAAATGTCGATGCGGCAACGACCAACCTCCTTGGACTCCACCGTTGTAGATAACTATGTACGGACTTTCCAACTTGCAGAGCACACTCCATGCGGCTGCCAGGTCCGATGCGGAAAGAGGTTCGATCTGGGGTTTGTATTCGTTCGTGTGCAAGACGAACTGCGGCCGGACGACGCAGAACTTGTTGAACCGCAACGTGTGTTCCGCGCCGACATGCTCGAGAACGAAGTCGGGAGGATCCCTAGCGAACGGACTGGGAGTGTCTTGTTGCCTGTCGGACTGCGCCTTGGCCTCCTTGATATCGACTTGTGGCTTCTTCGTTAGGCTAGAGGCAATGCGGAATTGAAGCTAGTAAAATCGTCGCAAATGATAGTTTACACCATGGTCAGTCTCTTTTTCCTTGTTCATCTTGTGTGGCAGGGCTGGAGCAGAGACATTGGCTATTTCCCGAAGAGAGGTTTTGGCCATGTCTTTTGATTTTCTCTTTTTGCCTTACATTGAATGGCTGGGCGGGAACATGGATGGGCGGCGCATCTTTGAAGATTATGCTACCACACTGAACAAGTTTGTCAAACTGTCGAAGGGCTCGAGATTCAAGGTCCTCCATTGTCCGTAGTTGAGGCATGAAGCGAAGTGTCCTGGCGTGGACCACTATCCGAGGCCTAATTGGACAAAAGAAGTCTGGGACCAAGCTAATTATGGGTTAATTACTCCGTACAGCAACCTTGGTCAACTATTCAGAATTTGTTCACTGATGTTGCTTGTTCCCGACTGCACGCGCACAACAAACCGCACGTGCAGTGTGATATTACTCGCATTTTTGACGGTACTGTGGACGGAGTACTCTGTACTCCGTAGTCAAGCACTTAACTAGCGCCAAGCCTCACTCGTAATGCTCAATGACATCAAATGTCGTCATGAAAATGCAAGAGATCGTGTCCAATGACCCTGATGCTGATCCGTCCTCCGAAGGGCCAGTCGTATTTGCCAGAGGGAGTCGCCTGTGCAAAGGCTTGTGTTTCTCGAGTTCTAAAGTTGCATTTGGTGCTGGAACACTGACCAGAAACTCTACAGTATTTATTTGATTCTGGCCTGAACAGTGATAAGAGTGCAGCTTGGAGTAGTGTCGAGGCCTGTGAGCCCCAGGATTTATGCCAAGAGCTCTCTACATTCCTGTGCAATTATTATGGTCGTTTAGTTATGATTAGTGAAGGCGACGTACCAAAGCAAGCTTAATTCTTGAGTCTGGCGCCCTTCACTTCATCAACCAGCTAGATTCAGTTCCCTCTTTGGCTCCTCAGGGACTTCCTTTACACTGTTCTATGGGAAAGTGGATGCCCATGCACCTTCTCCCTGCCTTCCTCTGAGATATCCACGGGAGAATAGGTAAAGATGTGATTATGCCTTTATATACGAGGCTCCATCAGCATGCAGACTTTCGAGGTCGACCCAATTGAACTTCACCCCTGGGGAACGGACATGAGGTGGAAATATATGGAATTTCCCCTACGGGTTGGCATGTCTGTTGTGCTTGGCAGCAATAACAACCTCCTGACGTTTTCTGAGCTCAAAAATCCCTAGGAATTGGAGAGGTCATGTCATCATAACACGCTGAGGAAGAGAGTACAGCAGCATTTCAGATGTCACTGAGGTGTTTCCTATGCAATGATCGGAGCGAAAGATTGCCAAGAGCCCTACTATTCATAAGGATCACAATCAAACCAGAACACTATTCTAGATGGGAGCTTCAGGCCCAAAATTAGCACAGGTGAGCTGGTAACCTCACTGCGTCAGATATCAATGCCACTTGGGTCCTGTTCAATGGCTCGAATGTCGATCGATACGCGACCATTCTCGGTTATCCATAGACCTTACTACCGAAGGCGTTCTATATATGAAAAGTAAGTTGAATATATCACCTGGAGTATGTTGGATAAAATCAAGTGTCCTGCAAACCCTTTGTGATAGTTACATTCCGATTCTGTGCAAGCCATTCTGGGGAAGATATGGCCTTGTCTCCAAGTGCTGGTTGGTGTCACATTCTCAGGCTTAGAGAACAATGTTATTTTGTTTCTCGAAGCAGGGAGCAACAATGGATGCTTGGATTGGGGATGTCTTAGCTGGGTCATGTTAAGGGGTTATTGAAGCCAAAGACGGAAATGGAAAAGATGTGACTGAATTGCTAAATAAGGGGCCGAAGGGGTGAGAGAGAGTCCGGTGGAGTTTTGCCGGATTGGAGGCCTTGCTTGAAAATCGGTTTCTTTTTCAAGGACCTTTCAGATCTCAGTAAGTCCTTCTGGCTAAAGCTGGGTAGAAAGGTGCCTGCAAGATCCAATTATTAATAGTGCTGAAGGGTACGGAGTACAAGTTGAGCCCGGGTTTGATTGCAGTGTTGATGGCCGTACAATTAGAGCAAGCTTGAGAGTTAAGGTGCCAAGAGCGATGTGGTCATTGGAGGAGTGAACCAACTAAACTAATGCGCTCATCTACCCGCTCATTGTATCATTCAACTCCTATTTACTTCGCATCTTTTGTTACTGCTCAGCAATCTCTTGTCTCTGCATGTTTCGCCGCAGCTAGATCAAATGGCACTTCAGCAAGGAAGCTCTTCTCGTCGCCAGACCCTTCCTCCCAGCCAGGTGGATTGTATATGGTGGAAGAAGGGCTACTGCTATCGGGGCACCAAATGCTACTTCCGTCATGACGCAGCTCTCGCGGGGATTGACAAGGATAAGGACAGCCCGCGGACTGCCAAATCCACAGAACCAGGTGAGAGACTGAACCATTATGATTTCCTCAAGCATGCCAGTGCCGTCATGGGGCAGTCAAAATAACTGTAACGATTTACTTTAGGGGTATCTCGATCTCCAGAGCCCGCTTCCCCCTCCACGGGACCCGCCCAGCCACGGGAATCATGTGCAATCTGTCTGGAGGTGCCGGTCACTTATGGGCTTCTGATCCATTGTGATCATGTTTTCTGCCTGGGTATGTAAATGTCATATATCAGTTATTACCTTTTGGATCGGAACTCTCGATTCATCGATCGTCATCATGAAGCTAATCTGCTATTTATAGATTGCATTCGCAGCTGGCGCTCCTCCTCGAACAACGAACAACCCGAAGACCCTGATTACATGACAGACCAAGCCGCGCTTTCGAAAACTACAAAGACTTGTCCGTTATGCAGGAAAAAGAGTACCTTCATCGTCCCAAGTTCCATATTTCCCACTCCGCCGATTGCCGATAGTTCGGCAAGCACACAAGATAAGAAGCCTGCTAGCGGGCAAAACAACTTGGAAGGTGCGGAAGAAATTAAGAACCCCGTTAAAGAGGAAATCATACAAGGTTATCTCTCGAGATTAAAGAAAATACCCTGCCGATACTTCAACGAGGAAGTTAGGCGCTGGCGCGAAGCTATAACTAGGTTTGAGACTGGGCACACAGCATCTCAGCCCCTGCCCGAGTTGAGCTTCCAGCCACAGTGCTACTTTGCGAACGAGTGCCATTACGCCCACACTGATCCCCTCACGAACGAACCATATATTTTTTCTCAACTTGAAATTAGACGCATGAAGCGCAAAAGAGCCGAGGAGAGGAATCGACAGCTCAGAGCCCGATTCCATTATGGACCTGCCGAACAGTTGGAAATGTTGACACGCACCATCGAAGCGTTTTCCTTCAACGACGATGCCACAAGAGACTCGTCATTCCCCAACGGATCGGGGCATTCTTTGTCTCCCTTTTCAGAACCTGAAGATGAGTTGCAAGAGCTGGGTATTATGCTTTCATTGTCAAGGCTAAGACCTATCGGTCATCCCGGGCCTGTTGACGACCCATTCGATTCCGATTACGACGGTGTCCTTTTTATGGACTCTGGTCTCGATGACTGCGATAGCGACTTTGAAGATTATGAAACTGTGGCCTATTAGCTCGCCCTCCCATCGATGGCATTGACATTGAGTGGAAAACCTAAACTTTGAATAACAACCCAAATGTTCATTTTCCTTATTCACGTTGATGGGGTTAATTGGAGGATGGATATGGGGCTTCGTTTATGAATCCATGGTTTGCTTCAACGGCGTTTGTCGCGATGGAGTTATTTCTGGGTTATACATATGTAACTAGGTAGTTCGCTTTTTCCTCTTTTTTTCAGCACAGGATGCTCACCAATCTGAGAATGTGAGTTTGCGGCCCTTAATAGTTTAGAGAAGTTACTGCTTACTGATTGAAGAAAAACCATCTCACTCCTGTCCAGAAGTGCACTATCTCGAAGGCCAAAGCTCCTCGAAACTTAAAAGGAGACGGAGATCCCATTAAAAGGATCGGCAGATCACCAGCTTCAGGTTTCCCAGAATCTCGGGGCATGTCGCGCGGAGAGAAACAACCGAGAAAGCCCTTTGGACTAAAGGTGAGAGAAATGCTCTCGTTGCCGTGGCTCCAATTCCGCTCGGGCGAGCGACGGGTTGACCAGCCGGGCTGCGATGTGAGATGACATGCCTTACAATCTTCCAGGCAAAGGAGTTGACTCGATCTTATATATTATCGGTGTACTTTGCTCATCCATCAGGCACCAGCTAGCCCGTTAAACTTGAGGATAGCAAGGTCTTGCGGATATTTCACGATAAAGTCTGCATCCCGGAACTTAATATAATGGCGGCGACGGCCTCCTTGTTTCTTTGCACTCGCAATTCTTTCTCCAGCAACAGCCTCGAGCTCCAACTTAACCTATGAATACCCACTAGACATAAAGCTTCATAAACTCCCTAAGCGTATGCTTACTCTTGATGTGAGAAGTTTCCATGCAGCGATCGCGAACTGATATCTGGTCGAGGATGAAAGCTCGGAGAGGGTTAACTATCTGCCGCATCACGGAATCCGAGGAGCGCGGCAGATCAGCCTGGCGCGAAACGGAACAAATGTATATGGAGAACAGAGAAACCTAGAGGAGGTGATATGCACCAACGAATGTCGCAAATAGCAACTGAGGCGGGATGAGTTTGATCAGGATTCTGAGTTCGCGCCCAACAGCGCGCTAAATGGGCACCCAGCGATGTGGGTCGAGGCTGGCATCCCACTACAAATCGGAGTACTGCGCAAGGGGTGGAGAACGAAACAGGTTATGTCGACGGCAGCTGTCTGTTGAGCTTGCGGCATTTTGGTTAACAGCAAGGACGAACTGTCGCTTTCAGCGAACTGGAAATCCAGCTAGTCCACCGTGCTTTGTCCCGAAGACGCACTGCTCTACACCCGGCCTCCACGAAAAGACATTTGTTCGAAGATCTTTCAGCCTCTATTAATTCAGTCGGAGATGCAAGCATTTGTGAGATGGCGACCTATGAGCCCAGGCGAATCGACGACCGGGGAACTCGAACGCTCTCATGCTCAGCATGAAAATTCACGCTTCTCAACTTCGATAATCTCACAGTTAGGGTCGAGCCGAGACCGTTCATGGAAGAGTGCAGGGTGCTTCTCACGGATCTTTGAGGTCAATGACGGCAATAAGGATGTTTTTGAAGCTGTTGTTGCACCCTCTCTTCCTCACGTTCTGAATGGGGGAACCTGCAATTTTTTCGCCTACGGCCACTCTGGAAGCGGGAAAACACACACGATCATTGGCTACGACTACGAAAACAGCGACGAATTTGGCCTTTGTTTAGCTGCCGCGCACGCCCTTTGCCAGGCACTTGAGAAATTGAATGAAGCTCGAGCCTCTGAGGGGAGAGGGAATGACGGAGATAGGTTAGGTATTGGGATCCGCATGTATGAGATGCGAAAGAATAGTGCTTTTGATCTTTTGAATGGTCGCCGGGAATGCTATGTTCGAGAAGGGCCCGACGGACGAGTCCATGTTCGCGGCGAAACAGAGGTGCTAGAAGGCGGAAAAGTCAGAGTCCGTCCAGTCGTTGTTCGGGACTGCTGGAGTTTCGAGGATTTGCGTCGTGAGCTGCAAGTTGGCCTTAAGCTCAGAGCAATTGGGTTATCCACCGTACATGACCAAAGTTCCCGTACCCATGCGGTTGTAGAGCTCGAGGTTGTGACCAAGTCGCTACTTGATGCGCGCGATGCCATTATTGATCGAGAGTCTGAGTTCGTCCCGGTTGCTAAGCGCGCTACAGATATTTATCTCGAGGAGAATGCAAATGCCTACATCAAAACTTCCGAAGGGAAATATGTTCCTAATCCAGATCGTCCGCCAAATCAGGAGCGCATTGACGCTGCGGAAAAGGAAAAAGAAAAGTTCGAGTCGTACATGAAACAGGCGGAAGCCCACGCATGCGATGTATTCGCATCTCATGACCAGAGATGCCTTGGTGGAAAGCTCGTCTTTGTCGATTTGGCGGGATCCGAATACTATCATGAAAAGGCCACACCCTCAACATTCGCGACCAAAATGACGCCCCAGGAACGCCAGGAGGGTCGACAGATAAACACCGACCTGCTTGCCTTGAAAGAGGTCATCCGTGCGCGTGCTCTCAATCAAGCGCGTATCCCATTTAGGTCTTCCCCACTGACAATGGTGCTCCGCGAGCACTTCTCGGCTTCCACGGACAGTCAGTCTGCAATGATTCTTACGGTTTCACCTTCCTTCGGGCAATTTGCAGCAACCATGAACACTCTAAAGTACGGGAACCTGGTGGGCGTTGCGGGTGATGAAAAGGCTACAAATACCAAAGGATAACAAAACCCAAGCCTCAACATCAGGAACGCCAGATTTATTAGTTCTTAAGTTTTTATGGTATTGAAGATGTACTAAGCTGCTCGATAAAGCGTGAATAGGCTCCCTCGACTTCGGCTTCATGCCATATTATATTATTCACCTACCTATGTAAGGAGTATGTACGTCGCTTGCCCGACGATTCCAATAAGCTATGCTGAGCAATTTGACCGCGTTGATCAAAGTGAACCGGCGGCTGTACCTCCTGTCCAGATAGTCAGCGGCGTCTACTCGGCGGTTCTTTCCTGGGCGGATAACGAAGGTACCTCCTACCTGAAGTTGCAAAAGGAAAGCGGTTTGCTGCCGGGTAGCTCCTGCTACGACGTCCAGTATTTTACTTCTAGTAGAACCACTGAAGCGAGTGGTCTTGTAGGCGATTTTGGGCCAGGATCTTCTCTCTTCAGCTTCTCCCTCCCAAAGGACTCGAGATCGATCACGGCGCTCTTCTGATTTCAACTGCCCTTGATTATCTCTGCAGTGGATTTTTGACTGCTGTTGTTATCCACTGACTCTACCGCGGTGGCTTCTTCGGAACCCCTGTTGCTCACGATGTCCACCTCGGAAAATGACCCTCCGACCTATAAGATCCTAGGGACGTCCGGTATGACCTTGGAAATGGCCCGATTGATCATCGGTATCCCGTGCTTGAACTGTCTTCCTGATTTGGATGTGGAGACATTTTGGTGCGTTACTCTGCCGGGGAGAATAGCGTGCCAGAAGTGCCATGATGGTAAAAGAAAATGCGAAGAGGTAGATATATCCATCCTTGGCAAACCGCATTATTGACATGAGCAGCTGATGACTGCACAGGTTTCCTTGACGCCAGATGTGGAGCATGCGCTTATCCTCCGCGGATACATATTTTATGCCTCCAGGCTTGGGTTCCCTACCCGCTGGCAAAAGGATGAGCTGGCGACGCTCATAGCCAAAATCATGAGACCGCCATTATCCCCAAGTCCAGGAACAGAGGCTGCTCGAGTGGCAGCTGAACCTCTGATCCCCTGTCTGCTAGACCTAAGTCCGGCAACACAGGCAGAGATGATGACTGAAGACTCTCTGAATGTGGATCCATCTTAGTTGTATTAGATTGATCGTACAAAATTTCAACCAGGGAAGCGGTCTATGCTTGCAGGGCAGGGTTGACGAATTGGAACTGCGGGTGATAGTGTGGCCCCCCCGCCGCGGGGGGGGGGGGGGAGCGACGCGCCAATAGCGATACTTCACTCTTGAGAATTTCAAATGACATTGGTACTCCAACTTGGTAGCTCGTTGAAATCGCGCAGAAGCAGTTGCTATTGCTGGAAAGTATGGAGAAACCATATAGGCAAGGTGTTATTTGGAATAGGTACTTCGTACGGGGTAACTAGTATGTATGCAATTGAATCATATCTTACAAGGGCGTCATTAGCAACATATGGGATAGGAACTAACTCCTAATAAGCTCTTTTTTGACTTGCGAATAATCAAAAGGTAATGGAGTCCGTAGAGAGTTGTTGAGGCGACCCTTGGGTTGAAAAATGCTCCGCAAGGAGTAGTAGTTAACTAATTCATGGAGTTGGATAGAGTTGCAATGTCGGGGGTGTGGAACAAGGTGCGGAGTTGAGGGCACCAGGCCGGTCACCACCATCGCCGACCAAGCTCCTAACCAATCTCTGGATAAATCGTCGCCCCAGGAAATACGGAGTAGAAAACATATCATTCTATGATTCCTACATGCTTTAATATGGGTGCTCTGGAGTAGCAATGCCACTACCAAAGCAAACAGTACGTTAGTCTACAAGACTTCAACTGCCCGTGCCTCATCCATTCAGGACTTATCTACGCCTCTTCTACTAACATACTTCTCATATTCAACAGACAGATTTAATCTTCTCCCTGCAGGCCCTGATTTACCGCATCCGCCAACTCATCAAAGAACGACGTGGCTACTCCAAGACCAAGGCGCGCGAACTCGCCAAGCTTCTCAAGGAAGGCCGCGATGATTTTGCCCGCATCAAGACGGAAGATGTGATCGCGAACGACAACCTGATCTCTGCGTTGGAGATTATCGAGTTACATTGTGAGCAGTTGCATGTGCGGGCGAATATATTGGATCATCTTGCGTTTGGGCAGAAGAAAAAAGGGAAAACGTTGGCTGTAAGGAGGAGAGGGAACCACGCTGGGAACCACGCTAGGAGCGGGAGGGTGGCGCCCTCGACGATAGAAGGGAGCAGTGGAGGCGGCGGATGGGGATTTTGGAGTATTTTTGGCCTTGGTGAGGGCTCGCGGACCCAACGACAGCGGTCAAATACCCGAGATGCTCAGAGTGTTGCGCGTCCACCGACGCATGAAGCAACCGTCGATGATGGCGTTGCTGAAGATATAGAGGTTAAAGACGGTGCTGAAACCGCTGAAGACAGGGAACCTGAAGTCTACATCGACCTGGAACTAGATCGTGCCGCTGCTGTGATATTCTACTCCTATCCACGCCTTCCTCGGGACATTACAGGGCTACCGGAACTCCGCGTAAAGCTAATACAAAGATGGGGAAATGAATTTGCAAGCAGAGCACAGGATGACGATGATTTGCCTGTCGATTTGCCGGAAGAACTGGTAGAGCGGTTACGAGTCCAGAAGGCATCACCAGTTTTGGTGGAGAAGTATCTAAAGGAAATTGCAAGGAGTCATGGGCTCCGGTGGCACCAGGATGAAGATGAAGATGGGGATGGGGAAGGGGGTCAGACCGTTGAAGAAGACGATCAACTCCCGGAATTCGTCCAAGAAACAGACACACAAGCTCCTGAGAAACGCGGGATAGAAGGTCCAAAGGGAAATATGAAAGGAGCCGATGCTCACTCGCCTGGCACGAAAGCTGACGCTAAGCCATCGCCAGCACAAGTAGCAGAGGCTGAGAGCACCAAGATTGGTGGTGGCATACCTGAAGTGGATGAGTTGGCAAAAAGATTTGCGGCTCTGAAAAAATGACCAGGGGAAATTTCTTCAGCTTCACGAATGATATATCACAGGCTCCTGGACAGGGAGTTGGCACTAGCAATATGCTTTCTCAACAGCGTCTATATCCGCGATTAATCTGAGCTCTGGGCGAAATCATTGTCTGAATGCGAGACAGAGACACGTAAATATTACGACAAGGTAATATTGTCATGAGCATGGTATTTTTAAATTCTATTTTGTAAGCGATCTTCCTCATCAAGTTTGACTCTCTTGAGGTACTGTTCTATAAATCCACTGATATGTTTTTGATGTGTTTCCAATCTGTATTTCGGACCCAGGAGATAGTTAAGAAGTAACGGAGCTCGAAGCCTCCTCTTCTCGGATTAACAACTGTTTCTTATCGAAACGTTGTATCTAAGTCTAGTCTACGTATGTATGTATGTACATTAAGCTGTGCTGAAAATATATATATACCAGAAAAGCACCACTACGTCGATCCATGCAATCCCTTAAGTCCCGTCTCAACAAGGCTGAAGGTGTCTTTCGGCGTTCCAGCAGATGCATCATCAGTTTTATCGGAAGTGCTTGCTTGAATTAATCGTTGTTCTGGACAGGTCCAAGCTCTTTGATTTTCAGATCCATTGTGCTCCAAGGAAAGTATATACGGGACGAGAGGTACGGAGGATGGCCGTTGGCCACGCCACCTGGGAATTTCTTTCCATAACGCGTAGTAAAACGCAGCATTACTGACAATAGATGCACAAACGACTTCTATCGACGCCCACTGTCAGGGGAGAACGAGAAGGTCAGCATTGTTGTAGGCTAAAATGGAGGCTTAAACGAAGCGGTGTGTGAAAGCATGACGTACCATGGTGCGAGTCGTCTGCGAGTTGGAATGCAAGTAGATGAGCGGTAAACGGATGATGGTTACTACAACCACAATAGTTCCCACAAGGAAGAGCAATGTCAATTGGACTTTTCTAGTGAAAGATTTAGTCAAAGCCTATGAGCGGTCAAAGAAGAGTGAGGCCGTGGCATACGTTTGGAAGCTGAGGGTGGACATCTTCCAGAGCATCGGAATCGGAAAGAGAATCAAGGCGAGGTCTGTGGCAATGTTGAGGATTGCCATCGTCAGAAGATTCTTTGTCCCCTTCTGGCATGCATCTAAACACGAAGAGCTGTGTTAGATAGTTGGCTTCAAGCTCCCTTTTGCGGAGATATAGGGACTTACGCTTCGTCGGTGCCCAATATCTGTTAAGAATGAGTCATTAGATGCTATTTCCAGTAAATCAAAGGCCGTAGGATTCTTACAGTGACAATGGCCTGCATTCAAGCAAAGTGGCCAGCACTATGACCAAAAAAGATACCACGATAAAGTACCAGAGCGCACGCCTGGCTCGATGGACCCTGTTTGACCCATTCTCGAGTCGCGAATAAAACCGGAGGAGGCATAGTTTCATGCACCAGAGGCTGGATCGGGGAGAAAATGCGTCTGGCATCAGCGAATATGTTATTTTTCAAGGGACCGTCTGTCAACGGGGTGTTCATAACACAGAACGTACAACAGAGCATAAGCCAGCCGAGAAGGTATAACTAGTTTCTTCGCCACAACGTCATGGTGATGGGTCTTCGCTGCGCGGAGATCGAAGTACCACGCTATGCAAGCTGTTCGGGAGACTAGGGGTACAAGTGAAAAGGCCATCCAGCTGTCATCTGAGTGCCATCTCTGGTGGATAGCAGGAAGCAATTTGAAAGTGCCGAGGAGCCTGTAGGTACAGCGAAAAATAATCTGTATGGCAACAATCGTGGCAGCGGCCACAATCAGAGAAGTTTCTGTCGTCCATTTCATTGAATAACAGGCAAGTCAGCGAGAGCGCTGTCATGAGAGACGGAGAAGAAGTACAACATTGATGAACACAATCAACCATAATAAATGTAAAAAGAGAAGAGCGAAGTCAAACTGGCGGTAGCTTCTCCATAACCAGATCGAATGGAACCCAAGTATGATGGCGGGGACAAGGGAAACTTTATGCTCAACTTAACGTGAAGGGATCCGGGCGCAGCGATCATACGAACTGACGATGCCCCGTCGGGTTATTCTCTGGTTGGCGAACTGGATTTAACGAGCGAATCAGTTGCTCGGTGGTGGCCATGACAGGGTAGCTGAAGGCAGAACGCTGCTGCGACAGGAACGTTGTCCAACCCTAGAAAGGCTGTCGTACGTTGTTTGCATACAGCTGGCTGGCTGCAGCATCCCAGCATCCTGCTCTTGCTCCTCCCCCCCAGAGGGTCAACTAATCCCCACCATTTCGGATGTTGCTGGCCATTCAAACCAGTTCGTGTGAAGGACCCCGTACTTCAGGCCAGATTCGTATCCACCAGGGTCCGGGCCGACCAGCCGAAGCCCCGTCTCCTCGAAGCCAGGGGCAAGTTCTCAACCCTGAAGCTCAATACATAACGAAATAGACTCGCAAGCGCACTGACGGGCTGTTGGGTGGCGCAGAGGTGTCCTGTCCTGCGGATATTTTTATTTTAAGCTTGCTCAGACGTCCCGGCAATCCAATCCTGCAGCACCCACGGACCATCATGGATGAAGGTGCAGGGATAACCAGTTAATCTCCTTCCGTCCGGATGCCATGATGAGGATAGTCAACCTAGAGTATGCAGCAAAAAGAGAAACGTTTTCGTTGAGCATTTATCAGTCTATGCCGCTCCCAACTTTCCCTCTCTCTACTGAGACGACGCTTTCGCAATGGCCATGGACGGTGGAGGAAAGGGAACATTATTGAATTCTTTGTTTGCAAAACCACTCTAGCAAAAGAAAGATGCATTCGCAAGGACCAGAGCGTTGGATATGGATCTTTTGACCGCTGGAATCAAAGGACTTGGGGAGTTTCAATTCTTTTAACTCTTTGTCTAACCATTCTTTGCGTAAAAGGCAGATAACTTCCAGGTCGGGATTGCTGCCCGGCTATCTCTGGGTACGATGTATGCACTCTGGATAAAATAAAGCATTGCAACAGCCAGCATTTTTGCTTCTGCCAGCCACCAAAAATTGAGCGGAGCCGGCAAAATTTTAGGATTCAAACATTCAATCATTGCGACGACACGGGTTTCTGCATATGGTGTACTGTCACCTCAGGCAACAAATCGGCTACTATTTACTAGTTTCTCATTGGACTATCATCCTACGTCGCAAGATTTTCATATTTAATAAGCTGAGATCAGAATTTTACGTGTTTGCTGAAATCGCAGTTGCACAGGCCTAAGCGAGAGTCAAAGCCATGCGCACATAACATCCCATCCGCCCTTCGAGACGAAATAACCATTGCCAGGGTGGATCCTGTATGATTGTCGCAGTCGTGCATCTGATACATTCATGCAGGGAAGCCACCACACCATAGCCCATAGCCAAAACTGCAAACGGCCAAGATGAAGCTCGAAAGCAAAATTTCAGATTGCGTCAGGTGATATTGGCGTGAGGCCACTCATTCCTAGAAATTTGCTATGTCACTGGCGCATTGTAAAGCCACTTATTGTGTCAAACAGTGGTTATAAGCCCATCATCATGTCTCGCGGGAATTCAGTGCATCAATTGAAGCCCATTACAAGTCCCGTAGATGTATATGGCGTTCGTTGGGTATCATATATCACTCGAGTTTGTCCAAGTGCTCCAATCTCGTCAGAACAACTTGTTTACTTGTCTCTTCGATCTCGCCCGCAAGAAAGACCTCATCAAGAATTGCATAGACCTAAATTCCGAACCGCCTTAGCCTCCGAGAATCGAATAATAATATACCGTATTAGCTCACCTTGTAGAAATTGAACACCAAATCCAACTCGCACACGTTCCCAAAGAATTGATCTAGGACCTCAACGAAGAAGTGAATAGCCTCTAAATACGCTAACTCATTGTCATTTGCGTCAACACATGCGCAGAAAAAGAGGCCTGCGTAACGGCGGTAGACGATTTTTGTGCTTCGTCGGAATTCGACGAAATTAGATTGGTACTTTTGGTCGCGGGGTGCGATGAGGCGGTGAACCTGTGCTCAAGGAGCCCGTTAGTCTTAATGGACAAATTATAAAGCATAACGAGAGGACCATGCGGAGGGCTCAACGGAGAGGACCGTGGAATGCGAGCTGATCAATTATCTCATACCTCGCCCTTGAGTCTCACTTTCTCATCATCCTGTGAGAAAATCAGTTCAGGTTACTCCGAAACGTTAGATACGGATGTCAAAAAGCGTACTGTATACGGCGCGTACCACTTGGCCAACCGGGTCTTCCCTCTTGGTGCGAGTTAACCTCCGCTGCCACACGATGGGAAGGCGAACTTACTGTCGGTTCTGAACAAGGATAAAGGAGAGAACCATGTCTCTATAAATTTCCTGGGTACACCTTATACTGTCAACATTGGGACTGGGCTCAGCTCAAAAAGATGAGTGAAATACGATGAGTTGAGGCAGATCCCCCTGATGAGCATGTCGTCTCGGGGATAACTCACCTATTCTGCCTTTTGTCGCCGCTTTGTTCCTGAGCTTTCCATCCAATGATTCTCGACAACAATGTTCGGGGCCGATGTACGGAGTAGACAGGAATCTTCGCTCTATATGTCCTTTCGTCCATGAAATTGGTGAAGTAATTACATTTTCGTTCCCCCACAACCCATGGGAATACCTCCGCCGATTCGTCTCCACCGGTGCTACGGGCATGGTGTAGGTGCAAATATAATTGCGCCGCGAATGGAAATTGAAATTGTATCAAACGTCAATAGACCAAATGGAATGCCGAAGATTTAATTATACTGTTCTACTCCGTGCACATTTCTCTTTCGCAGGATGATACTATTTCATGATCTAGTTTCTTCTTTAGATTCATCATCCCTTTCGCTATCTTCTTGCTCTACACTATCATCCTCGGTTGCACTATCGCCTTCATCAGACTTCGGGAACGCTCTCTCCGGATCCCCATTATATACTACCCACCACCCGATATTCTCTTCCGGCGCCAAAAAGTCCCTTAACCTCCTCAATGCCTCCGGCCCCCCAGGAGAAAGCTCGGGTCCCTTCTCGATAATCTCGCCGATATTCAAACTCAGCATTTGGCCGGGTCGTCCTTCGTCCGGCATAGTAATCACCTTAGCAGCAACAAATGCGTATGGTTGTCTCAACGCAGTATCACCAATGTCGTCGGGATCGTATTGCTCTATGATACGCAAGTCCGGCAGGTGATACGGAATGTTGGGATCGATGCGCCTGAAAGATTGGAGAATGGCACGACACGTCGCTGGCTCTTGGAGATATTCGGCCGCTGCGTCGAGGAGGTTGTAAGAAACGATGTGCGCACAGATTCCCGGCGCATTCAATGTGCCCACTCGGGGCCAGCGAAATCCGTGGAGGACGTAGACGACCATGGCAAGCAAGGTTCAATGGCAGGGATTGACGGATTTGACAGTCTGTTCCGAATCAATTTTAGGTCTCATCAAAATTTCAGATAATAATGAAGGGATTGTTTCATTGAATAGCGTAAACATATAGGAATATTCTTGATGCCATAACTCAATTACGGGGGCAGGTGAAGGCGTATTTACGCTATGTACGGAGTAGACTCGGAGCTATTTAACAGAGCTGTGGAGGAGCTCCAGCCTGTGGTTCACTAACGGCACCCTTGCAAAGTCTATCCGCTTCGCACAGAGATAAAGTACATCCTCTTGCCACATCGCAAAGAGAGCTCCTCCTCATCGAAAAAGTTGTTTCCGAATAATATTGGGATAATAGCGCTGTCCTATAGATATGGCCCTGTTTGATTTCCTGGTGGTCTTCTGTTCAACAGGGCCAGATATCCTTCCAGGCGGGGATAAATATGAAATCTTGCTCGCTCGTCTACGTGTGAATCGATAAATAGCAAGAAGTACTCTAGGTGTGTGACTCCGCATTTTCTAAGTTAGCTTGCAAGACGATCTTGAAGCTTTCTTTCTTGCTAACTTCCGCTGCTTGTCTGCTGCCATTACAGCCACTTCACATCCGATGCCGTCCATGGAGAAATGACATTCTACCATATTGTCATGAGGCGTCAAAGGTCCTATATAGTTGATTCTTGGTGTCTCTTCCAGACTCTATCAAATGTTTCTGCGCAAATTGCGTATTCCCGAATGAAATCCCTCTCCAGGTCATGCGTCCTCTTGCCCAAGAGGATCAAACAATGCAAAGGCTCGCCCATATCTGTCTCAGTTAATTCTTTCAGGGTACCAACAGCCAATTTTTGATCTTCGGCGCCAACCCGCGCAGCGCCTATCGCAAGGCTATCAGGCCCATAAACCCCCTCCTTTCGTTCTTCTTCTATCTCAAGCATTTGGCCAGCGCACTGTGCGACAGTCATATACCGAGGAGGCTCATAAACCTTTCTGCCCCTAGCCATATTTTCCAAGGACTGCTCTTTCACTTTGATATCAAGGAGCACAAGCGTATGAAGGCCAATCTGGATGTTTTCCTTGATTCTGTCATAGAAAGACGATGGTTTCCAAGTTTCGGTGAAAAATACCATACTGACAGTTTGGCCAAAATTGTATAATTGTAACCCAGTACAGCCAATTGCCGACATGATTGACGCGTTCGGTATCGATTTCGTCTGAATTCCGAGCTCCCGAGCGCGAAGGACGAGGTCGGTGTGTGTTGTAGCACTGGGAATTTGAGCATTCGGGTTCTCCGAATCCCGGGTGGGATCGACTCACCCGAACGGATCACCGACGACTAAGAAAGCAATATCTACTTTGTCTGCTTCGGCTAGTATATCATCACTACCAGATTCAACAGCTTCGCGATCTGCTATTATCACTGGTCTGCCGTAGAAAGCTTCCTTGAAGACCAAAGACCGGGTATTAGCGTGCAATCGACAATGCTCAGTCATGGAGGCTCACCAATTTCTCCTTGTCAACGAGGAGTATACTGGTATATGCTTCTAGATATACTCGTTCCGCCTTCTTGACGACCTCTAGTCCTTTCACCGTAATATCCGTCTCATCAGCGAGACCCAGTCCCACCAGGTAGAGCATTATGGGAGTTAAACGTGATAATAATTTTAGGGTAGATTTTAAGAGGCATAAAAAGGTTGAGAAACAAAATCTGGTGTCTAGCACTACGCGGAAAAGATGGGATACAGCGGGGTGTTTTCGTACCCAGCAAATTGTCCTGCTTGCTGATAAGATTGCGGAAAATCAATGATCCGAGATAAGATGGTTCGTCGGTCAACTTCCAAGAGGCATTACCGCATCTGGGAATAATCCACGTTCTCCGTAACCCCTGTGCATCTCTCGCTGTTACAGGTTCCTTGTTGGCCCATTTATACTTATACTAGCCATTTTTCATTAAGTTCCAAGTGAATACCGGTCTGTATCCCCATTCTGCGGCAGCATAACCAGAACCATGACGGAAAGAACTCCGAAATACCGCCAGGAGATTCAACAGGTGTGTTTGCCCATATGTCACCCTGCTGTTCCTCTTCCATCTGCTATCTGTCTCATGGCATGGCATAGTTCAGCATGCCCTGGTATGTCCTGTTGGAGTCTTCCACTCCGCCTGATGGTGAGCTCAAAGAATGTGTCTAGCAAAGTCGTAGGAGCAAGTCAGCCATTCTAGCCCTGGTGACTTCCGGCAGATGCCTTTTTCTGACGGAATAATCCATGATGAAAAGCTTGTTATTCCCAAATATATACCCTTTGTGTGCTTTTGGTTTCACACTACCCATGCTATATGCTCTGTCTTGTCAAAAGGATCTTATCCGAAGCAGACCCATCCAGAGTCTGATAATCAGGGCTATGAAGTGACAAGCTGAAAGGCTGAGTTCTTCATTTACAAACCTGGAAGTCCAGTGTTGCATCATTTAGGCTTGCGCCTATAGCAAATCTGCTTGAAAGCTCTTCGAATAGTTACCAAATGACGGATAGCCCAGCACTTTAGATGCAAGGTATCTCGTGCACTGTGCATCATGCTATAAAAACAAAGCACGTGATATTTCCCTTTTGAGATATCTTAGCTATCAACGATACATTGGTTGCTCTCTTTAAGTCTCTGCTAGTCAGCAAACACTTGAAGTCTTCTCCGCGGCCATTGTGCTTTCTGCAAAATGGATTCAAAGCGCGAGCGTGTCGATAAGTTATTGAACATCAAGTATATGAGGCAAGACTACAGCTTTGCAGCACATTCTTTGAGAGCTCGTCAGCGATTACTGGCACGTAATGGCGAACCTTCAGCAGAACCGGATCAGGACTATGAGGCAGACGGCTATAGCTCGCATAAGGAGTTCATGACTGACGTTTTAGGAAAGATGATGTTTGTCTCTGGGGAGACTGCAGAGCCATCTGTGGAGACCACGAGTTTGATTGAAGAAATCGTTCGCCAGCAAGTCATTGAAATGGTCAGAGAACATCTCCCGGTCTATGTCTGTTTATAAGCTAACCTCATCCAGCTCATTCGAAGCACTACTCTAGCGGCCCGTCGCGGCGTGAGATCTATTTCAACTGATGACCTTTTTTTTCTTATACGCCATGATAAAGCTAAGGTCTCGCGATTGAAGACTTTCCTGTCGTGGAAGGATGTTCGCAAGAATGTGAAAGATTCTGATGACAAAGGCGGAGCTGACGCAGCGGATTTTGGTGCCGGAGACGACCCGCTTGCGGGAGCTGCTCAAGACGTTGCTGCCAAACCGAAAACAAAACGTGCAAAAATCGGCCTTCCATGGGACCTTAATAACCTTTACTCTGTACAGGTTCCTGAACGTGAGGACGAAGAAGATGAGGAGGAAGAAGAACAGAATTATGCCACTCTTCAGCGCCTTGCGAATGCAGATGAACGGACTAAGAACATGACCCGCGAAGAATACGTTTTTTGGTCCGACTGCCGACAAGCATCTTTCACTTTCCGCAAAGCCAAGCGTTTTCGCGAATGGGCCGGTTTTGGTATCGTGACAGACTTTAAACCGAACGATGACATTGTTGATATTTTGGGCTTTCTCACCTTTGAAATTGTTCAGACATTGACAGAAGAGGCTTTAAAAGTCAAGGAACAGGAAGATCGTGGCAAGAAGGGACGTGGAGGTTCTGAAGATGGAGGAGAGAAAAGCAAGAAGCGCAAGCGAGAGACAGGGCTGTTTGATCCCCCTGAAGAGGGAAGAACCCCCATTGAGCCTAGACACGTCCACGAAGCGTTCCGCAAGCTTCAGGCTACCTCGAACAAGGCTGTCGCTATGTTATTGCATGGAGGCCGTGCCCCCGTTCGCACGCCATTGAGATTGGTATGTTACTTCACCAACTGATTGCTTCCCTAACAAGAATATGAAACTGAATCCATTTTTTTCTAAAAAAAAATAGATTTGATGCTACATGCGGAAAGGTTCAGGTTCTGGAGCCGGAGTTCAATGGGCGAGGATTGCTTTTGACAGGTGGTCTACTAGAATTGGGAATGGGAGATACCCTCGGAGTTCGCGGATCGGTTAGTCCTACTGTAAACCGGATCGGTTGACTATGTGATTTGAATCAACAGTTTATCAGTTTAACCTCACTAGCAGCCTCAATGCCAGAAGTTAATAATTTGTTACTATTCTTCTTCATTCTATTAATCTATCAACCATGGTATGTTGAGAGAATCATGTATTCCCAAGATTAAAGGAAAAGAAGAACGCTAGGTATCCAAATATAGAGCTGTGATCGTTCTTTTCGCCTTCAATCCTATGACCTTCCGGCATATATATTCCCAAGCACAACAGCTAGTTCACTCAGAAATCTCGACACTTCTGACTCTGTGCCGACTGTGATCCTCAAACACCCTTCGCATCCATATTCCCTGCCCCTGAATCGGACCACAACTCCTTTGCTCTCTGCAAGGGATTCGTATACAGCTAGAGCAGTCTTGTTACAAGGCCTACCGCCTTCTTGTGCAGGTTTGTCGAGAATTTCCACAAGTAAAAAGTTGGAATCAGTTCCACCAAGGAACTTACCCACGCCACGAACTGCAGGCAGCTCTTTCAACAATCTATCGCGTTGGATAAATAGTTTCTCCCTGTTACTTCGCATAACCTTGAGGTTCGCCATCGAGAGAGCAGCTGTTGCCAACGCGCTGGTAGGGCTTGAGATGTTATAGGGAGCCTTGAGGCTGTTCAACAGCCTCGCAATCTCCGGGCTCGTAAATGCAGCTCCCAATCTAATCCCAGCCAGGCCGAAAGCCTTGCTCAAAGTCTGCATGACAACCAGGTTCGGCCATTCAGTGACCCATTCTGCCAAACTGGACCCTTCAGGAGCAAAGTCTATATACGCCTCGTCAACCACGACGACACCATTCCAGGTAGGATGCTCTAGAACTTTCTGGATATCCGCCTTCCGAATTAAATTCGCTGTAGGATTTCCCGGAGAGCAGATATACACCAGTTTGATATCTGCTTGCTCTGAGAGTGTCGTATTCATGGCGTCTGGGCGCAATTGAAATCCGTTCTCCACGTCCAGAGGTACTTTGATAATACCAACATCGTTGACCTGTGCGCTGACAGAGTACATGCCATATGTAGGTGGGCATGTTAGGATCTTGTCCTTCCCCGGTGTGCAGAAGCATCGCAGCAGGGCGTCAATCGCTTCGTCGGAGCCCACGCCAACGAAGAGATTAGACGGGTCGAGGTTTTTTTGGGTGTGAATATGCGTGTTTCGGAGATCGCAAAGGAGTTTCTTAAGCTCGACCTGGTGTCTTTGATATTAATTTCATTCAAGTCAGCTCACAAAATTGCTCTCGATTACTTCTAAGTAGGGTAGGCGTGGCATGCTCTCACGGATCAGGGTAGCGATTGAGACCTAAAAAGTCGAGATCCGGGGCATTTTCGGTTGCAGTCACGTTTTCCAGCTTTCCGTCGTCTGTTAGGACCAAACTGGGACCGTATGCATTCTCGTTTGCGTCGAGAAGGACATTTGTTCCGTCATCCTTATAGTCACTGACTCATGTGAGCTGAGACTTGTTATCTAACACTGCGGGGTCAAGCTTACTCTCTTGCACATCTATATGGTTCTAGCTGAAGAATGTTGTGCCTTGCACATTTTGTTAAATCAAATGGGCTTTGTTTAGGCATGTTAAAAATGCAATCAGGGCCAGTTGCAAAAAGGTGAACAAGGTTCGCTGGATTTGGTCAGAGACTGATTCTGTGTGCTGGTGGCGGAGTATGGTACGGAGTAACTACGGAGTGCTCAACTTTATAAAGATTGGGATGGTTATGTGGTTTTGACCCTACAAACGATGAGTCATTGGAAGAGTAAAAGGCAGTCAAGACTGAATCTCAATTACTGTTGCTGTGATATATATATACAAAATCCACTGGCATTACCCTCTAGCTTGCCCGTTCTATGTTGATGCCCAAACGCCAGAATATGCTTGCCCCCAAGCTGGACTTTTCTCTTGCTTGAACGCGATATCAACATAATTCGAGGATTTCTCAACCCTCAATTGGTGTTATATAAGAATACGTAAGAAATGAATTAATTTTTTAATCTGGCTTGGATTTGTTCGTCGAGTCGTCATGATCGGTGCTAGACGACGCCTTGGACTTGGAGTATTTGTCTCTTTTCTCTTTCAGGTATCGGAACATCCTTCGAAAGCCGGCGGTCACGATTCCTTTGATGCTCTGACTTGTACTTGGCCAAGAGATGGTCTTTTTGATGGATTTAGCGACTTCCTCCTTCAAATGATCCTCGGCGGCAATCCTTCGGTCAAAAGCTGTTCCTTGACGGCGATGTATGCGTTCTGGGTCTTCATCCGTGGCTTGTTCCATCATCTTGTTGAACTCTGCTCGAGGTATTTGAAACCGGGACTGGTACTGGAAATAAAGCTTCTCCCGGAATGACTGCGGCAATCGGCGGACCATATTTCCTCGCTTGACCGGGTCCATGTCTTGTGCTAACTTAACATTGGCTTCCGGGTTATCTATCCAATCAGGATCGCTGCAGCTTGGATCGTTGAAAGCAACGTTAGGCAGAGTATCAATTAAAGGAGCATATAATCGGCGAAAGTTGGCCATTTGTGCAGACACAATATTCGTGATTTTTTTGGGATCTTCTGAGCCAAACGACATTCGCGGATCTCCCATGTAGCTGATACCTGCAATAGTGGTATACAGTTGGGATTCAGTAAAATCGGGTGGAAGAAGCAATAGCGCAACACGGACGGCGGAGAGAAGATTCATTTGGTTTGCGAGCCGGACCCTGGGATGATCACGCAAAATTTTAACTGGTTTGTGTAGGCGTCCGGCTATGTAAAGGGTATCCCATTCGCTAAGGTCCTTGCACATGGTATCAATGTTGACAACTCCGTACTTTATCAGAGTCCCATTCACGGTCACGTAAGGGTTGAAATAGACGCCGGCACCCCATTTGTCCTGCACCTGAGAGACCACGTATGATCCTAGTGACCCGATAGCAGAATAATGATCGCGATGCTGGTTCAGATTAAGGGAGTGCCAATGCTGGCTGTAGGAGACTCCAAATATAAAATCAATCATCTTCCCTCCGCCTTGTTGCATCCTCTGAATGGTGGGTGGAGCAGCGGGGTGGCAGCTTTCACCCGTTGCTGCCCCCGACTGCGGGAAAACCCCAGAACCATATGCAAAAGCATATCTAATCGGAGCCCGAAACTGCCATAGTATCTGACGCAATGCTTCTTTGAACTCCTGGTTGATGATCATGTGCTGATTGGACCCGAAGTCTCTTGTTGGCAGTTCAGCAAACGAAGAGATGGAAAAGTCCGGGTTTTCCTCCCAATCGGAATCCTTCCACGAACCTACAATCGACGAATTGGAAGAGTTGCTTGTCTGTGTAGAAGTATGCGGGACGTTATGGTGCTTTGCACTGTTGTATCCTGGGGGAAGCCCGCCATCTTGGCGCGGTGGATTGGGGGTTGGCTCTGTTGAAAGTGGCCGAGAAAATTTTGGAAATAAGGTGAAATATGAAGAAGATCGTGAACAGGAAAGGACGGTGTATGCAGATGCGCCCAGCCTGGGACCTATGGTCTTTGTGAATCCCCTGTATTAGCATCTTGGAATAGCTTGGGTTCCTTGGGGCTCGCTTACATAGAGCTGCCGCATAGCGATCGGAAGAGACGGAGGGTACAGCGAGAGCTGCAAATATATTGTGATATGGCGAACATGGGCATTCGCACTCAAAGCCTTGTATTCGCACCCGCCATATTGAACAGGATGATCAATCCAAGCGACAGGAAGGCGATGAACCCGGATTTCGAAAGACAGCCCGATCGCCGGAAGGCTTATATAATCAAAGTACAAATTATCACGTGACATTCTGGTCGCGGTACATTAGTCAGCGGCGCGCGTGAGGAAATCCAAACAAACGGCTGGGTGTAAACACAGCACACTCAGCGATTCATCCACATAACGGCGGATCTCGGGTGCATTCGGGGTTTCTTGAATAGGTGTTTTGGATTCTACAAATGATTTTGATAAGATAAAGCCCCTTTTTACGCCATGGCACAAACTGGAATGGAGACGGTTTCGGCACGACTCGCAAGCTTCAAAACTGCGCATCGACCAATATCGAAGGGAAGGACCTCCGGTGCAAAGACAAAGCCCATTACCTGGCCTCATGTCAAACCATCTCCCGAAGAGGTATTCATCACTGTGCCGAAGGTTTCTATTCTTACCATTAACACGCTTTCAGTTAGCGGACGCAGGGTTCTACTACCAGCCAACGGAGATCAGCCCAGATAACACAGCTTGTTTCCTATGCCGATACGCGCTGGATGGTTGGGAAGAGGATGACGATCCAATTACAGAGCATTTAAGGCATTCTAGAGAATGCGGATGGGCGATTATTATGGATATAACTCGACGCTCTTCCAATCCAGCGGAGATCGTGGACCCAACAAGTCCCGAGATAGCCGAAGCACGGAGGGCCACGTTCGGCACATGGTGGCCTCACGATGGGAAAAAGGGATGGAAATGCAAGACTGAAAAGGTTGGTTTTAAAAGCGACCCCTTATTCTTCTTTGTCAATTGGACTGGTCTAACCTGGATGCTTTACCAGATGGTTGAGGCCGGGTGGTATTTATGTGCAACCGAAGAGAGCGATGATTTTGTTAGCTGTGCATATTGTAATCTATCATTGGATGGCTGGGAGCCAAAGGACGATCCATTGTACTACTATCGCTGACTTGCTCTTTTCTGGATGGTTTGCTAACTTGCAATTTAGTGACGAGCACTATCGTCGGTCTTCTGAGTGTTCCTTCTTCCATTTTGCGCCTATACAGGGGAAGAAAGGAAGAACCGGTCGTGGGAAGAACACTCGTTCATCGAAAGCTTCAAGGAGCTCCACACAATCGACTCTAAGTACATTCTCAGAGGCCGAAACAGCAGATCTTGACAGCGAGATGGAGCAAAGTTTGCTCTCTCAATCGGCAAAAGAGACATCAAAGAGGTCTTCAAGGGCTGGAGCGAAAGGAAAGAAGATAAAAGCAAAGGTAAATGAAGCGGTTGTGGCTGGCAGCCGAGTAGAAGACGATGCAACAATGGTCGAAAGCCAACAACCAAAAAAACCTAGAGGAAGAAAGCGGAAAAGTAGTGAAATGATTGACAATGAGGGATTCCAAGAGACCTCAAATTCAGACGTTCGTCCAGAACCAGCAACTAAAAAACGCGCGACAGGAACCCGAAAGACCAGTACCGCCAAAACTCGAGCCATTTCTGATCTAACAGACGATGAATTGAACGGGCCCATTGAGCCAGTTAAAAGCGAAAAGCGATCAAACAAAAAGTTAACGAAAAAGAGGAGTACATCCAAAAATCGTGCTCAATCTGGTGCCTCTAAAGACCCATTAATTTCCCGGATTCCAAATGATGCGGAAATTGATGCGGAACTAGAAGCTGACTTGGAGAGAGATGGTATCGATGGGGTCGAAATAAAATCAGGGACAGGATATGAACATGATACCCCTGTAGCGCCCATCTGCAGAGTGTCAAAGAGAGCGAGTGATACAGAGGAGATTGAAGGCTATGCTACTGAACCAATTCAAAAACCAGGCCGTAAAAAAGCCCAAGGGAAAAAGAAAACGGCAAAGATAAATGAAAGCCAACCTCAAGACGATACCGAAATGCGCGACGAAGTCCAACATCCTAGAATCGCAACCGATGCTTGCATGGATTTGGACGATGATCATATTTCACCTCACAGTCTTCCAGTGGACGAAGCGGTGGACGAAGTCTGTGACGATGCACAATCCTTGAAGAAGGCAAAACCAAGCCGGAAGCAGAAAAGATCGCGAAGCAAGGAAGAGGATGCCAGGGAAGAAGAGGCTTCTGATGGTCTGGCTCGAGATTCTGCCAATCTGAGGAGATTAAGAACGCAAAGCGTATCTGAAGACCATATTCCCTCGGAAAGAACTGCACCTAGTCCAGTCGATTCGACGCCTTTTCAAGCCCAAGAGCGTACCCCCTCCCCATCTCCGCAATCCTCAGATGCTGAAAATCGTCCTCCCTCATCGAGGCCCGAGGCTTTTTCTATACCGTTAGAACCGAGCACGCCAGCTACATCGGCACAAAAAATATTTGACCAGTCAATATGCTTATCAACTCCTGATCCTTGGTATCCGGTCGACCTGGATGATTTATTGCAACCTGATTCGGCTAATAAAGAGAACGTTAATTTGAGTGAAATGCTGTGTGCAGCTAAGGGCGACTTAACGAGCCCTGAGAAGCGTATGAGTGTTGCAGAGTGGATAGCATGGAATGCTAAGAAAGGAGAATCGAAGCTCCGGAACGAGTGCGAGAGGATGGTCAGCCTTTTCGAGAGAGAAGGCGGACGAGCAATGTCCGTACTCGAGGAGATCGAATGCATCGATTGAAAGTTATGGTTTTGGCGTTCTTGGATCATACCCCGGTGTCGATATTTAAAGTTAGCGTGGGAATTCATAGTCATATCACCTTAATCGTCGTAGGGTAATTAGTTCGAATATCATGCCTTCGGCTGCTTCTCGATTCCAACGTTCAAGATATAATTCCAAGCCGGCCCTCCCAAGAATCCTCTTGTTTAATCCCATTCTCTCCATTTTTTCCAGTTTTACGCCTCTTTTCATTCCGCTTCCTTCTCCTCTCCTCTCTCTCCCTTTCTTCTTCTTCCTCTCTAGTCTTAAGTCTTTGGTTGAGGTCAAGCTCTCCTGCTTTTCTTTCCTCTTCAGCCTCCATTCTCCGTTTGTGTGACAGCATTCTCAGTCTCAGTCGGACATCTTCAACGCCGGCTCGTACAACCTCTCCACTTTGACCAGTCGCGATCAAGTGTTGCTTGCTATTCAAATGCTCCACCAATTGTATATTGTCTTTGAACGTAAGGTCGCAGTCAGAACAGTAGAATCCAGCTCCACGGCCACGTTTGCCAATGGCTGCGCCCGCTGGTACAATGGTTGTCTTCCCTACCAGCGACGCGACATCGAGTCTCTGGGTACGCGACGTTGTAGCCTCGAGGGTGCTGTAGTCAACTGGCGCGTGGTATTTCTTGCCCAGAAGTTTGGCCTCATAACGAGCTTTGGATTCGGCTTTCGCTTTGGCTGCGTCAACAGCGGCTTTTTCGTTGTACGCTTCACGATCCCAGGTCTTGCGAAAAGCAGTGTCGGAAGATGGAGTGCCGTAGGCGGACTTTTGAGCCTTGGAGTCGCTCATTTTTGCGAGGCGTGTGAGAGTATGTGAGAGAAAGCGAGCTGCAAAACTATCACTGGGATCAATGAAACTGATATAAGGGCAGATCAAGCGAAAAAGGTGGGATCGCCCTGTGCACTCTCCGTCGAGTCTGGTGAGCTGCTGGAGCTGAAGTTCTTCCGAGCTGTGGATGTTCGATAAGATAACAGGCCGATCACGTGATATTAAACTGGATGGAGAAATGATAAACCGAATGGACAAGCTGGATTCCAAGATTTAAAGTGGTCAAAGAGAGAAAGCCAGGCACAAGTGGGCTTGGTCGAGGAAAATAAAAGCTCAAGTCAGGATCTTACCAAGTTGGTGGCCAAGGTCACAAGAACACCTCTGTATGTTCGAATAGCGACATGGTGGACCTAGCATCCCTTACAGCGATGAAGCACGAGGTAAACGACTTTCGAATTTAAGATACGCTTTTCAAAGACCTTACGGATTCCCTTGCACAATTGGTGCAGTGGAACATGGTTAGATAGAACCTTGCAGACCGGGCGATATCGTCCCAGATGAGAGAAAGACAAGAAATCTGAATCCAAATTGCTTTCTCTTCGTACTCCAAGTTGAGAAATTCAGAGGATCGGCGAGCCAAAGCTGCAAGGGGGTTGTCTGTTGTGTTTGTTTTGGTGTCGATCCACAAGCACGGGCGCCAAGTGAGCCTTGCGATGGGGGAAGGCAATTCCAGCAACAACAGTTTTAACCGCTTGATGTTTCAAAGCCCCATTTTCGGGAATCCTCGCAAAGGTTTCCTGGTCCATAAGAATTCCCCAGCCTTGTGGAAGCGTTGCTTGGTGGAGACAGACAGAGTCTTAGGGCCTTGACTTGTTAGCTCGTGAAAATCAAGTGGCTGCGCCGCAGGCAGCATAATAAAGAGCGAAGAACTGTCCTCTGCCTCTATACTTACTAAAACACAGAAATATATAACAAGCTGTAGGATCACCTTGATTTTCTCATTTGTTCCTTGTCCTTCAACCATCTTCGTCAGCACGAGCCCGGCTCCTTACAATGCTTCAGGACAAACCCTCAGCTCTTCCGCTAGCTTCAAAGCCGGCACAAAAGGGCTACAATTTCATGGACTTACCCCCAGAAATGCATCTTCACATCATTTCACACCTCTCCTATCCAGATGCGTTGGCTCTCAAACACACAAACAGCTACTTTTACTCCCTCGTCACAACCAATGTCCAATTCAGAGTGAATTGGATCATCGAACGTGTTTCTTCCGGTTTACCCATCCTATGGAGGAAGTGTGAATTACGCACCGACGAATCTTTTTGTAAGGGCGATGTTAAGCGTACCATGGAGAGGAGAAGGCGGCACAAGGAGTGCAAACCTGGTGATGGCGGATGTGCTGTCGTCGCGGGTTCAAACTGTGGTGGTGCTTCTTCGGAACTATATTGGCAATTCAGGAGGTGTAAAGTGCTGATGAGAAGAGCGACAAAAATTGCGTTGGAGCATCAGAGTATGTTGTCCTTTGCCTACTAAAACATGCCTTAGAGCCTCATTGCTAATGTTCTGAATAGTGCTGGCCATTGGCTTATTGCTTTGCATTATTGCTGTTCTCTGGCAGATTCTATTTTAGGCACTCTAAATATACACCCCCAAACTGAATCTGACAACTATCTTGTTAGTGTCCTAACAATGACTCTGGTTCTCCCAACCATCTGTGCTCACGACAGTCTCTCTCAGTATGAAAAAGTGTATAGACCTGAATCTCAACAGCAAATTTGAACGACTTTTCGCAAACTGGGGAAATTCTGATGAAGAGCCACCGTGTGAGGTCAGTGATGAATCAAAGATACTAGTTTCAGTGAGGTTATGATGAGGGTTCTGCTCCATTTAATAAACTCACAACGTCTTAGCGGTTACTGTCAATCAGATAACTCCGGTGTTAAGGCGGATATACGGAAATTTGAACACAAAGGAAACAGAACGTTCATAGCCAGATATTGTCAATGCATTTGAAATATACCCCCGAAGTCTTATCAATCTCCTTTAACTGAGAGTGATTTCCATGTCCGGTTCACCAGGCCTGCCAAAATGACGGAGAAATAGATAGTTGATTTTGCTTTCCAGGAAGTTGAGCGCAGCACGTTGTGAGGATTCCGACAACAAATATTAAAGACTCCATCCCCTCCAAGCGATAGTGCGACCTCCAGGGTCACCAATCTCACTAAAATGGTCACCGAACATATTCGATGCCCGCCTCCGGAGGCCGATTCGCCTTACGATATTGTCCATTTCCTTTGCGGCGATAAGGATAAAACAGAGTTGTCCGTGATATGCTACGACAAATGGTTCGAGATACCAGCATTAGCAAAAATTCTTGACAGCTGTCCGGTTATCAAAGCTGATTTCTTGCGCCTATTGGACGATCTTTTATCCATGGATGCTGATAACTTCGAATTCAACCTCGACAACCCGGATACGATGGAGGAGATGTGCTACTAGATGGCAGAGGCATGCTTTTCGATGCTCCGATCTTTGGCGCCCTGTCTAACGGGCCTACGAGCGATAACACTGGAGGAATATTACAACGCTCCGACAATTCACTTGACCATTCAGGTGATTGATGGGAAGTTGACTGGAACACAGTCACCGCACGAGCCACAAGACCTCAAGCCGCACATCCAGCTTGCGGATGCTATTATGAGTGTCGAGGTCCGCTGTTTACCATCCTTCGAGAGTGAGATTGCCCTGGGATACAGAGAATAAACGACCGGCGCTACCGTCGAGAGTATTTCTCGATGACTGAGACAGGGAACTCTTCTTCAAGCCATCTTACTGTGGGAGTTCAAAGCATTTTGAACGTGAAATCAACATCTTCCTCCGCCTGCAGAAATCTGGACTTGGTCACCGCATCCGAGCACCCAGTCTCCACGATTTCGTTTCCTTAGGTAAAGACAACTCCGAAATCTCTGGTATTCTGCTCTCCTACGTCAAATTTCACCATACGCTGGCCAATCCTAAAGTTTTATTTGCAATCGTTCCCTTCGGGAACGGTGGGCCAGCCAACTGAAACTGATCGTCGACGCACTCCATCAAGCTGGCGTTGTCTGGGGGGACATAAAACCGGACAACTTCCTTTTTGATACGGAAAACGATTCGTGGGTTATTGACTTTGGGGGTTTTTTGTACACCTGGCTGGGTGGATGAAGAACTGGTGGAAACAGTTCAAGGAGATATCCAAGGTCTTGCGAGAATTATCGACTACCTGAATGGACGATAGTGAGATCATGAACTCATTTCTCAAGACCGTACATTAACAACTTCCGCCCTCACTTGTATATCGCGGGATGAATCACGATCAACGGTCAAAAAGCTTATCCGCCTCCTTGCTCATTCCTAGTAATGTAACTGCCCTCCTCAGTAAGACCGAAGATCCCCGTCATTTTCTTTACGATAAATTTTTCCTAGAATGTAAGTTCTTGTAGCTGGAGTCAATTCCTTTTTATATTGAAGATTTGAGCTTATAGAAGTCAAAGCTCGTCATTCCATGACTCTAGGGGCGAATTTGGAATGTGTTGCTGGAGACACATTGAATTTCCAATTTACGTAGACTTGTTGCAAGGCACTGTACTCCGTGAATAACTATGGATTATTTTGTAGTTAATGGTTCCTCGGCTTAAGAGAAGTAGCGCATCTCAGGTTTAAAGAGAGAAATCTGCCACTATCTTTGGCTGTGCGTATCTATTTCACTGCATTGATATCCTCAAGCTTCGCATGATGACTGTAGACTGTGGCGCGCTTGTGACTTTTTGCGGGCAAACTGACGCCTGCTTGACTGGCGATGTGGAGGACTGACTTGGGTCTTGGTTGTAGTTAAATAATAGGCGCCGCCCGCGAATTACGCTCAGTGACGATGAAATCCGCAACCATGCAAGATTGCCCGAGGTATTTACCGCCGGGCCGTGTACCTGTCCCACGGCCATCGGCCGGCGGCATGACCAGTGCAGACGTTCAGTTAAAATACGCAATGAATCTCGGATTCGACTTCAAAATAAAATGACCATATATCGGATAACGCCGTGGTCCGCCGCTAGCTACCTCCCGAGATCAAGGCCAGCAGACCGAGACCAAAGCCATCGACAACAATGTCAGGAGACAACCAACAACCTCCTCTCTGGGTTTCTCCCGACGTGGGTAAACATCCCATCGACGATTACCGCCGACATGTAAATAAGAAATTCGGGCTCAGCCTTGAAAATTCTCACCATCTCCACCAGTGGAGCGTCACGAAGCCCCATGACTTCTGGATTGATTTATACAAGTACGTCGGGATAGTGCCGCAGCTTCCACCGCATATCACCCGCGCATACGATGATTCCGTGAAACTCAGTGATGTTCCCCGATTCTTTGAAGGCGTGGAGCTTAACTACACGGAAAATGTGCTGGAAGGCAAAGACCCCGATGCCATTGCGCTTATTGGACTGAGAGAGTTCGACTTCTTGCACGGCGAAAATGTGACCTGGAGAGAGCTGAGAGAAAGAGTTAGACGGGTAAGGAGTGCGTTGATTCGAAACGGGGTGAAGGAGGGCGATCGGGTTGCTGCCATTGTGTCTACATCGGTTTGGGCGATTGTGATTTTGCTCGCGTCCGCGTCCATGGGGGCGATTTTCTCGTCGATATCGCCTGATATGGGTGAGGCGGTATGTATACCCCATGATGCAAGATTTGGATAATTGGAAAAGTTGCTAAGAAATGATTCACCAGGGTTGCGTAACAAGACTCCAACAGATTGAACCTGCTATATTGTTCGCGGACAGTGACATGTCTTACAAGGGTAAGACCACATCTCTTGACAAAAAGATCACGTCCGTTGTGAAAAAGCTGCCCCAGACCATGAAGGTCTTCATCATTCCGATCACTAGTCAGGGCACCACTTCCTTCCCGCTGGTGAATGAATTCCTTGCGAAAGCTCGAAGCTCGGACCACCTAGAATACAAGCGTGTTCCGTTCTCATACCCTGTATACATCCTTTATTCAAGTGGAACAACAGGCCAGCCGAAATGTTTGGTGCATCAGCATGGTGTCGTTATCCAACTTAAGAAGGTTGGGTTGCTGCACTATTCCCTCGGACCAAAAGAAGTTGTATTTCAGTATTCAAGCACCTCATGGGTACTTTTTAACATCATGAATGGCCATCTCTCGGTTGGTGCAACAGTAATCGCTTATGATGGCTCCCCATTATGGCCTGACGCAACAACTATGCTCAAGATTATTGAGAAATTCAGGTCAGTGCGACCATCGACACCCCGAAATGTGGCTCATCGCTGAATTTATCCAGGGTAACGTATTTTGGCACGTCTCCACGCTACCTTTTGGAGCTGGAGGCCTCAAAGATCGTTCCACGCGATGAATATGACCTCAGTTCTCTGCGATTAGTAACGACTACCGGAGCGACACTGACTTCGGATCAGTTCAGGTGGTTTTATCAAGCATTCCCCCAGATCCACCTAAGTAGTGTCGCTGGGGGAACAGATATTGTCACCTCATGTTGGTCAACCTGCACAAAAAAAAAAAAAAAAAGAAAAAAAGAAAGAAGCGGACGGTCGAGTGCTAACTGCCTTTGATATAGGGATATCGTGTGACCCTTCAAGTCCAGTATACGCGGGAGAGATGCAGATGATCGCCCTTGGCATGAACGTATATGTTGCGGATGCCAATAGCGGAGAGGATATTACAAGAGTGAGGTGACCGCTCGCGTGTCTGTCTCAGCTTGGCTAACCTCTCTATAGACTGGGAAATCAGGAGAATTGGTCTGCCCGACTCCTTTCCCATCAATGCCCGTCTTCCTCTGGGGAGATAAGAATAATAAGAAATACAAATCTTCATACTTTGAAAGATTTGATAACATTTGCGTCTGGGCCCAGCATGACTGGATCAGCGTGAACCCAGCCACCCAGGGTATAACAATGCACGGCAGAAGGTATGCATGTCAGCTGAATGCCTTGAAACGCACTCACACTCATTCTTCTTTCCAACCAGTGACGGCGTCCTAAATCCCTCGGGGATCCGTTTTGGCAGCTCCGAAATCTACAACATCTCTGAAGGGCCTGCATTCAACTCCGAGATTCAAGACTCCCTTTGTGTTGGTCGGCGCCGAAAACAAGACAAAGACGAAATTGTCTTCCTTTTCGTCAAAATGCGCTCCAATCAGCCTTTCACCACTGGCTTGGAGCAGCGCCTGCGTTCCGCGATACGAACGGGGTTATCACCGAGACATGTGCCGAGATTCATCCTTGAAGTGCCTGAGATTCCCGTGACGATTAATGGGAAGAAAGTTGAGACACCTGTGAAGAGGATAATAAGTGGGGACCAGGTGCAGGTAAGTTCAACAGTTGCAAATCCAACGTCGTTGGAATTTTTTGAGCAGTTTTCAAAGTTGGAAATCCAGCCAAGGGCAAAACTATAGATGATATCATACCATTTTTGGGAGCGCTCCGCACTCTGTGGATATGTATCTAGATTAAGCGTAGATTAGTACAAGTAGGTTTGGCAGCGGACAAGGATGCAAGTGAGCTTTCTGTATGCAATATCGAGGTGAGCTCATCGAGGCTCTGTATCGTCGTTGCCCCGGCAGATATTATGATCTGCAGCATTCGAATTCAAAACGGGAAACTGCTCAAGGGGTGAGAGTCCACTTGGCAAGACTTCGCCCGTCTTTCAGGCGTTGGTTTCATCTTCTAGCTCTAAATGCCCGAACCACGAAAGTCTGGAGCTTGGACCCTCGTCCATAGTGAGGAGAAGTTAGCCAACCTGCATGGCACAAGCAAGGAGGCCTTCATCCATAACACGCTCTTGAACTCCCCAGCTAAGATGTGCGCGCGAGATTATGCACGTGCATGCGAGACACACGGTTAGTTCAACTGTTCCTTGTCATAGAAGCCTTAAGCCTGCGGTATCAACTATTTCGAGCGGGAATCCCGAAACAGCGAGTCGAATGCCTGTCGAATGAGGTCCTCGCCGTCTTGTGGGTGAACGTGCCGAAAATAAGTTCCTTTTTCCCGCCTTTGGCTGTTAGTCGGATTTCAATTCGGACGTCCGCTTTCCTCAGTTTTGGTTGAGAAAATTGGACTTTACGAGAAGTCAATGCGGGTGTGACATGGGGGAGTTGTGTTAGCAATATCCTTATGTGGTGATCAAAGCTTCAAGAGAAACATGGTTAGTCATAAAAGATAGTAAAGACAGGGGAAGAGCGAAGCTCGTGTAAGGAGCTTGTAAATACCGAGATCCCGAAGCAGGGTTGAAATCGTTGCCTTGATCATTAGGTGCTGGGCAATTCAAAGGACGATGCTTTGGCGCCATGCAAGCTCATGATCATTCTTATGGAGGTGCCTTCGAGCTTCTTCTCAAACAACAGCCATTAGACGATGCAGGGATAAAATGCAAACTAATATGTACCTTCAAGGATTAACATTCAGCAAAAAGGAACGTTTGAAAGTTAGCCTTTAAGCAAAGGCACCCTTGTTTCCAGCGGGATCAGCTGAATTGCTTTTTCCTTAGGACTCGCCCTTAAGCTTGTTAGTTAGCTCTTGCTGCTGCTTAATCTGCTCCCTCTTGTGGGTGGCTCTTGAAGATAACACGTCGCTCATGAGGAGTAATTTCGGTATTGCAGCCCAGGAAGAAACATGGGGAGTTGGCCCGCCGACACTGCAACGTGCCCTTCAACAAAATGATGCCATAACAGGCAAAGGAAGCCACTGAAGTTCCATTCATATAGCTCTGGAGAGTCAAAGCGCTGAGACAATAGCTCTGCATGGGACCTCGAAGGTCATGTCCTTGGGTGTATCCTTCCCACCGCCGAAATTTTGAGGCAGGGTCATGGATGAAGATTGGGCATAGCATACCTTGAACCATTTTGTGATACCTCTCATCCTCTGATACATCGTGCGGCAGCGGAGAGCTTTCCCCAGGTTCCACTTTCTGGGGTGGACTGAGGTCACCCGATGATCGGGAGATCCGCAGTTGCGAGAACTCGTGGCAAGATGGAGAGGCCAAGATGGCATTTCTTTTGGGAGTTCGTTTATCTGTCTGGATCAGATTGGTGAGGGGCCGAGTTCCAATGGGCCTGAAGGTGGCAAATCTCTCCCCCGCATCTCTGAACGCGCATCGATCTCTGGATCCTGGGGCGGTGGTTGCTGGACGATTGTTACTCTTTTATTCCCAGGTGTTAATTTTTAAATACAGCATCAGAACATACGCGTCCGGTTCAGTTCCTGCTAACCGCGCCACGTCTCTGAGGGCAGGTCAAGTCTCCCAAGCACGAGGCCATCTTGCGTCTTCCAGACCTTCTCCAAAGGAATCAGAAGGATGAAGTTTTTGCGGCTGGACAGACGCCATTGACCGAATAGGAAGCGATCGACAATTTTGCGGAGAATTTAACAAATTTAGACTCGGGCGAGTTCTCAATTGCCGAAATGGCGACCACACACACACACCAACCGCCGAAGAGATGGGCTTGACACGTGCCGGCACTGTGACACTGTGGGAGAAGTTCATGTTTGAATGCCTAAAGGGACACATGAGCGCATCTACGAGCGGGAATGCAGTGCTTGACGCAACCAAATTGTCATAATGCTGACAGAGTGAGTTAATGGCTGGTCAAGCTCCGGGAAAATCCGACATTCTATCTGGTCGAAAGGATTGGCCTTGTGCACATCCCTGTTGTTATTTGGCGTTGTTAAGAAGCCAGATTTCTTTTGTTTTTTTCGGTTGGCTTGAATGCGCAGAAAGACTAATTTAGTTGCATAAGAGCTCAGCCAGACTCAGTGTTGGCTCTGTTGAACCTGAAAAGACTGCTCCTCTTCCTCCTCTTTGCGGCACGAAAATTATTCAAAAATCATGTATAGAAAGTCTTAGTGTATGGAAAACCAGCGCGTCTTCGAGCCAAGGCCAGACTCGCGAGCCCTGTTACGAACCATGGTTGACAGCCTGTCAGAAGCCAGCAATCTAGCCGCGTCTGATCTGATTCCTGTACAAGCGGGATTCATGACTCGAGGAGTGAACCATGGTTGAGGCTCACAGAAAGGGGAGGTTCTTCTGAGTGTTCACAAAAAGGGGCTGAGCGGCGACATTCTCGTCCCAAGTTTTTCCCTGTCGACAGGAGACGCTAAACAGTGACAGGGTTGATGAATGAAAAATAAGAGTCAAGACAAGAACCTCTCAGCGCCAGATGGCTCGTGACTTGTCGGCTTGGGTGACCAGGGTTGGACGCAGAGAGAGAAACCAACTCACACCGATACGGGGAGTTGCGGAGGCCGGCTGTATTTTATCTACCAACATCGGGGCTGGGAAGAACGGAACGATCGGCCGGATCAGACACGGAGGACCAACACACTGCCCAGCATCCACCAGACTCCAGCCCAACATCTGCTGAGCAGCTGGTGGTGAAATCGACGATATCATGGCGCGGGAACGCGAGTCGGTGTCGCTGGATGATGGGCGCTGGGTGGCACAAGAGTCGCACCAGCCCGCCCCTCTGACAGTACGTAAACTTACACGGCCGGTTACATGACACGTGGAAATAGGCTTTTCAATGCCATACATCAGGACATTTGTGCAGGGCCGTTTCTCAAGTGTTGCGGAGTGCATAAGGTCGTACGGGCCGCATACCGCGCTAGTAGTAACACTGGCGCCAACAAGTTTTCTCCCCCCCACACTCCCAAAGTCCCACTCCCACTCCCACGCAGCTGCCACTCGGCCGGCCCAACCAGAGTTCACCCACCCGACGAATTTCCACCCAATCAGCACGCTGACTTTCCGCGTCCGCCCAGCATCCCGGTTTGGGCTGTTTGCGCTAGTAAGCTAGCGGTAAGTTATGTCGTAATGAGGTCAGAAGTTCCCCAAAGCGCATTCGCAGGCCTGCCTCACCAGCACCGCCCGCGGGTCGCAGGTTTTGCCTCAATTCTCACGCTCACCGAAGCAGGAGTTCCTTCAAGATCCTCTTCGTTATCTCTTCGCGATCGCGGGCTCTCACCGGATGAGTAACTGGGAGACATCACAGATGATAGCGGAAAAGATGGGCCGGGGTCCGCTCTAGAGCCAAGTAACCCGAGCCCACCGCCATCCTTTCCTAGCATCGCATCCCGGCTTTAGCTCCTCTTTGCTCTAGTGCCACCGATTAAATTAACGATGATACGGAGCATGGTCCTTATTTATTATCGAGGGTTGTCATGGTATTCACTAACGCCTCCGCCAATCGATTTCAATGTTTTCTCCACCTTTAAAACGTTCAAATACATTTCGATATCCCTGACCGTTCGAACGTACAGTACGGTGTTGGACCCATCTCTTCCTTGCCATTTCACCCATCCGCCGGCTGTGCGCTTCATCCACCTTGATGAACGCGCAAAGTCATCATCATCGACGATACCTGTAGATCCTCCTTCGACTTCGCTTTGTTTTGTCCTCTTTTTTTGCCTTTTTTTTTTCCCCCTTTTCTTCTGCTACCCCAGTCGTTATCGATTCCATCGTCAGTGCAAAAGAAGCAGTGGCCATCAGTTTGCGGGGCCATTGCGGCCGAGGCTCTCTCTATCTTTATCTTGTCTTATCCACATGGTCCTTGCCGTCTATCGCCCCATTCGCGGAGTAGAATAGGGCGTTGGATGGAATCTGAAGCGGGCTTATCTCGCTTGTCCTTCATGTTCCCGGTGATTGTGGAGGAAACGGCCGAATGTTGAACAGATCCGGGAGTGAAGAGCGCTGGAGACACCCAAACGTCGTCTATGATGACTACCCGAGCTACGTGAACACCTCTACTGTCCTGAAGACAACCGTTTCAACTTCCTGACCCCTCCACGGAGGCGGTTCGGCGCCATGGAGTCCACTCTGGCTCTCACTCGTCGTCTGTACTCAGATGCTCCTCCGGCCCAGTCCAGGAGAGAGACGAACCCGACGCTGCTGGTGAGCTGGTGGGCGACTGGTTTCTCCCTCACGATCATTCTCATCCGGGTTTGTGGTCGATATATCCGCACGGAGAGACTATTTCCAGAAGATCGAATTATGGCCTTGAGTATTATACCGCTGCTTATTCGCATGGGCTTTGTCCATATGGTTTTGCTTTGGGGAACAAATAATGCCGTAACCACGGGTTTTTCTGCTCAGGATGTATCGCACCGGGAGCTTGGGAGTAGGATGGTTCTGGGAGCCCGCATATTCTATGCTCTATTGTAAGCAAACCTCCACCCCCGACATTATTCAACCAATATTCGATTCCACCGTTCCTTTTGACGGAAATGAGCTGTGAAACTGACTCAACTACGCCTACAGCATTTGGACGGCCAAGTTCTCGGTTACGGCGTTTCTCAAACGCCTGACAGACCAGATATGGCGGCGTTCCTTTCAGCATGTCCTACTAGCCATCCGCTATTTCTTGCTCGTCACATTCATCGCGGTTGTCCTTGCAACGCTGACTGAATGTCAGCCATTCGACCATTATTGGCAAGTTATTCCAGATCCTGGCCCCAAGTGCCGTCAGGGCTATGCGCAGCTGATCACCATGGGAACCTGTGATGTTATAACTGATCTCCTGCTCATCGGATTTCCCATACCCATCATTTTTCTTTCAGCCATGCCCACCAAGCGAAAAGTGTCGCTGATTCTTCTATTCGGGTTATCTTCGGTTCTGATTGCGATTACCTGCTACCGTGTACCATCCGTAATTTCACGACAGGGTTCGCAACAATATCGTTCTTTGCTTGCATCCCTCGAAATTCTCGCAGCGGCCGCGGTTTCCAATGCTATCGTCATTGGCTCCTTTGTTCGAGACAGAGGACTCAAAAAGCATAAATTCAAGGCCGGCTCCTTGAGCGAGAGTGTCGAGCAGGCATCTTCACGACGAGCAACTATAACCCACCACCACTGGGGTAGCGACGCCGACCTTGTCGGAGATCTCGGCATCCGCTTGGACCCAGAGCTGCGTTCCCCAAGCTACCAAAAGATCCGACCGGCTCCCGTAGCCATTCCGTCTGCCTGTTTGGCAAAGCGCGGGTCGATTGATCCGAACTGGCAATTTTCATATTCTCAAGCTCATGCCGATGACGATCGTACGTCTACAACTGATAGCATGGGTGGTCTGAAGGTATATCCTCACGAGTATATAGAAACCAACGCCCACCCTTCCCCCAAGGACACGACCATGCCTCCCGCCTACATGTCACTGTCCAAAGTCTCCCTAAACGATGTCGGTGGTCTTCTCGATCCTCCCACCCCACCAGGGATGAGCGGTGCCCACGCTTCGCCACAACAGCTACAACCCGACGCCCAGGATTCACGACTGCCTCGCAGTCGGTCTCTTTTAAACGCCGTAAGCGGTCTACTATCCCCCGCCCCTACCTACTCCGGATCTTCAGAATCCTCGCTCCAGCGCCCGTCGCCTCCCAGTGTCCGAAATTTTTCTCGCCCAACCACGGCAAATGGCACACCTAACGGTGCACGAGTCAATAGCCCATCAAATTCACCACGATCTGGCTCTCCAGGCACTCCGCCACGGAATAGACGTGCACAACTCACCCCATCCCGTGCTGGTCCCCTGCCAGAGCTCCAAGATCTGGGCGGACTCCTTAAGCAAAACGACGACGTTGAACGTAAGCCGCGTGGCTAACCGCTGTACCCTGATCCTTTTTATCCGACACATCCTTATCTATATATACGACTCGATCTCCTTGCCTATTGTTGCCTTTTTCTTGGTTTTTTTGTTTTAAAGCTCGCTCACTGAGCAGCCCTAGCATGAGATGTCACGTGTTATGGATCCCTTTTTTTTTCGAATGGTCTGGTTTGGCGACGGTGTTGGGGGATCAGGTCGGTTATCGTACCATTCATCTGTACTATTATGAGGTTATTCACAGGCTGGTCACGGATTACTGATCTCCGTGACTATTACGCTTTTGTTCTTCGACCCCCCTTTCTTTTGCACATCTGAACAGAAGGGGTAATTGCTATCTTGGTGGCAATCTGCACATACTACATTTATGGCATATATATCCCTCGATTGGATGCATATTTGTCAGCGAATATACCTCCTTACGCACAATGCCGTGGTTTCCCTTGAACGGCCTGGTTGGTTGGTGGCGCGGTTCGGGAACGGAGTTGATGGGTATCTGTCTACCGGCTAAGGTGGACTCGAGGCGTTGGATATTCCCACTGCACGGCTTGCATTATTTTGGCGGTTTATTTTTGGTCCAGAGCATTTGCATTCTTGGGTTTCTTGTTGGTCTTACTCTATTAATCCTTTCGGCTTCACCATGCTTGCCTGCAGCGCGACATATATTTATATGTTTCATACGCGAAAGGAAAGAATTTTTTTTATCTCTGCTGCAAAGCACTGGGCCAGGACGCGAGGGCACCAACACTCTGGTTCTCCGTTGGGTGGAAATTTTACAAACAGCTTACAGTTAATGTACGTACATACACATACACATATGTACTTCCGTATGGAGTACAGCACCTTGCATATCTATGGAAATGCATTGGTATTAAATGGCACCCAGTCCTGAACTTATTCATACATACAACTTCATACCAGGGTAAACAACATGGTAGTCATCACTGTCCTCGAATCCCTTGTTTTCCTTTCTGTTTGGTTTCATTGCGTGTCTTGTCCATCCCTGGAAACTTAGCTAATGAGTGTTCCATTTTCTCTGATTCAAGAAAAGAAAAAGAGGGGAGAATATTCAGCCCAGCAGCGCGACTATGTCGTAGTGGTGCCGGGGTGTGATTGGAATCACAAATTACAAAACGTGTCTTATCTTTTTGCCTGGGGCCCCAGAAGGGGGTCTAGCTACCAGACTAGGGCCGCCCTCCGGTGCTTGCGCCTTTGTGTGTTGGTGAACCACGCGGCGGCCGCGATAACAACAAGGGGCTGTGGATGTGTAATCTGAGACAGGCAAAACCACTGAAATAGGCCTTGATGGGCAGAGGGCATCCAGGGAGGCCGAATACTAAATTTCCCTTTTGTTTTAACTCAGGAGGTTTGCCGCCTCCCTTTTGCCTTTATTTTTTATTTTATTTTATTTTATTTTATTTTTTTTTCCCCTTCGATACATTGCGTCGGGCGTTTCATGATTGACAGACAAGATGATTGCCACGCTTAATCGTGCCTCGGTCCTTACGAACGAGGTATCGAGTACCAAGGACTGCGAATGGGTTTTGCGATCTTACGAAAAAGCCTATCTTAATTGACTGATAAATCCTCCTTCTTGTACACTGGACTGGGCGCAGCATGCGAAGAAACAATACAGTTCGGGTCCAATACTCCAGGGGAGGTACTGCACAGGCATTCACATTACCACCTATCTCGGCACGGAAATTAATGTCTCTGTCTTCACCTTTAGTTAAATAGGGGGTCTCATGTCCTTCCAGCAAGACGTTGCGCAACTTGGGATTTGAATCTTGGCTGTGAATGGCGGACCAGTCTGACCGTCGTGAACCTTGACTATGTGCAAACGATATGATCTACGGGCAAGAGCTCAAATAGAAGGCTGTGGTGAGCGGCGGTCGTAAGGGATACGACATCGAAGCCTTTGGTTGTCCACCACGGTAAGTCCTTCGGCAATAGATCACTAGGGCCTCCACAGCTTCATCTAATCCGAAGTTGGAATCTATGTTGATGTGAAGCTTGCCAGACACTTCTGCAACGTTTCACTCTTATTAAAGGGCAATGAGGGAACTGTGCAGAACCGTGCAGAGGTCATCATTATATCTTGCTGATAACAGATTTTCCACTCGTGTGCATATTCTTCACAGAAGAATCAAATTAGGAGATTGTGAGAGCGGCCCCCAACCCAGATGATGTCAGAATTCGTCCGCAACTCGCAATTTTAGGAATTTCGTGCAGACTCGAAGGATTTGCATCCGTATTTTCGTTCGGAAAACTCCACGAGGCCAGGACAAGTCAGCAAAACATAGCCCCGATTTCCAGGATATTGCAACTAAATCTCCGCCAGCACGGTGCACCTCCAGTTTGCTTTCGGCTCCCCTGTGTTTCGCTGACTGCCCCCTTATTTGAGCTTTGACGCGTTGCCTGTTTCCCAAGAATAAATTATCCCTGCGTCGTGAAAGAGACCAAGACGCTCGTGCGGCATTCGAGACCTGGGCTGCTTTGAAATCCACACATCGTGCCCCGTAAGTTGGCCTTATCCCTGCAAGAAACATCACGAGAAGCCCGGGCCCAAGACATTAGCTTCTCCCGGTGAGCCATTGGAAGTAGGCGCTTTGATGTCAAGAGTTTACGGAAGTTGATTCATTAGTATCGTCCTTGACGGCCTTTCAGAGCACAAGTTATCAAGAAGTTAACTTTGAAGAAAGCAGTTAATATGTAAGCCTCCTTCCATGAGTTCCTATGGGTTCCTATGAGTCCCCTTGTTGGATATAGCTTAAATGTTGGCTGTGCTGGGATTCTGGTGGTTTCAACTCATTCACTTTGCCTATAAGAGAATCCAGTACGAGTCCAACTACCTTCCAGAGGTGAGAGCAGAAGCTGCATGCGCTTCCTATTGGGCCGCACCAAATTCGTGCTAAAATCATGTGACTATAACTTTGACGCCCGCAACTTGGTGCTATCTACTCGACGTCCCTCGTCATCTTGTTCTGCCACCGTTAGCTCTGGCAGTTGGGCGGGCATGATCCTTCGCGGGTTGCTTCCGGGCACGACACTGTACTTTGAGAAGTCGGAAACACCCTTTTTACGAAGGAAGTCTTCATCAAGCTCGAGGCAACCGTTGACCTCCTCAGCGGGCGAGCGGAGCATAGCCAAAATCGCATCAGAGAAAATAGTCTATCATATTTCTTTAGTTGAATTGCGTCAACGAATATTAGGGCTCAAACTCCTACCGGTTTTCTCAGATCCCGTATGAAGTTTTGGTCAGGTGTAGCAGCTGATTGGATTGCCTAATTTCGTGTGAGTATGGCCATACTATGGTTTTTGCCCAAAAGGTTTCAGGGAAAGGCTTACAACTGCTGGCCAAATGCTTGTAATTGCCATATCCTTTTTGCCTTCTCTTACCCAATCCATGGATAGACCCTTAGCCAACACAGACATCGCTACTTTGCCCATCGCATAGGCAGTCTTTCCTCGGAAAAATCTCGAATAGATCGGCGGGCTGACGACGATTATCCTGCCTTCCCAACCATTATTCCTGAAATGCGGCAGGGCAGCCTGAACAGCGCCATATAAGCCCTCCACGTTCACCTTTTGCATAAGCTGAAACCGTTTCATAGGTGTGTTTTCCACCGATGCCCACCAGATTGCCCCAGAATTGTAAATTATTACATCCAAACGGCCGTATACCTCCACAGTAGAATCAACCATACGCGTCACACTGTCGAAATCCCTGGTGTCGACCTGGATGGCTTTGGCTTCTCCGCCATTCTCTTGGATTTCACGCTGCACGGTGCTGATGGTGGATGCAGGGGAGTTTGGATCTGGCGGGAATGGCGAGGTCTTGGAAGCATCCGATGTGCTCTTAGCTGCCACAACCACTTAAGATTTATCAGCTCGTGGCTCCTGTGCTTTACATAACTGTACGGCATATGCTGCACGATGGGGAGTACAGTACCTCTGTAACCGTTCTTGGCCAGATCTATGGCGACCTGTCGTCCGATGCCCCGAGATGCACCTACGACTAGAGCAACTGACCGCGAACCTATTTCTGTCATGGCTGGTGATGATAAGGATTGATATACCACATGTCTCTAAAGACGGAAATGAATCAATGGCATCAACTGGCATGTTTTAAATTCTGGCCTCGAAGATAATGCTTGCAGTGAAGCTAGAAGTTGCTGTAGCTTGAAATGCCTCGGCACATCACGTCACTGGCAACCATCCACGATCGACTTAGTTATTATCTGATTATTAAACAATTGCAAGCCGCTTTTGTGGAGGTTGTGATGATTTTTTGTACCTTCTGTCAAGCTTTGTGCCGTGTAGCTTGAACTTGGTTCCGGTCCTAAAGAGAGCCTCGGCAACTCTAACTACTATCCACGATGCGTCCCCGACGGTGTTATAGAAACGACCAGTTTCCCCGACTTCTCGATCAAATTGAATGGTAGCACTGAGTAAAACGCTTGGAAAGATGAACCAAAAGAAGATCGAATGCTACATCGACTGCGGTAAGTTGAAACCAGAGCAAATAACTAGTTAATGGCGACCGGAGAACTTATCGTTGCCCCAGTGTCTCCCTTTAGCTTTTTCGCCCTTTCTTATCTCCGCCAGAATAGAAAGGCCCTGGCAGACTCGGATGTATCTGTCGAGTAAGTGGCTTATCTACAGCCCTCCCAGTGAACCGAGTGCGTTAATCGTGGCCCTTCTTAGATTTATTCCGGTATTCCTAGGGGGGATTAACGTAGGCAGTGGTGCGTCTTTCTGATGAAGAGATACATACACCCTTCATACCTATTGTTCAGAGCAAGCTGATCTAACTGTGTGAGATTAAAGGAAATAAACCGCCATGGACGCTCCCAGCTAAAGCGCTCTACGCCAAGTACGACGGCCCAAGGGCCCAAAAGTACTTTGGAAAAAGCTTCAAAATCCCACCTTTTTTCCCTATACTCTCGCTACTGGTATACTCGCGGATTTTTCCTCCTCATATTGCTCAGTTAGACCATGCTAATCCAATTTTAGCCCCAACGTTGTCTTGTATATGCCAAGAAGCAATACCCAGAGAAATATGAAGACTTCTTCGAATCATGTTTTGAAACTATGTGGAATGGGCAGCTTGACATTTCAAAGCCCGAAAATCTCCTGATTGCAGCACGCAAGGTGTTTGACGAGGCGCAAGCGCAGGAGATCCTGAAAGGTGGAAATGACCCCGAGATAAAGAAAACTCTGGCGGACAATACTGAGCACGCCGTAAAAACTCTTGGGGCATTTGGCTGTCCGTGGTTCTGGGTGCATGACGGGAAGGGGAATGCTGAACCATTTTTTGGAAGTGACCGGTTCCATTTTATGTGGGATTACCTCGATATCCCTCATCGAGACCTGGAGCTCATGTCAGCCCCTGCAAAATTATGAAAACTCGAGATATTACCTAGGACGATATGCGCAAGAAATATCCTCGAATTTGACATTTATTTAGACCCCGTTGACGCGAAGAATTAGCTGAAATGATGCTACCAATTCGAGAGACTTAATTCCGGCATGAGGGCTCAAGGTTGCCAATGCAACATCTTCCTAGCGAAGTACGCACGAGGTCCCAAGTTAGAAGAGTTCTTTTTGCTTCGCGCTGTGAAATGGGTGACATGAAGGAGGAGCGCCTTTGGCTGGCTTAGTCTTCCCTGCGACTGGTTAGCGAACCTCAAGAACATCTATACGCAAGCCCTGATATGTAACTAGGAATAAATAGAACTGCTAAAAATCCTTCCATGGGTCTCATCATCCTCTGATATCAAGTGGGAAATGTGTACTCCGTATATACATCATAGGAGGTGGGAACGTCACCTGGTAACTAATGGAATTTAGAATAGCCGACTCCGAGGCCGCCATCCATGGCGCTGTCGCGTAACTAGTGAATCGCGACAATTAAAAGCCATACCCAATAGAAATGGGTAGCTATTATCAATCCGGACTTTGGGCCCGAGCGAATTCAATTATATAAGTTATCCCCTTGTCCGTAGGTTGAGGCACAATTAGCGCGGTTTTGTTTGAATACAACACTAGCGACGAGCATTGATCCAAAAGCCAATGAAACATCATACTACTTACATAGAGTTCACTGCAAATCAAAATGCAAATCTATTGGCTAGAGCATCTGGAACCATCAATGAAGTTGCAACACATTGGTGCAAAAAACATGTCTCTCCATGGAAACCTGCATCTTGTTCTCCATACAGCACTCTCTAATGCCTCAACCATGGTCAAAAAAGCTCTTTTGAAAGATATTTCTGGCCAATATGCCTCTGATTTAAACATTTATGCTGGCTTGATTTGCATACTCTTGCTCGGCCAGGTGGTCAGGCGGTGAGACAGGGCAATATACTTTTTAGACTTTCTCTCTTGGCCAATAGAACATGGCCATAGTCACTGAAACCTTGGCATACAGTAATAAGTCCATATCAACCAATTATGACGTGTAGTTCTCTGTATTATATTACACACTAGAAACCACGCTAATTGTGCCTATGCTCTTTGATGGAAATAGCGACCACAGTTTTCTTGAAAAGCCGATCGGTTCGCTACCTAGCGTTTCCCCGCCGTCCTCGACAAGGACGAGAGACCGAGATCCGACATGATTGATGAGGGGAAAACCGCTCTTTTGACACTGGCTTCTGCGTTGGAAGCAAGCTAACCAACAGTGTTGCTCTGATGATTCGATCGATTGCATGATATTGCAACCGACCAATCCCATGATATCCATTTCTCTAGTGTAACCGGCCTCCAAAAGAGCACGTCGCTTGTCCCACCCAAGAGCTTCAACTCCGCATACTGAGCAATTCGGCCTTGCAGCTAGGGCATCATGAGTGATATGAAGCTTGGGCTTAGGAAGCCTTTTCTTGCGGGGCCAGCGGTGTTCCTGGGAACATTCAATATAAACTATCCCTTGGCTTCTGTTTTGACTGTTTTCTTCCACAGCATGATTTCTCATCGGAAATCCACCTTTTGATTCCTATATCCATTTTCTTTTAACACAGATACCCCCATAAGGCAATTATGGTTTTCAAGTCTCTTAATCCTCCCCTTGACAGTAAGGGTCCCTCATACCAATTCCATGTGTATATCTACTACGCGACACCTGGTGTGCGGATCAGCTGCCAGTTCTAACCATGCGTTTACTCATAGTCCCAACGGATGTCACGGTTTGGGATTGGCTCTTTGATCCTTATTCTCCCCATTGCCCATTGTCCAAATATCCAGCTTCCGAGATTGCCGGGTACACAAATGCCTCCACACGGGAGCGCGTCAGCTTTGCGCAGGTCAAGGAGTACACCACATTCCTCTCGACCGCTCTAGTAAGGATGTTTGACTTTAAGGAAGGAGATACGGTGGCATTGTTTAGCCAGAACACAATATGGTACCCAGTTGCCATGCTGGGGGCCATCAGAGTGGGTTCGTTACACCTCCCTGTTGACCCATTCCAACCCCCATACAAGGGGAATATTTTCGTTAATGTGATTATGGCTTACGCTGTCCGGTTTGAGCCATTTAGGAGGCGTTGTGTCTGGTGCTTCACCTGCATATAATGTGGATGAGATGACATATGCGTTGAAGACAGCTCAAGCGAAGATCTTGATGACTATGCCATCTTCAATGACTGTTGCTGTTGAGGCTGCCAAGAATGCCGGCATCCCCCAGAACCGGATATTTCTGCTTGAAGGCGAAGTGGAAGGGTATACAACAATGAAACAGCTCTTGGATATCGGGAGGAGCTACGGCTCTGAAGGACAGGTAAAAGCATTTAAGATACCCCCTGGGAAAAGGAACAAGGACGTATGCGGCTTCTTGAGCTTTAGCAGTGGGACAACAGGGTTGCCAAAAGCAGTAAGGCAACTAACTCTTAGTTTTATTTCATCTTGTTGTTTGATACTGATACATTCTCATAGGTGATGATTGCACACCAAAATGTCATCGCCCAGTGCTTGCAGGTCCAGCAGGTAACGCCAGAATCGCACAAGAAGGTTCTCGCTGTGCTACCTTTATTTCACAGTAAGCTAGAGCCAGATTTATCCCTTAACATGGAAAGAAGTCTTATTTTTTGACACTTAGTCACTGGGCTTGTCCATCAACTCCATTTGCCTGTTCTTCTCAACGCGGAAATATACATGCTCCCGTCATTTACCATGGAGGCTATGCTCGATGCGGTCTCCACGTTTAAGATCAAAGAGATGTTGCTTGTCCCACCCATCTTAATTCGATTGGTCCGTGATCCCGTTGTTGATAAGTATGACTTATCACATGTTGAACGCTTCTCCTCCGGCGCCGCTCCTCTAAGCGCAGAGATCCTAGCGTTTTTGGAAAAGAAGTTCCCCGGAACCGGCTTCAAACAAGGGTACGGCATGACCGAATCTTGCAGCTGCATAACCACGCACCCCATTGGCAAAATGGGTTATGAGTATGCGTTCCGTGTTGGCACCATTGTTGCCAACACTGAGGTCAAAATCATCGATCCGGACACTGGTGCCGAACTTGGATACAACCAACCGGGAGAAATTCTTGCCCGCGGGCCTCAAGTGGTAATGGGCTACTTGAACAACCCCAAAGCAACTCGCGAGACCTTTGATGAAGATGGCTGGCTACATACTGGTGACGTCGGCAAGATCGATGAAGAAGGCTTTATCACTATTACGGACCGGATCAAGGAAATGATTAAAGTCAAAGGTATCGGTGTTGCTCCAGCTGAACTGGAAGATTTGCTTCTGGGTCATCCGGATGTCGAGGATGCAGCCGTCCTCGCTGTCCCGGATGAATATTCTGGGGAAAGACCTAAGGCATACGTGGTATTGAAACCAGCACGAAAGGACGACGACCTTGTGGCAACTGGAAGAAAGCTTATTAAGTATGTCCAGGAGAAGAAGGTAAGACATAAGTGGCTTGTGGAGGTAGAGTTTACAGAGGAGATTCCAAAGAGTGCGAGTGGGAAGATTTTGAGGCGAGTGCTAAGGGAGCAACAGAAAAACGGTGGTAAAAAGGGCACTGTCGTGAGAAATGATGAGAGTGCAGCGAAGGCGAGACTGTAGATACATCATGTTTATTTCGCTATAAAAACTGATTGTTACATAAAATTTTGATCTTTCGATTCTTTGGCCGGTCTCGAGTTACCAAAATCTCGCCCAAAGCAAACTCCTTAATAAACAATAGAGGTTAAAGGGGGCGGAAAAAAGCCCCAAAAAGCCCATACGCCATCATGCTAGTCAAGATCAAGAAAAAATTACAAGCCCCTTCTGCCTTAAGATCGACGCGAATGGAAACAACGGCTTATCTTTAAAATAGAGCTCTAGCGTCCTGCAATCTGCCTGAATTTGCCTTCTGCAACATTGCACTCGTGCAGAGGGGGGCGAAGTTTCCTCAGAATTTGTCAGTTCACCGTGAGCTTGACTTAAGTAACCCATCGGTAACTGGCATATCGTCCAGCTGTTTCACTCTTTCTGATGATTTTGACAACCTGCCCTCGTCTCAAACCCAAATACTTCGCCACTGGATCACCAATTTGAATTCTGGGTAGCTGAGATTCCTTCAGCCTGTATCTCTGCAGCAGTCTTTTCTTCTCTTCCGCGCTCAACAATACATGTTTTGGCACCAGCTCATGATGCGTGATATTGACCAATAACTCCTGCTCCAAAAAATGTTCGCAGAAGCGTCCGGGAATACCGGTCAATAGGCGGATCGCGGAGGGAGAAATGGGAGATTGTGTTATAAAGATGCCGGTGTGGTAGTTTTGTTCGTCGACGAAGTGGTTAAAAGCGCGGACCTGCTTGGTTCCTACACCTTGGGCGTCGGCGCAGAACTCGACGTAGATGGTGCCGCATTCGGGAACGGGATTGGGTTTGGCGGGCGAAGCGAGAGGAGTATACTTTTCAATCATGGTTTGTGAGGGCCGGGCGCTGATGCGCATCTTGTTGCGGCTGCGTATACTGGTCAGATAGGAAACAGACGAAGTGAACATGATCATGCTTATGGCATATACGTACTCGGGAAAGCCAAGCGCATCGGAATACTTTGTTCGAAACTCGGCTAGAGGAACGTTTACTTCTTCCTCAGTAACCTCATAACCCTAGAAGATATGACTTGATTAGCAAACTCTTTCACGGCATATCACACACCCGCCCATGCACGCGAGTTACTGGGACGGCATACCCTGTCAAGTAACATCTCAAAGACTGTTCTCCATGTGCGCCATAACCGCGTCATCTCGCGATCTGCCTCCGCGGAAGCCTTTGAGAAATCCTCGTCCGCCATCGTCGCCAGCGCTGACGCCTCCGCGGGTCGCAATCGAGTCTTTCAAAGAAAGAAAGAAAGAAAGCTGTAGGGCCACTAAAAGTACTGCTGATAGAACCTCAAAGAAGTTATCATCACAGTTCTTCCTTTTTGAATCGCCGCCTAAGCACAGATGCCAGCCAGTAAACAGGTTAGCAAGAAGATGTTCTCGAAAAATCCATCTCCCATCGCAGCTCTCAGATTGGTTGGCGCACGGGCCACCGACTCACACTTGTTTCCCCCAAAAGCAAAAAATTGGCCCTGAAAAGTCAAAACTGTGAACAACACAACCTTGGCTGACAATCAGGCCAAGTGGTTCAATTGCTGACCTGGTGTGGATATCACTCTAACATCTACCTGTTGGTTGAGCATTAAATATATTTCATTGTTATCCTGCCGCACTCCGGGCTTTTCCTTTGATTAGTCGTCTACATGGCTGCTGTCGTCGCTAACCCAACCCCGGCTGCTGAGCCAAATGTTCAGCAGCCCGAGAAGCCAACAACTAGACCTGAGAGGCCAAATGAAGAAGCCTACAAAGAAAATCTTGCAAAGGCTGAAAAAGAGCTTGCATCTGTTCAGCAGAAATTGGTGCGTTTGATGATTGTCTCAGCGCTATCTACACATGGCGGTGACATCTAGTTTCAAATAGTCGCTAACCAGAGTAATTTGCATATATTTAGGAGGCAGTGAAGTCAAAGCTGGATCTCGGAACCCCGCGCAACCAAGACTCGCCAGTTGCAAAGAAACAGCAGGAACTGCGCTCCCAACTTGCATCCATCCGCCAACAACAGCAAGGGTTCAAAGCATCTCGCGCCAGCTTGCAGGAGAAGATTAATGCGCTCGATAATTCAATCAAGTCTCGTATTGCCGAGCAAAAGGCTGCCCGAGGCCGAGTGGGCTTCAAAAATGTCGAAGAAATCGACCGCGAAATCCAGCGTCTCGAGAGACAGGTCGATTCTGGTACCATGAAGCTCGTCGATGAAAAGAAGGCTCTTGCGGAAATTTCCAGCCTCCGGAAGCAACGAAAGGGTTTCTCCGGGTTTGAAGAAACCCAGAAGCATATTGATGATCTCAAATCTCAATTGACTACCTTGAAAAAGGGCCTCGATAACCCCGAACAAAGGACTCTCAGTGACAAATATACGGCCATTCAAAAAGAGTTGGACGAAATCAAAGCTGAACAGGATGGTGTATTCAAAAACATTAAAGCTCTTAGAGATGAAAGAAGCCAGCTCCAGGGCCAGGTGCAAAAAGCTCGTGCTTCAGTGAGGGAGATCAAGGATACTTACTACACCGCTCGAAAAGCTTGCAGAGAGTATGAGCAAGAGTTAGAGCGAATCCGCAAGGAACGCCAAAGAGCCGAAAGAGAGAAATATGAGCGGGAGAGAAAGAAGAAGATCGCCGATAAGAAGTTGGAGGAAGCTTCCCGACCAGCCTACACGGACGAGATTCTCACCGCTCAAGGCCTCATTCGTCACTTTGATCCCAACTACGACCTTTCATCCCTTGGCTTGGCCGAGGATAAAAAGACCCAGTCTGGCAACTTCCGTGCTGAAATTGGCAGAACAGTTGACGATGCCAACATGAAAGGAGTCCGCGTCGTGAGAAAAGAAGACCGTGACGATGACTACTTCGTTGGTGGTGGAGGAAAGAAGAATAAGAAGGGAAAGAAAGGAGCAGCGACCAGCGAAACTAAGTCACAATTTAACCTTAGTTTCGGCGTCATCGAAGAATTTTCCCGCGTCAAGGTGGATCCCCCAATGAATCAGTCCGACGTTCCAGCTGTGATCGAAAAGCTTGTCGAGAAACTGCGCGATTGGAAGAAGAATCAAGCTGCCAAGACTGACGAGGTATGTAGCACATGTCTTTATTCTTGGAATCCAGATACTTACAGTCGATTAGAACATAAAGAAGGCAAGGGAAGAGCTTGCCAAGCTCGAGGAAGAGGAGACATCTGTCAACGGTTCGACTGACCATGCGAAGAAGCAAGCCATCAAAAATGCAGGTGTCAACGGCCATGTCTCTGCTGAAGCTGAACTCAAGCAAGAAACCGATGCTGTTGCCGACGTCGCCGAAGAACTTAAGGAGGCTAAGCTTGAAGATAAAAACTAGACACTTCCAATTCACCGGGCTTCATGCCCAGCAGATAAAAATGTTCTTTAAAGATAGAACTTTACCGCAGAACTAATGACTACCCCCTTACATATCACTCTCCTATCCCTTTCATTATATGGCCACTTTCGCCTTCTCTGTTAATTCTTTTTAGGCCACCCTAGTTCCCACTCTCTAGAGCAGCTTTTTCCTGGGCTGCTTCAAATTTTTCTGTGTTATTAACATTTAACCCCCCTTTGTTATTTCCTGTTCTTTGCTTTAATGATGGAAATGATCTAAGCGATGTTTGGTATCTAGCTAGTACTGCAAGATATACCAGATATTGATTGTTTATCCTCCAGGTTTATGAACCAAAGTGGCGCCACCTCACCATAATAATCTCAGTCGAGGCCAATACAATATATGGCAATGTTGTGCTTTGAATAACAAAGACTTCAACATGGCTTCATTTTCACTGTCAGCAAGCGGTGTACGGAGTACAATCTGTATTTATGATGGCAAGGCGGTTCTCTTTACATGATAAGTCAACATCTGTGGCTGGTTGTTCTTGGGGACCACTGGTACATTTTCCCATGAATGAGGACCACAACCATTAGACTAGAGCTTTCGCATGGGAAAAGAGAAGTTTGGAGTAAATAGCACAAAAAAAAAAAAACAAAAATAAAAATAAAAATAAAAATAAAAGTAAAAAATAAATGCTGACATTTGCAAAGCAAAAATATTAGCTCCGTAAAGGAAGTCTAGGGAGAATCCATGTCTAGATGAGAACTGCCTCATCTATATTGAAGTACCTAGTCAGTGCAATTCAAGGAACACAGCAGATAACCATCTCACAGAAACACCTGCCCACTACGACCTGCAGAGACAAAAAAAATGCATGCTAAGCTCAATGTAAAGCACTTCCAAACAGCCAAACCAGATAATAATATCTCCAGTGAACAAGAGAAAAACTCATAGCACATACTCTAAAGCAAGAACCATCAGCGAATAATGGAGCACAAGCTAGAAGTTCGAGAAGCTAACCACCAAAACACCACCAGCTGCCCGGGAAAAAAGAGAGGAGAAAAGGAAAACATCTGTCTCCCCACAAGCTGCTCCCAAGTCTGCCCGATTCTGAGCACTCAGAAGATGATATCGAGACAGCAGCAGCACGCTAAGGCACCTAATATACCAGCACATATGCCAGTTCCCATATCTTTTCTTCGATCTTCGACATACTGTCCCTGTGGCGGCGGGTATCCTTGCTGAGGGGGCCCGTAATACATTCCTTGCTGTGGATAGCCCTGCTGAGGAGGAGGATAGTAGCCTTGCTGTGGCGGAGGATATTGCGGTTGCTGGCCGCCATAGTAGTCTTGTGAGGCACCTTGAGGCGGGTAGTTTCCCGTATGGGCCGGTGGAGGATAGGCTGGAGGTGGAGAGCTCTAGTGGAAAGGTTAGTATAGGGGTATTTAGCAGCAGGTAGGCGATGAAAAGTTGATAGGGCAGGGGGGGGGGATCGTTACAAATTTGTCCGCCATTGTGGTTGATGCTATTCGGGCTAGTAACTAAGCTCCAGAAGTGGTTCCGGGCGGGTTTACGGAGTACCAGGAAAGATAATGATAGAATTTCTATGTGCAGTAAGCGCAAAGCAGGTTCGATAGAACCAGGTACCTCTAGTTTTGAAGAAATGTCTCCGTTGCGGGATTGAAGACTTGCACGGCTGCTGATTCGGTTCGATGACTCGAGTCGCTGGTGTCTGGGATTTTGTATGGGGGCGAATTGATCAGCACTCGTCAGCACCAACTTAATATTCCAGCCACGGCGTCACCGGCGATAGGGCAGTGGCTGAGTAACTAACCAAGTTAGTTAACTAAACCAGGGCTCGGCTCTCTTGCAATTAATTTTTGAGACCAAGATTCTCTGTCCTCCGGAATGTTCCAAGGAAATTCCAAAACTTCCAAGAAGGAGAGAATTTTTGGAGTAAAGATAAATTTTAATCATACCAGCAGAAAATATGGCGGCAAGTTGCAACAAACCAAAATCCTCCCTTCTTCACAAATTAGAATATTAAGCATAAGAGATTCCATTCAATTGAATTCTACTCCGGAGTTCTGCCCGTATTGGCATTTTCGAATCATGGGCAACATACAACTGATATTGGGCCAATAAAAGGTTGCAAAATTGGCACCATCTTCTCCCCCCAGGAGGTTTCAGTATTTCCTCCAAGCTTCCACTTGCCACAGGGGGTTAACAAAAAAAATGCTGGCAGGCATAAAACCTTGTGACCAACGTCAACCCCCATTGAATTGTCCAACTGGCCCGTCATACAATAAATTACAGCATAACTGACACTCACAATGAACAATGAAGCTTAACCCAGGAAAAGCTATCGAAGACAATCCCCATTGGGAGAATCTATGAGATGGACAATATGTCGGCTGCTGATGTCCTTTGCTTCCCGCATGTAGTCAAAAGATATTTGCCATGTGGTGATAACAGAGTTTGTGGCCTCTTGATCTTGACCAAGGCGCCCCCTTCAAGGATTGTTCAAGTTGAAGACATTTGTGTCTCCCATCACTCCTCTGGAACTTTAAGATACAGCTGCACTTACAGCTGCACTGAACACTGTGATTCTCTTTGCAATATATATGATGCTGCCTGGATGATTGCAAGTGGTATAACTTCAACTTTATTGTCACTTTCCCCTCTCAGTTTATTCTTCAAGAGGGTTATCCATGCAACTTCAAATCCACGGGTCAACTAGCCACGAATTCCAGTGCAAAAGAATCCATCTCACGGTCCCTACGTGTCTTTGAGACTTCCTACTATATTGACATTAGGTCAATCTCGGGCATTTCGATAAGTAGCGATTCGCTACAGGAGCATCTCAAATGTGTCGGTTATGCAGAATGGCCGAAGTTGAGTCCCAGGCCATAAAAATGGCAAAATACGTAATCTCCACCGACGGTTGTATCATCACTTCCGTCTTCTAAGATCTCAATACTTTTACTTTTCTTTTCTGTGGTGACGCATGCATTGACGTATGCATTGATTCCTGGAGTTCCTGGCCATCGAATTTTGCGGGAGAGGGTGAAGCGCGTCTTAGGCTCTCATGAATCTCGGTCCAATTTCCTGATAGGTCTGGAATGCTCCTATCTGGGTGCTCATACCCATCGTGGTATATGCCATGATCAGTGAGATTTTGCTCGAAATTATGACTATAAGTCCCACTACTGGATAGCTGATCTTTGATGGATCGATTGTTCATGGATTCGCTATTATGTGACGAAGTCCGGCGGTTCTTTATTCAGCTCAAAAACAATTCTCAAGGAGTATGGTCAGAAGAAACGTAAATAAGCTTAGTAAAGTGCTATTGGCACATTATAATGGCCCTAGACATACATTTTTAAGATCGCAAAGATTCAGCTATCGTGTCTGGCAAGTTGTTTTGCGCGCTTCAAAAGGCCCGGCCCATATCGAATACTAAGTCCGGGAGCGTAATAGAGACATTCTCTTTAAATGCGGCTCGACACCATCGAGTCGTAAGCTTTGGCTGTCTTTCTCAGTAGGAAGGATGGTTAGTCCTTGTAACATTCCTCCGGTTCAGTTCCCCCAATACAAACTCCGTTAATTAGAACTTCGAAATATTTCCCTTAGAGGTCGGCGCATCGCTATTGAGCGCTCATTTGACCGGAATGCCCGGTTTTGAATCCTTTTGGTTTAGGCTCAAGACTTAGGCTCAATGGCCTCGGCATGAATCTGACCGTTAATTTGGGTATATGTGTTGAGAAGCAAAAAACATCTCTGTTAGCAACGGCTTGCTGAGTTCATTGCCTGCCGCCGCTTGGCTCTGGCTTCGGAGAAAACGTGACCTTCAGCCACTCGCTACCTTAATTAGCAGGGGTTAGTTACTAGGCATCGCTTTTAACACTGGAGGAACTCTCATTTGTGAAATTGGTCTCTCGTGGATGGTGATTGCGCGTAAGCTTGGAAGCTCCCGACATTCATATCCCCATTCGAACCAAAGGCCGAACGGGTCGGGGGCAGCCAACTGTACCCGGCTAATTTGATTTTCCGTCCCGGACCGATCCGCAACCTTCCAATTCCAAGGTTGGAACCTGAAAGTGGTTCCAACTCAACTCCCCTGTTGAATGGGATCCCGACTCTACTTTTTTTACTCTCCCAAGGGCAACACTCACGAAGTCCAACACCCGAGTTTCTTCAAGAATTCAAAAGCTCGCTAGCATGCAACATAGGCAAGGCGGGCCATTCTTGGGGTCTTTAGAGAGGCGTTTCTGCTTCCCAAGCTATAGTGCCTGTCCAACACCTAGTTTCCGGAAAATGGAAATCAAGCGCCGCTGTCTATCCCTTTGGAACTTCGATATGGATACGGATGATGGTACCTATATGCCATCCAAAAGTTGCGGGATAGCATTGGGCTTCAAAGTTTTCTAACAGATATTCGACGGCGTTTATCTTATGTGGCTAGATAATTCCCTTTTTTGGCGGCTGTGGAACATCTCGCAAACTTTGGCGAGTGATTAGCTGCTTAAATATACCCAAGGTGCAGGTCTATCTTGACCCTGAAGCGGAAGGGCCTAGAACCAAGAATTAGCCGGAAAATGGGACAGGCGCCGCCGGCGATGAATACCGCTCTATTCAAAATTACAATTCTATCGAGGTGACCTCTACTCCGTATGCATCTTTCTCCTACAGGGTGATGTAAACCAGCTTGAATCTAGCTCTGAGCCGGACTGTGTGAAAAGGATTTGAGAAATTGCATATTCAAATTAAATATAGGAGCTAAATATTCCCGTACTCCGGAATTACTAACTTAAACGAACGCAGCACAGTAATTAAACGCTGTGCTTACGGAGAAATATTGATCATTGGATTTACATCCTTCAATGTGGGCACGGAAGAGACCCCCTTTTTTCGGACAACTATTCGATGGGAAGTGCAAGCATTGAAGGCATTCTATTACGGAATTTGATACCAAGCCGTTCGGGATACTGGCTTCCTACTTGGCTGCATTAGTTACAAGCTCTTCAAGGACCCAACCGCCGGCCAGCAATGTCTTGATGGTAGAGGCGGAATCTTTGAAGCAGTAAAAAGTCGGGGAAGGATCATTATTTAGCTCGACGACCACCGCAAGATGGAACTATCATTTGGCAAACATGCGTGGATTCAATGAGACTGTGTGGCTAAAGGGAGACGAGAAGTTGAAGTTGGCGGAGGATGGGCCGGCAAGGAGACCTTTTTTATTTTGGGGCGGGGGATTATAAAAAAGCAAGAGCCAGTTCGCAAGTAGGACATTCTAAGCGTGGTCTCTTCTATTCGGCTAACTGTCAACTAAAGTACTTTTATAAGGTCTGGACATAATGTCAACGCTGGAACCCCGTTGTTCATCAGGTAATCGAGCAGCGGGGCTACTTGGCTGGAGAATGTTGGCGAACAGATTCTGCATAGAGAGTACTACCAAACCGAATTGACTTTATATCGTAGATTATCTGGGAACCGTCCGAGAATTTGTTTCTTGAGGGGGTATATAACGAGGTATTATGCTTTTCTCCGATACCGGCGATACCTTCTGGCCCTCAGCTCTAGCTAATATAGAAACAGTGGAAGACCTGCTAAAGAGCCATCGACGTTAGTGATGCCTTTAATAGTGTTGGGAGCTCCATATTTTCGTAATCACCTACTTCGGTAATCTAAGTAAGATTCTCTCAATGCGCTTGACCATATATCTAGAGATTGAATCCCGCACCGCATCGATCGAGAGGTTGTTGGGATCCGCTTCCATATTTCATATTGTTGGGAGCATTTTTGATGAACTCGAATAAAAAATGGGTCAAGATAAGAGCGGGGCATTCGCATGCTTATGCCTTCTTGCGCATTCCATAAGACAATTTCCTATAAATCCACAATGAAGCCTTGGCCCCGGTGACGTGGCAAATCGATTGGGCGTGCAGCAGGCAAATTTGATAGGGCATCTTTGGTGCCAAAGGGTGGGATGATCCTACGATCCGGCAGGGAAATAAACCATCCTAACGGAATTTCAGCCGCAGGACTACCTCATATGCCTGCGGCCACGACCATATTCCCCTGGATCCACAGATCTCCAGCGGCTTGTATATCGATCTCTTCTAGGCGAATCAACAAACGAATCGTCCTCCTCGTACACATCAATGTAATCCTCCTCCGTCATCGAAGCGGTTACACTCTCCCGCGGCTCAACAATCTCTGGTGTCCTTCGTCGATAGGAGCGCGCATTCGAGTGCCGCGATCGAGTGGCTTCGGATGTCACTACAGACTCCGATTCGCTAATCCTTCTGCGGTTTAACGAAAAAAGAAGAATGCCTAAGATCAACACGAAGCTTCCCACCGCGCCGATCAGGGCGCCTATAACAACCCCCGAAGATGGATGCGGGCCTGTGTATGTGTTGGGAATGGATATCATAGTGGTTCGCCGCCTTAATGTCAAAGCAAGCCCATTATCCGGGCTTGCCTCCGATCGAATCTTTGTAAACATGGACACCGCTCCACCATGGTGTTTGAGGCCATTTTGACCCGTTATTGAACGGAAAGCATCGACTTTTGGAGGACCTGAAGCGATGAGACTGGGTTTGGGGGGCATTGGAGCGAATATGGGTTGATCAAGAAGAGAGGCTGGGCAAGGATAGTTGGCAAATTGACAAACACAATGTAGCAAATTGAACTTTTCCAATCGAGTTGTAGAAAAATGGTCGTCGAGGACAGGATTCGGCAACACTTAAAAGAAAAGCGAGTTCGATTGCGATAGCGAACCGTAGCACGTCAATGTCGAAGCATTCTCTGATGTATCCTCAAAAAAATGGAGGAAAGGTACAAGAAAACTCAGAAGTCCAACTCGACATCTAACTAAGTTGACTACCATACGCGAAACCCTCCGTCCTGCGTTTTGGCAGCGCTCCGAAGCTTTTCCACTGAGACGAGACGACGCCGGTTGTGACGTGCATTTTAATTGGGATGGCGGGGAATGCTCTACATGTAATCCGTGAGCCGGTGGCTGGGGACTTCCCGCCCTGCCAAGCCTCGCGGGTGGGGCACTGTAAGCTTGATTTGGGCCAGGTTGGCGAATGGAGCTCAGGAACCCATCAATCAGGCTATGGAGGTGAGACTCCAGTGATCTGAAATGTTTCCAAAAGAATTCTTTTATCCAGGAGGAGACTGACTCCAAAGTACCGTACATGCTCTAATATTCTACAATATGCAACACAGATCACGCAGCTTTCCAACGGCCTCCCATTCATTTGAACAGCATCCCCCTTCAACAGTCTGGCAGGTCTTCTCTGCATTCGGCACATTCTGTCGCTCTTGCCCCATTATAAAATGGCCTCTTGTTTGGTAACATCCTCGCTCTCTTGACCGTCTTCACCCAATGCCTGCGACGTCTCAAGACTTTCCTCTTCCTTCTTAGCGGTGGCTGCATCCCGTTTGTGGGTCGTATTGACCAAAGGAGTTTCGTCATTAAACAGACGCAGAAGCATAGCGCGACGCTCTTCCTTGGGTAGCATCAAGTTCAACGAGTAAAGACTCCTCCATAATGGCAAAACCATGTGCTCACTATCGCGAATGTTAGTGTGAACCCAGCAGTCTCATGTTGCTTTTATAAAACTTACTGGAATCCGTCTTCTTCGTTAGTGGGGATGAGTTTTAGGACACAACATCCCATATCAACGTCCCTTGCCCACTCGCCAAGTTCACACAACTCTTTCCAACCACCATCATTAACTTTGGGGAACATTTCAACCAGCAGCTTGCGCAATGTTGTCTTTTTGTAGATCTTAACTGTGCGGCCCGTACCAATCCAAGGCTCAAGAAGTGTAAGACCATCTTTTTGAATTCTCCAGGGACAAACATCCGGGCGTTGCACGTCTTGTTTCACGAACATTTTCACACCACAGTGGACAAACTTCATTCCGGTCCCTTCGTTTTCGGTTAGGATGTCCCGAGCCAAAGCCGTAGTGTAGTAAATAGTTTTGTGAGGGCGTCCATCGGCATTCCGTACCATGAACCTGTCCTTCGGGAACTGGGGAGATAGATCATAGAACTTGAAGATTGTGTCAAACTCTTTGAGCTGAGAATCTAGATACTTAAAGGGCTCCTCAAATTGTTGTCCGGATTTCTGTTTTATCGGCCGCGAGAGAGCGATTTCAGATTGTTTGGACGCCGGCGCCACGGCGCCGGTTGTGAGACGACTAGCTTCAGCACAAGCCTCATCCGACACTTTAGCGCGTTTCGTTTCGGGCTCCTCGTCAAGGTGATCGGAGTTTCTTTTAGCTGGAGACAGCGCACTCTGGGCTGACGCGTTTGGATCGGTATTGCCAACATTTTCAGTGGTGTCAGGAAAAGCTAGGGCATTTTCAGTTGCCATTGGAATAGGTGTGCTATGAGAGTCACCGGTTTCACCCTCTACAGGCTTTAGCGCATTCATTTTTGAGTTCTCTGGTTTCGCCCTGATCTCTCCCTTCTTCTCCAAGACGGTGATGAAAAACCCGCCTGTATCTTGCTGATGGGGATACACGCGCATGCAACGTGAGAGATTGGCTGCCTCACTTTGCTCAGACGGTGGAAACATTCCTTCGACAATTCTTTTGAGCGTCTCATCTCCGCCATCCGCTCCCTTTTCGACGTCTTGCCAGGTGTTCCAGATCCTGCCTTGCTTATCCATTACCGTCCAGGATGTAAGCCCAGGAGACCTCCGTAAACCTTGCAACTCGTTGCTGCAATCAACAATCTCGACCTTTTCAGGTCCTCCACACCGGTCGATTGCACTTGCAATCACAGCTTCGTTTTCGATTGGGTTCATGCTGCAGGTGGAGTACACCACACGACCCCCAGGTTTGAGCATTTGCAGGGCACGAACAAGGATTCTGGCCTGGGTTGGATGTAAACCGATGCCGTTAGCTGGATTCCAATCCTTCCAGACGTTAACATTCTTTCTAGCCGTGCCGTCACCCGAACAAGGCACATCAGCGAGGATCCGATCGAATTTTAAGTACCGGTTCGGTGAGCGCTTTCCGTCCGCGACAGGGAGGGAAGGCAATCTGATTGACGGATACATGGTAGCATCATGATTAGTGACCAATAAATTAGGGGAATTAAGTCGCTTCATCTGATGAATTAACATGTGGGCACGTTTATAGTCGCTATCGTTGGCAATCAGTAACCCGGTTGACCTTCCATCATCTTCGAAACCGTCCAATTCGGCTTCCCCGTTCAGTAGGTCAGCAATCTCCACTCTGCCTTGCTGACGAGCCACCTGAGCATCCTTATTCTCAAGCTTATCAGTCATGCTTTTCATCTGTTCCTCCTCGCCCGCATGGATCATCTCCATCAGCTGCGCGGATTTGCTTCCCGGAGCTGCACACATGTCCAGGACAACCATTCCGGGTCGCACATCCAGCAATAATGGGGGAATCATGCTGACAACTTCTTGGCGGCTAATGTTTCCAACTTCTGTTTCTGAAACAAGGAATTTGTGAAAAGATGCAAATGGAGGGAAGCGCCTGACTACCTGCTTCGGAGTCGTCATGGACCAGGCCAACTGGTCTGGATACCACGGAACAGGCTTGGGTGGCTCGACAAGTTCGCCTTCATATCGAATTGAGGTAATATTGGGAATGTAAAAGTCCTTGAGGCGTTCTTGGACTGCGAGAGCGTGTCTATCAAGAGAAAGCAGAAATGTTAAAGCAGAACACCAACTAGAGAAGGGTGTGGAGCATACTTTCGTGAGCCGGTAAATCGAAAACTGTTGGGAAGGTCGCGTCGCAACGCTTCCCAGAACTGCTCTTTTTCATCCTCAGGGACAACTTTGAGGCCATTGTAATAGCTCTCAAATTTCTCGTTGCTCTTCACTATAGCGGCATAATTTGTCGGACGGGTTCCGCGTCTACCACCACCACCAAACTTGCAAACAATGCGATACGTCAGCTATATTCAAGAACTGGAAAGTTCGCAAAAGACATTAAGAAAGAATTTACCTTTTTGCTACGTCTCCCCATGATGATTGAGTCAATTTGAAATCCTCTCCATCTCACGGGGGGGTTTTTTCAGACATCAGCAGAAATGTTCGGAAAAACTCCCATCCCGATTGCCGCATGCCGCCCGCCTGTGCCCATCGCCAAAGTTCGCAAGTGTTTGAGGTGACCAATTAGATGCCTCGGGCTTTCGGAATGGAATAACGATATTACGTAAACTTAATCACTTCGATTTACATGAGCCGCCTTGCCAAGACGAGAAGAGACTCGCGTTCAGGGGCGCCTCAGATAGCACATCGGACCTTGAGGTGCAAGATGACATGGCACCCGGCTTCGAGGCCCACTTAGAAACGAGCTAGGGGCGCAAAAATTAAGGTTGGCCGCTGTATTTTCGGTGAGCCAAGGACCCAAGCTACAGGACCATCCTCGCGATGTTGGGTTTGAGCCTCAGCTGGGTCGACAACTCGAACGCGTCCACCCCCGTATCACATTCCGCAATGATTGGCGCTGGCTTACATCAAATAAGGACTAACTGTGGGGGATGCATGAAGCACATACTGGTGGAAAAAGCCTGTTTAGGGTGAGACAACGTACGGAGGACACCAATCGCCAAAGCGATTGTCGGATTAGACTCAAGCCTAGCCAAGCAAGAATTGCAATTTCCAAACTAAAAAGGAAAGCTGTTGAAGCACGACCCTTGCCCGTTGGCGGCCGTAATACGGAGTTGCTACTCAGCTCCAAGCAGCCGATCCCAGATGGCTATCAGCTTGGAAGTTTACCATGCAGTGTGACGGGTACAAAAGTACCAGCTGGCCCGCCCCAGTCGCCATACTTCCACCTCGTCTTTCCTCCGTCACTCTCAGGGTTGAAGCATCCCAAAAAGTGGCAGGCAGTTAACGACATCGAACCCCCACACTGTTTGTCAAAGGCGAAACATTTCCACGATCACAATGGCAGACAAAGCACCTGGTGTCCCCGCTGCGGCTTCGAGCTCCGAGTGGTCTCATTCATTCTGGGCTTGCTGCTCGCCTGTTGATAAATGTTCGTTCGCATCACCAGGCGATTTGCTGCATTCCTAATTTCCTGAACCTCCTAACCGTTTGTTTCGGTAGGCTTGTGCGCCTGTCTGTTTCCATGCTGTCTCTTCGGTCGAACTCAATCTCGCTTGCAAAACCCGGCTGAGAAGCCTTCAAGTTTCAATGGCATGGTATGTCTGACGAACGCTCTGCCGTGATCCATTAATCTAGTTGCTAAACAGACACGAATTTAGTGCTGCGGATGGTGCTGTCTTTCCATGGTCGGCTGTTCCTGTATCCTACAGGGCCTGCAACGAGGCAGAATGAGAGATCAGTACGGCATCAACGGTTCTACTTTTATGGATTTCTTTGCATCGTGCTGCTGCCCTTGCTGTGGCTTGTTGCAAGAGGAAAAGGAAGCAGTTGCAAGAATAGAATCGTCGGGTTATCAGCCGCCACAGGGAATGGTATACCCTTAGGGCCTCACGCCTGCGGCGGAGCCTCCATCGATGGCTTGGTCTGAAAAATGGCCCGTTGCTAGGGATTGAAACGGCTCTGACCATAGATCAAACGAGCTACATGGATCACCCAAAGCGGTCCGTCTTAAAGTGAAGTTTCTTTTGGGTTCTTAGACACCTTTTTTTTTATGTGTCTCGATTTGTGCATGATACCAGATATATAATTACTTTCGTTTAATTTTGCTCTGTTTAATGAAGAGTTTGGTGCCAGTCGCGAGTTCTTTTGAGGAACTTGAATCTCTAGCCTCATGCATATCAATAAATTTGCGACTATTATGCCCCCATGCAAGGACGAGGGTGTTCTGGTGATAACGGTCCATCATTTTCGGGAAGTCCACCAATTTTGAAAGAGTGGAGATTTAAGGCTAGTTTAAAAGACCTGGGGGCCATAATCTGCACACGAGAACCGTATGTACGAAGAACTCTGGCAGTGCACAATATTAGTGAACCAGCTAGCAACGCCCCCGAAATCTAAAATAAGCATGAATTCCCCTTTTTGCAGTCGGGTAAATCTGCATGCATATCGTCCGAGAAGTGAAGAGCGAGATTGGTATTCATCCCCAGCACAAAGCCCTGATTCTCTCCAGAGCAGTATCTATCAATTTCGTGATTCAGTGATAACTAGTTGGTTCGCCCATGAGACGAGTGACCCCACTGCTGTCCTTCCTGGAAGTAAATAAGCAGCTTCGAGAAAAAGCTACGCTTAGTATGAAGTTATCGAAAGGATGAGTTATAATTTTCGGATTCTACCCTTGAATACTTCATTTGGAGGAGTGGAATAAATGTACTGTACATACTCTGGAAGTCGACCCCAAAAACAGGCTCGCATTCCCTCCTCGGCGCTTCAGGATCGCGGAACAAATCCGGTGTTTGGTGTTATCAAGCCCACACCGAATTCACAACACTTCCGCCAATGCAACCAAACTCGCCTGCGGATCCCTTTTGGGCCTTTGTCACCACATCAGTGTTGCAGCACGGAATTCCAAATTTGATTGACGACATTGGACGAATCATCTCCTTTGTTCAGCTTTCAATTTCCGATGATGTCTTTCGAAACCGGCTAGAAGCCTCGGTGGTGGAAACTACGCGCGCCCTTCCCCGCAATCTCAGAGAGGCTGCGCCTTAGTCCACCCCACGATTTGCAGATTTCGTGGACAAAGATTATAAAGAAGCTACCAGCTGCCCCTCCGGGACCAAATATTTTCTTTTGGTGGAAAGGTTTTAACTGAGATATCTATCGCCAACGTATTTGGCCCGTTGTTTCTCGTGAAAATGTCCTCGACAGCTACAGCTACAGAAACCCAAACGGCCACAAAGCCGGCCAGTGCAGCCAGAGACAATCTCACCATAACCTCGGGAAAACCAGAATTCAAGGCGTTCCCGAAGCCGCCAGTCTTCGAAGATAAATATAAAGAGCGGGAGTATCTCAAAGGAAGACTGGCCGCCGCATTCCGGATCTTCGGCAAGAACGGTTACGATGAAGGAGTGGCAGGCCATATCACAATCAGAGACCCTGTTGACGCGACTACATTCTGGGTCAACCCGTTCGGGGTAGCATTCTCCCTTATCAAAGCATCTGATTTGATCCATGTTGATCATGAGGGAAATGTTATTGGCGGTGGGGAGGTCCGATTGCTGAATACCGCCGCGTATGCAATTCATTCCGCCATCCACACAGCGCGACCCGATGTTATGTGTGCGGCTCATAGCCATAGTATCTACGGTCGCTCATTCTGTGCCCTTGGGAAGCCCCTGGACATCATAACACAAGACTCTTGCGCTTTTTACAATGTGAGATTAGACCATGAATTCCGATTGAAGTCCAAGCTCTGTGACGAGACTAACTCCTGACACCAGGACCTTGCCGTCTACAAACAATTCAACGGGATTGTCCTAGCTGCAGAAGAAGGGAAGAATATCGCGTCCGCCTTGGGAAATAAAAAGGCGGCTCTTCTTCAAAACCATGGGCTTCTCACGGTGGGGAAGACTATCGAAGAGGCCGTATTCTGGTTTGTCAGCCTGGAAAAGTGTTGTCATGCTCAATTGATGGCCGACGCTGCTGCCATCGGAAAAGGAGGAGAGACGATCAAGATTCCCGACGAGGACGCCGCGTTCACGTATAAGTCAGTTGGAACCCCGTTTGCGGGGTATTTCAGCGCAAAACCGCTTTTTGACGTGATCCACAAGGAGACGAACGGCGACTATCTGCAGTAACTCGGGGGGAGGGGAGTCATCAGCAAGAGTGGGTTGGGGAGGCGTCAATCACCGGTAGTGTCAGCTACGCAAGTGTTGCGCAAAGTTTGTTCCTTGCACAGAGGAGAATTCTTGTGCTCTCGACCGTGGGAGCTCTGGGAGTCTATGGGAAGCGTCTAGAGGGACCGAGCGATGTAGATATATACGGAGTACATATGCCGTAGTTATGCACACACAAAATGCATAAAGTCCCAAAGCGTCAACGTGGCGATATATATAATAAGGTTTAAATATTTGCCGGTGACCGACATGATTAATCATCTTGCCACCGTCGCGCGTTACAATTCAGGACCCGGGCTTGGCCCGTGCACCCGCTAGTTGAAATTTGCAGGCGGCGCTGCTCGACCTTTTTTCAAAAAAAAAAAATAAAAAGCTTTTGAATAAAATAACTCGGAATGGGCTGTGTCTGAGTTTTTCTTTCGCTCTCATCTTCTTCACTTCTTCATCCTTCCTCTTTCTTTTATATACTCTACCCGGACGCGTTTAGTTTTCTCGCTTTCATAGTTTTACACAATATTTGTCGGGAAAGCTGCGATGTTTGGTACTCTTCGAGGGGGACGGGTCCTCGTTCGCAACCTCCAAAGATGTGTTCGCCGGCCCAATCCTCTGTCGCTCGTTAATCGGACGCTTCCCCTACCTCACCGGGCAATTACATTTCCAATTAGAACATTTTATGTATCGCCGTTGCTTCGGAACAGCGCTGGGGAAGCAGTGAGCCCCGTCACCAGCGCAGATGTCCCAACACCACCCGAAGGGGAAACGAAGAAATTGCTGAAATTTGCCGACCTGCATGGTCCAGGGCTGGTGGATAAGAAAATCGTGGATGCTATTCTAAAAATGGGCATTACAGACATGACCGAAATTCAAGCCCAGACCATCAATCACACGCTAAACGGAAAAGATGTGTATGTTGACGAGAAGCTATACTCTCATTGCCTACGTGACTAATTATTGAATTTAACAGGCTCGCCCAGGCTAAGACCGGCACCGGCAAGACCCTTGCTTTCCTCGTTCCTGTCATCCAGAAGATAATTCGCGACGATCCGTCGTTGCGGACTGGTCAAAAATTTCGGCAGCGTGGCGGTTCCAATATTCGCGCCGTTGTCATCTCGCCGACTCGTGAACTTGCGGAGCAAATCGCCGAAGAGGCCCAGAAAATAGCCAGATTTACAGGAGTCCAAGTACGAACGGCGGTTGGCGGGACCAGGAAAATTGAAGGACTTCGAAGAATCCAGCGTGAAGGCTGCCACCTTCTTGTTGGCACTCCGGGTCGCCTTATAGATATTTTCAGCGACCCAAGGAGTGGGATTGCGGCGCCGAACCTGAAAGCATTCGTCTTGGACGAGGCAGATCGTTTGCTCGACGACGGGTTTGCCCCTTCTATTATGGACCTGCAGACCTATTTCCCAAAGCGAAGCGAGGTGGACCGTCAGACTCTGATGTTCTCGGCCACCATCGCACCCGAAATTCTAAGCATGGTTCGACGTACATTGAAGCAAGATTTTTCCTTCGTGAAAACCGTCAGAGATGACGAAGCACCAACACATTTGAAAGTTCCACAGAGGGCTGTGTTCCTTGATTGTCGATCGAACCAGATGCCAGCTATCATGGAAATCTTGACGCAGGCGATTAGAAGACATGAAACGGATCCCGTTCAAAACAGCCCATTCAAAGCCATCGTCTATTACAACTCCACAAACGAGGTTTCCATAGCGGCCGCCGCGTTTAACGCATTACTTACCGACCCAGAAAGCCGTTTCTCGCCGCATCCCTTTGGTATCAGGGGGATTGAAATCCATTCTAAATTAACTCAGGCCCAAAGAACGAGGAATTCGGATATGTTCCGTAGAGCAAAATCCGCTATCCTGTTCTCTTCTGATGTGACTGCTCGCGGAATGGATTTCCCAAACGTGACACACGTTATCCAAGTCGGTGTTCCACAAAGCAGAGAGACATACATTCACCGCCTAGGGCGTACGGCTCGTGCAAACAAAACTGGTGAAGGATGGATTCTGCTCACGGATCCTGAGTATCGTGAGTTCAAGACCACACTCAGGGGCCTGCCTATCCAGGAAGATGAGGCGTTACTCAAGACTGCTATGATAGACATGTCACGAGAGAACCCTGATGCCCCTGAGCCCACAGCTTCTATCATTTCCCAGGCCAAGCAAGCATATAGCGGCCTTGATTATACATTAAAAGAGAAGGCATATATGTCCTCCTTAGGCTTAATCCGCTCACGAGACCAGTTTCGCCAACTAAATAATATGACGAAACATCTCTGGAGCCTTGACTCACCTCCTCCTATCTCTCTCGCATTGGCCAGAAGATTGAATATTCGTCATTATCCTGGTATTGTTATCGAATCCGCACGAAGCGAGCCGTCGGCGCTAGGATCGCCCCTCAGGGATGAATCTAGACGCCGTAGAATGACCGATTTCGGAGACCAGGAGCCATACCAACAATCGTTCCAGCGGAACGACCGTCGAAGCCGTAGAACGAACGGTTTCAGTGGCGAGGGGCGGTACGAACCATCATTCCGGCGGAACGACCGTCGAAGCCGTAGAATGAGCGGTTTCGGTGGCGAGGAGTCATATGAACCGTCGTTCCGGCGAAACGACCGTCGAAGCCGTGGAAAGACTGATTTCCATCACGACGAACCACTTGATCCATTGTCCATGGGGGACGAACATGGAGGCAGTGGAAGCAGCGGAAGAACCGATTTCCAACGTTCCGAGACAAGAACCCGCCGATGGAGATGAATGCCAGTTGGCCTTTATTAATCGCCACTCCGTTTTAACCAGCTCGATTTACAGTATTCAAAATTGTTGTACAGTTTCATTTTTTCTGAATGGACTCATCTAGGCGGTTTGGAGTACGACTGTTTATTTGCTGCTACGATTTCGATTGTTCGACTGTTATATTTGCATGAGGTATCATGTTCGGAAACTGGGTCCTGTCTACATTCTTAAGGGTCCACGGAGTTGAAGGCGTCGAGTTACCCCACGTAAAAGCAACTCTCTACGGATAGATCGGCGACCGTCCGATCTGTTTTTTACGCATGCGCTTGTATCCCTCCCTCTGAACATGGCTTTAATACTTTTGTTAACGTGTATTATTAACAATTTCATGGCGTGGTATGCTATACTTCTTGGAAGATTTACTATTGGCGGAGCAGCCCTATCATGCAGCTTTGTCCTTCCTTGGACTTTGTGTATTACTTTCTTTCGTCCCTCGGGCTCTGGTCATGGCGGCGTTGATGTATATGGGCATTGGTTGGTTGCGAAACTATTCTACTCTTCAGACCGTGATACCGAACACACATGTTAGCACTGATATGTATTTTATTGTTTATATTATCTTATACAGGAGTTCATGTATGTCATCTTCGTAAATAACTGTTAACAGGACGATGCCATACCTGCTTCAACATTAAGAGAAACAAGACCAGAAGATATTTCCTCGATGATATCCTTTCTCTGTAGTCCTTCGAGCCATTCTGCGGGGATAGACTCAAACCCGTAGAATGCTCCTGCCAGCCCTCCATACACGGCACCTACAGTATCAGCATCATGTCCCAAATTCACCGCTCTTAATGCGCCCTCCTGGAACGAACTTGTAGTGAAGAAACTCCACAACGCTGCCTCCAATGTCGAAATCACGAATCCGGTAGACTCTATAGTGCGCTCTTCTGTGGCCATCCAATCTGTAAGGCCGGTGTACTTCAGGAACCGCAGCCGCACATTTTGATCGTTGAACGGAGTGCTGGCGAATTCTCGGGCGATATCCTCCTTGGTGCCACCATTCACGGCACACACGATAAGTTTGGTGTATAGCATACAGCATTCTGCGCAAGTCGGGTAAGGGTGAGTCACCATAGAAGAACGCAAGGCTACAGAGAGAGCCTGATCGAGATCGTGCGAATAAACAAGCCCGACGGGCGACACCCGCATTAGTGACCCATTACCGCAAAATATCTGGGGAAATGTCAGATCCATCCGTCCATCCACCATCAGCAATAAGCACAGAAATTGGATAGGCTTTCTCGTACCTCGCGCTTGAGTGCGCGATCGATTTCTGGCTGTTCATCATTGTCTGCGTCTGGATCATCTTCACGAATGCTAGCTCTCCGTTGAAAAAATCTTAACCATATCCCAAGCGCAGATGCCGTTCCGGCACCAATATCAAAGCAGTACCCCGTTGACGATAAGTACCCTTCTTTCCACCATTTTATATAGTTTCGGATAGCTGCCTGGGAAACAAAAGTGCCTTTGGATTCAATGAGTGCCTGTGCAAGGCACAGGGTCATTGAGGTATCATCGGTCCAAGTGCTGTCATTTGTTAACTGCGATACCTGTATACTTCGATAAAGGCGCCAATGCTTACCCTGGAGGTACGCCGAAGTTTGCATTGTGCCGATAGCCGGTAACCTTCGCGAAGCTTCCTCTCCGGTGAAACTCTACTGGTCCTCCAAGAGCGTCGACTACGGCCACACCGAAAATCGAGCCTTTGATTTTAGAATGCTTTCTTGGGGGTGTCATGCCGGGTACTCCTGATGGGAACGTTGGCACAAGTCTAAGGCTCAACTTGTTATTTTGTACTCCGTACGGGGTATGCTGAAAAATTGGCTGATGTTTATTTAAGTTGGCGCCAGGGGACTGGCGGCAAGCTTGTGTTGTTTTTTGGGGGAGGGGGACAGGGAGGCTTCATTGGAGAGCGCCCGAAGACGCCGAATTTATGCGAATCTATACATTGGAATCGTCATTATGGGCATCAGCAACGGACCTGAGATCGCCTCGTGTTGCGGACGAACCCACGCGTTGCGGAGTATGTATCTGCCCGTGTTGAGAAGTTAGCGCGACTCTTTTCCGCCGTTCCTGATTGGATGTGACTAAGTGACTAATAGAATCAATTAGTATCACTCCTAACACAACAACAAGGTGGTATGGTCTAGTGGTATGACGTCGCGTTGTGGCCGCGCCAGCCTGGGTTCGATTCCCAGTACCGCCAATTTCTTTTTCGCCGCTGTTCCCTTGAACTGACCTCCTCATTCACTCGCCGTCGTCGATTTTTTGGCAACACCCCGCCTCTGTGACCTCTCTGGCCAGGCAATTCTTTTCTTTTCTCTTTTTTTAACTATCAGGCTTCAACATCCTATTATGGTAATTGGACCCTAAATTCATCATGCATGAATTCATTGAAATGGTGGCCTCTGGGTGATTGAGAGCCAATCTCGACCCTATTGACCACCCCTCGATATCACTTAATCTTTACAGTCGCACAATCAATTGAAAATGATTTCCTCAAGACACGGAGATAACCTGCAGGGTGCCTAGAAATCATTTGTGAAACAGCTATTTTAGGTTTATTCACCAGCGCTTACACTGATGGATTGAAAGGGCACCTTCGCAAGCGCCCAATGCCTTCATCCATGTCAATTGGATGATGTGAATGGCACTGGCGCCAATTGTAAAATTGGCGAGCGATGGTCCTTCACACACACTCTTCCATGCACCGGTATGGATCTTGTATTATCGCCAAATGTTGCCAACCATTTGAAATTTGGGAGGCCCAGGGCTCATTAAGAAGGCGATGGAGGTAAGGCAATCTATACCTGGATATGGGAACGGGAGTTGCATTTCACCAGCTGAACCCTCCCATAGATGAATAATCAAGCGTTTTCCAGCCGTAAGCGCCTCGAGGAATTGGCTGCAAGCGTGGGTGTTTCTATGAGCAATTATCTCCCAATCCTCAATAGAAACGCCATTTTTTCTTTTAGCCATCAGGATAAGGAAGCGGCTGAGAGCCTTGCAACTCGCAAAAGATTAGAAACTTTCTCGTCGAAGTCACATATCTTCCGACGCACCCCAAGCCAACGCAATTTCAAGAAACAGGAGCTCTATGTCGCGATCGAGACCGTCATCAGGGAAAACGGACCCGTCGGTGTTCTGGAATGTTTACTGACGCAAGCCAAAGATGCAAAGTCTAAAAAGAACATATTCAAAACCGATACCCAGGAGTTCCACGTGGGCCCGCTTCTGGAGCTTGCAATAGGACATCGACGGGCCGATATGGTATCAATACTGGCTCCTCAAGCGGATCCGGCGTCTGTGAATAGTTGCCTTCGATGTGCAACCGCATCTGCCAATCTAGATTGTGTCAAGGCCCTGCTTGAAAACGGGGCAGATCCAAATTCTTGCCAAGAAGAGTTCATTGAAAATATAACCAGTGGAAACATTCCTCTCGTGAAACTTTTACTAAGAGCAGAGAAACGGCTTAAAATTTCGTGTCTTGATGAAGCCCTTCCGATAATGGTATCGAAAGGACCGCTTCAGCTTGTTATTATCCTTCTTCAGCAAGGTGCCAATGCGGATTCAGCTGGACTGTTCGAATCTGTTGTTGAGGGTGGAAGGATTGATCTTATCGCCGCCTTTGTCTCAGCTAAGCGGCCTCCGTCACGAGCATCTCTCAGCCGCGCTCTCGGAGTCGTTCTCCGTGGGTCAACAGTAGTGACGGAAGAACAACGTTTGATCATCGAAATGCTTCTTTGCGCCGGCGCATCTGGAGAGAACGTCAACAAAATCCTAATGCGATCGATCTCTACGAATGATCGGAACCTCGCTTCCACGGTGGTTTCGTATCGCGAGGTGATCTCATATGATCCTTCGGACGCAATAATTGAAGCCGTAAAGAAAAATGACATGGAGATTTTAAGCATTATTTTCAATGGAAAACTTGACAGTGACTGCGCGTCTGCTCTACTGGCCAAGTTTTCTAAAGTGTCGGTGACTTTGGCGTCATCGAGAAAGCTTTGGATAGTGTCAACCTTAGTTAAATACGGGGCTACTGGCGTTCCGCTGCATGAGTATTTGGTTAATTCCGTCCAACGAAATGACGAACTGTTGGTCAGATTTTTAGTGGATCACGGAGCATCCGTTGACTACCAGGATGCAAAGGCACTTCGTCTTGCCATGTCCTCAAAAAATCTTCAAATCTTCAAGAAACTCCTTGGCGGGAAACCATCTCAACCCTCCTTTTCGCTATGCTTTCGCTTGTTACCAACATTGCCCCCAAATTTACAGCTGGATTTGGCGTCAGAACTATTAGCTGCTGGGGCCCAAGGTCAAGAGGTCGACAAGACGCTCGCAAGGGTGTTTTCTGACAACGTTACACTCGAACGACACCAGTTCCTTGAGTTACTCGTGAGACATGGCGCGGATGTTAACATCAAGGATGGTTATTGTTTCCAAGAAGCAGCAAGATTGGGAGACATCGTTTCTCTAAGCACCTTACTCAAAGGCAGTCTAAGTGAGTTATCACTTTGCAGAGCTCTCACTCCGGCAAGCAAACTGTCTCCCAAAGAACTACGGTTCACCATCGTGGATTTGCTTCTGTCAGCAGGCGCTCGTGGACCAATGGTGGATGCGCAATTGGTTGAGCTAGTTCAGGAAATTCCTGTCGATATCGTTTTGATTAGTCTAGTTCTCGAGAAAGGGGAAGCAAATATCAACACGGATGGTGGTAAGGCTGTGCATCATGCGTGTCGGAAGGCAGATCATAAACTCCTGGAGCTTCTGCTGCAGTATCGGCCAACAACAAAGACCCTGGACGCGGCTTTCCTTACAGCGACCTCTTTGGAAGACCCTGCCGTTCGTTATGAGATATGTCATAAGCTCCTCAATGCTGGTGTAAAAGGAGCAATGCTGGACGCGTCATTAATCTGTGAACAGCAATCTCCGTCAAGCAACATGAGTCTACTGGAGCTACTTCTCGATCATGGGGCGAATATTAATTTTAACAACGGTGCTGCTATCCGAAATGCTATAAAGCAGTCTGATGAGCAGCAGCTTGTGCTTCTCGCATCTAGAATGCCTTCACGCCAGACAGTAATTGGTGGCCTGGAATTATTGCTCCGTACTAATACCGTCAAGAGGTACGAGATGGCCAATATTTTGTTGAATGCAACAGATATCTCCGTATCCGAGGCTTTGAATCCCATGCTCCCTGAGGTGATCAGATTAGATATTTGGAATCATCGCCTTCTGAAGCTTTTTATTCAGCACGGGGCTTCGGTAGATTATCAGCAGGGTATGGCGATACGCAAATCGATCGACAATGATTATATCGATGCTTGTGAATTATTACTGGGTCAACCTGTCTCTTCGGACACACTTGAAACTGTTTTTGGGTCTTGTTTGGCGATTGAAGGTCCACGACGTGTTCAATACGCAAAGCTGGTCCTCCAAGCCGGTTTTCATGGACGATGTGTAGATGAAGCACTCCTTAAGATTGTCCAAGAAAAGCCCTGTGACATGGATATGGTCATACTTCTCTTAGGGCATGGCGCTTCGGTCCACTTTGCGAATAGTCAATGTATTGTTCACGCGGCTCTGTCTCGGGATGATTTAATCCTGAGACTCCTTCTAGAATCCGTTTCAGATAAAATAGCTGTGACATATGCGTTTGGAAAGACAATATCGGCCGGTATAACTTGGCTTTCAGCTTCTGGTTTACCAACCATCGAATTGTTACTACGCCATGGTGCAACCGGGGAGGCACTCAATCTGGCCCTAATCGCGGCAGTTGAAAATGCAGCAATGAACCCCGAGGTGGCAAAGTTTGTAGACCTTTTCCTTGAATTTGGAGCTAGGGCCGATTACCATGATGGTCGTGCACTGAGAGCTGCGATTTCAAAAGGCCAAATTTCGCTGACCAAAAAGATTATGGATACATGCCCTTCGAGCAAGAGTCTTGCAATCGGACTCACATGTGTTTTTAGTTCTGACCTGTCTGAGGATGTCAGTTTGAAATTGATTGAAATTCTCACTCAAAATCAGGCCGACGTTGATGCCATGGGCACTTTGTGGTGTTCAGATGGATTGCAAAAAGAATCTCCCGTTCTTCTATGCCTTCAAAAATGGCCACGAGGAACGAAGATCCTGGAAAAGCTTTTGCAGAGCGGCATGAACGTAAACCAGATAACCTCTTATACGATAGAGAATGATCATGGACTGGAACATGTTTCTCTTCTTTTATGGGCGTTGTTGCAGCCACAACAGCGTATAAGTTCATACGCGATTGAGTGTCTACTGAAGCATGGAGGTAAGCGCCTTTAGGGTACAACCTTTGCGGTTTCTCTGACGTGTTATTAGCGGACCCCAACTTTCAATCTACAGGCTCTTGGAAGTCCCCTCTCCTCATAGCATCAATCGAAAGAGCCCCTGATGTTGTTTTACAGCTTATCCGTCATGGCGCAGATGTTTCGAGGGGCGACGCGGCTGGAAAGTCTCCACTCTTTTACGCTAGCAGACGTAACCAGATTGATATAATACGCCATCTTATCGACGCTGGCGCTACTGTCGATGATGGGAGTCTCCATGAAGCGGCACAGGCCTTGAGCCCCGATGCTGTTCAACTCCTTATTTCTTATGGACATGATCCCAACTTTCCATCAATGTTACACGATGGTCGAGGTGCACTAGCAAACTTGAGTCTCCACGCCTCTGATGCTAGGTTGCCTGTTTCTGGAATCAGGAAGACCATTGACGCTCTAATTGCTGGCAAAGCAGACCTAAGAGCACAGAGTCAGGGAAAATCTCTCCTTTTCCATGCATTGGATAATCCAGGATCCTGTGTCCATGTCACGACGGCCCTGCTGGCAAGTGGAATGTGGAAACTAGTTAATGACAGCTGCAATATCTTTACCAGCAATAACTATGTCTACTCACCCTCGATGTACATCAAGAAGAACCTCCAAAACAGCCCAAGAGAGCTTGGTCCACAGCTTCTTCATATCCTGAAGGCTCACAATTGCAGGGATGTGTACTATCGGCTCACTAGCCCTCAACCGTCAGACATGGTTAACGGCCCGCCAGAAATTATGGCAGAGGAAAGCCGAAGACAGGCCCGAGTCAAACGTCTCCAGGATCAAGAAGAAGAACACCAAATGCAGCTCAGACAAAATGAGGACCTTGCAAATCAGCAAGACATACTGATGACGCGAACACACAATCTGCGGATTCAACACGATCGCGAGCTTGCAGACGAACGAGAGGCAAACGCTGAGCGCTTTGCAAAACAACAGCTTCGTCTTGATGCCGAATCTGCAGCGCAACGGTCTCGCCTTGCACAACAAAATCGTATGCTAGAATTTGAACACACGAAGACCCTTAGCCAACTTCGCCTGCAGGCACTCGAACAGCACGCCCGGCTGCAAATTGCCAATGCGCAAGAAGTTGCACATATAGAACAGGAACTGGTCGATAAGAAACTGGCCACGGAGATTCAACGAATTAGAGAGCTCGAAGCTGCTAATGACAGGCAGTACAAGAGAGATTCTGATATTCTTTGTAGGCAGCAAAGGCTATGGGCAGAAAGGAAAGGGATAATGAGTGAAGATAGGGGAATCACTCCTGGGAATGCGAGTGGCACGATGTCCCCAGTGAAGGGGCTAACCTATCAGGGTGCAGAATTGGATTAGCTGAGCAAACTCCAGGCAAGCATCCTTGTTTCAATGGTGATATCGTATTGAGCAGGTTTCCAAGAAGTGGTAATTTAGTGCGGACTACGGAGTACTTTCGTTGATCTTGCAGCCATTGAACACTATTGATCCTATCAACAAGCAGCATAGGGTCTTGCTCCCTTTTCGTGGGGCAGCATGCAAATTTTGTATTGTTTATGTAGCTATTAGTTTTAATACTCCGTACATATTCGGGAGAAAGTGACAAAACAAAAAAAAAAAAAAAAAAAAAAAAAAAGGAAAAAGTGGGATCTCTCGAACTCGAACGCAGGAGCTTCATTCCTCTCACATCAACAGAGACATCGCACCTCAACGCCGACCCGGCAAAAAAACTTGGAGCTTCTCTTTGATTGAGCGTGTCATCCTTAGTGCAGGGGCCATGCTAATCTTCTCTGTATCGTTTCAATAAGACCAAATGCCCGAAGGCAGAAACGATACTTTTTCTACTTTCTTATATTGTGATTTTCTGCGATAACTCGCTCCAATTGGCTGGATTTAGCTTTAAAATTATATAAGCATATTGATGGACGGATTTATATTATTCCAGAGAAAAATAGAAGCGGGCAACAGTGATTGGCTGGATCCCGGCACCCAAGGCAACCAGTTGCTTGGCGTTTTGGCTTCCACAAAGATTCACCCCTTTTCCAAGGCTCCTTTCGTTCCATCAGAAACTTGACCCGAGTAGGCTCAAGTCTACATCTAGATTTTGATTCTATACCAAGAGATGACGGATTCAACCGCCCAATTGGTCTTTAGGTTGGTCCAAAGGCAAATAGTCAAAGTACAACAGTCAAGAAACACATGTGCACAAGTTATATGAAAGGGGATAGAAGCGTGTATCCCAGGAAATTCGGCAGGTGGTGGTATACAACACGCGGCTCTCAGTAAAAGTTTGTGTTGCAAGGGATTAAGGGGCATGCTATAACCGCTCAATCATGTGCGATCTCGCTGGTCCTGTGCCAATCCATCTAACTGGGACACCGAGATCCTTTTCGATATATTCGATATATTTCTGGGCGTTTGGCGGCAAGTCTTCCCATTTCGTAGCACCCATGGTATTTACCTTCCAACCTGGCAGCGTTTCATACACAACCTCCACCTTCTCCAGCTCTTCCGCATCGGCGGGGAAGGATTCAACCTCCTTTCCGTTCAAACGATAAGCCACGGCGACCTTGATTTCGTCAAAGTCATCTAGGATGTCTAACTTTGTCAGATTAAGAGCAGTGTAGTGGTTGATCAAGGTACTGTATCGGCACATAACCAGGTCAAGCCAGCCGCAGCGCCGCTTTCGGCCGGTGGTAACACCGAACTCACGGCCAGTGACTTGCAGTTTCTCACCAATTTCGTTAATTTGTTCGCTAGGGAAAGGGCCGGAGCCAACTCGTGTGCTATATGCTTTCACAACGCCGACAATGGACTTGATCTCCGTTGGGTTAAGGCAGAGACTTTGGATGGTGCCGCCCAAGCCAGTGCACGATGAGGTGACGTATGGATACGTGCCGTGATCGATGTCAAGCATGAGTGCGTTAGCTCCCTCGATGAGAATGGATGCGTCTTTGTATTTCCGAAGCAGAGTAAATTGGTCAACCACAAAAGGTTTGAGCAGCGTTCGATACTCCTAGACGGCTATAAGTAACGAAGGACTGGTCTCAACAAGCTGAGAGACATACCTTGAACCGCTTAATCTCCTCTTCAAGGTCATAGGTCAGGTCTCCGAATCGTCGTCGGTAACCAGCCTCGAGATTTCTCAACTTTCTTTCTACAATGCCTTCGTCTAAAACTTCTCCGATTCTAACGCCCGTTCTTGAAGCCTTATCACTGTAGCATGGACCGATTCCCTTCCCAGTTGTTCCGACTTTTCGCCCGCCAAGGCTTGCTTCCTCAAGTCCGTCTACTACGGAATGCAAATCGAAGCAGACATGAGCGCGATCACTAATGAACACGCGCTTATTTGCGTCTTTGAGGCCCTTTTCCTCCAAAGCTTTGAGTTCTTTGAAAAATGAGGGAACATGGACGACTGTTCCGGAACCGATTAGGTTGACGCATTTCGGCGATATCAGGCCGGACGGAAGGATATGGAAATCGTATGTGATGTTGTCGTGGATAATTGTGTGTCCCGCATCTAGTTGATTGGAAATTTCAGTAAGTATAGATCCCATTCCACCAGCATCTAGGGGTGGTGATAGGCCACAAGCTCGTTGCAATAGGGCTAAGAACGAAAGACAAAACTCACTATGACCACCAGCGGAACGGCAGCAGAGATCTGCAGTTTGAGAGAGAAGGTCTGTAATTTTTCCCTTTCCTAGCGATGAAAGATGTTAGTTTATCATGCCAGCGCAACTTATCACGCAACCTATGGCTTTCTTCTATCGGACTCAAAAGCTCACGAGGGGCGCCGGAAATTCTCACCTTCGTCCCCAAACTGGGCACCTAAAACCAGCGTCACCATGGTTCTCTTTTCTTTACTAACAACCGGAATTCGAACGTAGATGGAGTCCACAAAAGAAGGACAAGTCCTCGTTCCTTTCCTTATTTCAATTTTGGTATGTTCTTAAGTGTATCGGGCACAATCCCACAATGCCGAGGGGTAGTAAAAGCGGGCACGAGAGGTTCAATGACGACTGCGCTAATGCGGAGACTCAATTGAGGAGAAGAAGTGCAAATATTGCTATCTCTAATCGGGCCGGAAAAAAACTTTTGCTCGGATATGCGATTTCAAAATCTAGAGATCAAATTCCAAGAAATTCTTTCGGAGTATGCGCTCAATCTTTTCGGCCTGAGTCACCCTTTTGGCGCGGGGCGGGATTATGTAATCGGCGGGACCGGGAACGAAGAAACGAAATTCCGTGAGCCCTTTGCCTGCCTGGGGGATGCATCACAGCGATAGATTTGTTCTCTGTGGATGTGAAAGGATTATAACATGGTGGAGAACACTCTATATATAGCAGAAGGAAGTGTGTATGCACTGGCATCGTATTATGCAATCCTTGATTGTTGTCTAAATACTGAACGGAATGGCTGGCAGCCTTGTTTCCATCAAACCAAATATAAAACTGCCGCAGATCCATAGTTGTACACACGACGGTTTAAAAAAGAACAGGACAAAAAAAGCCAACTGCCACTGCCAAACATCCGTATCCGGTTGGAAAGATAACAACAACTCCTTACCAAATGCGCCTAGCCAATGATGTATCCACATCTCTTACGCCTTGATAGTAACTTGCCACCCTATGCAACAACAAAACGGGCCTCAAATCAAAGACTCAGCACAGGGAACCGGTTGCGCCTTTCGGCATTCCTGAATCCAGGTACGTAGGCGTCCGAGGTCCAAAATACACTGACGATGCCGCTCCCACGCGACTTCCCAGTGCTGGCGTACCACAAAGTCCTCTTCCATTCCACGTACATAGGCACCGAACCCATACTTCCCAGGGTTACCTATAGCCTTCGCATCGTCGCTTTCATCATCGTCATTGGCGGCGTCCCCATTGGCTGAAGCCTGATATCCACCTAAATTTAAACGGGTACCATCCCCTCTTGCGCTCATCCAGTTCGGTGATAGCAGAGTGTCGACAAAATTCTGTCGTGCGTTGAAATGGGAAAGCATGGTTCTGTTGAACTTGTTCCATTCGTTCATGTAAGCCGCCATGTCGGTCATGTACCGGTCCCACATGCCTCGAGCGAGAACTTGTTCTGGCTTCATGCCTGAAAGGCCCGGATTAGCAGTGAAATTCGGAAGAGTGGGTGGTTTTGGCGGTTTTGGAAGGGCAAGATCCCGTGGTTTGATACGCGACCGATTCAAATCTGGCTGAGAGTCGAATGGAAGGGCGTTATTCAAATTCTTCAAGTCATTGATACCACCATTATTAGTAGCGGAGAAAGGATTGACAAGACCCATATCAGTTAAATCGAGCATGTCGGGCGCTGTGTCGAAAGTATTAGGGATTTTGGTCTTCGAGGAATTTGCGGATTCCTTTGAAGGCGTAGCTTGCGCGTTTTGGGCACCTCCAGAAGGTATCGGCTCGTCGATATCCATGGCTTCAGCGCTTCCAGAAGGGGCAGCATTAGAACTTTCGTTCGTAGTGGGAGCGAATGTATTCTCTGCCTCTTCGGCCTCTGTAGTCACTGTGGCTGGGCGTGGAGCAGTAGAACGCTTTGGCGCTGGCTTACTCTGCTTTCGAGGGCTTTTTTGACGACGAGGATCCATTGATGGCTGCGGAAATGCATCGCCACGCGGAGTTGTCCACGTGTTATCTCTGAGGAGTTCTGCCCAACGATCAGCTGAAAATTTCGCTTCTGCAAACAGCGGAAGTGGCTGGGAAGAAGCACGATCCGCACTGGGATTGGCTGCATTCTGTGAAGAACCCGACGGTTGAAAATGAGAAGATGTGTCAGATTTATTCAGAGTTCTACCTCGTGTTGGTACTGGCTTTGTGGCAAATGGAACACTGCCAGACGGCCCTGGGGCGAAAAGGTCAGCGTCATTCCCAAATGTGCCACTCCATTCTTTCGCCGAAAAGGTGGGACTAATGTAATCATGGCTTTTGCTTTTAGGGGGAGTTTTGTGGGTTTCGTCCCCTTTTGGAGTGGTGTTTGTCGCATTGAAACTAGAAATATCCTCTAAGTCAGTTCCCATAATTAACAAAGAAACGGATAGCGACAAAGATAGTATAGCAAAGATAATATAGCATCAGGTCAATATGAATGATTTTGTTCTCTTTTTCGCCCATGAGCCTGTCCTCTGATGACACCACCATTTATGGCTCCTTCTGCCAAGGGTAGGACACTAAGGGCTTGGGCTTAAAGAAAGGGAATGTGTGACCATAGACGCCTGTTTCAGATCAATCAAACGGCACGAGACTTGTGGGTACCATACATATTAGGTGTTGAAGAGCAGCGAGGTTCACCGTTTGTGGGAGTCATTTTCTCGCTTTGGAGGCTACCATCCATATCGACATTAGTCGAGAGCGGAATTGACGATTTTGAAAAATTTGAAGATAAAGGGGTGCGGCCAGCGGTTTTTCTGTGGCTTCCCTTGTCTGATTCCACTCCCTCGCCAACATTAGGATTCTCCCAGTCATGGAATTTGGAACGGTTGGCTTTGGTGAACTCTTTCTGACGGCCATTGATTGTTTCGCCAAACAGCCAGGAGTCGGGACGCATCGCCCACGCCGACGTATCACCAGACATGTTCTCGTTGCCATAATGCGTAGGTCTGTTAACCTTTGCCCTAGTACTACGAACTCTGCTGCGCGGCATGGCTTTTGGGCGAAAGCTAGGAAGAATTTCGTCTGAATCACTCGAAGTGGGGGAAGAGAATGGTTGATTGCGTTTGGGACTCAGCTTAGGGCTCGCACTATGACGTCTTCCACGAGCCTGCAGAGGGGTTGGGCTTGGTGGATTTGTTCGTGGTTGGGATCCGGAGTCCTCGAAAGGAGTTGAGCGGGCACTCCGCGTAAATGCAAAACCTGCACTCGACACATAAGTTTTCTCGCCGCCTGACGTAGCGTACCGACTGCTGGTTCTTTCTAGATTAGGCATAGATGTACCGGAGTCCCCAGCTCCTGCGGGTTTCTTTTTAGCAGTAGGGGATGGTGCTGGTTCAAAAAAGGGGTTCGATGCTTGCGCCCTTTCACCCTTTGAGATGGTCGCATAGGCAGACGTATTTTTTGCCATAGGTTCGTCACCACCAGGCGTGCCAGGTGCAAAGCCATTTCTTTTCTTAGTTGTTTGGGATCTTTGGGGTCCAGCGCCGGCCTGTTTTTGAGTTGTGAAATAAGCTTCATATGCGGAATGTGGCCTTTGTGATTGTTGTTGTTTCGCAGTCGGTGGCTTGTCGGTCCGCCCTGTCTCATGCGATGAACGGCCTGTTCGAGGGTCGAAATTCGTCCATCCACCAGCTGGATGATTGCTAGGTTTCATGTTTTGAAACGCACGGTATGCTTCAGCTCGTGTTCGTACATCTTCATATACCTTATCCCATTTTGGAACACCAGCCTTAGCATAGCTGTTCCACTGGTGCGGCGGATGGGGAAATGACGATGCAGACGGGTAACTGGCCTTATTCGGAGGGGCCGTAGGGGGTCTTGGGGGAGGTTTATTAGAAAATGGAGATCCGGTATTGTGGGATCTTGAGGTGGGAGTTGCGCGCGAAGAACCGTAATGCTTGCCGTAACCAGCTCGAAGCCTATCGGCATCGTATTTTAATCGTAGTTGGGAATCATTAAGAACTTCATATGCAGTCTGAAGCCCTTGAAATTTGGAATTGAATTCGACCTCTCTTCCTGGATTTCGATCGGGATGATATTTGAAAGCTACCGTCATGCGAGGTCAAAAATGAGTTTCTGCTGGAACGCAAACAGCAATTTAGGCTCGTGCCCTCTTACCTAGCTTTCGGTATTGTTTTCTAATTTCCTCTGGCTCCGCACGGCTGTCAATCCCCAGCTCCGCATAATAATCCCTCTTTATATCCACTTTCACCATTCTCGAAAGGAGCACGCTCCCTGACCAGAAGTGCCAGGGAATCGGTGCCGGAAGCGGCTAATGGGTTTAGATTTGGGAAAAGTCTCCTCGGTCAACAGAATTGCATATTTTTGCGCGGGAAATGCGAATTTTCGCGATCGTCGATTTGTGTTTATTTTCGAAACGAAGTCGATGTGCCGAGTTTTCACGAAATTCGACTCGAAATTAGTCAGGAGAACGAATGGCCACAAAGAAAACAGCCTGCATATTCAAATTCACAATTACTACATCAATTCCGGTGAAATTTCAATCGATGAACAATGTCACCAAGATCAGTCAGGGCTGGGAAGGAAAATGAAAAAAGCAAAAACTGGCCAGCTCAATCATGCACACATTTGCAGCAAACTCATGCCCAACAGCAAAAGGTGAGGCAAACTGGGGGAAGCAAAGTCTGATGTTCAGATGCTGCATGCAAGAGACTCACCCTATTAACCGTGAAGTATGGGCAGCGCACAATAGAGAGGCGTGGTTGGTCTATTGGGCAGTTGTTAGGTAGCAGTACACCAGAAACACCTCATTAATGCAGGTTAAACCCTATCAGATCGCAATCGATTAGATGAGAACAAGGGTAAGCCAGAGATTTTGCCAGGAGAGGATGAAGAAGCATACAAATGAGTGACTGTGCAAGAACCAGACCTTCCAACCTGCTTTTCCTCAAGACTTCAACGCCACGGGCAGTGAGCTGAGATGATGAGTGACTAGTGTCAAGTCGAACGCGTTTACCAAATCACAATCAGTACAGGGTATATGTAGAAAGTTCGTACAACAAAGCAGATGGTAGTTAGAAAAGAGTGCAATACAAGGCCATCTTTAAAACCATGCAAAGCAAAGTACACATTGAAAGGCATGAAACATGAACAAACCCATTCCAGCATAGGCTGCAGGGCAAATATCGAAACAATACCCTTGTCAGGCGTCCTGATTCTGACAGCGGTCACCGCCCTCACCGTTCCGCTGTTCGCGCACCCCAACCCTTTTGGGTTTAGCGCACACGTGACCGCACGTGATGATTCTCGGTCCGACTCTTTTCCGCTGCCAAGCTCCATCTCACCGTTAGAGATGAGATGTCGCTAGCCTCTTTTGTAGCACACAACGAAGATTAGCTTTCCATGCTCCAACATCCGCCCGCCTGATTATGTCACCAATCACTTAGCCGCCCGCTTCTTGGCTGGTTGGCTAACCATATACGGTAATGATGACCGCACTTGAAAGGCTTTCTTTCACTTCTCCCGCATCGATGCACTTTTCACCAACGCCGGGATCTGTCGCCTGTAGAATGGCCTCTCTTGATGTACAAGATGCACCCTTCACACATCATGTTTTTATTTCCTCGATCTTGCAGCTTTGAGCTTCTTGTGAACTACGCTCCAATCACACAGATCCTTCCCCGGCTCCAGGCCGCCTTCCTGATATCCAACTCCACCACTTAGGCCATGTTGACCGTATGCCCTTCAGTGTATCCTATGCAATACTCACTATCGTTTTCCACTCTGCCCTCGCAGGGGATCTCCCTTGTACTGGGTTACGGGTGACGAAAAACCGTGAATCTAACCTTGCTTCTTTCCCGCGCATATGCTTATTTTCTGTTTCCACTTTCATGTGAAGCATCCGGGTGGCCAATCGGTGTTATAGTAAGAGATACTAGAAAGGACGTAGAGAACGTCAAGTTGTCAGAGCCTTTCTACTGCGTTCTTAGTCAAAATCAAGCGACATTGCCGTTGGGATAGCGGAGCTGGCTGGGCAAGCCAACCGTGTTTCTCCAATTTGATTCTCCGCATAACCACGCTGCCTGAAACAAAGTTTTGAGCTTCTTTATATTCTTATAGCCAGTTGGCTGGGCTTGCCTTATGCAAATACTTACTATGATTTGGGTCCGGCATCGCCAGCTTTTGTGCGGCAGGGGGATGATCGAGCACCTCTTGAGCTAATTGAAAAGTCTGACGTGTTAGAAATTTATGCCAAATCACCGCTGGCTGAGAGGTGATGCTCATGTGCAATCAGTTATATAAATATATATTCGGGGTAGTCAGTCCTTGCTGGGTGGTATCGAAAGCGCTTTTGACCCTGAACTTTCGATCCGCCGGGCCGCCCTACTCCCAGCTACTCTACGTTGTCCTAATTCGAACGACGAACTCGCATCCAAATGGAAACCCGCGCTGGAAGGAGGGGTGGACCGAGAGCTATCCCACCTTTGCGGCAATCCTGAGAGTGTGTATCAGAGAGGCCATACCTAATGACAACTGGGTTAGCAAGGTACATATCAGGCCACAATTGTTGAATCGGAATCAAGTTGCGAGCTACAGGCCTAAAACGAATGGAGAAAGGAAAAGGTGGCTACTGAAGCTGAAGTAGAATTTGGTATGTGATATGCTTTGATAATTGTTGTATATGCCTTAGTGAGTCAGACAACTAAGTTTGATGGGAAGGGGTAAGGGATCTGGTAGGAGACAAGGCCGGGGGGAGATGCAGACGAATGAGGGTGAGAGAGAAGAAGAAAAATGAAGCCATGGGCACCACAAGAGGAGGGAAGCGAGGAAAATGAACATCATGAAGTCGATGCAAACAAAGCAACTAAATTTAAACTTATAACGGGCAGTCAGGTCCGTTTCTTTCGCAGGGAAGGTCTGGTGGTGCAGTCGGGTCAATCCAGCATCCGGAGGCTGGTGGCGCTCACCACGAGGCCTTCCCGGGTTCGAACCCTCGAGCGAGCGAACGAATTTCGACGGCGTAAAATCCCACCGGGGGTTTTCATAGCATTGAACTGCCCTGACACGCGGGGATTTCAATGTGAACTTTTTGCAATTTTTTCCTCGTTACATATAGCATTTTCTTCTGTCTTCTGACGCCTCCTTCCACCCGAGTTTCGTGTTTCTAAGCAGCCGCCATGATAAATATTAGCTGATGAGAATTTCCCTGGTGTTTAACGCGCAGCCGCATCTCTACCCCAACCAAACAAACTCAACATCGACCGGAAAATAATATATTTTCTCTAAAAGGGCTCATTGAAAATTCAAGAGTGAGGAACAATTATGACGATGCCGAACGCCTCTTTCCATATTTTTCCGTATGCCAATTATATATGTTGTCGAGTTCGTCTAGAAGGAACAAGGCACAGATCGCCAGAAGACCAAAAGATCTTGAAGCTAGTCTGATGCCTCAGTTACTCTGCTAAGAGATGACTGACTATATTTCATATATCGACTTTCTTTTCCATTAGTGACATCCGGACCTGGTCGTCAAGACTCCAGGGCTGATTCAAATAGGAAACCCAGGAGACCGCAATCCACCAAAGCACCGAAATCAGTCAATGCAATATGTCGGTGCATGTACTTCTTAAACCCGTTGACTCTGGTTACAACAAGCACCTGATAGCTGAAAGGCAGAACGAGTCGAAGAAACCAACGACCGCTCTAATATCCAATTTTTAAGAGCCTTGAGGCGTTAATCAATTCCGTAGATCCATTGGTATATATGTACCCATTTATTGATATTTACCACTTAGCCCAATTATTGTTCAGAATACGTATTAGGCCCCAAAAAGCCCTCGGCGATGCTCAGGAAATTTAGAAAACCCAAGTGTCCATGCAGGCGTCATTCCCCATTCAATGCAACGCCTAACTTCCCCCAGTGCCATTGCCGAAAAAGAAGTCTCCAAAAAAGGGGTATCCAGAGCCATTACTCCAATCGTGTTGCAACCCAAGCGTCATTCCGAAGCCAAGATCAACAGCCGTATCAGGCGGGTCATCACTATTTGGAAATGGTGATGGTAATGAGAACGTGTCAGTCTCTTGCCCCGTTGAGGCACTATAAAGTTGCTCATGGTCCGCGCGCGGAGCACAATTGAGAAAATCAAGTTCAGGATGATAAAGTAGGCTCTGCTCAGGACATGACGGGAGACTCGTAAGAGGAGCGGCGGTAGGGGCTTGCTGAGGAGATTGCGTTGGGAAAGGGTTGCCGAAACCGGGCTGTTGCTGAAGAGAATGGGGAGAAGAAGCAGTGTTGTAAATAGATTGCTGCGCGTTGATGAATGAATTTCCAGCTGCAATGGGAGAACTCGATTGGCCCATAGGGTAATTGCCCGGAAAATCCGATGGACCCATGTGATTTAACGCGGGTGTACGGTTAAGGGGAGCTTGTCGGCTCTGGTTACTATCCGGCTGATATCCGGGGCGCATTCTTCCATCCAAGACTATTTCTGAGGATGAGGACGCAGGATGAATATTTAAAGATGAGAGAGGATTTGAGTTTTGGCCATCAGGAGCCTGAAGCAATGGTCTATCATCCTGACGGGGTTTCCCTGGCAAGGCTGGCCGAGTCCCGTTCCTGCCAGATGACGAGCCAAATCCAGTTGTGGATAAACACACCTGAACAGTCGCCTTGCTCATCATTTCAAAGGCATCTCGACATGCTTCAGCAGGGGGGCATTTTCCCATCAAGTCTTCCAGGACAGAAGTCGCTCCTAGGACGGTAAAATCGACGTCATCAAGGGCCTTACGCCAGTCAATAAATTTTTCCAAATATTGGGCTGGAGACTTATACTCACAAGATGGCTTCGAACAACAGGTGAATGCCATATTGCACATAGGAATGATATACCTATCTTGTTAGTAGTGCTGAGGTGATCCAGGAAGCAGAGGAAATATTTACCGGCCATGAAAAGATGGTGGGTTGCAAGGTAGGTATAGTTAACTAGCCTGACACGATGCAGCTGACGGTATAACCTAAGCGTCATCTTTCCTGCTTCAGCAACTTTAAGGTATATGTCATCTGGGTCCTCCTCATCTTCCATATTCGTAAGTGTTGGGCTCATAGCATGCCCTGTCTGACCCAGATCCGCCGCCAACCGTGCAGGAACCACTAGACTCTGCCTATAGAGCATGGTAAGAGCCTGCCAGTAGTTTAGCTCCAAGAATTCGATGGAAAATTGAACCCCGATATTTCGTTGAGTAGGCGAAGACTGAATCCAGGCATCGAGTCTGCTGTGGACATCCCGTCGCCACGAGCGAAAAGAATCAAACTTCTGGAGAAAAGGTGACGGAACGTCCATCCGCATAGAGTCACTGCTGCGATCTATGCCTGACTTCCGTGCAATTCTTGCCTGCTGATACTGGAGCACTTGTTGGATTTCCGACTGCAGCAGACGCAGTTTAAAATAATGATATGACACGTGTTTATAACTGGGAGTTTCCCCAGAAGGCGGCGTGAGAAAGCCTGCTCTAGTAATATATTTGTCGTCAAGGAGGGAAGGAAATTCCGTCGTGATAACCTCATCCGATATTCCAAACGGTCTTCCAACACATGTACTGACGAGACGATCAAAGGAGTATACACTCCACCACAAACGGCGGCGTAGGTCTCGTACCCATTCCCGCCTTCCACGCTCTCGTGCATGGATTCCGGGCTTCTCTTTGGAGCCTTCGCCATTCCCGCCTTTTGCGGTTTCTCTCCCTGTCACCTTGCGGCCCGTTATGCTTTCATCAACGAAATCAAGCCCGGTGCCATCTTCATGGTGTAGTCCCAGGTCAATTGCCAGTCGCATTGCCACTCCTACTATATACCATAGCCCCGGTGCAACGGGTCTAAGGAGCGCAAAGCTAGCTAATAATAATACGGCCTGGAGCTCCTCGAGACCGCCAACGAATCCATCGGCAGTAGAGGACGAACTGAAAGACGCTTCGAGATGCACAATCGCAGATGCATGGTATTCTTCTGGCTGAGATTGATTACTAGATGGTACACTCGGTTTCCCAGGATGGAGCGAATAAGATGGGTCATATTCTCTCCGGTCCCCATGCTCAGAAGACGTTATATCTCTTTTGACTTCAAAGATAATTCCGGCTCCAATTGCGCAGACAATATTTAAGGCATAAAGGTCGCCCGGCGAGCGATTTTTCTCGTCCGTTGCATATACACGTTCGAACAATTCCATGAACTCGCCTCTGTGGAGGATTGGAGCTTGTGGGTTCGCATGCTCAAAATAGAGATCCACGAGACGCCGTGCGATTGCACGATCGGGAAACGGCGCACGGTTCATGGATGGTCTAACCTGCAAGCCAAAGAAAGAATCTCTCATTGAGCTTGGTGCATTTCCTTGACCTGTGGACGCCCGCCGTGAGCTTGGGCGCACTGTGCCACGGTCTGATGTGCTGGTCGTAATTGAACTTCTAACCGCTGCAAAGACCACACGAGCAAACGAAATGCCAGATGTGGAACCGAGATATCTGGAATCGGAAGCGCCATGGACCGGTACCAGGCCTATCTTTGAAACTAAACTGTCTAATCCTTTGCTGGAATCCGGCGCCGGCCGCTTTCGATCTATCCCACGACTAGTGGCATCTTCTTGTGCCACGTTAGCATCCACAGCATCATCGCGATTTTCATTTTGCCTTCCCTCGTCTTTGATTTGAACATCGGCCCCGTACTTTGCCACCTCAGGACCCTCAGTGTCCGAGGACCCATATCGCTTGGGCTGCTGCGACTCCCCGCCAGCAGTAAAATCGGAGCTCAGAGCGCCGCCTTCTGCAGGGTCGCTTCTCGCTTCCCCCTCATGTGGCTCTGGAGGTGAGAATTCAATTCCATTATCGGACAACACTTTTTCCAGGTATATTACCCGCGACTCAAGAAAATGTACATAGCTCCTTGGGATCTCACGCTTCGTTATCGGATCAAATCCGACACAAGGAACCCCCGCCTTCTCACATTGGTGACAACGCGGGAGACGTTGATCGCATCGATTTTTGCGAGAGCGGCAGCGATGACATGCAGTTACGCTGCGAAACGAAGGGAATATGTCTGAGGCGTTTCGGGGAGCTTTCTTTTGCTCTTTTACAGGTGATGAGTCCACGGGGGAAGTTTGAGTTGGGCGATCAATGTGAGAAAAGGCTTTTTGGCATGGACGGGCGACATCTGTCTCGTCAGAGGGATAAGGTCGCTTTGTGCCACTGTGGATGCGCGTCGGAGACGTGGACAACTGGGTCCTCGCGGTGTTCAGCATATCTTAAGATCGGCATCACCATGCCACTCGCAAATGGCTCGTGAATGTGTAAAAGCGTGGAACAAAACCATTCCTTTGCGGAGTAGTTATCTTGGATCTCGCGGTCTGGTGAGGTCACAATTGTAGATCGTCATAGAACTGAGACCACCATCGGCTACTCGAGATACGAAACTTTACTGCTTTGCTCGTCACGCAGCTATTTCGCCGTGAGTACGGACTCAGGGCCGCTCGCTTCTGTAATATCGACCGATAAATGGGTGAAACCAAGAGGAACATGGGCTTTCCGTCGGCTTCCAGTTGGGTTTCTTATGAGAATGTAGCCGGATTTACCTGTGAGCTGCTCCGGAATATGTTAGGCCTCTGGTCCAGCCAATTGATCACTTGAATTTCGCAGCCTCGCAACGGGCCGGGGTGGCTGTAAAGCTAAAGGCGCAACCGGGCTGCTTGGGTCCTCGATAGGATTGCACCGTTCTCTAGAGATGCGAACGTGGAGGAGGATGGAGCGACTTATTTTTACAAGTCATCAGCGGATGGGCCTGTTGACGATTTCGCAAGGCCCAGGAAGAACAGCGGAACGGAAAAGTGCTGGTAGTGACAAGGATCCGGTCATCGCGTTTCGTTGCCTTCTCGGCACCCGTCCGCCAGATCGACTCTGATTTGCGGCTGCGGATCTTGGGACCGATCACGAAAAAAAAGCTCTACTTCGTAGTTCGATAATCTCTCACAAATCAAATTCAGTTGCTATCATTGAGCAGATGGCCGAATGGTGAGGTGTAATTAGATGACATCTTACGATTTTTATCTATTTTCAAAAATGGTCCAGTGCCTTTTGGCATAAACGCTCCATGTTACACGGCAAGAGAGGAAATGTATGTGTACGTAGATGGGTACGGAGTACTATCTGCGGGAATAGTTAACGGGCAGTAAACATAAAAAGTTGCAAACAAAAAATAGCCCCTCTATCGTCGTTTAATTCTCATCTAGCAATCGAACGACAGTGTGCGGAATAGCAGTCACACCTCCAGCATTTATAGCGCTCACGGGAATAGAATATATACGTTTTCGCCACGCGTTTTGTCGACGAGAAGGGTGGTCAACTACACCTTTCTCAACATCAGAGAGGTAAGTGCGAAGAGCAGAGAAATTTTCCTGGGTTTTCGGTAGGTCAGCTTTCGTGCCGACAACGAACCAGGGCTTTGTATAAACGGGTTGAAACTCAAGCTCCGGGAGATCCCTTCGGTGTATTTGGAGAAAAGATGGGAAATCTGTTTCAAAGTCATCCGAGTATGCATCAATAATTCGTGGTTCGTTCCCGAGATTTCGGTACCTGGTTTCCGTATGCATGTTCAGCTGTTTTTCTCGAAGAAGCTGATATTCATCGAGCTCCCGCCATAAACCCTTGAGTGCTTTTACGGCATCACCAGCGCTCAAGTCTACCACAAACGCAATGATTCCTGCGCGTTCAATGTGTCGGAGGAAGCCGAGACCCAGGCCTTTATCAAGATGAGCGTTTTCAACCAACCCGGGTATATCAGCAATGGTAAACCGAGAACGCTGTTTGCCTCCCGGTTTGGAGTGGGTGAGCGGACGTCCCGTAAGATCATCCAGGACAACGGTTCCAATATTCGGCGACAGAGTAGTAAAAGCCCAATTCCCTATCCTCGCGCGACTATTGGTGATCGATCGAAGCAGAGTGCTCTTCCCAGCATTCGGCAAGCCGACCAGGCCAACATCAGCAAGTAGCTTTAGCTCCAGCTCCAGTTCAACCGCCATCCCACCTTCACCCTTTGTGGCGAATGCCGGTCGCGGGTTTTCCTTTGAAACAAAATGAGGATTCCCACGACCACCGACTGCGCCGGCTACCAGCAACATTGGTTTATCCATGTGTTGGGAAAGATCAAGATTTATGGGCGCTGGCGGCTCCATTGCCGCAATGCTCGGCCGCCGTGGAGGGGGTAAGATTGGAAATTCCATCGTCAAGTAATCAGATGCCTTTGCACCTGGATAAAGGATCCACTGTTCCCGTTTCGAAGATGCAACACGCAATGCGTCTTCCTCTCGCATTCGTCCCTTGAGCAGGCGTAATTCGAACTCTTTTTCTGCCACTGGGTCGTGGCGTCCAATTTCGCGGACGACGGTCCCAACAGGAACCTGTAGAAGCACGTCATTTCCACGCTGCCCTCCTTGAAGCTTCCCTTTCCCATTTCGTCCACGGCCAGCCCTTATTACTCCCCTTCTTGCAAGCTTGTGAAGACTAGTATGTCCGTCAATGGCTTGAATGTATATACTTCCTCCAGTTCCTCCATCTCCACCGTTGGCGGGCCCTTCCGAGATATATTTCTCCCGGAGAAACGAGACGCATCCATTCCCGCCAGAGCCAGTGTGAAGCCTGAGGGTGCATCGATCCTGAAAGATAAACCGGCCATAATCGGACGGCGAGGGATTAAGACGGTCTGATGCTATCGGATTTTCGTGTATGTGGGAATCCGGCGAAAAAGAAGAACTTCTGATGAACTGCTTTTGTTTCAGCAAAGGACGGAAAGCTTTTCGGGCTTTCAAGACAGCGGCCGCAGTATTTTTCGATGGGCCGTGGAATAAACAAGGGTAAAGGAACGGCATTAACGTTGTGCTTGCCATGGACTTCATTCTCTTTAGCTATGGACGCAGTGTACGCAGCTCTTCTGCGTATCTGCTGCTGTTCCTTTCCCATCTTTCCTCCAGCACCGCGTCAAACCCAAAATTTTTGACCTCACAAGAATACGGCGGAGCGGAATATAAAAACACCGAGCCTAGCAAACCTTCCGTTATGTAACCAGTTGTTGAACCACTCGATAGTTATTGTTATTGAACACCCCAGCCTCGCTGCAGCAGCTTTTTCTAGCGATCAATTGAGTTTTTAGCTTGCGTATGATCCTTCGTCCACTGTGCTATAGAATCTGAAGCCCAGTTTGAGAATGATGGCCTACGAATTTTGTTGGCTCTCAATCCGTGATAAATGGCCGAAGCCGTTTCCTCCAAATACAAATGGCACCATGGTCAGAATCTGGTTCGGATTATCAAATGTCGCTGGGACTTAGTCTTGAATTTGGGAGATTATGTTTTGCCGTTAAGATTCGATTAGTTGAAAACGGCGAAAAGAAAGGAGTTAACTACTGATCCAACAGCCAGGTGCTAATTACCATCTAGAACAAACTACGGCTCGGCACCGCCCCAGCTTTCTCCGCGGACGACGCAACTAGAGCCCTAGCTACAACAGAAAACATCCACGGATGTTCCTCCAATTTCAATGCATTGAGGAAAAAGAGCTGTTCTTGATTTACCATTCAAATTCCAAATTCCTCGATGTTCAAGGTTGCAATCGCAAGGTAAGCAACTGACAAACATGGTTAGCCGGATAACACTGCAGCATCTCAAAGGTGCCGGGATGTGCTATGTTGATGGCCAGAAGAATATGGAGTCAATGACTCCATATGCTGTTTAACCTCGATTGTAAATAAATTTCTTTTCCTTATTCAAATGGTGCCCGCTCAGAGCCGCTTCGGACGTTACTCGTTGCCTATGATCAGGCATCAACAGTCTAGGCACTAAGCGCGAACATCCCTCTTCGGTTGCTCATCAAAACGCGGAGCCGAAGGGGGAAATGCCTATGTATCATCTGACCTCTTACATATCTTGCGCGGGGAAAGGGATTTGGAAGCGCGGCTATTGGAAGTCCAGTCTGCAGGATGATGTCAAACCACCTGGCAGAACTGTCGAAGCTGAACCATTCGACTGACGCGCAGGGTAACTTTGAACGTCAGGCTCAGGTTCAAACCAGATCGAATGCAGTAAGCCTTCAAGGATTGACCTCTGGCGTGGCTGGACGGAATAGGGCGTCGTTTCGGCGCTGCAGCCTTTCCGATACAAAAATAGTTTCGGGAAACTAGCTGTCGAAAGAGATCGAACATCAAGAGAATCGGAGGCCCGTAACCTAGCCGCGGAGGACGAGTGGGTTCCACAGATCCGCGGAAGATTTATCTCACTCGTCTGTATCGCGTTGCCAATTGGCAGCACTTTCAGCCGCTGCGTTGTGTAACGTCAGGAGCATCGTAATTTTGGCCGGACCCGGATAAGAATGTCAATGCTCACTGTCAAACACCTCAGCCTGATTCGCCGATTCATCAGAGGCTGTCGTGCATAGCAGGGCCCGTGCTCTGGAAATAAGTTGCTCTGTCCCTCGGCCTGGCGAGTCCTGAGATAGAGGTACCGTTGGCCGGAAATCGCTCATTAGGCACGAACGCGCCAAAATGTTCTCAAGGTCATAGTCACTCAGGTGGCCGCAAGCATGCAAGCTCGGAGGTTTTGGAAGGACAAACGGACCAATGGGACAGAGTCGGTGGTGTTTGACAAGGACAGGGAATCGATCTTACCGCAGAGTATGCAAGTCTCGGCCACTTTACATGCAGGACATGTCGAGATGTGAGTGACGGAGGTCGAACACTTTGCAGGGCGCTGACGAGTTGTACTGTACTTCCGGGCCAGCGAGTGGGGGATATGCATGGTGTTCGTAAAACTTGCGGCACAGCAACTATGCATGCAAAAACGGCTATGCATGCAAGATGTGCAGCATTGTTCCCCCCCCAGGCTGTCGAGGCTGGGCCGTTTGGACGAGCCAGCGCTGCCAGAGAGGTGAAAGCCGTTTGAGTCCCTTCGCATATGGACTGCCAGGAATCAAGGAATTGGAGACGGAGGAATGGGCAACCAAGCATGATCCGGACGGAGGATCGCGGACCTACCGTTTCCCGCTTCGCTCATTGGGCTACATCAAATTCAGTGCTTTTTGTCTCGTCGATCAGCTTGCTCGGTCTCGAACCTCGAATCTGGGTTCGGGCGACCCCGGGACAAGGATCGAGAATTCCGCCGCATCTCAAGAACAAATAGGATACACGATGGATGGCAGCAAGTAAGTAAGGCATTGACCCAACCCAGAAGCATTGAAGGAATAGGGTCTCTCGCTTTTTGATCTCTCCGCAGCATCCCGCTAGTAGAGGTGAGTGTCCGAAAAGGGAACACACGTATCCCAGAGTTACATGTAATGATGAGCTGGTAACGCCAGCGAAAGGCCGTAACTATATTAACCGCTTTAGGCCTAAAGCAGAGTTAAAAACCACATGACGGACTCGCTGCTACTGGCTGGTTGTCGCGTGGGGCAGGCTGGCCCAGTGGCCCGTGGATCCTCGCTCCGAGAACCCGACCCAGAGTTGCTAGTTAGCGCTAAAATAACTCTAAAGTCAACCTGACATCAACCACGGAGGACGTGGGCCGGCCCCCAGGCCCCCTGCCGGCGGGAGGACGTCGGTAAACTAGCTGGAGATATGTTTGTCCGACAATTCCAATCCGTCCCGACAGGAAACAGGCATCTTCTGTGTTAAGACTGCGGCAAAAAATTAATTGGGCAGAAATGACATCATGTCTTCTCCCCCGCGGTTCGTCCAAAATGGGCGGCCACTTGGTGCTGATTCCCGCCTATGCTCGGTCATCCGTGTCTTCCATACATTCTATGTGGATAGGAGCACGGCCTCGCGGTCACTTTCGGCAGCACGCGCGATGAGTTGTTAGTTTGTCTACGGAGCACGGAGTCCGCAATAGTTCTCTGCAAGAGCAATGTTTCCGCGAGACGGTGCTCTGGCCAATCAGTTGTCCCCCAGCCAAGCGTCAGGCTAGTTTCAAATATTGAAAACGACCGTACGCATTGTCCTCCCCACGCAAGTCCGGCAAAAAATAATTACTGAAACATTCAACGGCTTTTGGTTGCGTCTGTCGACTGGACGGAGGCTCCCTCGAAGCTCCTGGTGAAAGGCTAATTGCCATACCTGAAAATACGTTGTCCACGGCATAGTTATTGAACCTGCGGGCAGCCAATCGATTACCAGCCTTGCCTTGATTCTTTTTTCCAAATCTCTGGCTGGGATTAAGTATGTGCAGTCACTAGTACATGCTTACAGTACATACAATGGGCATCTGAGTGGGAAAGCATTGGATTATATGTCCCGTCTCTCTGACCTTGGATCTATACATATGTACCGAATTCTGTCCGCTCGTCGATGTCCCAACAAATGGTCAGCCGATCCATGCGGTAGCGCAGGATCCTGATCGGCTGGCGAGTGTTTGGATTTGTGGAACAGTCGCGCCACGAAAAGTCTGCCTCCCATGTGTCGACAATGATTGTTAGGCTTTCAAAAAAAAAAAAAAAGAGCCGAGATCTGCCCACCAGGCTCGTGACCAGCCAGAAAAAGGCACCTGCAGGAATTGCTGGCGCCTTGTCTCCATTTTTCGAGCACACTCATGCGCATCAATTCCCAGATTGGTAATGACCCAATCGTTTCCGCTGACGGCCCTGTACGTCATTTAATGCAGCAGCGGGTTGCAAGTGGCATTGAACGCGACCAGCTGTCCAATGAGTCCGATTTCTGCCGAGCCCAGGTCGCTTACAGGCGCGTGTTTGAAAATTGTACCAGTTTCCTGGGTTTTTGAATGAGCATGACAGCGGCATCATCAAGGATTTCCGGCATCTATCAGGATAATCTTGTCCAAGGACAAGGAGATCGGCGAGTTACTCCATTTGGGCATTAAAAACACAGTCTGCTAGAACCAGAGCTGAGGCTAAATTATTACCTGTAGCAAACCTTGCATTAGTTCTTCACTGTGTAATGGCTGAACATGATGAGCCACAGTAGCAGATATTCAGATCTCATTGTAAATTGGCCTTGTGTTGCCGGGTAAACATTCCTGACCATGCACAAGAAGGTCCTGCACCCCTGATATCAGTCATGAATACAAACTTTGGTGATGCTTTGGTGATACGCGCTTCGCGCAATAAACAAGGCTTTAAGCTGACACAAACAGGGAGGGAAAAAAAAGGGATGATTGGGTTCTCAGGCAGCATCCACCCTAGTCAGCAACAGCATGTGGGTTATCCAAAAAGTCAGGAGAATTTGTTCTCAGAACATTCCTTCTTAGTGGATAATTTTTGGTCCTCAAGAGCAGGAAAAAAAAAAGAAATTTTTCTTTCGTCTGTGATTCATCAGATTCTGTTTATGCTCGGGTCTTGTGTTAAAACACCTTTCGGCAGCAGAGTCACACCCGATGCCAGAGAGTTATTGCAAACTCCACTGCCTCCCTGTGCGGAATGTCGGCTTCTCTTCCCGACCGTATAGCGACAGTACAGAGACTCTGCTTGATAAACCATCTGTGTGTCTTCACGTTTTCACTGATTTCCAACTGTAATGTTCACTGTTTAGCTCTTGGTCCAGATCGACGATTATCATATCATTACACACTGTTATTTAGGATGATACCCCGTACAGAGCAGTTACTAGCTCATCATTCCTTTTTGAATTCTTTGCATTTTCCGTGAATGAGAAGCATCTCTCACCGACTTTCCTGGCTGGAACTTTATCCCTCCCGTCCAACCACGTTGCTTCTCAAGAAATTGAAGACTCCTCTGAGAACAACACCTTCAAAAAGCTTGATTTGTGAAATATCCATGAAGGAATTTCCGCGGCTCATTAGCAAAAGAGGGAGGCAACAGAGGGTGCGCTGGGATTGGTCGTATCGTAAATTAAGTTGGAACCCCAGAATTCTTGGAGGAAGTTCTTCACGAGTCAATCTCATATTATGTGCAGACTTTTCTCGTATTCAGGCAAAGGCAAATGCGGAACTCTGAAACACTTAACTGTGTATTTTGTACTATCTCAGAGCCGTCCTCATGCGGAAGGTGAACGACGGAGCAGACGTTGGAAGATGATGCTACTTCGACTGCTCTGTACCCAGAGCCTATGACATCACCCTCTCCGCTGTTTCCCCCCAGGGCCAATCAGCACCCACGGAGCCCACCGGCGAATCTTAGACCCAGCCACCCCCTGATGCATGAGCGTGACTTCGTATTGGATACTCCGCAGGTACCTTTCCTTTGGGTTCACAACCGAGCACCAGGTTTGCCAGGTGTTTTTGTGTTTCCCCAAAAAGAAAAAAAAAAAAAAGGGTCCTCAAGGACACCTGGCTGTGGCATTGAAGTGCAGAATTTGAAGTCACGACATTGAGCCTGATGAGCCAGGCTGCGGAATCAAGGCGTCCGTCTTCGTGCCTCGAGACTTAGCTTGGTTTTGGCCTCAACAGAGTTTTTGACGCCCCGGCGGGATTAAGGGGCTTTATCTTCGAGTTAACTTTTCCTCCCTCAACGTAGTACCCCTTTCTGGAGATACATCCCATCACTCACGCGTCGTTGACAAACGGATATCCGAGCTCATCCCTTGCCGGATTGGTTGGCGGTATTAAAATACACTTTCCTGGTGGGATTACAGAACGAACCAGTCCAGTGAGGATAAATTACTAGTGGGCTTGTCAACACGCTTGATCCAAGCGACCAAGATCCACGCTGCTGGCGAACTCTGCCCAAGCTGTCGGTACTGTACCTTGGATTAACCTCGAGGCTCGACTCAACATCAGGTTGAGACACTTGCGCTTTTGTCTTTTTTTTCCATTCCTTCTTCCATTTAAGTCTGTAGAGTCCTGATCTCCGAGAACATCTACTTGCGTTAACCTCACCCGCAGCACATCCTCTTCAGCTTGACAAGGTGACGGCTCTCAAGTCGTGACGCAAGGCTTCTCAGCCCCCTGCGACACGTTCCCCTCTCGGATCCAAAGTACCCCTCTTCCAGGGTCTCTCGCTCTTTTGAAGAAGTCCTTGCAAGATTGCGTCAAATTTGGATATGAAGCGCCTTGCATCCATCTGTAAGCCTTGCATGTCTCATCGGAACTTACCGTGCGTACAGTAGTACTATTCATCCATCGTACCTCTCTTGAGTGGACGACGTACTTCGTGTGTCCTCCCATATCTGCATGTAATTCATGCATCCGTTCTAAAGTTCTCTTCCGATAAAGTATGTACAGAGACGTTACCCCGTACACGGAGCTGCAATATGTATTCAGCTGAGTACTCCGTACTTACGTCGTGCTTGGTGGCAGAGCGTCCTTGGCAGCAGCCAAAAAGAGAGAACCCATTCGTGCATAGGCTTTTTCCGCACAATGGGACGGAGTCCAGTCCTCTGTCCCGTCATAGCCTCCTCTCTCCCTCGTTCCGCGTTTCTCGCTCCAATTCCCACGTCCTATTGATTGACCGATAATAATGCTGTCTGACATTGTTCGCATAATGCCTGCGTCGCTATGTTTGCTTTTTCCATTAGCCTGCCTCCAAAGGCGATCGACTGCCCTAATATTCTTTTCGTTCTCTGATCCTTGTTAGCATCGTTGAATAGTTTGTTTGTGCCAGGATGTGCTCGGCCAGCGTCCCATATCATCCGATGAAAGGATGACAAAAACACAGACCCACCCGATATTGGTCTGTAACTCTCCCACACTTACGCGGTGAAAACGCTCTTTTTTGATGTCTTACGCCTCTCATCTCAGAAAAGGCAAGCAAAGTTCAAGAATCCAAGTCGCAGCCGTCAATCAACCACTAGGAACTCTAGCGACACCTAAACCGCTCCTGCAGCGATTGGTCCTGTTTTCCTTTTGGCTTCCTGAAATCGTTCCAGGATCTAATACCGTCGCAATTAAGTTGGGATTACCCACTCCAATAACCCTTCACTAATTCAGGCGTCTCTTTCAGTCTGGATCGACCGTTCCCCTTAGGAACGCCACATAGCGGTTGTCCTTCTGGTTTCGAAAAGAAGAAACCGTTCCCTCTTCCCCGGCTCCACCATCTCTGCGGTCATGGGTCCAGGTTTGGTGGAGACGGCGCACAATTATTACTGTATTTCTTGAAGCAGCAGCTGTTCCTTTTTTGCTTCCGGACAGCAAACCCGAGAATTCGAGCAGTCGTTTTCTATTCTTGTCCGCTCAACAATCGAGTGGCCACGCCAGGTTTCTGATGCCTTAGCGCATCAGGCTGATTTACAGATACATGCGTGTAATCACCAGGCTAATGACGTGATAAGCCCATCGTGGATAGGAAGCCGCTGGCTGCGGTCTGCTGCGTCGATTCCCACTGCCGACTGATTGCTTCCAATCGTGGCCCGTTCTTTTCGATTCCGCTGCTCCCTTATTCCCCACACACCCTATAATATGCCCGCCCCATCTCCGAGCTGCGCTGAGTTTGGAGCTCAATCCTTGCTATTGGTGGACCGTTTCATCAGACTGTGGCCCTGTCCCAGCTCTCTGGGAAGCTTTAAAAGGTTGCCATGTGCTTCTCTAAATCCTAGCTCATCGCTGTCGTGACTTGGGATCTTCGCGTCCCAACTTTGACTTATACATTCTGTGATCCAATTCTTTATCCCCTTAATGCACGGAGTCGGTACTCCAACCTTCGAGCTCTTCCCAGTCAAGAAAGCTCTAAACGTGGTGCTAATATCGCCCTTTCCAAACGCAAGAGAAACAGCTTCCTTGCTTGCTTGTTGATGGGCCTGGTTTGCCCTTAGCAAGCTTCCGAGACACGCATATTTTTCTCTTTATCCTCTCCGCGCTAGATGCTACCTTCCATGGGCAGATGACAATATATTCAGTTGCTACTGGCCTTTTTTTTTTTCTTTCTTTTTCCTTTTTCTTTTCATGAGTTATCCTTCCATCCGCCGCACTTCTTAACCACCAAGTGCTGCCAGCATCACACTCCATAGCATTGGTCTCGCCGCACCTGACGAAGCTTGGTCAAAGGATATGGCTTTAAGAAGCATGCCTCGACCACTTCCCTTCAAGCATCAAGGCCGGCAGCATGGAAAGTCAACTTTTCCCTCCCAGCAACTCTTCATTCTGGGTAAGCGACAACCCCTTGGGCATGTTTTCAACGCAAACCGCGTTTTGATTACAGGGTTATTCTTTACTCCAGTTTTGGACTGACCTAGTGCAGGGCTATGTCGAATTTGTGAGCCCATCGCGTTCATGTCAATTTTTCCTTATGTTTATCACATGGTTTCTTCGTTCCATGTCACCGAGGACCATCGTAAAATTGCTCTGTACGCAGGTGCAGTGACGTCGGCATTTACATTTGCGGAGTTTTGCGCCGGTGTTTTCTGGGGCCGGATGAGTGACACCCTGGGCAGGAAACCAGTGCTGCTGATGGGGCTTGTAGGTACTGCGATAAGCATGCTACTATTTGGACTTGCCTCTTCCTTGCCGGTTGCCCTTCTTGCTCGAGCTCTTGGAGGACTCCTAAACGGCAACATCGGCGTTTTACAAACCACCGTCGCTGAACTCGTTACGGAGAAGGAGCATCAGGCTCGAGCGTATTCCATCATGCCATTTGTCTGGTGTCTTGGCTCGATCATTGGACCGGCCTTGGGAGGAGCATTGGCACAGCCATGCCAGAACTATCCTGCTCTCTTCTCGGGTAACTCCATTTTTGCGCAATATCCGTTCTTGCTACCAAATTTAGTGTGCGTTGTCATATTGGTGGTTGGAATCACCATAGGTATTCTTTTCCTTGAAGAGACTCACGGAGAGAAAAAGCACCAACGCGACAGAGGTCTCGAAGCAGGCGAGTGGTTGATGAGAAAAATTAGAGATGGGAAGGATATAGCAGCGGACGAAACGGACGGGAGGTCTAGGGACTCTACACATTTCTTACTTGATGGGTCATCTTTCGGATACAAAGGTACCGAAAGTCGTCCCGGCACCAGTTCCTCGAAAGCGACGAAATCGGATAACTGCTTTGGAAAGCAGAATAAATCGATTCTCAAAATATTTACCCCTCGAGTCATTTATATCATTCTGGGATATGGCATTCTTGCTTAGTATGTTTTCAACATCCAGAATGTTATCTCCAAAAATAATAGCGCTAACAGTTACGTAGCCACAGCGTTTCTTTTGATCAGTTGATGCCCATATTTCTAAGCTCGCCAATTTCTAATGCGACCGTGGATCTGCCCTTCAAGTTCCAAGGTGGACTGGGGCTCTCGACAAAGGTGATAGGGTTTATGATGGCTGTTCAAGGCGTGTACGCGATGATCGCCCAGCTGTGGTTCTTCCCGTTCATTGTCCGCGTACTCGGAACACTCAAGACATATCGACTTGTCATGTGTATTTGGCCACCGCTTTATCTCCTCGTTCCATACTTGGTCCTTTTGCCTTCTGCGATGCAAATCCCCGCTGTCTATATGGCTTTGATCAGCAAGATCACGCTGCATGTAATTGCATTTCCTTCGAATTCGATGCTTCTTGCGGATGCAGCTGCCTCCAAGAGTGTCCTGGGCTCGATTAATGGAGTGGGAGCATCAGTAGCAAGTCTAAGCAGATGCCTTGGGCCAACTTTCACCGGATTCTTACACTCTCGAGGGCTGGAATCGGGCTATTCGATACTGTCCTGGTGGGTTTGTGGAGCGATATGTTTGATTGGTGCGATTGAAAGCTTTTGGATCGAGGACGACGAGCCAGACCAACCTCAATTATCCGAAAAGGTTCCGATCGAAGATTACGAGGCTGGCGTACATGTTATTGAACCAGTCGAATCACAGGAAGAACTACTCTTTATACCCCCATCCTCGAGCGGACCATACGACTTCTTCAATGAATCGTCTGACACTGATGATATCCTAGCCCTTGACCCTAATGACCAGTGATCGTTTTTTATGCCCTTGCCATTTTCTTTCCTTTTCCTTTGAGGCTTCGTTTATTCACTTTCCAAAACATTTCACATTACTTTTGTAATAAAATATTGCTAATCATGCTCAGATTTTTTTTTGTTGTCACTGTAAGTCTTTGACTTTTGCTTTGATACCCTCATTTACAATGCCTCAGTTTTGTTATGTTTTTTTCAGTGAAAAGAATCCTTTCTTTTCCTTCTACAACATTTAATCATGGGTATTGATATGCGATAGACTGATGCGAATCAGCTCAAGGTTTCCGATCAATCATTCTTTCCTTTTTTTTTTTTTTTTTTTTTTTTTTTTTGGTCTCCCTGATGTGTTACGGGCTTGCGGTTCAAGACAAGGTGTTGCATTGTGTTTTCGTGTCATTGTCTGGGGTTTGGGAATAAAGGTGGTATCTTCATTTTATGGTATCATGGTAGTTTCTCGGATGGTTATGCCGGTCGTTATTGATTTAGGATAGAAAAGCCTGATGGTATCAATCAACAGCAAGCAGAAGGTCATTTCCGTCCTCCATATTTGTCTTTCGTCGGGATCTGCTGATTAGTTAATAAAAACCACGTGATCTTGTTGGCGGCGCTTTATCGGCCCGGTGGCAGCGGATATCATGGATAAAGCTTCATGAAGACGGAGCACTCCAGACAATCTCACCCTGGTCCTTCGGTTATCCTCTGATTCAATGCACCAGTTACATTCTGTTGTTAGTAAGGTTCTCTCTGCCGTCCAATGTATATCTGATGATGACCCTATTACCGAATGCTACAATGACAATTGCAAACTTAGCGCCCTGCTGAAGGATCACCCCGACGAAGCACTATCACTTGCCGATAAGAACCTCCGTGTTTTCCCGTTCAAGGATGTGAAAGATTGCTGGAGAAGACTTTTCACAGATGCAAGTGTTGTGAAGGCCTGCTATATGATACAGGCTCAGTTGGGGAACCACAATGTTGAAAAAGCCTGCCTCAGCACTGAGAACGACGAGTGCCGGCTTGACAAGAAAAGCACAGAAGAGCTCCGTGCGAAGAAAGAAGTTGGTGATAAGATACATCCTTCGGCTCCTTGGCTATATTCCGTCATCCATATTCTGGACAAGGCACTTATAATGACCGGCGCTCCGGGCCGTGAGTCGTGCATCGAAAATCTGATATCATCCATGCAAGAGGCTACAGGTCCTGAAGAAATGGCCTTTGAATCCTATACGTCGTCTATATTTCGTGCGTCTGACGAACCGCAAGCTAAACGTAGAAAGCTGGGGGCGGAGCCGCCGTTGTTTCCGTCTGATTCTGTTGCAAGTCCGACCCTGACTTGTTCCGTTCCGCGTGTCTCCGCTCTGTCGTTCGAGGAATTCACAGAGCATATGTGGAATCACCGCTCCCCCATTGTTATTACTGATGCGGTGAGCCATTGGCCCGCACTTTCGGATCGGCCCTGGTCGTCCAGTGAATACTGGTCTCAGAGGACTTTTGGCGGCCGAAGATTGGTTCCTGTTGAGATTGGTCGGTCCTACACGGATGAGGGTTGGGGACAGCGTATTATTCCGTTTGGAAAATTCGTAAAGGATTACATCCGCAGGGAGGAGGGAAAGGAGACTCTAGACACTTCGGAGAACGGGGAGCTAACCAGTCAAGAATCCACCGAAGATCAGACTGGATATCTGGCACAACATGACCTGCTCGCGCAGATCCCTGCCTTGAGAAAAGATATTTCCGTTCCAGACTACTGCTATGCTGAGCCTCCTGGCCCTGAACGGGGCACACCCGTCTACGAGAAGAAATTGCAGAAAAGGGAGGCTATTGATAAAAAGGCCACGCGGCTCAACCCTCATAGGGAGTCCACCGTTCGACATGAAGATGATAACGAGGAAGACAGTGAACAAACCGATCCGATAATCAATACTTGGATCGGACCAGCATGGACTATATCTCCGCTCCACCACGATCCATATCATAATATTCTGGTACAGGTCGTTGGGGCGAAATACATACGCCTCTACTCCCCTCACACTCCTGCCTCGCAGATTTACCCTCGCGGGATGGAAATTGTCAATGGCTCGTCAAAATCAAAGGAGATGTATGGTGAATCGCAGCAGAGTGATCGAGATCAATGGCCAGCTTCCTCCGGGGATCAAGCGATCGACATGTCCAATACCTCGAAAGTGGATATCGCGGCCATTGAGCTTTCTCCCGCTGAAGCAGAGACTTGGGATTCGCTCTGGCCCGGATTTGCGGAAGCAAAGTACGTTGAGACCGTCCTCCGGGAGGGGGAGTGTTTGTACATTCCCGTCGGCTGGTGGCATTACGTACGTGGCCTACAAGCTGGAATCAGCGTTAGTTTCTGGTGGAATTAACGATCTGTCCGGATTCTTTGTTTGGCACTATCGATTTGATGGGAAGTATTTTAGATACTTCCTCTCTCCATGTCATATGATGGATTCCGGGGACTTTGATTCATGACCACTTCCAGATCGGTGGAAAGCCGAGTCTAACCTTGGACGAGGGGTTAGCGACAGCTACCTAGGCTGTGAGTAGGCTGGAGACAATCCTGAGTAACTAAAAGGTATTCGGAGCGATGATATCAATCATGTTCATAAACGACTGTAGCGACGAATCATGTCCCTCCACACCAGACCCCATGCTGTGGGCATTTGTAGCTCTCTCGGTTATAATCGGATGTTGCCAGCTTTGCCGAAAGACAAGTTGATTAATGGAGCACTCCAGCCTTTCCCCAAAAAGAAACATCTCCCTTGCTCATACATGCTGCTTTATGGCGAAAGTGACCGCACTTTCCAGCACAGCGGAACAACGAGTTTCTTGGCTCGACCCATGGATCATATTTGATAAGCAAGACCAATTGAACAAGCGACTGTGCTAGTATTGGAATCCAAACTGCCACTCGACATGTAACGGAGAGGGCTTTGCCCAGAGGTATTCCACAATGCGATCCAAGTCAAGGAAAAAAAAGGTTGCTAGAGTGAAACTGTCCACTCGGAAAATACACTTGTCGTAACTCATTTCCCCGGGACTTGAATCCTTGCACGCTTTCTTTATCGGCAGCCAGTTAATATCTGTAGAAGATACCGATCTTGCCGAGCGGCTCTGTCAGCTAATAAGGTCGCCGCAAGTGTCCCTGCACATCCTTCGTTTGCATCTAAGCCACCGATTGCCGAATGTCTTGAAATCGTCAAAGCTGGTGTATGAGCGTTGTAGAGTTATACTGCTTCCCGGGTCCAACCCACGATTTGGAAAATTCTTCCCGACACTGGGGGTTGAAAGCTGACAGTGGTTGCTTCTTGTCCCTCCAACCCCAGTGCCAGATTGGAAGACAACTCGATCGCATTACAGCAGCTCTCGTGCCCTAGCCACGGGAAGATATCCTCTTTGGACCTAAGGGTCTACGATTCCTCTTTTTATTTTTATTTTTTTATTTATTTATTTTTTTTTTTGGTGATGGGCGTTGACTCTCAGACCTCTTGGTCTTGAATGCAGTCATGTGCGGGTAACCAGCCATCGTTTGCGACGTGTCCATCTGTAATCCCGTGATCTGGATGAGTAAGATCGAAGCAATGCGAATTCAACTCGCAGCATTGTCTTTTGGTGCTGTAAATTGCATGGGAAAGCGATAACATCCAAATGTTCTTGGACCAGCATAGCATTAAAACAGCAAAGCATGTGTATAAGTCCTGCGATGAATATCCAGTTGTTCCAAAAAGGAAAGACTTTGTCGTGTGTTGCTGCAACTTTCCCTTTCCCCGCATGATTTCCATGGTCACGGGCTGAGCGTTATGAAGATGGGGAAACACTGAGCGTTTCGGGGAAAGAGAATGGGCGAGACAAAGTTGTGTTCTCGAGTTCAACCCCGGAGGTTTTGGAAGGGGATTTTTCTGGAAGGCTCACCGCATGTTTGAATTCCGCAGAGTCATATTTGAAATCCGAGCTACTCGAGCGAATCCCGTATTCTTTGGTTGATCTTCAAGTATGATCGGAGTTTGAATCCAATGTTGATACGGCGGCGATCGTCATCACTGCCCTCGCATGTGTCGTTCGGCAGGACGTTCCGCATTAAGGTTCCCAGAGTCGGACTAGAGGTCAGAAGAGCGAATCAAGTGCAAGAGAATGTCGACGGCGTCTGTGCAGGGCACGGGTATGCGACCGTTGAGCATGAAACAGGGTCTGGCCAGACACCATCTCAGTGAACAGTCACAGTCGTGCACACGTTGCATGGCATCGCCCATTTCCCACTTGAACCCAAAACAATAAGCAATCCTTTCAAGGTTGTTGGGAGCTTTTCCGTCATGACGATCGTGTTTCCCTCACACTGGCGTAAGGACCAGTAAGCACCACCGAAGGTGTTCAGGGACGGATTCCGAGCGATTGCTCGGATTTGGTATCACTAATATTGTGCTCTGCCTCGATGTTGACTCTCTTTATAGGCAGGAGGCCGGCGTCCTTAACGACGGTTCAACCGAGGTTGGACTGGGCAATCGCTTCCCTTGGGCAGATGGGTTATATTTAGCATATGACGTTGAGCTTCCACTCTCTCGTATCGGCAATCACAGGCTGCGCGGATTTGAGGGAAGGGAATGAGAGTTGCTTGTGGACGGGGTCTGTTCCTCTTTGTGCTCCAAGAGTAGAGAGAGCTGCAGTCACTCAAAATCTAGCAATGTTCCCTCCTCAGCACCGGCAGCGCATCGATCAGTCGATCAACTATATGTAGAGGAAACCAGCAACTCCGGAGCAAAATAGCCCAATCAAAGGGATTCACCCCGACATCGGGGCGCATCACGGTGCTGAATAATGGCAAGTTCTCGCTGTGGCCCAGACTAGCGCATCCAGAGAACCTCACCTTGGAGAGGATACCCGTGAGCATCAAGGAGAGTCCCTGCGATCCCCACAGGCTTATCTTGAAAGTCACAACAGCAGTGGAGCGAGCCCGAATCAAATTCATTCTAGAAGTAGCCGTATCGGGCTAGCACAGAATGCCTTAGCGCGCAGAATGTCAAAGGGCGTGAGGCGGGTGGGGTTTCGCAAACCAAAGTAGCCAACCAGGTCTCTGCGACGTAAGCCGGCCGCAAACTCAATTCCGCCGCTCGTCATTATCTAATCGGCTTTTCCCCACCGGTCCGCTGCCCACCACAGCACCTGGGACTCCCCGGCAGCGAGCACCCCACGTCAATCCGGCGACCGTCCTCCTCGCGAATCAGCGCGTGTCACGCGCTCCGGGAGTAAGTGCGTGCGTGTCGCAGCAAACACGAGAATGACCCAGAGTCTCAGGTGGAAGGCCATTCCGTCGAGCTTCCCGCGCATCGCCTTGCCGTAGCTACCGCCACGCTCATGGCTTCCCAGATACCGGGGGGGTCGTCAGCTGCATCAGGCTGGGCTGCTTGGGATCTGGCGTCGGGGAGGCATAGCCCTGATAGGAGGCCTCGAATCTCTCTGCCTGAATTTTCCTGCGCTTTGGGGTTAGTCCCTTAAAGCCGACTTGGCCGGGATACATGGGCGGGTGGTTCCGTGGGCTCTAGAAAGTCAACCGGCTCCGCCATCGACAAGGTTTGTTGGCTGCGACCAGCAACCACCTGCGCACATGACAGACAATATCAGCTTGCCCGATACTTGGTGCTTTGTTGATGCAGTTTGTTCTTAGCGGCGCCGCTCTTGCAGAAGCAATCGCCAGGGAACTCTGGCATCCCATCACTCTCTGGTTGGAACGAGCCCCAATTCCCCAATATTTAGGCTATGGGGAAAGCGGAGATTCATAAGAGAAGCCAAGCGACTGAAAAAGAAAGCTAGTCGGTGACTCAAAGAGGTCCTTGCTCGCCCTCTTCATGTTTCTCTTTTCTCATTCATTTTGTCATCGTTCTCCCTTCAATCTCATGCCTTTACCTTTCTTTTTTTTTTACATCCGCCATTTGCACATTCAAGAAGTGACGTGTAGCCGAAAGGACTTCCCGTCCATTGGTTGCAATTGCTGACATATCTCCGTGGCCCTCCAACCTCGAGTCATCTCGGCCTAGCCAATCCCGTCTGGGACCTTGGACGGAAGAAAGTATATAAAACTTCCACCCCGGTGCCATGGAATACTTTGATTTTGACCAAGCGGCCCGCGATATCGATACGGCTTCCAACTGTCCGGAGATCGACCACCAGGATTTTGATGCTTTGATGAATGATGATAACGTCGTTGTCTCTGCCACCGATGCCCTAAACGACGTTGCTGAGGGTGAAAAAGGATGGGAGCCTTCGTTTAAGTTAGGCGGACCTTGGCCCATGTATCGAGCTCCAGAACCGTGTTTCTTCTGTCGTTCTATGGGCTTGGACTGCTTTGTGGCTCAGAGAGGTGTGTTGCAGAACGGGTGCACCTGTTGCATTGCGCTATATCGACAGTGCAGCTTTACCAACGCCGAGCCGCAGCAAAAGTGCTTGGAGACATTACACGTGGTGGGAGAGGACTCTTATGTTCCAACCGGAAGCTTAACAGGGAAGAGAGCTTTGAAATCATATCGTGGACCATCTACAGGCACATTACTCGAAGAGCCAGAGCAAAGGGGGAGAAAAATTGGTGCCAGATTCCCAAAGGAAGCCGTCCGGGTGCTAAAGTCGTGGCTATCGGAACACACCGCTCATCCGTACCCAACGGATGAAGAAAAAGACGCCCTGAAAGCGAAAACTGGTCTGAGACGAAGCCAAATCAGCAATTGGCTTGCGAATGCTCGTCGCCGCGGGAAAGTCCGACCTTTCCCACGTCATCCTTCTCCTCACGCTACTGGCGTTCCAATTCCGGGTAAGGAGCTTCCTCCTGGCGTTGATTTCGCAGACCTGAACCCTTTGGAGCGATGGAAGCATTCTCCACCTGAAAACGAAGCTGCTTCAGCCCGTGATATTATCCAAGCCATGGCTACTGCTCCCTTCCATCCCAACGGGTCGAATGACAGCTCGGGCCCTGTGCGATCAAATTCCCGAAGAACTGGATCCAGCAATGGTGATTCAAGCTTTTCCAACGTCCTACCTGCGGGATCTTTGAGCAGCTATAGTTTGGATACGACTCAATCTAGTGTTTCCGATATGTCTTTTGCTTCTGTTTTCTCTCATCGCTCATCACGTGCCTCTTTCGGCTCGATGGATACGAGAGAACGCCGACGCCGCCGGCACAAATCCGCAATTGGCCAAAACCCTTTCCAGAAATCTCGCGCCGCGCGCATATACCAGTGCACCTTTTGCACTGATTCTTTCGCTACGAAGTATGACTGGCAACGCCATGAGAAATCTTTGCATCTTGCCCTGGACAAATGGACCTGTGCACCCCAAGGTGGGGTGATATTGGAAAATGGCGAATCCGTATGTGCATTCTGCCGATACCTGAACCCAGACGAAACTCATTTAGAGTCGCACAATTATACCACTTGTCAAGAGAAGTCTATACAGGAGCGAACATTTTACCGCAAGGACCACCTTAACCAGCACCTGCGCCTCATGCATAATGTAAAGCTCGGGTCTTGGATGGACCAGTGGAAGAGTGCTACAACTGAGGTTAAGTCTCGTTGTGGCTTCTGCTCGGCTACCTTTACCACGTGGAAAGATCGCGTTGACCATCTTGCGGCGCATTTCAAAGCTGGAGCGGAAATGCGACAATGGAAAGGGGACTGGGGCTTCGAATCTTGTATCCAGCGTTGCGTCGAGAACTCCATGCCCCCCTATCTTATTGGTGAGGAACGTAACACTCTCAACCCATGGGTCGCCCAAGTACCCAGTCTATCTGCTGCAAAGAAGCCCAATGCGTCCACTGCAGGAACCTCCGCGGCACAGATTCCTGTTCCGACTGATGCTAGTTGTTTCAAGCGATTGGAAGTCGAACTCTCGGCATATATTGGCCGCCTGGCAGCTCAAGGTACCGTGCCAACCGACGCAATGATACAGGCAGAAGCGCGTAATACCATATATGGGAGTGATGACCCATGGAATCAGACTTGTGCTGATAACCCGACGTGGCTGGCTCTTCTGAAGCGTGATACTGGCATCTATGATCTACCGGGAACCCAAAACATTCAACTAGATGACTTAGGCATGCAACCACCCTTCGCTGCAAACGGAGGTCTTCGTCAGGCCCCGAAACACTCTTTGAGAACTACTCCGCCTTGCAGCGGTTCTTCAGGGTTCCAGAGCCCAGCATTACCCAGCTCAGGATTCCATTCTTCTGGACCTAGCCATAGAGGCAGCCATGCAGGCAGCTTGGCTGGCAGTGTTGATTTCTCAGCTGGAGGCCTCGGTCAAGGGAGCTTGGGAGGTTTGCCAAGTTCCACACTGGGTGGCACTCTTTCTTCCTCGGCACCAGTCTCCATGGACAATGACCCTTTCATACAAATGGGTTTCGATGCAGACTTTCTTCAGCGTCTAGATGATGATTATGAAGACATCGGTCATGATTTGGATGATCTACACGTCGAAAAGTTTGGGCTGGGGGATTCGGCTGGTTTTCATGATCTTGGTTTTAATGATACGACTTTCAACATGACTGCGACCTCCGCACCGGACCAGAATCCACTTGCATCTAAATTACCAACCTCTATGTCGTATGAAGCACGATATCAGAATGTATTCGATCACTCGGTAGCGTTTTCTGAGCCTAGGGCATCGGAGTTCCGGGACTTTGGGCGCTAAAAAAAAAAAAAAAAGAAAAAAGAAAAATACAAGACCCACTGCGACAAGCCATCCTATAATAATGAAGAAGATAAATTCTAGATTTGGTATAGCGGTCACGATACCCGTTTGCAGTGTTGGATTGAAGCTGGGGACTTGATACATAGGCTTTTGATTTTTTGTGGCAGCTTGAAATCCATGCTTGGCTTCAACATCGCGTGGATTGCAGAGCATTAGGTAATAACATGTCATGAAATAGTTATTTCAGAAAAGAAGAGTTGGTTAAGAATCAATAAAGAAAAGAAAAAAAAGGCAAAATGGTTTCATCTATCAGTTTTTGCTTTAGTCTTTGCTTTGCTTGAGTTCTATACCCCTTTCTTTCAGTCATGCCTGGAAACGGGGAGCATAAAACTCCTTTCTAACAGGAGCTGTTTTTGGTGGGTTTTGGCAATGATACTACTTTGGGATGGAAATGTAATGATAAATGGAAGCAATGGTAGGGATGTCACGGCTATCTCTTCTGTCATTATTCACATGTGCCGAATCTCTGGGGAGTGATTCCACACAATTATCCCGTAGAGTGGAAAATTTCTGGTTTATTCAGCTGCCCTTTTCGCGGCCAACGGCTATCTCGACACCGACTAAGTTTGCGTAGGCTCTACCTATCTCACTGACTTCATCTCCAGTAATATCGCTACTGATTGACAGCGATGCTTTACCACCGGAATCCACCGTGGCAAAAAAATTCATACGATCATCCTTTGGCCATGAAGGCCGGAGAGGATACTGGCTTACCGTACAAAGTAGTTTACAAAAATGGTCGCACGAATACTTTATACTCAGCCTTAACTCCTACTTCGCTGAAGTTCATCAAAGTTTATCACGAAGGCACGTATGTCACGAAATGCCAAAGCGGATAACTCCATGGCCTCCCACAGATGCAATTGTCTGCCCGGACGTTCCTTGAAGTGGTAAAATGGGAGGAACCATCTCCCCACACCGACTCTCTCTGCCTGCTAGACGCGCTTACGGAGCTACACCCGTAGGAAGTCACAAAATGAAACACCCGCGACAGTTCATAGTCCGGCTTGCAATGGCACAAAGCCTCTTCGGATACTTAGCAGTCACCCATGTACCCCTTATGTTAGAGCTGTGCATAATAATTAACGTTCAAAAATCTTCAGGATGCGAGCTTCTCGATAAAGCACGGAGAGCCGGAAACCTAGAGCAGATGCATATTTCACCCGTCTCGGCATATATCAGAGGGGTCGAGAACCTCCTTGACGGGCTTCCGGCAAACGTAACAGCCGACGAAGTCAGGTTCATTCAAATGAAGCTCCCTGAGAAGTTAAGAGATCCGCCAGACAAAATAGAAGCAACTCGTGTACGGGATGGCCTCGCAACAAACAACGGCCATGGTGTCCGGGAGGACGGTCGTCACTGCAAGTCACCGTCAGCGTATTCGGTAATGATTCATCAGATCGTCATTTTGACTATCATTTGGTTTTGCTGCCTCATGTCAGGTCTCTTTGCGCTTGGTTTCGTCAGTCGCAGATTGCGAAGAAGGCGGTCAAAGCCATGCTAACTGCGAGTGCGGTCGTCACGGCAAAGCTGCGAGAAGGACTGGAGTTTGTGGGATCTAAACTGGCGAAGACGGGCCTCTTCGAAGCATTAGTCAATATGTGAATGTCATGGTGCGCTGTAGTGCTAAATGGGGATGCCTGAAGGTGTGATAGAAGTGTTTTTTCATTCTCTCAGTGAAATCGATAACTATCTGGTCTGGCGGAGTTGGCGTTTGCAATGAGTAGTAATAGCAAGATGTGAAATCAGGAAAAGGATAATATTTATTGGTTAATTTCAGGGAGCTTTGTTTGCTGTTTGAGTATGAGCCAGTACGGAGTAATGTATATAAACAGTTAAACTGCTCTGTACTGACTCGGCGACTATGGCTGTTGTAGAAGCTCCAAGCCAGGGGTTTCCACGAACCAAAACAGTTCCCAACACTCAAACAACCAGCAAAGGACAATGTCGAGCTTCAGGCTCCCCAACATCCCTTCTCTCCGCGCACAACAGCTCCATCTTGAATTGTGAATCCATAGCTAATCCATGATCTTTTCGTTAAGTTCGATCATCTACAGCTGCTAACTCCTGCAACAGTGCAAGTCTGCAGGCGGCTCCTCCGAAGGGTGTCTATGTAACGATATCTCCGACAGACCCTACTCTCTGGTCGGGAGTGTTGTTTGTCCAGAATGGTAATAAAGTGACTTCAATTTCTACATCTTCTTTGAATTTAAAAGGTGCTAACCACTAGTTACTGTCGGCCAGGCCCCTATGCCTCTGCCATACTCCGCTTCCAAATCCGATTCCCACCAACCTATCCTGATCTTCCCCCGCTCGTGACTTTCAATACAGACATTTTCCATCCACTCGTAGTTCCATTAACAACATACACTTTTACAACTGGCTCTTCAGATACAGACACTGTGAGTGCAACGGACGATGAGCGATTGCCCCCGGGCGGGTTCAGTCTGCGACATGGATTCCCGCATTGGTTCGGAAGGGCCAAAAGGAGTGCTGTGAATTCCGCAGCTTCGTCTAGGAATACCAGCGGTAACGCATCTACAACTACACAGGATGTTGATAAAGACGGCCATCAGTTGAAACAGAGTCGGCCATTGAGTCCAAATGCCGATGCTGAATCTGAGACCGCTAGTGAGGCTCTTCTATCGGCACCAGTTCCACAAGTCGGTGAAATTCGCAAAAGCCCGGTTCCCACGGGTGAGATTTATCAGCATGGGGAAATGGATGTTCCGGTTGTCGCGCTGTTGGACTACATACGGTCAACGTTTGACAGTGAGGAGATACTTGACTCCATCTCGCTGGAAGCCGCAGGTAACCCCGGAGCCTGGCACGCATGGCGAACTCATCGTCGCACTGTTAAAAGCAGGGGAGGTGGGCCCAGAACTGGAGAAGAAAGCCGCTCGGGTGCATTAAACCTAGATCTCAAACCGAGAAAGGGAACCCCACAATCTCGACAGCCTGGGGAATGGAATTGGGGGGGAGTGTGGGGAGAAGAGGGTCCAGAACGGAATCCAGAATAGCTATCTAGAGTCCGTTCTATTTGGAAGCTCACCGCGGAATACAGCAGATAACTGGGTACGCCATTTATCCCCCCCCCCCCCCCCCCAAAAACCCCCGCGGGACTTCATTTTCTCAGGGCCTCTTGACTGTGGTGATTACTAACTTCACTCTCCTCAGATTCGATTTCAGAAGCTCGATAACGACGTATTAACGAAACTCAAGGAGGAAATGATTGGCCCAGCTACTAATTGATATATGACCAATATAGTCACAGAGCCGGAGCTTTCGGCGCTATACCTTCGCTATTCAGCTTGACACGCCGGTGTGGTTTGGTATGATTCTTTTGGACGTCAATGCCTGTTGATTTCAGCCGCATATACCCATTGTAGCTTCCAAATTTTCCCCATTAGCCGAGTGAGAACCGTGGTTGTTCTTGCCGTTCTCCTTTCCAAGTTCACGATGATTTTGTGTCTCAAAAACAAGACCGTGCTGTGCTCCGATTCCAGCTGCCTGTGGTTTAGTTCCCTGAGACATCGCTTGATAGATTCGCGCCGACATGCCCAGCAGCGAAACGCGCAGGACACTTATCTTGATTGCCCTGATCCTTGTACCTATCTTCCTGCTCTTCACCATTCTGGCCGTCGCCCTTGCGTGTGCTGAGTATTGGAGTCTTCGTAACCAGCGTCGTTGTATTCGTGGACGAGGAAGAAAAACGCACAAAAGAAGCCGTTCAGATCCCTCTTGGTACTTTTCTTCGTCTAAAGGCTCTGATTCCAGTGGGGGGGATACAGAGATGTACAAAAAAGCCACCGAGAGAGAGCACGTGTGAAACAGGTGCTCGTCAGTTATCTACATTATTTGTTTTTTGATAGATATCAATGAGATATGGAGTATCGCGAAGGAAACCGGCATGTTCCCACCCCTAAACCCTTACGGATCCTTAAGACGCGTCCAAGAGAAGACCAAGGCCTGGGCTCTTCAGTTAACCTTAACTCTCCAATTCCTATACCGCGAAGACGCTCGTCATATGCTATTCCTGGTTCGTCCTTTTCTGATATTCCTCCGTTGCCACGGCTGGAAAAGGAAAACCGCAAATCACAACCACCAAGGCAGAAGCAAAGATATTGGTGCTCGCCTTTGAGGACGCCATCAACTAGCGGCAATTTCTCTCACTTGATACACTCATCAGTATGGTCCCTACATTTACCCATTCCCGTGTTTTATGCCAATGAATGCTCTGGCTTCGGCTGGTTCTAATGAGAGACTTTTCTATAGGAAAATAAGAAGCGACGTGACGTCCTTACCAGTGGGAACCATCGATATCCCGTTCCGATGTCTAGGAATGGCTTTCTTTCTCGCGTTACTCAGGTATTTGATTTCAGGAGCCGGCACCCTGGCAGCAATGCGATTAGTTCTGATACTTTATCCACGCTTCCTAAACCTTTAACATATTCCAAGAAGTCCATTATTGATGCGAAAAGGGATAATACATCGGGGGATAATCCTCCGTTGAAAGAAGCAGAGGAAAGACAGAATAGGCAATATACCCCGCGTCTACTGACCGAGCAGCTACGTATTCCCAGGGCTCGCGGGAATTGCAAGGGACGGTCGCCGTGCAATGCTTCTATCACAACTGCCCTGGTAGAGTTGACTGCAGATGCTCTTAGAACGAACGCCGGGAAGGAATTGTCCACATGGCTATCAGTAGACATCTTCGCACGAGTCGATGATTTGGAAAGCAATTTAGACGACCAATGCTACGCTGATATTCCCCTAGATGTTATGATTGTCGTTGATAATTCGTATGTGTTTTATTGAGAATCTCCGAAGCTCATCTAACTTTATCATAGTGCGAGAGTAGCGCCGGATATTCTAAAAGGAGCTTCTCGAACCGCATTCCACGTTGCATTGTCGTTGGATATGCTAATTGACCGAGCCGCAATTGGCTGCATATCGCCCGACGGTCAGGAAAATTTTAACCTTATGTTGCCCCTAGGGACGCACAGCCTGGATGTGGTTCGAAACGTATCTCGAGCTTTGTCATCGTTTCAGCTTCTTTACGATCTAGATCAGTCGCGGCTCTCGGGAGCGCTGAAAGAAGCCTCTGACTTGCTGATCCAACAGTCGGCTAAGTCCGCTCTTTGCCATCTGTTTTTCATCACTACTCGCTCGAAAATATCTATTCCCGGTGTCTGGGACGAACGCCTGCGATTTCATACCATATCTCCAGAAAATTCCGTTACGATAAACGCTCCCACTATGGTGGGTGGCTGGCACTTATCCGCGAGTTTGGATCACGATGCGGTCGAATCTGCTTTAAGGTCAAACCTGAAGTTGCTGATCAGACATCTTCGTACGGGAATCGATTCTGGTGTACTTTCCAACCTCTCCATTAAACTTTCTGCCGCCAAAGAGTATGAACTGATCGCTCTTCTTGGGGATACAAAACGCAAATTCCTAAGGCCAGGCGAGACTTGGACCATGTTAGCTAAAGTTAGGGAGCGTGGAAAGGTTGAAAATGTCGACCAAGCCAGTTCTCTCTACTCTACAAGCCCAGATTCCCTTTTGATAAAGGATTCAATGAACACTGAGGAACTTGACGATATGATTAACCAACTGCACGGAATGCTCGAACCGAGTGCCAGAGACATTGAAGCCCGTACCATTGTCACCGCAATTGTTGAATATGGCAATCCCTGTTTGCCTAACACCACAAGTCTTAGATCGGAAGGGAGATGCGAACTAGGTTGGATTGGTGTTCCAATTCTAGCAGATGGGATGTCGAATGCGAGATACAGACAGGTCAATGCTACAAGCTGCCAAGGTCAAACTACAGGACTTGGAACTCACGAGGCAAGCATTGTTAAAGCCCGTTCGGATTCATGGGGTCTTGGTGTCAACTTAATAGAATTTGATAACCACGACCTTGAGGATCAGCAACCAACAAAACCCGATGCCACTGCACCTTGCTTCGATCCTTATATTTGATTTTAGCTCAAAGGATGAGATGCAAGCATGCGTTATTACTTCTTGGTAGTTGGATGGGGTGCTCTTTCTAGCAATTCTAGTGTTTCAATTTGTTTTGCAGAGCGGGGGCTCGGGGGTCACCATGCAGATTTACTACGATCTGGACATCAACGATTTGACAGAGTGCCCTTATGCACCTGCCAGATGTCAGTACGATTTTGTTGGTGTGTTCTAGATGGAATTGGGAGAAGTTTTGAAAATGTCCTTTGGTCATTAGCTATGTCATTAAGTCATGTCTATCATGAATACAGCAAACAGAATATAAAAGGGTACTCCTGAAAACCATTTTTCAAATCATATGGAGCAGATTGGAATTCATTCCCAAATTGGCTCTCCATTATCATCAAAAGAAGCCCATTGGAAAAATGCGCATGTTTTTTTTCCTGGAGCATAGCCAGCATAGCACATCCACATATATCTGCCCCGATTTTCTTTTTTTTTCTGGACACATCGAAGGACGCATGGCATGCCACACCGACAACGAGGGGTGTTCTTAGGGTGCAAAGAGGCCCGATACCAGCGATATGTGACATTTATCCTTTTATTCCCGGAAACAGGGTGGGGAGAAATCATCTGTGAGGGAGCAATGCTGTGTTTCCACTCTTCTTGCATTTCAGCATGCATGACAAGGAGGGAATTGTGCGGTAGGTGGATAGAGATCTGTCCTTGTATATCTGCACGGGAGGTTGGGTGAGTATCTGACGACGACGATGAACCGTCAACATTTGCTTCATCGGGAGGAACGACCTTTCGCACTCGGAACTCCCTGGCAACCCCCAAACTAAGGCTGGCGATGACAGCACGGGGTCCAAGATAGGTCAGTTCGTCTGAGTGGTATCCGACGCTTTCGGATGGGCCATCGTAACAGTTCACGAAGGCAGCGTTGGGAACCCACTCCAGTGGGGACTGGTACTGTAGTTTCTTCCCATTTGGGTAATGGTCTCGAATACGTTTTTGGATTTCCTCGTTCACTGCTTTTTGCACACTTTTAGAGATCCTACGTAATTCTGGGGTTAGCTGCCTCACATCGGTGCGGTAGTTGCCGTTGTATGCGTATTCGGACTTTTGCTGGCGCTGTTCTTCGGAACTTGAGACGTAGAATCCTGTGCTGTGTGGGCTTTCAACAACATTCTCGAAGAGCTGGAACCGTTGGCGGGAGAATGTTTCGGATTCGCATAGGAGCTCTTTAAGCAGAGAAGTTGCATCTTCGGCGGACAGAAAATTGTGGATTATGGTGCAGGGCGTGTGTTTTGAGATGTCTTGGGGAGAGAAGAGATGAAGTGTTTGTCCTCTTTTGGTCACGGTCTTCGAGGACGCAGCTGGCCCGTCTGACGCCATTCCATATGAAGACAGGGAGCTTTGGATTCCGAGATTCCCATTGATCGACCGCTTGATCTTCTTTCGGGATGATAATTCTGCGTTCACAGCAGAGCAAGTTAAGGGGATGGAACCATCGTTTGCAATTAGTAGGTCCAATAAGATGTCCTGGGATATATCTGCATATAGGGACGCTAATGTTGCCAGTTTGACATCTGTAGACTCTTCATCGTCTTCCATTCCACCTCGCGTCTCTTTTGTCTTGACCTCCACCTCCGCCTTACGTTCGCCGGAATTCGCGGCCGGTGGAGAGAGGGATGGGGCGTGAGAGAATAAATCCCGTGGGCGTTTTCGAAGGAGATACTTATCCATGATCGTCACCCGGTGCAGCCTCTGCGCGGTGCCATGATCATCGGGGATGTCGGCCGCCAGGCTGAGAGCCAAGACTCCCAGACGCGAACCTCGTCGTCGCGAGAATTTAGTAGTTAACCATACCCCGTTTAGTTGACCAAATCAAGTAACTAACCTTCTCGCGATCTCACGTGACTAAGACGGATTTCCAAGCTGGGTACTCCGTACTTGGGCATGCCATGATGATCTCGGCTGCATCATCTGTCGAATACGCACAGACAAAGATGCTCCACTGTGCAACCTGGTCGCCCCAGCGCCACCACCAGCTGATGACCCGCGCCTTTCCCTTCTCCCCTGGAAGGGTACAAGTCTGGCAACATCACAATTCGGCCCCGAAGAGGACGTCTTTCTGACCTGCAAGGCTCGCTTTTATCTGATGCTCGAATTTGAGTACGAAGCCTTAACAAACTAAAGTCTCTTGCCAAAGCAATTATTCCCTGTTGCTCGGCCATCCACAGCCATGCTCAGGCTGGGACTAGCCCTCTTAAGCTTGTATCAATTGACATCGATGCCACTCTACCCCTCAACAAAGGAAGTGGAACATACCCGTCGATACTTCTACGTGGGTGGGCGCTATGAGGACAATGGCAAAGGAGAACATGTCTTCAAGGACCAGATGTATGTTGAGCATCTAAGTCCCACAGGTGGAGTACGCCGACAATATCCTATTGTATTTCTTCATGGCCATGGCCAGACGGGAACAGTGAGTGGCTCATTTCGATCATTCCCACTAAATGCCGGGTCCAACGCACATCATTGGCTATACCTCTCTGGCGTAAATTGATAGGTTCAGCAGAATTGGCTTAACAAACCTGACGGTGGACGTGGCTGGGCCTCTTATTTCCTTGAACAGGGCTATGAATGCTATATCGTTGATCAGACATTTCGCGGTCGGAGTCCTTGGATTCCTGGAAATGGGACCATGGACATTCTGAGTGCGGAAAGGCTGCAGGATTATTTTACGGCAACTCGAAGGCATAACTTGTGGCCGCAAGCAAAGCTCCATACCAAGTGGCCTGGCTCCGGCCTGATGGGCGACCCTGTCTTCGATGCGTACTATGCCTCAACAGTCCAATCCCTTACTTCAGACCTGTACCAGCAATCCACGATCCGCGAGGCAAGCGCCGCTTTGCTAGACAGAATTGGAAGACCCATTATTCTCATATCCCATTCACAGGGCGGAATTCTGGGATGGCAGTTCGTTGATGCACGGCCTGATCTTGTACATTCGGTTGTTGCGCTTGAACCGGGAGGGCCTCCGTTTGAAGCAAAGATTATTGGGTCCGGCCCAGCAAGGAAGTACGGTCTAACGGACGTTCCTCTCGCATACGCCCCTCCTGTTGTGGAGCCAGAAGTCGATTTGATCAAGCAAAATATAGAGCACAACTTGACAGGCGTTTCCTGCACAATTCAGGCGGAATCGCCTCCCCCACGAAGGTTGGCCAACTTCGCGAAGGTCCAGGTGCTCGTTGTTACGTCTGAGTCTGGATATCATTCCGTGTACGACTGGTGTACGGTTAAATTTTTACAGCAGGCCGGTGTTGCGGTAAGGCACCTGGAACTTGGAAACGTGGGAATTCACGGAAACGGCCACATGATGTTTCTGGAGTCGAATAGCGATGTCTTGGCAAAAAAAATGCAGGAGTGGATGGAGGGCGATTCTCAGCAGTTCTCTAGCAGCTAAACCGAGAGATAGATACAATATGCAGGTTGCTTCCGCCATATATCGTATCGAGATTGTAGAACCGGCTTGTCGGGGCGCCATTTTCATATGGATTACATAACCAAGGTAGTTAATACGCCGCCGAATAACTTAGCTGCGCAGGTGGGCTGGCCAGGACCAACTACCTCGGTGTTTCTTGCTTGATCATTCAGATACCCCTGCAGCAGCGACGACACTGGAGAATGGGATTCCGGGCATAATCTCCTGGAGAAATACTGTAGAAGACAAACCGATGTCAGCGTCACTACACACGATGAACGGCCCTTGATCCTCAATTTTTCCCGTGACCGTCGCATAAGCCTGTGATTGCCCCACCGACCGCCCTCCACCGACAATATGCTCGAGTTTCGCACTGAGGGATTCAATGGATGCGCTGTGAAATACTCTCCCTTTTTCGACTCACGGCTAGCTGTTGCGGCTTCGGCAAACTTCGGACTCGTTGGAAATGGGCGATTTTACATCCTTGATCTTACCCCGCAGGGTATCGTCCCTTTAAAATGGTAATACTCCTAAGGCGCATACTCGTCCACTGTTGAATGACTCCCTGTGTTGAGCATCTACTGAAATTTTTGTTTTACTTCTCTAGGTATACAACGCAAGACGCGTTGTACGATCTGGCCTGGTCCGAGATTCATGAAAGCCAGGCCCTCGTGGCATCTGGCGACGGAAGTATAAAGCTGTTCGATTTAACCGTAGATGAATTCCCCGTTCAGGCGTGGAAGGAACACACAAGAGAGGTCTTCTCCGTGCACTGGAATCTGGTGGCCAAAGATCGATTTTGCTCGAGTAGCTGGGATGGCACGGTCAAGATCTGGGCTCCAGACAGGCCGACTTCTCTACTCACTCTTCCAACGCATAGTTGCACCTACTCTGCTGCGTTCTCGCCTCATTCTCCTGATATTATATCCTGTGTGACTTCCGATTCATATGTCCGTGTCTTTGATCTACGGACCCCCGCATCGGCCTCGAACCATCTTACCGTTCAGATACCAATCCATGGAGCTGGTCAAACACCCGTCCCTACGAATCCCGGTCTACCAATGGCTCCAGCATCGTCTCCGCCGTCAGAGGCTCTTACCCATGATTGGAATAAATATCGACCTTCAGTCCTTGCAACTGGTGGTGTTGACAGGACGATTCGCACATTTGATATCCGGGCCCCCCAACAAGGGCCTCTTTGCGCTATGATTGGCCATGAATATGCCGTTCGAAAGTTAACATGGTCCCCTCACCTTTCTCACGTTCTCCTCAGTGCCAGCTACGATATGACGTGTCGTGTTTGGACCGACGGAACTGACGTCGCACCTCCCGGAGATGCAGACCCAATGAGAGCTGGACCGATGGCTACAATGGGCAGAGAGTTAGGCCGAATGGGTAGGCATACAGAATTCGTCACTGGTGTCGATTGGTGTCTTTTCGGTAGCGAAGGCTGGTGTGCAAGCTGCGGCTGGGACGAAAGACTGTGTGTTTGGGATGCACGGGCCGTTATGGCATAGTCCCACCGTCCTTCGCTCCCCTCAGCCTTCTCTCGCCGTGGCCTGTCACGTTTTGGATTTCCAATTTTTGCTTTTACTGGTATATGCCTTTGAAACAAAAGTGGGAACTGCATTGGACCCTTCTGATACGCAGATTTTTGAGCTACGACAAAACGTAGCTTACACAATTTTTTTGTTTTTTGAATATAGGAAGCTTTTCGATACCCAGGATAAGAGCTGTTCCCAGCTAGGGGGGCGGATAGCACATATCCGATGGTTCGCGGTTCTTCGAGGTCCTGGAGAGCTGCTCCTTGTATTTAGCTAACCACTTGCGTTAAGGTCGGCATTTGCATTCTTGGTATTGGCATTAGGTCTTGCTGCATAGATATGTCTTGAATAATTACTCTACATGAATAAATCAATTTTTGGCAGGTGGTAGAGCCCATTCTTCGACTTAATAGCAACGCGGCCGAGGCCGTTTGGTTTGCCAGTTTAAGAAGATCTATGTTAATCGAGACAATTTCGTCGTATTAGCAAAGCAAAACGAGACGAGGTTTTTCAACAGTTCAGTATTTTGTCATGCATCATGTCGGTCATGTCGAAGCATTATCATCCCGTCATCCCGACGGCAGTCATTATACCCAAAAGGCTCCGGAAGCGCTTAATGTGACACCTGTATCATATCTGGAAGCGCCATATAAAAGGGTCATTTGAAGATAGCGAACAAGCCAACGCCCTTATCGGGCCCAAAATTCCATGCTCTGGGCCACATTTACCTCGCTGCCAACCGAGACTCGATCTTCGCTTTCTCAGCGGCCTTGACTTTCGCAATCTCCTCTTTGCTCGCATCGTACGCCACGTTGACTTTATTGAATGGATTGTCTTCGCTCTTCTCGAACTCTCTCTTGACAATCTCAATCCTCTGTTGTCTTCTCAGTCCCGGTTGTTCCTTTTCGATCTCGGGTAACCGTCGTGCCTCGAAAGCGGCATATGCCGCTTTGAATCTGCGCTCCGGATGACGATCTATCTTAGTGCTTTCGGAATTCGACGTTAACGACAGCGCGTCGAGTGCGTTATCGATGCCGGAGGCGTTGAGCGCAGCTGCTTTCTTGGATCCAGAGGTAGACACGCCAAGCGCCGCGTCGAGGTGGGAGAAATCTAATGTGCCCCGAGTCTTTTTCGCCGCAGATTTAGCACCTGCACCTTTGGGTTTGGAAGGCTGCGAGGCTTCTTCTGCGGCGAGAAGGGCATCACGCTCCGCTTTCTTGCGGGCTGCGTCAGCTCGTTTAGATTCCTCTGACTCTCTATAGATGGTTCCCGTTAAGTCAGTGACCTGTAACTTTCTTTCTCCTTCTCCATCACATTTGCCATCAACTGCGTGAATATATATATATACCCGGGGGTGCTTTTTCTTGACCCCAAAATAGAACCAACTTACTTCTTCGCATTCGATTTCGCACCCTGTTGCCACTTGCGATCTTCGTCCGCAGCCTTCTTCGCATCGGATATGGCTTGCTTCTGGGCCGCAACTTCGGCTTTCTGCATTTTCAGAGCAAATCAGTTTTCATTTCAAATTTCGATTGTATTTCCTCCTCCCCCCCCCCAAAGGAAAGTCTGAGCTTGAGATCTCAAGGTGGACTACTTACGCGAGCCATGCCCGCCGCTTTCTTGGAGTTCTCGCCCTTCTTTCCACCCATAATTAAATAGATAGTCGTGATCAGCCGACAGACAAAGAAGTGGTATTAAGGAGGGCAAAATGCGATGCTGTTGTGTTTGACTGATCTATGAGTTGTTTCCCTCGACTGATAAGATAGCAAAGCGGGCTAACAGGTTGTGAGTCAGCACGGAGTGCGGATAATCCTTACACCGGCGATCAGCGGGCCGACCGTTCGTGGTACGAAGAGACAGAACGCTTCCAATTCATCAATGGGCCTCAAATAGTTGTGTCACTCAGGTGTTCCCTTAGCGAAACCGCCCATACAGCTGTTCACAAAATGGGTTCGTTATCTCATAAGTACATATATGGGGCATTCGATGGTCTTTCGCTCCGTTTCTAAGCAGAACACAACAATAAAAGGACAATCTAAAACACGTGAAGGGGTTCTCAGGGGCTCAGGTGCAGGAATGTGATGTCTTGGGTCAAGTAGTGTAAGAATGAGAACGTCACAAAATCGAGTAAAATATCTCCTTCCCCCAAATTTTAATTCCGCGAATCTCATGAAGATCTACCGAATCCACCACCATCTGGTTATATGGAGAAAGCTCGTCATCACTATCATCCGCAAAATGAGTGGCTTTAAGCGAATTTTCAGCTTGAGAACATTGGGAGGTTCCAGCCGACACGTCGTTCTCAGAGATCCTCAAAGCGGCAATCCCCAACATCTTCGAAATAGCTTCCATTTTCACGTCATTCAGCTTTGGATCTTTCTTGACTCGAAAGCTTCTCGAAATGCGTGACACTTTCGTGGCCACTGGGCCGCTCGCCATGTGGCTAACAGCAATATACTGGACCTTAAGCGATGGAAAGTGGAGGACGCTGTCCACAGCGCAGAGGCGTATCTCGCGCAACGACATCGCACAATATTCGAGACTGTTTAGTAAAATGTGTAAGGCGACAAGAGACCGCATGCAACGAATGTAGTGCATCATAAGGTGCTAAAAAGTAAACTTATTAGTGGATGCGCTTCCTGGTAAGGAAAGCTTGCCAAATGACTCACAAAAACCGAAAGATCCACGACTACAAGAAGTTCAACAAGTTGTAAACCCATCCTTGTGATATATAGAACCGACCGCCGGTCTAGATTCCAACTTGAATCGACATCGTTTCGAATCATAAGACGTTTCAAGTGTTTGATATGTTTTCTTAACACTATTTCACGAATATCCTCGATGCGGACGGCCGATTTTGAAGCGGGTGGATCAGACTGTGCGCTCGTGCTTCGTTCTATAAGAAACAAGTCTTCAACATATGGAAGGGTCCCTAGAAACGTTAAAAGCGCTTGTGTCACATTGTCTGTATGAATTGAAGTTATCTGAAGAGGATTGGACGTATGTAGTGCGGTAAGCATCGCCCAGAATGCTCGCTGCGGGCCAACGTTCAAAAGTGAAATATGCTTTAATGACCAAACGTTAACAGCCCGGCAAATAACTGAAGCTTTAAGTGGAATCAGTTGAATTGAAAGCTCTTCTAACGCAATTCCATGGTTTAGTCGGATATATTCCTGCACCGCCTGCTCTCCAGAAATTTCGCCATAATCTGGCTGGTTGCCATTCCTCTGCCCTTTGTCCTTATGTGAAGTAGATATGTGTGTATCCCTAATCGGTTCCTTGCCTTTTGAAGAGGCAGTGGGTTGCATCACTACCCCAGCGTGAGGAGGAACAACGGTAGTATCAACTAGTGCAGCGAAATCACCTTCGTGGGATTCAGGGCCCTCTGGTTCAAGAAATTCTTGGTCTTCTCCTTCGCTTAACTCGTCTGGATGCTCCATATCGACAATGTCCACTAGCTGCTTTTCAAGATCACTGTTTATGGGATTCATAGGATCTGAGGGGTCCGCTTCGCCTTGCTGTTCAATTGCAGGAGAGGAAGACGCTGATTCAGTGGAGTTCGGTAGCGTGGCGGGAATATCTGCGCCTTTGATGGTATCGCCAACAGGATCCGCTGTTGAGCTTTGGATGGTTTGAGTATTATCATCTGCATTGCCGCCACCAACCGGGGCATCTGAATCGGTGCCGGAATCCAGGCCATCTTCTTTGCTTAAGCATGGTAAATTCTCGGCACAAATACCTGCGCAGGCATTTGGCAAGTTATGAGGCAAATTCGTTTGCACATTTGCCCACCTCACAAGAAATTTGGATGTGGCCTTCTGTAACCTTTCGACCGTCTGAATCGCACTTGGGCCGGGTGTAAGAGTAGCCGTACCTTGGGCAAGGTCGCACGCAATACCGTATAACTCATGTATAAAGACACGATCGGGTTCTTGGCTTGCACGATGAAGGACACACTCCTTTTTATGCTCAGTAGTTGCCAAACCAGTTTCAACCACTCTCTGTACTAGTAGTTTTTGCATCGTTGTTTCCCTTTCTAAACCAAAAAGCCGTGCAAGGGCTTTTTCTTGTGCGATACGTTCACTTCTGACAGTTGCATCATTATTTGGATTTGATGTGGCCGTAGTTCCAAATGCCGGAGATGGCGTAACGTCGTCGTCGTATATATCTTCATTGTCTTCCGTATCGGTATCGGGATCGGGATCTTCTTGGACGGTCTTTTTCTGAGCTTTTGAGGCGAATTTCTCAGAGAACGACAACTTCAGCCACTTAAGTGACGTCGCGGACCCAGAAATACATTCAGCAATTTCGTCTACGTACTCGAGGGAATCCATATCTAGAACAGCTAAGTTTGTGAGTTTCTGAATATGCGAAAATGTCCGTCGAGGCCGAGGCAAGTCCTGGCTTGCGGTGACCTTAGAAGTAGGGGCCGCATATGGAGTGGTAGCCGCTGGTGAGGGTGGAGGGCCATGGTGATGAGGATGAGTATGCTGGCTCGGCTGAGGTGGCAATGTCGGCTGTAGTGTTGGCAAAGGAGCCGGGGCCCACGAGGGTGGTGAAGCGCTATTGATCGGGGGATGCGACCGACCAGCGTGCAGTCGAACGTGCAAGTTCTGCAAGCTCGAAAGCTTCCCCAGGGCTGCGAAGATTGACGGATTGAGCTGCACCTTAATATCCCAACTACAAGGATGTTAGAATGTAGTTCTCTTGGTCTTTTGTGGGCTTACCGACGCGAGGGCTTACCGGAATGTCTCCAGGGCCGATGTTTGCTTGACTATTGCTAAAATAAGTGTATTGAAAAATCTTCCGCACTCCGTATCGTACTTGAATTGGAGGGCAATCTTCTCCTGAACCCTTTTATAGGTTACATCGTTGTTCCATAGGATGTTTAACGCGATGCGTTTGAGGTAGGCAGCATAATTAAAGTCGCTCGTTGCCAACGTTTCCAGGATATCAGCGAAGGAACCTAAATAAATACGGGTATCTCTTTGGTCAGCGGCCTCAGAGAATCGGTGGCTTAGGCTGTGGTAGAGTTCAGCAGCGGCGAGGTCACGGAAGGCTCGCGAAACACGCATTAACTGGACTAGGTCCTTGAGTCCCAGCTGAAATAAGCTTAGAGATCAGTAAGCTGTCAGAAGACCTCTGCATTAGAGGTAGAGGTAGAGGCATTTGGCAGGCCTGCTCACATATTTTAGTATTTCGCGGAGCGTCCCTGCTGGAAGAATAGACAACTGAGGCTTGACCATGCGCGAGCGACATCTCGATGGCAGTCTTGCGGTAAGTGAAGGTTCAGTATTCATCTCGAGAAGTGATCCTTAAGTCAGGGCGAATGTGGAAACTCAGAGGCACGAAGTGCTCTCTCTTATAAGGGCTCTTGTCTCTACCCTGGCGGATGACCAAGCGAGGGAAGCCAACATGAATTAGGATTTGAATATCAGCGATGCAGTTATCTATGAAGGACGCAAAAGAATATGGATCGAGAATGAAATGGGAGAAACCAAGATAAACGGTAGTAGAATTGCAACGGCCGAAGGAGCCTGCAGGGAGCACGACCGCTGGAATCTGTTAGAGCCTTCAGACTGCGTTTTTCTGGGACTTGTCCTTCGTACTTGGTCGAAGTAAGCCAACGGGCAGCAGGCAGGCAGCAGAATTGCAGGATCAAGGTGCCAGGCAGACGGCCGTCAACGACTGATGGATGAAGATGAAGAAGGGCAATCTCACAGCGCTGCCGGGATTGTTGACATTGACGGGGAGTTCATTTCCTGATTGGGTTACGCTCTCGGGAGCCTCATTTGGGGCAGGCAGGAGCAACGGCTGATTGGATGGAGCAGGTGCAGTTGACTCAAAGGCTGCCCCAGATTTCGGATCCGCCCCACACCAGCCTCACCGCGACGAAGGGACCTTGCCATATCAGGTCTAGCGCATGAAACGGCGTACCGTACAAACGCAGTTGGACGCTGGCATACTGAGTACAGGTACATACATACATACATACATACGCGGAACAGCTGATGGTCAAGCGACGGTTCTTTGTGCCCTTCTCTTCCGATTCCTCAACAGATTCACGGCACGCAGAGCACAATTAGCCCAACAGAAAAAGTTCCCCCAAAAATTTTTAAAGGTGGAAAAATTCAAATGCCCACAGGCGGGATTGAACCGCCCACCTCTTGATTACAAGTCAAGCGCTCTACCACTGAGCTATGCGGGCTTGCGACAAGTCGGCGGAAATTTACCCACAGATCGGAGTGCACCCAGGTCACTGTTAGACAAGTGACGTAACCAAAACTTGTATGGTAATTACGCGCTCCTCTCCCAATCCGTTCCTCTGAAGGTTGGCCGGGAATCGTAAGTCACGGTAAAACTTTCCTCCGAAACACAGGGCTCGCTCCAAGGTGGCGGCGGGTTTGGGCCACTGTGAGGGAGTCCAGGAAGCTCTGAGGGAGCCCGCGTTCAGACCATTGATATGGGGCACTTGCGCGCCGAACGCTTGATAATTCGAATGCACTGATTCCGTCATGAATCTGCTACTGGCTTTCGTCTATATCCTCACCCTTGGCCTTCTCCTCGCAAATGGCTCTGCCTTCGTCGCTGCGACCCATACTTCTAATTGGGCTGTCCTGGTGTCAACATCGCGATTCTGGTTTAACTATCGCCATCTCGCCAATGTCCTTTCCCTCTACCGAACGGTAAAGCGCTTGGGCATCCCCGACTCTCAGATCATCCTCATGCTGCCCGATGACATGGCGTGCAATCCGCGAAACGCATTTCCAGGAACCGTTTACAACAATGCGGATAGAGCGCTGGATCTATATGGTGATAACATCGAGGTGGATTATCGAGGCTACGAAGTGACTGTCGAGAGTTTTATTCGCCTTCTCACTGATCGCCTGGGAGAGGACGTGCCCCGCAGCAAACGGCTAGGCTCCGACGCCGGAAGCAACGTCCTGGTTTACATGACGGGTCACGGGGGGGATCAGTTCCTGAAATTCCAAGACTCTGAAGAAATCGGTGCATGGGATCTGGCCGATGCATTTGGTCAAATGTGGGAGAAGAAACGTTACAGTGAATTACTATTTATGATCGACACCTGCCAGGCAAACACCATGTTCACACATTTTTATTCCCCAAACATCATCGCGACCGGTTCAAGTGCATTGGACCAGTCTTCCTACTCCCATCATGCAGACAGCGACGTTGGAGTTGCCGTTATCGATCGCTGGACTTACTACATTCTCGAATTCCTTGAAACGCAGGTGACTTCACCGAGCTCTAAGCTCACACTTGGCGACCTATTCGATTCATACGACGAGTCAAAGATTCACTCGCAGCCAGGTGTGCGCTGGGATCTTTTTCCCGGTGGTGAGCAGGCTGGGCGGTTACGCAAAGTTATGGACTTCTTCGGCAACGTCCAAGATGTTGAAATTGAAGCTGGGCAAAATGCCACCGCTGATATCCGTGAAGACTTGGCAGCTGTTGCGAAGTTGGTCGAGGAGTGGAAACAGCGAGAACGTGCTTATTTCTCAAATGCGAGCAGCACCGAATCTGTGTCGGAGCAGCTGTCCAACACTGCCCAGAAAAATCGTGTTACCCTCTCTCCAGTGCAAACACCCACTGGTGCCGTGAGAATGAAGGACATGAATACCTGGAACAAACAAGCCGTCGGCGTATCTTTGTTGGCTGGCCTGGGGGCTGTGTGGCTCGCTGGATCTTTAACGGCAAAATCATAACATTTGCGTCTGTTGACTGCTATCATTTACTTCCCTTGTATATATCTGACGCATGGGTAGGTTTCGGAGTTTCGATACCCGTTTTTAGAGCAGTTAGATGTGCTCTTCATGTCTTTTGCTTCTAGCATGGTGAGCGGAATGGTCATGGGGTTAAATTTGAATCAGTTCAAGTGTACAATAGTAGGATTTTATCTCATATTTCATCATTAATTATCGCCAATTTCCAATCATGATATCAAACCATGCTTAATTTCGTATATACATAAAAAAGCAGGCCCTGAAGCAATAAACAAGGTATGCTCATGATGAAAAGCTACTGGAGGCAGAAGTGCTCAGGCACTTCAATAGTTATTATGTCCGACCAACGCATTCGAAAGGGTATCGTCACGGCAACCAGAATAATGAAAGAGCTTAGCGGCGCTGTTCAATGCTGCGAATCACTAGTAACAAAGAGGTATTGATGAATTTGTAGGTGGGCATCGCATCAACCTACAACGCTTCTGAAACTCAGCGCCTCTAAAAATCCACCCAGATCCTCCTTTTGCACCTCTACCACGCAATGCTCAAAGCTATCAATGCGAACACGCGCATTTGTCTCGCGTACCACTTCTTGGAATGCAATCCCAAAGCGGTTTTTGAGAAACTTGTGCCCTGTAAATCTTGCCTGCTCATCATCTGACTCGGAATCAGAACTTGAAGACGATGAATCCTCCTCTTCACTTTCCGAATCATCTGGCTCGTTCTCTCCTTGCTCTGCACACTCGGCAGCACGTTTGGCACGGCGTTCTTCGCGCTCAGCACGTTTTCTCTCGTGAGCTTCTTTCTTCTTTTTCCGGTCTTCTCTGCGCTGGGCTGCAGCAGCAAAGTCAATCACCCCACCCCCTCCGCCGGTTCCGACGACAACATAAACATTTCTATCTTCGTCCAATCCTGCCAAAACAAGTGGAGTTCCCATTCCTCGTTTACCTGCAATCTTATATCCGTCCGCCTTGTCTTTCTCTTGAATGCGGACAGCCTCACCCACCCATAAAGCTAGCTTGGTCAATGCGCCGGGATTCGTAAACAGTTTGACATCTGGTCCGTCTTTCACGACAGCAATGCGAAACGCGCGCAAATGTCGAATCTGCCTTTTGGATAGCAGTGACGTCCCAGTGCGTAAGATTGCACGATGCAAGTGTTGAGCCAGAGGAAGGAACTTAAGGAGTTCAGTAGGTGATTCGGAGGATGTGGGTGAAAGGGCATCATAAGCATCCCAGAATCGGGCAAGAATACTGGGCGAATCTTGGTTGGAGGAAGAATCAGTATTTTCCTTCTCGTCCGACTCTTTGGGAGCATCTTGTTTAGCAGCAATGGATATGCCAGATTGGAGTGAGCCGACTTCCAGGATTGCACCAATAATTACGCCAATGTCGGTCGCAGAGAGGCAGGCCTTCCATCCCCAATTGCGAACAAAGCCCCATCCTTCCCGAGTCCCTGAAAAACCTCCTGATGAGGGAGGAGGCACCAACCCTTCCAACCCATACATCGGCGCGTACTTCAACATCTTTTGTCGTAGATCGCGCTTTAAATCCATGTCCATATGGGTATAATTTTGGTGGCATTGGGTGAGACTCACACCCATCTTAGCAAGGAGCTTACGAAGCCTTCTTCGCCCTGTTTCGTTCCAGACGTGTAACCTGGGCGCTAAGTAGGGACTATGAAGCATGCTCTCATAGAGAGACCAATGTCGTAGTAATAAAAGCCGTGGTTCAGGCGATAGCAAGATGGAAGTGTCTGTGGGTGATCGTCCAGTGGTTGGTATGACGCCATTGACTTCACTTCGCATAGCTTCACGCCCATTTTCACTGTCGCCCGGGGGGTTCAGACGTCGAACTTCGTCTCGTAGAAGCTGACGTATTCGCTCACCCCTTCCTCCACCCCAACCTGCTGATCCGCCAGACTCGGATGAGTCCGATATTCCTACCCCCGACATGGTACGGCCGGATAGCTCCAGGCTACAGACCCCAATAATTGCAAGCCACAAAATGTCATTATCTTCACGGCCAAGTTCCGACGCTAATGAGTAAAGGATGGAGGAGATGGGTTCGGAATATGATGTCCCGAGAGAGTAGTAAGCTCGAAGTACATCTTCATGTTTTCGCTTAAGTCGAATTAACCGTCGTCGTAGGGTACGTGCGGATGGCGCCGTTGGTGTTTCAGGAGAGACAGAGCGTGAACGCGGGGAGGGAGAACGCGATGACTGCGATGAGTCTCGCTGTGAAGTTAGATAGGGGTTGAGGGTGGACACCGAGGATCCCTTGGCCAGAATATTAGTTAACATCCCACGAGAGGATTTTGTGAGCCAACATACTGAATTGCTCCTTCTACGCTGTCGTGGTGGTCCGTCCTCGTCACCAGAGTCTTCGTCCTCTCGACTGGACCATGATTTTCTTTTCTTCGTAGGTCTTCCCGCCTCCTCCTCCGAATCTCCATCGCCGTCAGATCCATCACTCTCGTCGCTATCATCGTCAATTTCCGGCATTGCCTCCAAGCTACAATAAGCGTCTCTTTGTGCGGCAAGATCGTCTTCGATATCACCATCGTCATAAACAATGATCCCGCCTTTCCCGGGTTTATATGACTCTGTTATGCGACCTCTATCCACACCAGCAGCACGCGTTTTCGACATCTCGTTGGTTTCTTCCGGTTGGGCACGTTCTGGATGTCCTCCAAAAACATTCCCCAGATTCCACGGTCTTCTCGCGTCAATAACCCAGACCTCCACACCACCCATATCTCCCGTCTCGCCATCGGTTTCAAGGCCAAGAATCTCGCCTAAATCTACAAGCCCGCCCACGCCCATGCAAATCACAATACCTCCACTACCGCCCATTGTCGTTTGCATCGGCTGAACAAGTTCCTCGCCAGCACGAGCGAGATCCCCATAGCCACCAATTGGTTGTATTTTATGAGGAATATAATCCCTTTTTAGCAAGGCAGTAAGAATTCGGCACGCGCATAGTGCATCTGGCTCGAGCGCCGCAAGGATTAGGACGGGCGGAGAGAGAGGGTGGTGAGATCGGAGCAAATGAGAATAAAGAAGAGATATAAGAGACCTAGGCAGATACATTGTAGGTCTCAATTCTTAAATCGTCGCTAATCTGGTGGGTAAACGGCGGCATTCGAATCGTATGTTGATGTTGGTTGACACGCGGTATTGACTTCCGTTCTTCAACACGCGTTTTGGCCGCCAAGACCTTTCTCGACCTGTCACGTATCACGTGAGATAACCATAATTTTGCCTTTTCTCTATTATGGTTAGCGTTTAAATCACATGATTTGGATGCCAAGAGATTTGATAAGATAAAGCTGTCCTTCCAAGCCTCGGCATTCTCGGCTCCTCCCGCAGCTTGCCAGCTCCTCGTCAAGCAAAGGCGGAGTGCTTCTTAAATAAAAGGTGAGGTAGAGCTCCCTCGTGGGATCTGTACGGAGTAGATGTATTCATTTGCTACAGGACGGAATACATAGTCATCATGCCTCTTCTCACCCTTCACCTCCTCCGCCTGCAGCCAAACACGGACGTCAGGAACTTCGTGCACTCAGTGCGAAGCTCTCCAGATGTCGAAGTTGTAGTGGCCTCTCGACCGCGGCGATATGTCATTCGCCCTGAGATAATCGATGTCCATCATCTAACCAATCAACAGTGGGATCTTATGCTGCTGCTCCGCTCAGCTAGAAATGGGATTCCCCCAGCCCTGCGGTCTGCTGTCAGCGCAGAGTATTCAGTGAACGCTGGAATCCCATCCAAACTCCTCAAAACGTATCCGCAGCTTGACGCAAAGCTAAAACGAGAGGCCTCATCAGCGCCTTTAACTAGTTCGCTGGAAAAGGCTCGCAATAGATCATCGTCTCAATCCTTGGAGCTATCGGCAGATCTTCTGGCGTTTATGGATGAGCTGGTCAAGGAGCATGACAAGCCGGTCACCATGCTCAACCTTCTTCATTTTCATCCCAACGGGAAGCCAGAATACTTCAAATACGGACAGGTAATCTTGTATCGCAACTTAGGAGCCATGTTCTCTTCTAAACGTCTGTCACAGGGGTTTATTTCAGTTGCCGGAAAGCGTGGGGGAAACGCGAAAATCGTCGGTAACGTGGTAAAGCCCCCTAGTGGCCAAACCGACTCAAAAGGGGAGGCAGATAGACTCGAGAATGAATGGTGGAATGAGATATCTATCGTCCATTACCCTTCCATCCGTCATTTCTGCGATATGTTAGCAGGCGAAGACTACCAGGAGATCAATTCAAAACATAGGCTTGGGGTAAGTTGCTCTATGTTTTTCATCCAAGGACCCTGGCATACGAATTTAACTGCATATTAGGCACTTCGAGATACAATACTTCTCTGCACCACAGAAATTGATGTTGAAGACGCGCAGCCAAATTCGAAACTCTAACGTTATCCCACACAAGCACTCTAGAGGGCCCTTTCTCCTTATGTATATACAATAAGCGCTTGATTCTGACGTAGAATGGACCGTCCAATTTAACAGCCATTTTGCTTGATTCCTGTGTGGGCCTCATCAAGTTCAAAATGTGTTGTTTTCGGGCTTTTCTTCATTATTGAATATTCAATATCCCACTTCCCCATTGTTAGCCTGCACCGAATTTTCTCATGAAACCCTTGCCGGACATAGAGGCTATGAGCTGTGGTAGAGGCCTCAAGCCATACTGGGAGCATCATGTGGTCCGCAAGTCCAACGCCCCATTTCACGAGCCGGGTGGCAATGCCTTGTCCGCGATACTCCGGGTCGACAAAAAGGGACTCAAGTACTGAATGAAAGAAAATTAGAAATCGTTATAGATTTCCCAATATTTTAAATAGCATATTACTTCTGGAGGCGCAGTGATAAAAAGTAGCTGAAGGTAGCTAACCACTTACGGATATGCGGGCCCTTAATATGCCTGGCCAAGCGATCAACCACATCCTGAAGGATCAAAGCGGCAATGTCCCTATCCTCTGGGTCCTCCAACCAAACGAAGGAGCTCGGATCAATGTCCAGAGGCGTACGAGGGATGTACGTTGCGCAGATCGTATATTTGGCTACGCCCAGTATTTTCTTTCGAGGATCGCTGGCGGAAATGGCTTTGAGCCAGACAACTTCCCTTTGCTTGGTTCGTTGATCCGCATATTGCTCTTTGCATTTAGCACGGTTCTCAATGGTATTTCCTCCACGGACCAACTCGCAAAACCTCTCCTTTGAGAAGGCACGGAACTGTACTTCTATCACTTCATCCCAGTCTCTTTCATCGATTGGCATCAGTATGCAATGAACCATGGTTCCTGGATCCTCAAAATTCCGTATAGTCCAAGTGCGGGGTAATAGTGAAGGCGTAACAAAGAGTAAACCGTTGAAGTTTTAGAGCATGGCCAGGGCAAGCTGAGGATAAGAATTGTCCCTCTCACACGCGTTCTTGAAGTTGCTTGCTAATAAAAACATTTTGAGCCCGAGTTTGAGCCTGTGCAGCCGCCTTCAATTCGGCGATTAACGAGTTTGGCATCCCTGTTCCTTGGCCAGTCTTTGGAGATTTAAAAGGCCCCGGCAAGGCAGCGCTCAGGCATTGCGGAAGCAAACCTTGTAAAAAAAATGTATCTCTGGGCTTTCAGAGGGCAAAATCGATTTTCTTATCTTTTCTTTTTTTTTTTTTTTTTTTTTTTTTTTGTATCATCACCATTCTCCTGTTGATATTTGAGTGATTGGTCACTTTTTCTGTTTTCCAGGATGAAAGGATATCGACTCGGCAGCCGGCCCGTGAGCTTGCCAGGGCCAGTCACAGTAAATCACGATATCACAAGAGGCCCATGACCGCCGATCTGACCATGTTTCACTTGGGGCCCTGTTCTTCCGAGGGAAAAAAAGAGGAAAGGACAGGAAGTTGTTGAACCGCGTGTGAATGTGGAAATTCGCTCAGTATCGTGCTTTTTCACCAATTCCCATCGGAAGCCAAAGTCTCCTGAATCAACGTCGTTAGGATAGAGTTACACGAGCCCACAGAACATTTGCTTTTTGCTTTCTCCTGCCCAAACTCAATCCGGAAAATGTAGTTCCTCCACCCTCCGGACCGAACCTTAGCGTAACCACGGTGTAATAAACTTTATTGTATTATGAAGGCTGTACGGAGTACTCCGTACCGCTAACATGTTTATACAATACCAATACATATATTCCATAACCAACATACATATGGATGAAGCACGGTATTTCCTAGAGCCTTAAGATATCTACATACGAAATTGTCAGGTTCCTTGGATCTATTGCATAGACATTGTAGCACTTTGTGTTTGGAGAAACAAACTCTCTGTGCATTATCCGCGATGTGGCCTGGACAAGGGTAACTTGAAGTGTCGGATATCAGCGGGAAAGAGACAACAGGGTATTAGGAGCATTTATCATGCGCTCGTCATGGAGCTGATCAATATTTTGAGATTTGAGAGAAGAGGCATCGGGTTGCAGTTGAGCAGAGAGGTTCATTATGGCTGTATGTGCCAACGGAAGGACACTGCTTCATTTTGTAACTCTCGTGATAAATTATCCAGCATCGAGTGCCTTCACTTATCGTTCTCCGTTGTCTCTCACTCTCGACAGTGCCGGGGCCAATCCTCAACTTGGTCACAATTTGTTTGACACGTTGTCTCAATGGCATGTGCATACGTGTCGTCTTGTAAGGGCGCGACAGTGACATTTACCCAGCGCAGAGTTCGAGAACGTCGCTTGCCAGTTTCAGCGGATGAATTCGGAGGGGCGTAATTGCACCCTTTCCCTTGTCCCTGGCCCCATACGGTATTGAATGCAATCAAAAAAGGGTGAAGGCACGGGATCATTGCAGTCATGAGACTGTGGTCAAAGATGACCTACGTATGGAGTACATATGCTAGGATCAATGCTTTGTAAAGTCGGATCGATCGGGGTAACGGCGCCGTCAATTCTGATTATCTATGTTCCTAAAGAGTATGTTAGGACACAAAGTACTCCGTACGGAGTAGAGGCGAATCCGACATTCGGCACGTTTCCCGAACCCTGCATCCAAAAGCAGCGACAGCAATCACTTTGCATGCCCATGGCAACCGTAAAACCCCATACAAGTTTTATCTCAGCACCAATAATCAGAGCTGCACTAACAACATCACAAAACAGCTATAACATGCCATCTGAGTTTCTAGTCTCAATTAGCGTAGAGTACGGATGATTTGAATGAAAACAAATGGATGATGCGAGAATTGTCCTTACCGTTCTAGTGCAGGAATCAGCAATACATCACGGTTTCAAAACGAAGCCCAATATCGCTATTGTAACTATGAGGCCAAGGCAGATTTGTCGATATAACCGTTCTTGACCCAGCCGCCCTACCAGTAGAGTAACCGATATTTGCGCGGCATATCGTCCAAGAGGAAAAGGTCGCTGACGTGGAGACCCTAGATGACCGTCTTTAGCAAGTACTGCCGATAGAAAATTTCACATGTCGCCAATTTACTTTTTCTGGGGTAGTTATTTCTGCCGCATCGGGCATGGACTTGGATCTTTCCGATCCCTGCGTTATGAGGTTAAGCAAGACGCTGACATGGACCACTCAAAAAATCCGAAATCGACAGTGTATTGTATCCTAGATTCAACAGGTTTTCTTAGTCAGTATGTATATATCGTACGTACAATAAGCAAAACGCAAGAGGAAAATGCGGAGTACCCAGTGTCCGAATTCCGGCTGCAAAATCATCCATAACCAAAGGCCCATTGATGTGCATCCGAGTAGATGTCCGAGATATAAAACAAAGACACATCCACGACATCAAGATAGCCCTGGCAATGACCCATAGTAAAGAAGGAACGATAACCTCCCGAAGCTACAGCCATTGCTTTTGTGGGGGTAAATGTAAATTAGATATTTCAGGACCCCTTGACGAATTGTTAGACTTAGAGCGCCTCTAGCCTCTAAGCATTGATCCTTTTTGGCTCAGTTGGTTAGTTCAATACGAATCCGGACCCCAAGACTTCCATATGGGTGCTTCTCACAATCATCTAAAGAAAATTAAAGCTCCTTGCAATGAAATATCATAACTTCAATCAAAATGCTCCTGGGCTCAACCATGAATGGACTTTAATATCCCTCAGGGGTAGTTAAGAGTTGATGAACCTCAAGAGTCTTTCCTTGTGCATCCACGCTTCAGATGCTATGGCTATTGATAAAATAGCAGCAAAAGGACACGAGAAGAAGAAAAAGGAGATTAGACATTTGTTTCGCACCCAAATCCAGACCAAAGATGGACATGAGTATTTGAAGACGAGGTGTGACCTGTCCACGGTGTGAACAAGACAAAGCAAGGGCCAATTCACAGTGAACACAGAGTAGTTAAATTAAGCCATGCAACGATCTATTGGAGCACAACTACACCAGCTTCGTTCAACTCATTGACAATTTTGCTTTTTCAGAAGCCGATCAGTTGCTCAAGAAAGAGAGCTTCACGTATGAAAGAAGTTTGTTCGGGGAATGGAGAGCACCCGAACAGGTTCTCAGTAGGTATTGTAACTAAATGTGTAGATTTTCGGGCTTTCACCTGTGCATCCTCTTCCGAGAACAAGCATGGCGCGTGGCCGTGTTTGATAGGGCTGAGGCGAACAATGTTGGATGTTGGCCGCTGCGTGGAAGACCGTCAGTTATATTTCACTAGAAATATAACTACTCGTAATCCACTGAAATTTCATGCGCCGGTAATTACAGGCCACTACTTTGTATTCACCGTACAGAGTCACCTTCGTAGGAACGTGCCACGCCAATGCCATTCCGAGAACGGGCAAAAAATGAGCGAGCAAGCTCAGAAGATGCTTTTCCCGCCGCGAATCCGATTAATGTTCTGTTCCTGAAAATTCCCCCGACCCCCACCATGGCGCATGGAGCACACCGACTCCGAGGTCCTGTCCGGGCATACATTTATGCTATGTCTATCAGGTCGCTCTCCTTCTGCGTTTTCGCTTGATCTTGACCCGGCGAAGAGGGTCCTCTATATATATGTGGCCCGTGTCTGTATATACAAGAAAATATCCAGCTCCTGCTCTGGATACTTTTCCATCGAGCTCTGCACAGCCTTTCCTGTCTCTTCCAAGCAACCATTATTGCATCATTTGAGCTTTACTACACCCGTTTCCATGGGAGTGTGGTTTCAGATGCGAAAGCCAGAAGCCAAATTTGACCTTTCAAATACCTTGTGACCATGAGCCAATAACTTGAATTGAATTCAGGCCATGACGCATCCAATTCCGCAGGAGAGCTCCTTGGTTGATGCAGCCGTCAAATGGCACGGTCAGCCCAAGAGGAGGGACAATCCAAGACAAACAAGATATGTGGAGAATTGGAACAGACCAGCAATTGAACAGAAAAAAAAGGAGTGAAGGAGAAATATGGAGGGTTCCTGACTTGGTTGTTAACCATTGCTCCGCTAAAACTTTAGATTCCTGTCTGTGTTGAGATTAATTTTTTTCATGTGTTTGGATTCTTTGCTGTGCTCATTCCTTTTGTGTGTTGGCACTTAGGAACAGTGCTACGGAGGTTTTCCAGATCTTTGAGGATCGCGGCAGATGGGGGAGTAATGATCTTGCATGTCTCATTGGGCTTGTTGCACAGATATACGCCTTGATTGATAAAGAATGACATGCGCAGACCTCCAGTGATAGTTCCACGGCTGTCATTACCTAGGACTGAATCCTGCAGTCCATATATGGATGACTTCAACTCATGATTCATGTAGATACGCGTCAAGACCCTAACCGACGAAAATAGCAGAAGAAATCAAAGATACTCCCGGCGTTTTACCACCCGTGATGATCTGGATGCACAGTCTCAACAGCCTGGCTGGGTTGATCGCGCTAATCACGATCTCATTCTCGTGTCTACAACATTGATGATGAGGCTTTGACGTCTCATGACGTCTCCGATGGGGTCCGGCTTCCCGTTTATTTTAAGTTTGGTACACGCAATCAGGTCAGTATCCGGCGCAACGGTGTTGTCACTCGGTGTCGTATCGCCCTATCCTCTTACATCGTTTCCATCTCTTGCATTCGGCCCAAACGGTAGCGTAGCGGACCACTTCCCCCAGCACGCTGGAGTATGTGGAAGTGGTCTAGCACCGTTGAAACGGTTGCCATTTTGTTCATCTTGATTATTTGAATAGTTGCTTTCTTCCCACTGACGAGAGCAGTCCGCGTCCAAACAATGAATGGGAGCTGTGCAAATGGCGCAGTGCTAATATTTTCACTGGTGTATCATTTCTCCTAGACGAAGAATGTGAATAGCGGACCTGCGACGCGGATTAGACCTTGAGTAGAACTGGTTAGTCCTCACTAAGGCATCCAATATGCGATATTTTAATCATGATAAAATGAGTTGGTGGATGGTTTTAGGATGTATCTGCGTTCATAATCAGAATGAAGATAAAACATTTCAAAACGCGAAAAGCGGAGAAACTCAAGCCATCATACTTTACAAACTAGTTAACCAAGGGCTTTCGCACCAGCACCACTAGTTAACCATGCAACTCCAAAGCGAAGTACGAGGCGGGGTGACATTCGAGTAAACAACTCCCAGCCGAGTCCTAACGATATGACTCATCTCGGAATAAAAAAGGGCATCAGCTAACTAAATCCCGGATGTTATTTAATCAGGATGAAGAAGATACAAGACCAAAGCGATCAATCCTTTCCCTTTCCGCAGGGCGTATATCGTGATCAAAATCCCTCTGACGAGCAATGCCGCCCCAACTCCAATTCAACCCCACCACCAACGAACCCTTCCTCTCAGTCCCCATCCCATCTGCCCCCAATGGCCCGGATACCACGAGCCATATAATCATCACCCCCTACCGCCCTGACCAAGATGTAGAACCTATACTCACATCTCTAAACGATCCCATCATCTACAAGTGGTTAAGAACTCCACCGGTGCCATATACGCGCGAACACGCGGAAGAGTGGATCAGATTGTGCAAAGGGAGCTCAGACAAGCTCATTCCGGAGATCGAGGAATGGCAACGCGGCGAGAGGAAATGGCTGAGCGGGTGTCCCGTCAGAGCGATCAGGGAGGTTCGACAGACCAAAGACGGACAGGTTGAGGAGGTGTTGCTGGGAGATGTCGGCATTATCAGATATGCATTTGACGACACCCTGGACGAGAGCGAAAGGGAAGAGATGAAGCGAATTAATGACGAGAGAGAAGTAGGAGACGAGAGAACCATCTGGACTCTTGGAGGTGTGTAACTTTTGTTATTTGCGGTACTCTGCCCAACGCCATTGTCGGTTTATTTCAATACCAGCTCATACCTACTTACCCTGATACAGATTGGCTTGCGTCAACGCACCACGGGAAAGGAATCATGAGTGCTGTCGTTAGAGTCATAATGGACTGGGCCATGGCGAACCTGAACGTCCACCATATGAAAGTCCATGCTAGTGTTGGGAATATCGGCAGCTGTAGGGTGTTTGAGAAGAATGGATTTACGCTCACCGACACGGTCCACGATGCCTTTACACTTCCGGAAATCAAGGGTGGTGGGAAGGCAAGCTTCTACACTTTGCGGTGGGCCAGAAGCACAGAGTGATCGTGTGGGTTTGCAGCATTAGTATATAAAATAACGCGCGATCTGGGTATACTTTTAAGAGCATGATCGAGGATTCATGGTTGAGAAGGGCGATTAGATAGATGTAGATCAAGCAATTAGGAGAGCCTGTACAATTTGATCATGTATACGCAGTACAATAGTATATACGCTGGCGTAAGAGCTTAAAAAAAATAAATAAAAATAAAAATAAAAAAAATAAAACCACAAAAAGAAAAAGATGGGTATATAAAAATGACTTTGTGATTGCATATGCGCTCGTCCCGTTTTAAAAAATTCGAATATAAAACTTAACATTCGAATCAAGAGTTCCCAAGTAGAAACGACACGAAAAATCAATGCGGTCGGGGATCTTCTAAAGGGGTTCCATGACAGCACAAAACTCAATCGACATCAAAGGTGGGCTTAAGCAGGAGCCCTACCATATAAACGTGGACTGCAAGCACGGTAAGAATTTAGTGGGATAGCATAGGCTACGCAGCAAAGTGGACACAGGCCGTCGTGGTTCGACCCAGTCGTCATTATATCTGTGAAGTCCGGATTTAGCGGCGCTGACGAGAGGTTCGAAGGTGCGGCCAATGGAAACGATGACGGGCTGGGCTGAAGAAAATCGGCTCACTGTGCCCTCCGAAGATCTTCAAGCTTGGAGTTAAGACGTGACCACGGCTCGAAAGGCGGCGAACCGGCGAAACACCCGCATCCCGTGTCACCATCCATAACTGTGCTCTGGGCACTTTTTCGACATCATCCGGAAAGTGATAGCGCTCGTATCATCTTTATCGTAGCGATATTTTGGCCAATACGAACAACCTCAAGAAGGTAAATTCCATATAAAATTCAGATTCGATCCTTCGAAGCCAGACCAGAGCTGATTTCCACCATCTCCAAATGGCGCCATTGACGGATCGAAAGGCAACGAAAGCCAATCATCTGCGTTGATATCGTTCAGCGACAGTATCTGATCGTCAAACACCGGATTTGAAATTTCCATTTGTCCACCGCCATTCCCCGTCATATGGCCTACGTCGGGCTGGCCCGCTGAACTGTGGAGATCCGCCGGCGGTCGTACAGACGATGGTCTTGTGGTGCCCCGACTAGTTCTCTTGTTGGACAGGACAAAGCTACGCCGAAGCCGGGTAATGAGAGATTCAAGGAGCGTCGCATATCTGGATCCAAGATGGATGTCATCAAGAGAGCTGGACCTTAACGCTTGAATACTTCTAGTTAATATCTCGAGGGACTCCTGTAGTTTTGCGTTGCGTACACCCAGGCTGAGAGCCTTAAGGAGGAAGATGGAAGAGCTTGTTACTCGAAGGAATATCCTGACAGGTGAAAACCGCAGCGCCCCCGTTTCCGCAAGCGTAATGACTTTCTGGAGGATGTGGCATGAACCATCGATGACTTCTTGGATAAACTCGTAATCAATGTCGTCCACGTTCGTTTGGCGGACTTCATCCAGGGCGGAGTCTGGGTCTGATTCAGCGAGGAGTCGTTCTACAACTGCTTGCATGCCAATTGAATTCGTGTATACTCGGGTAAACTGGTATTCTATGAAAATCATGTCACGGAAAGGCGGGGACAAATCTGTGCCACCATCAGTTGAGCCCATAATAGTAACACAAGAAACCAAGGGTCACTCACGTCGCGTATCCAGATGCTTCTGCCGCCACTGTGATAGTAATGGGCGAAAATGATCCAAAAGCCCAATATACCGACCGCTGTGGAACTGCTGGCGCGTCAAAGACGCAGACGGAAAGAACATATCCGTAACGGACTTTGAAAGCTTCGTAAGTTCGATCCAAGAATTCATAAACGAATGCCATTCGTCACCCATCTGAAGAGCAGGTTGAGAAAACGGTGCCAGGACAGCATGATTCAGACTCTGTGGCATGAGCGACATGCATCCGAGCCGTGAAGCTAGCTGATTAATGAAAACGTAGAGCAGTTGTTGGATGCGGCATCGGCGAAGATTGATATCGACGCCCTGGCTTTCCATTTCCGGGCTTGATATCATGCTCCTGGCTCGAGAGTCATCCGCGTCGAATATTCCAAGCTCGTGTGCTAACGTCAGCCCAGAACCGAGGAGCATCCACGACATCCGATCGGACCGCCTTGCCGGCTCAATAACATCTTCAAGCCAACGATTCGGAGCCGATACGGACATGTCGGGACTGATAGCAGAGGTAATATGATCTGGGGATGTCATCATCAGGTCCGAATCCCAGCCGTCACTCTCGGGTGGAAAGTGCAGAGATCGGGGGTGCCACTCGGACATCAACAGGAGCGCTTCGATCGTGCCAACTGTCCGAGTCTTCGCCTTCGATCCCTTCTCCTGGCCGAGCATGACTCGCATGATTAAATGCTGACAGTGCTGCCACAGCCGTTGATGAATGAAGAACCCTCTCGAAGCCCCACCCACACCTGGCAGCGTGTGATACCGTGAGGAGATCATTAAGATGGTGCAGCAGAGGACGGGCTCCTGGGTGATCAGCCAGTAGTGGTTACGATGGTGCGAATAGAAGTTCGACAATATCGGTGACAGCGGCGCCATGTTCTTGAAGAATCTGCATTACGCACCGTGTTAGCTCTCTCCAACAACGGCATTCCCTCATGTCGTCCAGAGACACCCGGGAGAAGGGGAGGAGAGGATTTGAACATACAGATCAATATACGTCACGGCCTCCCTCGACGAGAACCAGCCCATCTTGACAAATCGGCAAGAATCCCAAACCGCCACAACCTCAGGTTCCGCAGGCGACAAGTGTGCAGGATCGGACACCGTCGTCGCCATCCCCAGGGATGTCGTCGACCCGGGGGTCCCGTGGGTCTGCTGCATGGGCTGAGCAGTCTGGCCCAAAGCAGCAGCCCTCGAGTTCGTCGACATGTCCCCGATACTGGCCCCTTGCTCTTGGGCCGCGGCCTGGAAGAGGATATTCAGCGCATCGTTCCCGCTGGAGACCACGGTACGCATGACGGAGCTCGCGAGACCGCTGGAGGCACCAGGGTCCGACGCAGGGTCCGGGCGAGGGGCCATCGTGGAGGTTAAGGGCGAGGTGCTGCTGGTGCTCATGTTGGCCGGAGTACTTGCCGCGCCGGTGGGCTCATATTGCATCGGCAGCGGAGCAGCTGCGTTGGAAGGGTGCGTTGACGTTGATGCGGGTGTTTCGGCGTCCGTGATGGCTGATGAGTGAAGCGATGCGCTGCCCGGAGTGCCTGCCGCGCTGGCGGGAACGCCGGGTATTTGGGGCGAGCCTGTCAGGGACGGCTGTTGCTCGCCGGAAGTTGTACTAATGACATTGTTCGCTGCTTGCTCCGTCAGCATATAGTCTTTTATTTTTATTTTTATTTTTATTTTTTTAAAAAAAGAAACAGGGTAGGATAATATTTTGTCTTTTTTTTTTTTAATTAATTACTTACTCTTCTTTTTCCGTGACCACGCGCGATCTTCGCTGAATAGACAGTTCCGCTGTTCGCGTCGGCATCTTAGACACGGTGGACCGGGCGGGATCCCGCGCTCCCTGTTCCCGCCGAGTTCGCATTTTGCCTTGCGCTGCCGGCAAGAGATGCAAGCCTTGTACGTCCGCAGGAACTCGCGGTTGCCGGAAGCTCTGCTCCATGGTGGTCTCTCCATTGCTTGTCTTCGGGAAAAGGAGGGGGTGGGGGGGCGGGCGCTCAACTGGGTAAATTCTGGCGGTTCTTTCGATTCATCTCCGTCAGACTTTCGCAACCGAAGAGCACCGCATTATGCGGAGTCGAAAAGGACAAGGCCAGGCAAAACTTCCGCCGCTCGCTGATCCGCACGCGGTTTGGACGTGTGCGGCTGGCGAATCGCAAGCGCCGCAGTGGCTGTTGTTGCCGCGTCTAGCCGCGATGCCGGTTGCTGACTCATCAGGTCTCGGCTAGTTCGACTTTTTGCCGAAACCGTATTAGTCCTGGAGAAAGAACGAGTCAAGGGAACAGAACAGCTGCTGCGATGTATCTTTTTGTACCAAGGGTTCGGGTTGATCAGCTCTTTGGACCAGACAGCAGTTATGTACAGATGTGCTTGACGCGTTTTCATTCATAGGGTGGATTTTGCTGTGGGCTGGCTACGGAGTACTACGTCCAAAACACACTCGCCAAGCTCCTACAGAGCAATTTGCTCGACCTCATTAACTAACTACTCTCCGTCGCAAAAAAAAAAGGTCCAGCAAGTCGTCACGAAACTTCCGCATCTCTGCGCGCTATGACAGAACGCAGGATCAACACCCCCTGCTGAAGACCTTCACCGGATGTGCTTCGGTGTTGAATACGTATGCATTCGTTCCTCCGGGACCGGCTACCTGCCAGTCTGCTTCTGTTTTTACGCAATCGTCAGTCACTTGCAAACCCCCTGGTCCCTGGGCGGGCATGAAGGCCGGATCTTTATTTTACCTGGTGAGTGGATGAGATAGGAGTACTTCATCACTTCAGCAAAGAGGAAGCTCTCTTGGTTGTCATACTTTCGACCTCCGTCTGGCGTATTGACGTCCCCAATGGCGGTGAAACCGGTGCTCGTGCGCGTCGTTGCGTTGATCGCCACGAAGGCATCCCATGCCCACTCTTGATACTGCAGGGGCGAAGGTGTCAGACCACTTGACGCTTTGAGGCCGACGTATCCGATACACTTACCTTAGGATCTTTCGTCATTCGGTAAGCATAATAGATGCTCTCGATGACCTCCGGTCGGAGGTTATAGTAGCTGGTTGTGATATAGAACCCGGCCTCCTTGTAGAATTCTGCTTGGGCCTCAGGGACCTTCGTGGCATCCCAGCCGAATCCCTCGGGGCCGATTTTCGTTGCGGTCGCAGCATACGTAGCGTAGCAGCCTTCAACAAGCTCGAGCCCAAACTTGGTGAAGTCGTCTCGGTTAAGTATCTGGCCTCCCAGGAGGAAATTACCGCCATCAAAGCATGTCAAATGACCAGAGTTGAGACCGAGTCTCCCCCCGGAATACGTCGCCACAAATGTCAAGTCCTTTCTCGTAGAAGGCGAAGATTTTAAGTGTTCAATGGTGGATTCGGCGGCAGTCACCCACCTGGTACTTAATTTCAGCCCACATAACTACGCCGATCAGGAGTCGAACAGTGTATAACTCACCGGTCCTTGTACTTTCCAAACCGGCCCTTGTCATAGACGTACATCTTGATAAGATACTCGTAAAACGAATCCGATCCTCCTCCCCAACTGACATAATCATCGCGGAATAGGCCCGTCTCAATGTCAATAGTGCGACCAACCAGGCCGGGAAATGGCTCGCTCGATGACGGTTGTGGGTTGAGGAGGTACGATTCCCCCTTCTGTGCTAGCCTGCCGTACTCCGGGTCGCCAGTTATGTCCGAGAGACGAGTCCCTGTATGCATGTTAGGGCCGTCGACGGATCAGTAAGTGAATAGTGCACTAACACTCCAAGACTAGGGTGCCAGTTGTGGCGAGCCCGTTGGTTGTCGAACCGTCCTATATGTATGGTCATGACTGATTAGCTTTCACCCCTCTCAAGGGTTCGGGCAAGAGACCGAAATGAAGGGGGTTCCGCCTCACCGTAGACTTATCCGTGATATTCAACTCGTTTGCCGGTATGCCAGTCTTTGTATCGAAGGCGAACTTCAGTACATCGGCCAGTTTCAGCGATTGCGCGAGCAGCACGTCGACTTTTGCAGGCTGATGCACATCAGTATTGCTCCAAAGAGCGTTGTTGCGTCTGAGCGGGAGCAAATACATCCGACACAAGATGTGAACCAGGTCCCTTCAGCAGATCATAGGCGGATATCATGCCTCCTAGGTAGCGAATGGTGGTTTCAAACAGGCTACACATGGTATCTGTTTGGGAGTAGTCGATGTTGGAGATATGGTCGAGAATCTTCTCGACGACGTCTGGCATGTCCATGATGATCGCGGTCGAGAGCGCATCGACGGCAGAAGCGCCCCAGCCGTTCCTGTGTCAGGGTAAGAGCTTTGATCTCATGCAGCAAAACCGGGCATCGGGCAATACCGAGAATTGCCGGGCGTATTGGACACCGGATGTAACTCGTCGTTTGGGAATGCATGTTCCAAATACCCTTCCCAGGCAAATCTGAAGGCATCTTTGACGGCTTCGGCTCGTTCTTGACTCGTCTTGTCGGAAGATTGACTGATGGAGCTTGGGAGGTCCTTATCAATCATGGGAAGGGCAACGACAGATGGAATGAGCGTCAGCGCTGCAGCGCATACGGCGAGTACGGGGGATCCCTTCATCTTTATTACTATAATTTTTTTGTTTTCCCCCCTCTTCAAAGGATCGGACTCCGTACTCCCTAGGCACGTCTAAAGAGGAGAGAGTATATACTTATGTATGGAGTACAGTATATAACGAGAGACTCCGCCAAGCAGATATAGCCCTGGCCAGGAGGGGAAGAAAAGATGCGCATTTGGGGGAAAAAGGATCCAAGCAGGCGTCCCGGCCCCGCTCGAACGAAGATAGACCGTCGGCATTGGACAGCAGAGACTCACTTCACATCTCTGCCAGGACGCGGGGTGCGAGGCGCCAGCCGTGGAAACCACGAACTTGCTTGTTTGTTTGCTCCGCCAAGGCCAGAGCTGCCGTGGGTCCGGAGAAACAGCGATCGACACGCCCGCGTCCGGCTCCCGACTGGCCATTGCCCCTGTTGATGCGCATCCGATGTGTCGGTCATGCAGCCAGAGGGGAGACTATTAGGTGACTACGTCGACTATCCTCGAAGCCATGTCCGGGTGATCAGATGGGCTGACTTGTTGTCCAGCTGGTGCGCATGGATGGCGAGGGAAGAGGGTTAACGGCTATGGAGTCTAGCCCCCAGTGCAGAGGCTTCCAAAGTGTCGAGATTTCCTGTGGCATATTAGTTGGAGGGTACCAGTTGTAGAATCCTTCAGACAAAAATGGAAACGATCTGTATGTTGCTTTTTGGAATGCAAGCTTCCCACCGACCGCACTTTAAACTAGCTCGCACAGGAATGATTGGCCATGATGAAAATTCAACAATGGCCTTGATCGGACGAGACCCCAACACTGGTCAGCCACCGTCCAGTTTTCCGGCATCTTCCTCTTAACAGAACCATTATGGTTGTACCTGGAGCTTCGGGTGGCTTGTTGAGTGATTTGACGACTTTATCTGGTCCACTCTGGCCCACTGATTTTGTAGTAGTTATCGAATGACATCACCACATCAGGTGCCACCACGTCTCAACATGGATTGTCCAGAGTACATGTGGGGTCCTCCATGGGTGTGTTTCTTTTTCTTTTTCGTTTTTTTTTCCAGTTAAACTTGGGTTTTATGGAGGAGTAATCCCAATTTAGGAGCTGTTTTTGTGCTGTTGCTTGGAACGTCAAGGATAACCAAGGAATGCTGTCGGCATAACCCCTCACACCCACAACATGGAATACCTGTCCTCCATAACTCCGTAAACAAATTTGCTATACCATAGACCCTGTACCAGATGGCGTACACCATTCGGCAGAGAATACCCTGCTCCTGCTATCATCGCTGTCGATGCAGCCCTTGAGAGTCCTGTGCCTTGGAATTGTCAAATATTTCCAGTTTCGATATGAAGTCCAGCATGTAGGAATGCATCGAGCAGTGCCATCAAAGACACCTCAAGACTAAGAGCCCCATCCAATTAACTCAGGGCATAAAGCGCAGGCCTTTTCGTTGCAGAGAGATCTGGCGCTACTGCTCAACGATGGATCTCAACGATGGATCATGCTCGAAGCCACACAAGAAGGAGGTCCAGCGGCTGGCGAGGTGTATTCCGTACAGAGAATCTGATTGTAGTTGATGAGGTAGTTGACTTGTTCAGCCCCTGAAAAATTATAAAAAATAAAAATAAATAAATAAATAAGGAAACATGATCGATACATGACAAACTCTGTGCTGTCAGGGATGTAAGAATTGAGATGCACCGCAGCAACGGTGAAGTTTTGTTTCTCCGTCCAAGCTTGGTAACTATCCGCCAGCTCTCCGATAACGGGCTTTGGCCTGAGGGGCAACACGGAAATATAATTCTCCGTGGAGAAGTATGGCCTTGGGACGGGAGAACCTTATAGATTCAACTTTTGGGTGACTCAATTGTGCAGGGGGGCTTGAATCTTCGCATCGACTTTGCTGCTTGCTTGAATGCTTGAATCCCCGCAATCGGGCTATACCTCTGATCAAGGTCTTTCGACTTTCGTTTGTTCTGGGCTCAACTTGAGCCGCAAGGCCACCCTGCAATGTCTTTACCATTCCTTATCTCCGTCGATGCGGACTCGATATCCTCTCCCTCTCCCAGTGGCCTCACCCTAAAACAAGTTTCATATTTCGGCTGCGTGCTTCTCAAGTCACCTAGCTTGGAACGGGCTCTCTCGTTTGTCAACGCGAATTTCACCACTTTCGAGATATGCGTCGACGCTACTGCTATTGAGTCTGTGGGAGATGTTGTGGACATTCTCAATGCCGGAGCATCGAATGTGTTTGTGACGCTGGGACAATTGACATCATTGTCGAAAGAACAATCCGTCCCCTCGTCTCGATTGGTCGTTTCAATCTCATCCGCAGACGAGGTCGCCCAACTGAAAACTTGGATTTTAGAGGATAAGGAGAGACGCGAAATATGTGTTCACAGCGCAGGATCCTCCCCCATTGACGCTATTCTATCCGAACTTGATGACAATTCCTTGGTAAGAACCGTATACCGCTCCTCGATCGGCGAGACGACACAGACAAACTTCCTCCTGAACGAACAGGAAAGGGTTATTAGCATAATCCCGTCTACATCATTAACGGTTGACGATGAAGGGAACTCTGCTGTCAAGCTGCTGGTTACCGGTGCTATCCCGGATAACAACACTGGTCTCTATGCTACGATAGTCACGGATGAGCGCGGAGTGGCGTTGGGGCTTGTTTGGAGTAGCGAGAAGAGTATTTCAGAGGCATTGAAAACTGGAACAGGAGTGTACCAAAGCCGGAAGCGTGGTTTATGGTATAAAGGCCAATCCAGCGGGGATATACAGGAATTGGTCAGAGTCGGGCTTGACTGCGACAGTGATTGCTTGATTTTCGTCGTCAAGCAGAAAGGCAGAGGTTCGTTCAATGGTAAAACCTGTATCGTGACTTGGTTCACCCCGCTGACACTGTGTTCAGGATTTTGTCATTTGGGAACTGCCAGTTGCTTTGGCTCCTACACGGGGCTTTCTCGTCTCCAAAAAACATTACAAGCACGGAGGCAGGACGCCCCGCCGGGATCGTATACATCGCGGCTCTTCAACGACGCAAAACTATTGGACGCAAAGATCATGGAAGAAGCCGAAGAATTGTGCAAAGCATCGACAAAGGAAGAAACTGCTTTTGAAGCCGCTGATCTTATTTACTTTGCTTTAACAAAGTGCATCTCAGCTGGCGTAAGCCTAGAAGATGTTGAAAGGAATCTTGATTTGAAGAGCATGAAGGTGAAGCGAAGAAAAGGCGACGCGAAGCCAGACTGGGCTGCTAAGGTTGGCCTTGCTCCTCCCACGGGGATTCAGAAGACGGCTGGATCGGTCGAGACGGACAAACCGGTCGATCAGAGAATTCGGATGAAACGGTATAACACCGCCTCAGCTTCACAGAAGGACATCAAAGATGCTCTCCAGCGCCCATCGCAAAAGTCCAATGAAGCTATTGTGGGTCTGGTGAAGCCTATTATTCAAGACGTGCGAGAGAATGGAGATGCCGCCGTTCTGAAATACACCCACAAATTCGAGAGGGCAACGTCCCTCACGTCGCCTGTTCTTCGCGCTCCATTTTCTGAAGATCTCATGAAGCTTACACCAGAGACCAAAGAGGCGATTGATATTAGTTTCGAAAACATTAGGCGTTTCCATGCTGCACAGAAAGAAGATAAAGCCCTCCAGGTGGAGACAATGCCGGGGGTCGTCTGCTCTCGTTTTGTCCGCCCTATCGGAAGAGTTGGTCTCTATGTCCCTGGCGGTACAGCTGTGTTACCTTCTACTGCGCTAATGCTGGGAGTTCCTGCCATGGTTGCTGGGTGTAAGAAGATTGTCCTGGCTTCTCCACCACGTTCGGATGGCAGTATCTCACCCGAGATCGTTTACATTGCACAAAAGGTTGGAGCTGAAAGTATTGTGCTTGCCGGAGGCGCTCAGGCGGTGGCCGCGATGGCGTATGGCACGGAGAGCGTTACCAAGGTTGACAAGATCCTTGGACCTGGAAATCAATTTGTGACAGCTGCTAAGATGCTTGTTTCCAATGACACCTCGGCCGGCGTGAGCATCGATATGCCTGCGGGTCCCAGCGAGGTTTTGGTCATTGCTGATAAGCACGCAAATCCTGCATTTGTTGCATCGGACTTACTCAGCCAGGCTGAACATGGCGTTGACTCCCAGGTTATCCTGATCGCTGTTGATCTGAATGATGCAGAACTGGCTGCCATCGATGATGAATTGCATCGACAAGCCAGTGAGCTTCCTCGCGTCGATATTGTGAGAGGTTCTATCGAACACTCGGTCACTTTCGTCGTGAGAGATATCGAAGAGGCCCTTGCGCTAAGCAACGAATATGCCCCTGAGCACCTTATCCTTCAGATCCGGGACGCCGCAAATGTAGTATCTATGGTAGAAAATGCTGGTAGTGTCTTCATCGGCGAATGGACTCCAGAGAGCGTTGGTGATTACTCTGCTGGAGTGAATCACTCACTACGTAAGTTTAACTACTGTTTTTGTGAATCTTAGCTGCTGGCTAACATCCTCCCCTTCTAGCAACTTATGGCTATGCAAAGCAATACTCCGGCGTTAACCTTGCTTCCTTCGTAAAACACATCACCAGCTCCAACCTTACGGCTGAAGGGCTAAGGAATGTTTCACAGGCTGTTATGCAACTTGCATCTGTGGAGGGTCTCGATGCCCATCGCCGGGCCGTCAGCATCCGTGTCGATTGGATGAAGCAAAATAAGGGCTAGAGTTTATTACCCGCCCTTTGAGATCTTTTATATATGCACTGGAGGGCTACCTTGATCGTGTAGTGTGTACTTTGTCCCTCGACGATATTTCGGAGTAGTCCGGTTTTGTTTCTAAAAGTAACATGGCTATGTAAAATTAGAAAAGTGAATACTTTTATCAAATAATGAATGCTAGATATGACCCACCTCAGATCTCCTCATTGCAATACATCTGAAAAGATCCGCGTCTATATAACGCCGAAGAATGCGGAGTAGATCATAGAAAAGCCAAAAGGAAACATCAAAGAGGTATCATCGTGTCATAAAATCAAAGAGAGAGCACAAGCAGATTATCTTTTGCGCTCTCTGACCTTCCATTTGACGCCGTACTTGTTCACACCACCGACTGAATTTTCCATCTTTGCTCGTTGCAGATCCAGCTCCTGCTCTGCAGCCACAATATCCTGGTACTGCTTCTTCAACGCTTCAAGCTTTCTCAATCTTGATTCAGCGGCTCGCTTTTTCAGCTTTTTAGCAGCTTGAATTTCCCGTCGCATCCGTGCTTCCGCTTCGAGCTGCTTCTTGGATTTTCTTTGCGCAGTCGCCTGATCCTTTTGCACGGTCTCATCCTCACTTTGGTCCCCATCGTCTTCGTTGATCCCGTCGACCAAATTCTTCTGCTCGTCGACAGAATTTACAAAAACGACCTTCCGCCCAGTTTTTTTCGCAGTAATCCCACCAATGGCCCCATCCTCATCCTCATCCTCATCATCTAGCCCATCCCCGGGTTTACCCTTGCCCAGGGCTGCTTTCACTCCATTTTGTAATCTAACCTCCTTCTCCACCTGCTCCATCTGCCTTCGCACTTTTTCACCCACAACCCGCAGGTAACCCGCATCCTGCGTCTTCAGTAACTTTACTGTCTCCAGACTCAGCGTAGACTGCGTGGCATCTCTCTCACCATGACGCCCTTGGGTCCGCGAACCCGCAGACACCATTCCGAAAGCAAATTCATCGGGGTTTCGATCGCGCACCTTTTCGCGCAGACGTTGGAGTTTAGCCTTTTTGAGGTTGTAATCGGCCGCACGGAGGGAGTAGTCCTGTTGTATGGATGGGCGTGTTAGTATCTAAGCGTTGGAAATTTTTCATATATTTTTTATTTTTTTAATTTCTTTGTTAAAGTATGTTATGTCCTTGCCTTGTGCTTTTCGAGGATCCCCCATTTTTCGCGTGCGGCGGGCTGTGCTCGCTCACGGTGTTGCCGTCGCTGGACGGCGTTCCGGAGGGAAGACATTGGATTAGATTTTCGCCAAACGAGTTAAGGGTGCAATAGATAGCTCCTTTATAAAAAGAAAAAAAATGAGAGATATCCGATTAAATAACCAAATTACCTAGGAACACGTATAACAGGGAGCGAAAAAAGCGTAGGGTAGGCTGAAGAGTTGAGCGGGCGCGCAGGCGGGTTGATTTCTTGGTGATCTCAAAATTTCTCTAGCGTTTTTCGAAGCTCAGCTTCGGAGTAACTAACTTAACTAACTACGGAGTAACTTGCATGGTTTAAACACAAATTGGCTCGCCCACTCCACACCAAACATCCCGTCCGATCTGATAACAAAACGCAAACCTTCCCACTACACCAGCTCCCGACAAATTTCCAATTGGAAAGCCAATTATTTTCGTACGAAGTTATTATACATATATTAGCAGCCCGCTTATCTCCTCAGCGCTCTCTGCTGGTCGCATTGAGCGCTAATAATGATGGCAGCAGCCACATCCTCCCCCGAAACCGCGAGCAATCCTCCGCCCGGCTCCGCTCCTTCGACCATAAATCTCCGGAACCCAACTCCTCTCTCGGCAACGCAAGAGGCTGAAGTCAAAGCTATATATTACAAGCGTGTTCGAGGCTACTGTGCGGCGGAAATAAAAGGTTCCTCCCCACGTTTACGCTCACACTTCTGCCCATCTCGTTGACTAACCCCGACTCATTTAACAGAATTTGCGGCTTGCGCGCTTAATCGCACGGTCACTGCTACATGGGTATGCCGAAAAGAAAGACTAGCGATGAACGCCTGTATGGTTGAGCATGCCAAACCAGAGGAAGAAGATCGAGCGCGAGAGGAATGGTTTGCGGGGCGAGAAGAACGAAGAAAAGCTCGTGAGCATGAAGATCGGATGGTCGAAGAACGGAGGAAAGAGGTCATTGCGATGATGAGAGAGGGTGAGAAGAGACGAAAAGCAGAGACAGGTGAGCAGAAGGCTGCCGATGGGGGTAGTGGAGGCTGGCTTGCCTGGGGGAAAAGATGATGGCGGCCACGAGGTTCAGCAAGCAGTGGGTTACTCGATTGAAAAGAGTAGGGAATACGTTTGGATCCTTGGTTTGGATGGAATGAGGCCGTTTGAGGACAGGCTGCCCATGAGAGCCCCAGGGTTTGAAGCTACTGGGAGGTGTACAATCTCCCTTGCACCTAGGATATTTACGCATTTCGCGGCGTCACAGGAGTTGAGTCATGGTGGGGTTATGATACTTTTTCATTTTCTTCTAGAATATAGTGTACAATACAGATATAACCATAGTATATCTCCGCTAGTCCAGACCTCCATGGAAATGCCTCTCTCCTTAATGACCTAAACACACCAAAGACACCAGCTATGAAACCGCCAAACCAGACCTAATCCCATTCGAAAAGGCAGCGTAACTCCGGGAAAAATAAAAGAAAACGAGCAACAATAGATTTTGCCCACATCGCGCAGTGGAAATTTGGAAAAATATTCGGAGGAAGAAAGGGAAAATGGATTAAACACCCGTCATGGTTTTGTCTCCATCCGGATTATCCTCGTCCATAGGGTCTTCGCCAAAGATATCTTCCATTTTCCCGTCGATATCATCGTCCTCGGCGCCGCCCTCTTCCTCGCCGGCGCCCGCGGCTGGAGGAGCTCCTTGCTGTGCGGCGGCATCAATCTCCATCTCTTCCTCCCCTTCGCTTTCCCATTCCTCTCGTAAGCCCCAGCCCACACCGGTTTGGCAAAACCTCTCTGGTGGAAGCCTCATACCACCCATGACTACACCAGGTGCAGCCACATTGGACGCTCCACCCTCTGCACCCCTAGAAAGTCCAGGAAGCATAATCCGATTTCGCTCCGCAGCAATATCCATTAAAAATTCTTTTGGCAAACCAGGTTGAAACTGATAATGCAATCGCGACGCAATGCTCAATCGTAGCGCCTGAAGGCTCACGGACGAAACCTCCAACGACGACTGCTGCGTTTTTCCGCCGTCGGTGCCCTTGGGGCCTGGTACCTCACCAGCATAGCCCTCTGTTGCAAGATATACAGCATCTTGCAGGACGCTAGAGGTATAACGATATGCGAAATCGAGGAGCTGAAGGGGCACTCGTTCTTGATATGCGTTGACGCCAGAAGAGGCAAGGAGCATATGTATCAAACGGGCATCGCGAGGTCGCCTTGACTTTCCGTTATCTTGGAGAGAAGTTCCAGGAACTTGCGGGGGATTAGCCGTAGCTGAGGTTAATGCGGCGTTGGATGGATTTCCGGAAGCTGGATTGCTAGACGAGGAGGGGCGTTCTGCAGGAGGGGTGAGAGGTTGGGTGGGCGCAGCTGATAACCCGGCAGCTGGCGTCGCAGTAGGCCGTGGTGAAGCCATCGCGAATGGGGTACTGAATCAAAATCTAAGAGCTTTTGAGCTGGGAATGCTGCTTAGCAGCATTACCCCCGTTGAATGGGGAAACTAATGAGATAATTTGTATCGGTCCCTGGAAACTTGTATGCGAAGCGATCTTTCACGAAACAGCAAATGAGATATCTGTTACCGGAAAATAGCTAGTAGTGAAATGTAGAAGGGAATTATATTAGCCGCTTTTCAGTTGATACCTTGAGAGTGAGCGAGCAACTTCAGGATGAAGAGCTTCGACGAGCTGTGCAATCGGGGCGGGAAGCTCAATGGTCACGTGAACCCAGCGGTCAGCCGAACGTATTGTTGAACGGTTTCCACAATGACAATGCTAAATCAACATTTCTCAATTAATAGAGAAAATAGAGGCTTTTAGCGTGTGCCAATGGATTTTTGATGATGGAGGGAGGTTTGTGAATCATAGGGTCATTCGTAGCTTTCTATAATCTCTTCATGATATTGCAACTTGGGGGAATAGGTAGAAAATACATATACGGAGTACACCTCCAAGAATCGCTGCCAATTGCAATAAGCATCTTTTCCCTATTACTTATTACCTCTTCGCCCCCCTTTTTTGGATCGTTCTTTGTGTGCGCGAAGAACAGCTCTCGTTTCGACCAGACTCCGTTTATTCTTGCTCTTCGCTTTTCCAAGGGTCATGAGGAAGTTTTTCTTCCTTGCCTTCTCCTTATTAGTCGTGCTCTTGCCCTCAGTTTCCTTCTTTTCTTTCTTGCGTGCCATCCTGCTCTTGAATTCGGATCTGTCTGTTTTATTCTCATTCATCCGAGCAATCTTCTCTTCTCGAGTCGCTTTGCCAGCCGACAGAGAAGCGAGACCCTCTATTTCAGCGGCTGTAAGCGGATCGTCGATGTGTCTGGCCGCATTTGCAGCAGCCTGCTTTTGTGCACGGGATTTATTCCCAACCAAAGCGGACACAGTCGCTGTGGCACGCAGCTCCGCAAGTTTTGCAAGGTCAGCAGGAGTTAACACTTTCGTTGTTGCGAGTTTGGAAATCTTGCTTGCAGGTTCTTCGGATTTCGGACGATCTTGGCTATCTTTGCTCTCCCCAGAGGCATCGTCCCCAGTTTTCTGTTTCTTCGCGGCGGGAGATTCGTCCTCAGAGTCGCTAACGTCGATGTCCACGTCACTTTGAACGTCGATCCAGCCACCGGAGTCATCACTATCATCTTCTTCAACGTCCCAGGCAGCCCAATCAGCTTCACCATCCGATTCTTCATCCCCAGTTTCTCCATCGGACGGCAAACCCTTCTCCCTTCTCTTTTTTCGCCTTTCCTCTTCTTTCCATTGCTCAAGCAACTCGATTCCTTCAATTCCACCAGCCTGCTCTTCTCCGTATCTCTTCTCTTTCTGTCCTCCTGTTCTCAGCGCAATGCTGGCATGCTTTCCTCGGTCTCTCTTTTTCAGCATCCCGGCACCGACCTCTCTGTATAGTCCTAAAAGTCCCTTGGCTGCCATCATAACTCCTTTATCTTTACTTTTCTTATACATGACGAGGTCTTGGAGGAGGGTATCATTCATTGCGAGTGGTTGTCTGACGCATATTTCCCGGATAGCGTTCAACCCAGCGGATGCAACTTCTGCAGATGCAGCTTCTGAAACAAATTCATTCGCAATCTTCGTTACCAACGGCTCGAGGACATCAGGAGGGACAAGAGAATGGGTAGACTGGGCGAGACTGGCGAGGAAAGAAGTAACCGATGGTTGCTTCGGCGTTAGATACTTCAAGAAATAGGAATAGAGCTGAATGACAGTGAGCTTGTGTAAGCCCACAAGGCGGGACACCAGCTGCAAAACGAGGAGTTTCTGTTCCAGATTCAGCCGAGATTTTGTGTTCTGTAGATGTTTCTGAAAGAGGGTTTCCGCAAAGCCTTGAGGGTCGTGCAGGAGATGGAGGGCTGAAAAGTTCAAAGGGTGAGGTTGATTCTTTCTGCGCTCCTTTTTCTTGACTGTCGCGATCGCTTTTTCCACCTGCCGAGTCTTCTTCTTACTTTTCTTGTTGATTCCGACCTGGTGTCTTATGCGAGCTACATCCAAGGCCTCTTCATCGCTACTTTCATCTTCTAGCTCCTCTCGCTCTTTGTCACCACCGAGGAAAAAGCGTACTCCTCCAACTATTACTTTCTCATTCTCCGCCAATGAGGCCTCTTTCATAATTTCTACCGCCTTGGCGTCGGTCCATACTTGTCGCCTCCAAAGCTCTCGTGTAATCTTGATTGCCCAAAGTGCTTTTGATGAAGTCCGGTCGGAAGTGACGAGGTTGAAAAGCACTGTCTGGATGGTCCGGTTTAACTTGTGATTGACACCTTTCGAGTTCGAAGTGCGGAGGTCAGAAATGATTTTTTGGAATAGTAACGCTCGTAGCGTTTTGCTGGGAGTTGAGACGAGAATTGGGAAGAGGGTCTGTAAAAGGCTACAGGAGGAAACAGTCAGCTGTAAGGTTCAAAGGAATGAAAATAGGTTAGCCAGTAACCACATACGTAGCAGAGTCGATGATGTCCTTCTTTCTCAGCAATACCAAGCTCGTTACAATCTTCTCCCTCAAGTCCGCGTCCAACACCGTGTGATGCAGGGACAAAATTTCAATCAACTCTTGCGGGAAGTCTTTGGTAATGCTTGGGTAGCAGTCTGCAACATGCGCAACGAAATCGATTAGGTCCCGGAGCGATATGATGCCGTTGTCCGTGGCGGAAGACGGCGCCGCCATGAATATCTCTCGGTGGGATTCATATTGGAAATGTTGGCTGCGGAAATCTTCGACATAGGATCTGTCAAGCAAAGAGAGTCAAGCCGGTTAGATATTTCTCCGTATGGGCATTCATTAATGTAGGAACGTACTTGGGATCTCGCCGTATTTTGTATTGAAGATTTGTCCTGAGAAACGCTGTCAGCGAAAGTTTAGAACGCATTAGGACGCCAGCCAATTTATTTTTCTTACAGGTCAGCATCCACCTTTTCTAAGGCACCTAGTTTGCGCTTTCCCATGATAATGGAGCTTCTTCTTAGCAAAATATGGGCGTTGAACGTTGCGGGCAAGAAAAGGTGCGGAAATTCTGCGAACTCAAAAGTCTAGATTTTACTTCCGTCGCCAGTGCCGCTAGTGCTTTAACTGCGACGGGGCGACACCACGACCAACGGTGATCAAGGTACGAGTACTCCGTATTGTAGACAACAATATAGATTATTTGAAAGCAGAGGCTAGGCTTTTAATTCTGCGACCCATTTTGCAACAGTCTACACGTGCTACCCATGAAAACAGCGAAGAGAATCCTACAAACAAATGGGTAGTAGGAAAGTAGCTCGGCAGACATTTGAAAACTTCATAATTGCATTTCGGCTACATGATAGAAAGGTTATCCGTTCGGATTTTGTTCTTTCAAATAGCAGTCCAAAAGACCGGAGTGGCATATGAAGGCAAATCCACCGAAACCGGACACCACCCGCCCCGATACGACAAAAGTAACAACCATAATACTTTTTCGAAAAATCGTTTATCGGTTGCTCTTCGCGACACGCTCCAACTCGTCCTTCTTCTTGATGGCGTATGAGTTCGAGCTTCCCTTGGCGGCGTTGATCAATTCTTCAGCGAGGCACTCAGCAATAGACTTTACATTGCGGAAGGCAGCCTCGCGGGCACCGATGGTGAGGAGGGCAATAGCTTGGTTAACGCGGCGGAGGGGGGAAACATCAACGGCCTGACGACGAACAGTACCAGCAGAACCGATACGAGTGCTGTCTTCTCTGGGGCCACAGTTGGCAATGGCATCAACGGCGACCTGAATGGGGTTCTGGTCGGTCATGATGTGAATCTGCAGTTCGAAGCCTAGTCATTAATACCATTTCTCAACCAAAAAAAAGCACCGTTCCCTTCAAGAATCTAGCAAACATGTAAAGTAGAAGGGCAAGAAAACGTACGATTTCGAAGGCATGAGCGACGATTCGGACAGCCATCAACTTCTTTCCGTTATTTCGGCCGTTCATCATGAGGGAGTTGGTAAGGCGCTCAATGATAGGGCACTGGGCCTTGCGGAAGCGCTTGGCGGCATAACGGCCGGCGGAGTGAGGGAGGTACACAGGTTGTCTGATTTGAATGTAGTCGCTGCATTGGTCAAAGATCCAAAGGTCAGCAAAAATGTCCAGCCTAGGTCAAAACTTCCATATCGCTCCGTGTTCTTCATGTTCTTATCGCAGAAGCTCCCAGAGTCGGCCGGTCGAGAAACAACACGAAGGAAGGGAGGCAAGAAAAGGAAGGCCGCACGTACGTCAAAGATATATCCCGAACCTCGATATCCTCGTAACTCCACTTGTTGAAGAGTTTGACGCTGCCAATCTCAGAGGCAACATCCTTGGGCAGCACCGGGAACCCGGACGGGTTTTCGACCTCGACTTCCCCGCTCTCGGACATTTTGACGCTGATTACACCTGGTCGAGGAAGATGGTGGGTGTTGCAGGCAAAAGGTGTGGATGACGAGCGTCGGTCGTTGGTTGTCGTTCAGGTTGCTGTCGAAGCAAAATTAGAGGTGCGGACTCGCTTAGCGACTTTGGTTGGAATTCTGTGTGGGTGCATTTAGGGCAGTTTGGTGTCTGGGCCAATCAGCAACTCGATTTCGGGTGACTAAACAACAAATCACGTGATTACATCGGAGTTGCAGCTTCGACCAGACAAGCTTTATCAGAAACGCCCTGCTTTTGGGGGGACTTGCGGTCTTAGGGAGAAGGTTGCGGATCCCTCTGAGATTCAAGCATAGTATATCACTTGTTGCTAGAGTCTAACTACGTGAGGATAGCATGTTTGATCTAACTACTGAACTCCTTCCCCCACTGGACAATTGGGCACGTTCTCCTGCCATGCCTTCATCGCATAGGCCGGCAGTACACTGTTACTAGTGAAGGTCCGGGGAACATAGAGCTGGATGTCGTCAGCCGTATACTTGGCTCCCAATTCGTCCAATGCCGGTAGCACATATTTGACTCCGATAAATTCTGTAAACACCAGATCCACTGTTTGCGGCGTCGAGCCGTCTGTGGGGAAGGACGCATTGGCCTGAACATCATTTTCCGCTGAAAAGTACGGCAGCTTGGAGTGCGGTGTATCGTCACCATCTGTTCCAAAGTCATCGACTGTCGTGTACCCGGGATAAATCTTCGGCGGAGCTAGTAAGTCCCGACGCGTCAAACCATGGGATTTGAGAACCTCGCTTCTCTCTTGCATGGCTGTGTACGGAGGGTCGACGCAGGCGTCCCCACCGGTAAATATTTGATTTGGGGATGCAAAGTCATCGCGCTTCTGCCATGGCCCACGATTCAGTACACCAAGCACTTTACTCGCCACTGAATATGGCACGTCCGGGATAAACTCGAATGCGTTTTTAAAGGGGCTGACGATATATGAATCCCCGATAGTAAAGGGCCCTTGAACCAGGTCAAAACGTATGGCCCCGCTGTTGGTAAGTATCAACCGTGGAACTTCGGCACGAGAACCGTTGACGACGGTTGCTGCAAGAGCGGTTTCGAGCAGTTTGTAAATGCTGCCTTCCTCGCCAAATGGCTTGCAGGATTGGCAGTATGTCTTTGGCGCACATCCAAAAATATACGTCAAATTTAATGCACTCAGGGATTCCGTTATATCGCCAGTCACCGCAAGCCCGTGGGGGGTATCAAATGTTCGATCTTGTGATTTTTGCGCGTGGTATGCAAACGTCAGTCGATTCCAGTCAAGATAGCGACGAGCGTATCTTAGTGATCGTCCCCTGTGGCTGCTAGCCGGGGCTTTCTGCTGGTCCTGAAGCTTGATGGCTTTCCTGGACGGATTTGGCACACCTCTTGGACGCATACTGCCGGTGAAGGTGGAAGATTCAATGCCCGTCATTGACAGCCATCCAAGGGTTTCACAATATCGTCCAGACTCAAGCGCAGTGGACATCTCATCATATACGACGAAATCCCGGATATGCGAATGGCCTCCAAATCCTTGAATAGGAACTTCGGGTCGCATTTCCCTGATAGCCTTGTGCACCGTTCCGAAAGTGCTAGAGGTGTCGTTCAAGCGGATAGGATTATGTCCAATTACAAGAAAGAGGTCGATTGGTTTCGGAAAATTCACCGCTTCTTTGAACCAAGGCTGTTCAACCATATCCGCTGCCTTGGTTACCCGAGATGCATTCGAGTTTCCCTTGAAGTCGAACAGTACGCCAAAAGCCATGATCCGGAGCCCACGCTTCGTGGTAAAGTAGCGATATTTACTCCCGAAGTCTTCAAATTCCCCGGTGTCACGGTTGAGAAGCTGGACATTGCTGGTCAGGTATTTTTCGCCATATATCGAGGTGATGTTGGCATTCGTATGATACGCAATTTCGGTAACATAGAGCTCATGGTTGCCAATCGCGAGCAAATCGTAATCTATTTCAGAGAAAATGGTGTCACTAACTGCACCGTTAGGGGTCGTCGTGTCGCTGAGCCCATTGCCATCGTGCAAATCTCCTGTTCCTATGTTCAGAAAATGTCTTTTCAATGCAGGATTTGGTCTTACCAGTATCGATAACAAGCAAATCGACATTTAGCCGGTCAGCCTTCTGGCGCATATGCTTCACGAAGGATCCAAAGTCGCCCCAATCAGCCCCGTAGTTTCTCTCCTTAAGATGGCCGGCAAGCCAGCCGTGGGTATCAGTTGTTTGTAGGAAGTTAATTTGACCCCATTCTAAAGGCCCGCGTGATCTGGTAGTCGCGTTGAGAGCCCCTGGCTGCATGCGTCGGACCAACCTTGCGTGCTGACTCCGGTTTGGGACCCCATAGCAGTCAGAGCAGGCGATCGTGCCCAGTGCTTGGACGGATAAAAGGAAAGTAGTTAATAATAGCATCACGCTCTAAAAGGGGGGCAATCCGGTGTCACCCGCCGGGTTCGAACTTTTATTGTCGGTTCCCACTTTCACCCACGTTTTGAAAGGGGCCCGTAGCAGATTTATGTAGCTCGCTGGTCGAGCGCAGATCAGCGAGCTATATAAATTGCATTTGGGATCGGGCTGCGGTCGAGAATAACCCTGTCATGGCTTCGCTATCTCCTCTCCGTTGCATTCCTAACCAATGAATACAGTACAGCCAGCCACATGCGGTCCCGGATCCACAGACATAGCGTTCGTGCTCTGTCCTCTGATTTCCAGGTATCGTATGCAGCTACATACTGTGCTCTGTACTCCGTAGAATCGAGATCTTTCGGATGTCTATCTACTCCGTACTAGATTAAGGTAACGATCGGTGTTTCAAGGAGAAAATCGGCCAAGAGAAGGCCAAGAGCGAAAGGAGCTTGCATCCTTTTTCTTTCATCACCACACCTCGTGTCGAGCTTGGGGGTTCTTTTGGGGGAGCGATTGCTTTGACGCCCTGAGCGGCGGTACCCTGGATGCTGTGAACTTCAATGAACACCATGTCTCAGGTTAATCTAATCAGCGTAAGACCATTCTAGAATCGAGCAGCGATGCCGAACAAATTACTCCGCACATTTTCGGGGATCTCGAGAAGCCTGACGTTCCCCATCGCCGTCCCCGCGCAGCTGACAATGGATGAGCTGATCAGCGCGAAATAGTTTGTCCGTCTCTGCCCACGCTAAGTTCCCCACCGATTGGCTAACGACATTGAAGGACGCAGCTGATCACCGGCCTCATCGTCATGATCCCGAAAATGCACCCATGATCCTTGGATTTGGCTGAGGACTGAAGACGCTTTTAATCTCCTGGAGTTCATTTCAAGTACGAACTGACATGTGGCGCAACCGCTAAACGACGATACTGATTGGCGTTTAACATGGCTGAAGAGAATCCCGAGCTCCAGGCCGCCTTGCGGGAACTTGATCAGGAACTGGAGGTGTGTGCAACCTTTGACTTGTATTTGACAGAGACTGCTTTTCTGAAATGAATAGAAGCGCTGACGGGATGCTATTCTAGGACGGTGATATCACAGAGAAAGGGTAAGCAGCCGGACTTGTCAACATCTGCCTATACTCGCGCGCGGTCAGATTTTGCATTCGAGCCGAGCAGACTCGAGCGGAATCGCGTGGGGAACTTAGATTTATTAACTGCTATTAAGATATCAGAAGCGTCGGACACTCCTCCTTTCGCAGTATCTTTCTGCGGATGGAGCCCAGGGAGATCAAGAGCTTCGATTTATGCGACGGCCCTCGCACGATGCTCCTACCACGATAACAGGCGGACAGGTCAACCGCAGGTCAGTGTATGCGGATAACCGGCGGCAATCTGACTATCTTCCTGCAAACCTCCTCTCTCCAGCAGATAATGGCTATACCGATCCGCGTGCGAACCCGTTATCGAGAATCCATGAAAATGAACTGGGTTTCTCACTCAATTCGACTCAGCAGCCATCGAGGACTTCGTATGATTCAATGCAAGCTCCAATGGCCAATCCTTCCGTCGCGGATTACGGTCATTCTCGGTCGCCAACGGTAATAAGCCAAAATTATGCATTCAATCCGAACGAGCAACCGGAATATGATAGTCTCACAAGAAATTCCACGATGCTAGACTCCCAGGAAGCGTACTTTTCAGACTTTGCAGGTGAGCAGCATGATGAGCGGAGACAGAGTTACGGTGGTGGATTCCGGTATTCCCAAGCCGAAGCGTTCTCACCCACGGCCAATATGGCGCCGCCCCCAATGCCCACAACGGGCCTGGCTGCAGGGGTAGTGGTCGACCATCTTTTACCATTGGAACCACGGGATATTCCCTTCGACGTTTGTGACCTTCATGATGCCAAGTCTCCAATGTCTAAATTTGAAAATTTGCCTGCAGTGCTACGTTACCGCGCACGCTCCCACCCGAAGCAGCCAGCCTACTGGGTACTCGACCAGCGGGGTAAGGAGACGGCATCGATAACTTGGGAAAAGCTTGCCAGCCGTGCGGAGAAGGTTGCTCAAGTGATCCGTGACAAGAGCAGTCTATACCGTGGTGATCGCGTTGCCCTAGTTTATCGCGATACCGAAGTTATCGAATTTGCGGTGGCATTGCTTGGGTGTTTCATCGCTGGAGTAGTCGCCGTTCCCATTAACAACCTCGACGATTATGCTAGTCTCAATGTCATCCTCACATCGACTCAAGCCCATCTTGCCCTGACAACGGAGAATAATTTAAAAGCGTTCCAGCGCGATATCGCAACCCAAAAATTAACGTGGCCAAGAGGGGTTGAATGGTGGAAGACAAACGAGTTTGGTAGCTATCACCCTAAGCGAAAGGATGAGATGCCCCCCCTAGCCGTCCCGGATTTGGCATACATCGAGTTTGCGAGGGCTCCCACTGGCGATTTGCGGGGAGTGGTGATGAGCCACCGCACCATCATGCATCAAATGTGCTGCATGTCTGCGATAGTATCTACGATTCCCACCGATTCCAATAATAGCGGGAAACCCGTGCCAAGACCTCACGGCGAAATCCTGATGAGTTATCTCGATCCTAGACAAGGCATTGGCATGATCCTTGGTGTTCTCTTTACGGTCTATGCTGGCAATACTACTGTTTGGCTAGAGTCCCTAGCGGTTGAAACTCCCGGCCTTTATGCTAGTTTGATCACCAAGTACAGAGCTGCTCTGCTGGCAGCAGATTACCCGGGCCTTAAGAGGGCCGTGTACAATTACCAGCAAGATCCGATGGCGACAAGAAATTTCAAGAAGAATTCAGAGCCAAACTTCTCAAGCTTGAAGTTGTGTCTTATAGATACTTTAACTGTCGACTGCGAATTCCATGAAATCCTCGCCGACAGATGGTTAAGGCCCTTGCGGAATCCGCGGGCTCGCGAACTAGTTACGCCCATGCTGTGCCTTCCAGAGCACGGTGGCATGGTTATCAGTTTACGTGACTGGCTTGGAGGCGAGGAGCGTATGGGGTGCCCTTTGAAACATGAAGTACTGCCACCGGAAAAGCAGAAAGACAAGTCCGAAGGTGAGAAAAAAGAAGAAGAGAAGGGCGGAGAGCCAAAGGCGACGTTCGGGAGCAGCTTGATTGGTGGTTCTGCGGCGCCGATACGAAAAGAAGGCCCCCGGAACGACCTTGGTGAGGTACTACTTGACAAAGAAGCCTTGAAAAACAACGAAATTGTGATATTAGCAATTGGTGAGGAGGCAAGAAGGCTGGCTGACACAACACCAAATGCTGTCAGGGTTGGTGCATTTGGGTATCCCATTCCAGATGCAACGTTAGCGATCGTTGATCCAGAGACTGGGTTGCTGTGCACGCCTAATGTGGTTGGTGAGATATGGGTTGATTCACCTTCATTGTCAGGAGGATTCTGGGCCCTTCCCAAACAAACGGAGTCCATCTTCCATGCCCGTCCCTACCGATTTCAGGGAGGGGGTCCCACGCCTGTAATCGTGGAGCCTGAATTCTTGCGAACAGGGCTTCTTGGCTGTGTTATTGAGGGTCAAATATTCGTGCTTGGTCTCTACGAAGATCGCTTGCGCCAAAAAGTTGAATGGGTTGAGCATGGCGTAGAAGTTGCAGAGCACCGATATTTCTTCGTGCAACATCTGATTCTCAGTATTATGAAGAACGTGCCCAAAATTCACGACTGCTCTGCCTTTGACGTCTTCGTCAACGAGGAGCACCTGCCAGTCGTTGTCTTGGAGTCGTACACTGCCTCAACAGCACCAGTAGCTTCAGGGCAATCCCCACGACAGCTGGACGTTCCTCTTTTGGACTCCTTGGCTGAGAAATGCATGGGAGTGCTATACCAAGAACATCATCTTCGCGTTTATTGTGTCATGATCACTGCCCCGAATACCTTGCCTAGAGTTCTTAAAAATGGGCGCCAAGAGATTGGCAACATGCTATGTCGAAAAGAATTTGATAATGGGTCGCTGCCATGCGAGCACGTTAAATTCAGCGTTGAGCGGTCGGTTCTGAATCTTCCAATTGGCGTGGATCCCGTTGGAGGAATTTGGTCTGTTCCATCTTCAGCTGCTAGGCAGGATGCCCTCGCCATGCAGGAAAAGCAATATTCAGGAGTCGATTTGCGGGACGTTATTATGGATGATCGCACCTCTACGCCATTGAATAATTTTAACAGTATCGTTGATTTACTTCAGTGGCGTGTTTCTCGCCAGGGCGAGGAACTTTGTTATTGCTCTATCGACGGTCGTGGCAGAGAAGGCAAGGGTATCACATGGAAGAAATTCGATTCTAAAGTTGCAGCTGTGGCTGCGTATTTGAAAAATAAAGTGAAACTCCGCCCCGGCGACCATGTTATTCTCATGTATACGCACTCGGAAGAGTACGTATTCGCCGTACATGCTTGCTTCTGCCTGGGCTTGGTAGCCATTCCCATTTCCCCAGTTGACCAGAACCGACTATCCGAAGATGCGCCGGCTTTACTCCATGTCATTGTCGATTTCCGTGTAAAAGCCATACTTGTCAACGGCGAAGTCAATGACTTACTGAAACAGAAAATCGTATCTCAGCATATCAAGCAGTCTGCTCATGTTGTCCGCACGAGCGTTCCAAGTGTATACAATACGTCGAAGCCCCCAAAGCAATCGCACGGTTGCCGCCATCTAGGATTTACTATGAATCCCCAATGGTTGAATTCTAAGCAGCCAGCAGTGATTTGGACGTACTGGACTCCGGATCAACGAAGACTGTCTGTCGAGATCGGGCATGATACAATCATGGGAATGTGCAAGGTCCAAAAGGAAACCTGCCAAATGTCTAGTTCACGGCCAGTTTTGGGAAGTGTGCGCAGTGCTGTAGGCCTTGGGTTTCTACACACCTGCTTGATGGGGCCCTACGTCGGTATGTTTTCGGCCTGTGGTTTTCAAAGTGTCCTGGATTAAGCTTACATATTTCCAGGCGCACCCACTTACCTTGTTTCGCCCATTGATTTTGCTGCGAACCCAATTTCTTTGTTCCTGACCCTAGCGAGATATAAAATCAAGGATACTTACGCAACTAGCCAAATGTTGGACTACGCAATGGGGAGCATGGCTGCCAAGGGCTTTCAATTGCATGAATTGAAAAATCTCATGATTTCCGCGGAAGGACGACCTAGAATCGACGTTTGTATGTTTTGAGGTATTGATCACGTCGGGAAATTTGACAAGCTAATTATTCTGTTAGACCAAAAAGTGCGCTTACATTTCGCTGCCGCTGGACTCGATCGTACCGCTATCAATACTATTTACTCTCATGTCCTGAATCCTATGATTGCCTCCCGATCATACATGTGCATTGAACCGATCGAACTGTGGCTTGATACAAAATACCTTAGACAGGGCTACGTTTATCCAGTGGATCCGGATACTCCTGGACATACGCTTTTAGTTCAAGACTCAGGGATGGTTCCTGTGAGCACGCAAATAGCCATTGTAAATCCAGAGACTTGCTGCCTTTCTCATGTTGGCGAGTATGGCGAAATATGGGTTCAATCCGATGCCTGTGCCAGGTCCTTCTATGGCTCTAAGCAGGAATTCGACCTAGAGAGGTTCAGTGGACGAACTGTGGATGGCGATCCAGGTGCCATATATGTTCGTACTGGTGATTTAGGTTTCTTACATACAGTGACGAGGCCGATTGGACCTGGTGGGCAACCAGTCGAAATGCAGGTTCTGTTTGTCTTGGGTAGCATCGGTGAAACCTTTGAAGTCAATGGTCTCAACCATTTCCCTATGGACATTGAGAACACAATTGAGAAGTCGCATCGAAATATAGTTAGGGGAGGAAGGTCAGTGAATCCATCCATTGCTCAATTTTCTAATCTCTTTTGCTGACGTCTGACAAACAGCGCCGTATTCCAAGCTGGTGGGCTAGTTGTTGCTCTTGTTGAAGTTACCCGAAAAGCCTATCTTGCATCCATTGTACCTGTGATTGTGAATGCAGTTCTTACTGAGCATCAGGTCGTCACTGACATTGTCGCCTTCGTTCCTCGTGGTGACTTCCCTCGTTCACGACTGGGTGAGAAGCAACGCGGCAAGATTCTTGGATTGTGGGTTACTCGGAAGATCCGGACGATTGCACAATTTAGCATCAGGGATGCGGATGGAGTGATGACCCATGTCGCAGAGGCCCATGCAAGGGCGTCAAAAACCGGAAGTATTATTGAAGGAAGTAGTCGCCTACCTTCTACGCTCCTGGAAGCAGAGGAACATGGAGGACCTCAGCCGCAGGCTCCGTCGAGGCGCGGCAAGGGATATACAGATGAACCTGTTGAGCATTATCCCCGTACCCCTGAAGGTATTACATCGGATCACCATGCCCTCGGAGATCCAACATTTAGAAATGCAGATGACACTGAGCAGTACCATCAGTCTTTTAAGCACGATAATCGCAGCTCTTCTGGCAATTTCTATGACCAAAACCAGGATGAACGACACGATTTCTTGGTAGAGTCTCCTATGGCCGCTGAAAACAGATCCGCTCCCTTCAATGCCAGCGCTTTCGGCTCTGAAGGCTCAAACTTTGCTCCTGAGAATCACCCTCTCCAGGGCGAATGTAACCCATCTGGTCCCATAGGTCTAGTCCCCATGAAACCTCTCTCACGACAGGATACTCCTCCGTCTCATCGATCTAGTTCTCGCTCCTCTCCAGCTCCACAGACCGTCCCCCAGATCCGGACTCCCGTAGTGTCACTTGGAAAAGATTCTTTACCCAGTCAACAACTAAGATACAGCATGATTGGAGGCTCCTACAACCAACCCCCTCCCCAGCAAGCTCAGACTCAAGGCCAGAATCCGTATGGCGGCTACGGTGATGAGCACGAGCAGGATTGGCCACAGGAGGCGATCCTTTACCATACAAGGAATGATGCGGGATATCAATAGACACATGAGGATTGCTCGGCTTTGTCTTTTCTCTTCTTTCCCCCCTTTTTTTTTTAATTTGTGAGGTCCTGGATTTGGCTTGCTTGGGTTCTGTCAGCTTCGGGAAAGGTTCAAATTTTCTCATGGATCAGCAGCATCTTGGCGTTGGCATGAATCACATTTCCTTGATTTGGTGACGCCGGATATCCCCCAAACAGCCACGTGCATTTATGATATAACTAGTTAATGGTTTTTTTTTTATAATTATAGTGCAATGTTATAGACATCCTTTTTGTGTATCCATGGAGAAGTAAGATACTAGGTCAAAAGTACACCCTGCTACATGTTTCCACCAAAATTAAAAAGGTCTTCAAGCTCTAGATATCTTAGCAAAATTATATATCATTAAACAGGCTCCAATGGACACAGAGTTATTTGAGTTATATTGTTTTTATTTTCCAATTTTGGAGAACAATTTTATGGTGACGCAGTAGAGACAAATATCAAAGCAGCCACAGTAAAATTTTGAGAAAATTACTCTGTAGCTTAACTTCTTTTTGAGCCTCGTTTGAATATAAATATAAAAAAAATTTATAGTCATACATTTGATGTAATTATTTATCCATTGAGGCCAATTACAAAAACATATTACTGTACTCTGTATGGTTCTGTTGAGATATATAAGGTGCAAAACGATTTAATTCTGGTGTAGAAGGAGAGGTGTAGACTTTTTGACATGACACTGGAGTGTCTGAGGTTTGAGGCTAAAACTGACCATAAGGCGCATAGTTAATTCCCACAAAAAGCTCCTTTCGATGTAGATAAGGTAGCTTTTTGGTTCACTGGTTGTTTGGCATCAATTAATACCTTTTGTAGCACAGATACCACAGTGCTTCATACAGCCAGGCGCAAGATCAAACACAAGACTCCAACTTAGGTTGCACAGTCAAAAGTACTTTGTGGCACACCTTGCTGCTCAGGCATGTCATCCAAAAAAAATTTTTGTCGCCTCAGATCTTATTTGCCGCTGCTTCCAGGGCATCTATGTCCACCTTTTGCTGCTTGGCTGTGTTGACTACCCCAGTGAGGGTGTTCGGAATTGTACCATTAAGCTGCTCCAATGCCTGAATTTCAGCCTGAGTAAGAGATTTTCTGACTGGATGGAAAGGAGTTGGTGCACGGGATGAAAGAAACTACAAGTGACACGAAGTATTAGTATTTGGGGAATGGCTATGCATTTAAGGTTAACTTTTGTGTAGAACTTACTGAACTAGCAGCACTTAGGAGTGCGGTCAAACTGGCCCGTACGACATCGTGATGAATACCAACACCCCAAACCTTCTGGTTGGATCCAGCTGCGACACACTCAATGAAAGTGGCAGCTTTGGTGTCACGATCGCTTCCCATAGCATGTTCCTTGTATTCCACAACATCAAGGTCAATGCCCAGAGATTTAAGGGCGTTTGTCAGGGATGAGATAGCACCGTTACCAACACCAACGATCCCGTGCTGGGTACCGTCAATTTCAACAATACCTGTAAATTTTCTCTTGAGATGTTCGGTGCTGACGGCCTTTCCTGGCTCGGGAGGGGTAGGGGTCTGGGATCGATCCGTCGTAATATTGTAATCAATCAGTGAGAAGCGGGGATTCTTCTTGAGATGGTAGGCTTCTTCGAAGAGAGCAACGATTTCAGTTGGCTTAAGCTCACGGCCCAGTCTATCCGCATCCTTCTGGACAACTTTGCTAAATGCGATTTGCAATCCTCTGGGCAAATCCAGTTCGAGCATGCGCAGGATGATCCATGCAACACCGCCCTTGCCACTTTGAGAGTTGACGCGGATGATGGCTTCGTAGTTTCGTCCAATATCCTCTGGGTCGAGAGGGAGGTAGGGCATCTGCCAGGGATCATCTGGCTTGCCTGCCTCTCTCTCCTTGAAGCCTTTCTTGATAGCATCTTGGTGGCTGCCGCTGAAGGCGCAAACCACAAGCTGACCACCGTAAGGCCATCTCTCGTTCACTGGGATCTTATTACTTTCCTCTACCACTTTGATGACTGAGTTGATATCGGAGAAATCAACATTCGGGTGGATACCCTGTGTGTAAAGATTTAGAGCAAGAGTAACCAAGTCCACGTTGCCTGTTCTTTCGCCGTTACCGAAAAGAGTGCCCTCAACTCGATCAGCGCCAGCCATCTGGGCCAGTTCCGCAGCTGCGACGGCACAGCCGCGGTCATTATGAGGATGCAGAGAAACGCAAACTTTCTCTCTTTCAGAGATATGTGTGCAGAAATACTCAATCTGGTCTGCGTAGACATTTGGAGTTGACATTTCGACGGTGGCAGGAAGGTTGAAAATGATTTGTTCTTCCACTGTCGGCTCCCAGGCAGCCTTAACAGCTTCGCAAATCTCGATCACGAACTCTGGATCAGTGTCGGAGAACGTTTCAGGGGAGAACTCGAACCGCCATTCCGTTCCTGCCGTTGACGGGTCGTCTTTCGTTATCGAGCGTGCGTATTTTGTGCATTTGACAGCTAGCTCCACACTCTGTTGCTTGGTCATGCCAAACACTATCCTCCGGAAGCATTCGCTTGTGGCAAGATATAGATGGAGAATCGCCTTTTTAGCTCCCTTCAGAGAGTCCACGGTCCGGCGGATGAAGTCCTCGCGACAGGGGCAGAGAACTTGGAGCCAGACGTCATCCGGAACCTCGTTAGGAGTTTCAATCAGACGTCGAGTGAAGTCAAAATCGGTTTCGGACGCCGACGGAAAGGAGATCTCAATCTCTTTGTATCCAATGTCGACGAGCATTTTGAAGTATTTGTGCTTTTGGTCGCCGTCCTAGAAGCAAGGAGCGTGAGTCATAGGGGAGAAAAAAAAAAAAAAAAAAAAAAAAAAAAGAAAAAGACATTTTACGGCTACGCAGGAGCAATTGAATGCGGTTCTCAGAGGCAGAAGACATACCATTGGATCTACCAAGCTCTGGTTTCCGTCTCTGAGATCGGTGGCCAGCCATCTTGGTGGTTTATCAAGTGTCTTGTTTGGCCATGTGCGGTTTGGAAGCTGGATGGGCTTGAACTTTTTGTACTTCTTGGAGGGGTCTTTGAGCCTGCATAATCCCGGGACGTTAACTTTTGTCCAATAAATCCTTTGTCTAATAGATTCTCCAAGGAATGACTACATTACATACATAGGCATCTTGGTTGAAATTCAAAGTGTTGGAAGCAAAACTTGCGGTTGGAGCCAAAGTTGTATTGTTATGGCTTGCAGGGATCCTTATCGGCTGGAGTTATCTCGTAGCAAGGAATCAGCTAGTTATTTAGCTCGCAAAGTCTCGGGAGTCGGGGGGATGGGGGAGCTGAGCCAATAGTGGCAGAAGACGGAGGAGCAACAATGGGATGGGAGGGAGGATACACCCAACTGCTGCCAGCAACCTGGCGGAATAAGACAGCAACAACAATCCTTGATAATTAATGGGAATTTTGAATTGGAGAACAAAGTCGTGAAATTCTCGGAGAAGAGGGCTGTTTTGCTGCGTCTGCGCACCCTGTGACTCAGCTGTGGCAAGCTTCAGGTCCAGTTTTTTAGAGTTCCGCCCAAACTTAGGGAGAATAGATTTTCCGGGTAAAGTTAGGCCGACATCGGTGGCGAATGGCAAAGTGGTGAGATTCCAGGACTGTCTGGCGTGGATTGGTGAGAAAATATATAGTGTGCAAAGGGGACAATGCCAATGGCACTCCCAGGATATCACAAATACACATTGCTCACAGCACGGCTCACAGCTCACACCGGGGCTGGTGTGACCAGCAGCAACTATGTGCCGTATGTATGTACGTACATATGCAACACGCAATTCCCTCAATTCACAGGAAGCAATAAGGGTCACAGCATAGTGACACTGCAGAACGGGATGCAGAGACTGTTGGCTGCATCTCTGTCCTCTTATCTAGCTGCTTTTTTAGCTTTAAACTTGTCCTTCTTTGCTTTTCCTTTCCCCTGACTCCCCATGTCACCCTTGCTCTCTCGCTCCTTTTTGCCCTTTTTCCAGATCTTCCCCTCTTCTCGTAACCGATTGTCGTCGAGTTTCTTCTTCTCCTTGCCGCTTAGCTTTCGCTTTTCTTTCTTGATAACCGAATCCGGACCGTTGAGTTCGCTCAGAGCCCGCTTTTTGGCTTCTCTCTTCTCGCGCTCTGTCTCGAACCATGTCCGTTTTGGACGCGCCATGATTTCGCTCTCGTGCTTGATCAGATTCTGCCCCCGCTTGACCTGCATTTCTGCCTGCGCAAGCTGCTTCTCCTCTTTCTCTTCCTTCAGGATATCTTCGATTTCGGCTTGCATCTCCTCCACTTTGCTTGCCCATTCGTCGGCAACGGCAGGGTCTACCACGCGGCTCACTATTTTTGCGCCTTGCGCGCGTCCAGCCTTGACAGCGGCCTTGACAACTTTGCGGTCCGGCTCTGCTGCGATCGTGCACGCCCGGCCACTGCGCCCGGCACGGGCAGTACGGCCAACTCTATGAAGGTAGATTTCATGGGACTGAGGTGCTTCATAGTTGATCACAGATTCGACGCCTTTGATATCCAGACCTCTGGAGGCAAGGTCCGTAGCTAAAAGAAACGGTACTTTACCGTCCCGAAAAGCTTCTACCGCGTTAATTCGCTAGAACACGATGTTAGCGCATAGAAGTCTAGCAGTGTTTGAAAAAAAAAGAAAAAGTTGTTTGGAATAAAATCGACCTACCTGTTCTTGACTCATACTTCCATGTAATTCAGCCGCTTTCAGCCCTAAAAGGCCAAATATGATTCGAGCCCGATGAGCTTCTTTTTTCTGACGGAAAAATACGATAACACGGTTGGTGTAGATGGTGTTGCAAAGTAGCACAAGGTATCCCATTCTCTTGCCCTCCCTTCCTGGTCGTAGCCTCACAAATTCCTGGACGAGAGTGCCTACGGTGTGCTTCTTCGAATCAACCATTAACCTTACCGGTCGGTTGAGGCCAACACGAATCAACTTGTCAACTGAATCCGTCATCGTTGCAGAAAACAACATTGTTTGCCGGGACTTTGGGATGGTGTTCAGGATCTCGTTCAATTCATCGGCAAACCCATCTTCAAGCATACGATCTGCTTCGTCGAGAACCAAAATTTCGAGGGTATCAACAGTAAAACTCGCAGAATTTCTCATGTGATCAATAAATCGACCGGGAGTCGCAATGATGACGTCGGGCCGCTGCTTCAGAACGTTTTCTTGCTCTCGTAAACTGAAACCACCTACAAGCTGACAGAATGTGATATCGGTGTAAGTGGCCAGCTTTGTTGCGACGTTGTAGCACTG